AAAGCTTAACGACCCTAGACGGAAAGCTGACGGGCCCATCGCCGCCGGAAAAGACGGTCGAAGGAATTTCCGATTTTTTTTCCCGTGACGAACAGTCCCCAAGACTTTTCTATCAGGGGATCAGAAACCTCGAGGATGTGAGGTGGCCAACCACGACTGAATGCCAAGCGAAGTGGTACGCTTCACTGGGAAATCATCTGCCTTGACTCTTTTGACACGGTGAAATGATTATTCAACTAGCAGTCAGCACTCGACATTGATCTGCAACCAGCCAAAAGCGGCCCCCGTCATCCTTCAACGGAGCGCTCAGCAGAAGGGGAACCTTGATGGAGAGAGGGGACATTGGACCTTCTAACCGGCTTGCTACCCTGTCAGCTATCTCAGCTTTACGAGCTACCAGCGATGATCATTTCGAATAACCCACTCCTCATATCTCTCTCTACTCCGCTCTGTAAGAACTGAGGCGGAGTTCTGGAGGAATCGTAGAATGGCAACCTAGCTTGGCTGTAGCTGCGGCTGCTTACTTACTACGTAGTAGGTTCTGCCGGTAATACTCCTCGTAGGATTCTGGCGACTGGAACTCAAAGACGTGTCCCATAATCCCATTGAGCTAAGCCAATAATCCGCACACTTTCAGGGGACACAGTTCCCTTTACTCCGTACCTGACAACGAACTGTCACTGAAGGAGCCAGCGAGAGAAGAACTGAGGTTCCAGAATGTGACGAATTTCAGCCCTGGAAGGGGTCGGTGGAGTTTTTCCGTCGTCCAGTACGGACTCCAGCTACCCCCCGACCAAGTGAATCCTCATCAATCATTTCACCAACGCCTAATGCACCCTCGACGCAGGAGTAAAACGTGCCTTGATTGTGGCGTCCAGGGTCCTGACAAAGACATGGCAGGGATGATCCTGGACCCCTCGCTGTGTGACCTGGGTGACTTGACTGCTTCATGGTGTTATGGTTGACCACGCTCACAGTGCAGATCTTACCGATGCTTTGAGTGCGTGGGTGAGGCGGAAAGGCCCATAGGATGGAGAACTGTCGGATGACGAGAGGGTTGCTTATCCAATGGTCTGGCCAGCCTTTTCTATAGACTAGTTCCTCTTGAAGAGCTACGAGGAGGATGCCGTCTCATCTGCAAAGATGCAGTTTGCTGAACCACAACAATGAAACGCTAACCGACAATTGTTCTAGTTCGATACCAGCGGTCAACGACATTATCTGCGCCGGTTTTCCGTTGACGCCGCCGCCACCTGGTTCTGAATATATATCAAGTGGCTCTCCTATCTGCGGCGGTTTCACTGTCCCCGCGCGACGATGGCGTGATTCTACCGTTCTGAGAAACACATGCTGTTTCGACAAAGCCTCGACAACTCGGGCCAGGGCCTGGACGGAACGTTGGTGCAGTTGGCTCCGGTGTGACAAACATGCTGTTATCACTAGGCTTTGACCGCTTATCAATGGGATACTGCGTACTTCTGCAGCTTATTTTTGCGATGAACGGACCGTTCCTATGGGGGAGACCATTGGCATATATGTCGGGTTACACTGATTGCCCAACCAAACCGATCAAGACCACCACCGTGCACATCCCATGTCACAATCTGTCAACGTCAACACATCAGATGCATCGATCTGTCAGTCGCCCTGCCTGATCACGGCGAAACTTGGACAAAAGCACGGTGGCAAGTGGACGTGTAGCAGGACCATCCATCTCCGAGGCGTTACCGGAATGGGAAGAAGAGGGTTAGGGCACTGCACGACGGTAGAACAGTGAGTCTTACCAGTTGGCCAAGGAGATTGGGGGCGAAAAGTGCTTCCGCTCATGACCCCGATCGATTACTCTGATCGATCCATCAACCGAAGTCGCGCTATTGACTTGAACGTTATACAATGATTTGATTTTGATTACCAACATCTACAGGGATGCGATGGTGCTACCTTCTATATCCCTGTGTGGACGGTGATTTGATACCACCACTGTGGTACCAAATCGCTTGACGAGCATCAATCACTTTGGCTATCGACACATGGCCCCAACTAACGAGGCCGATTCATGCAGAGACCCCATGTCTACTAATGCTTGTCGATAAGCTGCAGATTAGCTACAGATAGAGATCATCAACTCCCTATCAGTCTTTCTGATCCCGGCCATCTTGTTGATCCCTGGCATATGCAGCATTGTGAACGCCACAGGAACTGACATCGGCGATTTCTTAAATGCAGATGCAGGTAATATAACCGTCTGACAGCTCATATATCTATGACGCTGTGGGAATAGAGCCCGGGCTGATTTTGAGCTCCAGAGCGCTGTTCGTCTCGTTACTGCAATAACATCTCGGACGAGAGAACTACAGAAAGATTCACTTCCAAGGCATTATATGCAATTTCTCGGACCCATCTATTAATTGTGACATTTGTTTCAACATTCTGCTGTCTGCTAGATGGTGGGAGCCCTCATTGCAGTTCTATAGCTCTAACTAGCTAAGCTTGCTTGGAGATGGATGGTAGCTGCAATCTGGTACTTCAATAGCGATAATGCGTGAATACAAACAAAGTTGAAAGATCCCAGTATATAATACAACTGTACAGGCTGCTTCGTGGTTTTGAGATATATCACTTTGCGACATTTTAGCATCCATGGGATTTTCGCCGTGTGCACTCCTCTTGAGGTCTGGCTTTTAACAACAGTCCGAAGCGAAAGGTAAGTAATACCCTCTGCCTTTTGTCAATGCCATATCGCTAATGCCAACATAGTTCCGATGCACTGTCCCAGAAGGGGATTGTGACTGATGTGCCTCCATGTCCATCATTTGTGAATTGCCCCCAATTTGGAGGAGCAAATATCGCCAGGAGCGCTCAGTGAAGGTGTATAAGAATTTGAACAGATCACGGAAATATTTGTTAATAATAGATGATCCTCCACTTTGAAGCTGTGGTTAGAGCTGGTAACTGGAACCTCCCACGGTAAGCTAGAGGTTTGTATGTTGTCTATATCTAAATACCAATACTGAGAAAAGGACATTTCCTCCATTACTGATATGCTTCTCCTCAACTCACTTAAGTTATCGCTTAGCACTGTTTGAAAACCCTGATTTTAGCCTGGCATGGCGCTGGCTGCTGCATTCACAGAATATGTATTCATAGCAATGTGCAAATCATGCAGCGGCTCACTTAACGACCATGATTTCAGTCAGAATTATCTCTTTTCCTTCGGATCACCAACTTTTTAAACGGATAATTGCGCAGTACACCAAGCCCTTCGAGCTTTTGAATTGCCCGTGACTTCCCACCGCTAACTTTGTGCTTCTGCCCATTTGCAAGCGTCCCCCAGAGCCGTTTGAATGGGCTTCTCATTGGATGCACATCGCTCATGAAATGCTGATATCGTGCAGTGGCACAGCGCCGAAACACCAGAAAATCTGAGTTGGATGAATTGGATCTCGAAACTTTTGTATCGGGGCTTTTTGAGGGGTCGATCTGCATCCAGGGCCTGTGCTCGGGGATTGCCACCGTTGCTACACGGACGAGGAGCAGGTGTACAGATTCGGGTGCTACTGCGAGACTCACGGACCTTACCTATTCGGCTGTATGGTGTGGTGCAGCTTGTGGGCAGTGAGGCAGGGCAGGCCAACGTTTGGATGATTATGCAGCGGCTGAACCAGGCGGCGATTAGTATGGATAGATCTCTGAGGCTGGTGCTGCAGTGCTTTGATCGACCTTCCAATTTATTGAGAGATGCATAGTGCTATTTGGCCTCACCTGGGCCTTTGATCTTCGGAAAATACAAGTGAACTTGACATTAGGCTTCTGATATGCAAATGTGCAGTCGGCTGTAACCAAAATAGAATCAATCCCCTTTGCACCTCATACATTTGTAGATATTTATATAAATTAGGGCACAGCTTATCGCCGATGATAATAATAGTCCTGTAATGAACTCGTGGCCGCTTGCTGCTGCATTTGCTATCCCAAATCAGTACAAAGAATTCATAGACTGAAAAGTGTGATCATAAACCAACCTGTACACCCACAAATCCGCCATCCATTTGCCCACGCCGATTGTAAAACGCCTCCTGTTCTGCCTGCTGCCGCCGCTGTGGCTGCTGTGGTCGCTGGCTGAAATCAGCAAAGCAGAAATACTAGATCAAAGAGTGCAATCATACGCAAGTTTTTAAACCGGCAAACCCTCCATCTACCTGCCCGCGATTGTTACAATACACACTTTGTTGTGTCTTTCGTGCCTGTCGCGCTTGCTGTGCATTCTGTGCATGCTGACTTTACTCAGCAAGTCAAACAGACATAATTGATCATGGGATGCATCATACACCAAGTGGTAAACCCACGAACCCCTCATCAGCCTGCCTGTACCGATCATAGAACGCCCCCTGGTGCGCCTCGTTGGCTAGCTTGCATTCATGGGCCATCCGCGCCTGTTGCCCCGTCGGTACTGAATCATATGGTCCACTTGATGCGGCAGGTAAAGGATCGGACCTATTGTGGTAGAAATGAGGATTCGTATGATAGTGATGATACTCCGCTTGCGGTTTTGGATTCAAGTTTGCCCTTTCATGTCCGGGGTTCGGTCGTTGGTGATAGTACTCTGTCTGCTTGTGCGTTTGGAAGCCTTGTCGTGGATACCCGTCTGGCGGGGAGTATGGCGGGGGAGGACTGGAGTTGTAGTCGTCGCTCCAGACGGAATGGAAGTCAGCTGCAAAGCGCGTGTGTTTTGATTGATCCATTTTACGATAAGAGAGGATGTAGGAAGAGAAAAATGGTTGGAGATGATTCTTTTCTGATGAAGGGCAAAATAGGGTGAAGAGATACTGTTGGAATATCTTATAGCTTAGCCCGTGCAGTACACAGCCTCGCCTCGCCTCGCACAGCCCCATTTGGTTCTGTGTTGTTGTAAATCGCTAGTGATAAATAAGCAACCCCCCACCATCATTCAACTCTTGCTTCTCAAACGATGTAAACTTCACTCATGAAGGGATCATAGGATGGATCCGCTCTCGCTCACGGCCAACATCGCCGCTGTTGTCGGTCTCATTGACACAATATGCCGCGTCGGCAAAGAAACGTACCAGCTCATCGCGGCTGTCAGAAACGTTCCCGCAGAGATTCAGCGCTTGCAGGTGGAATTGCACGAGGTGGAATTTCTGCTCCGAAATGTGCATCGCTACTGCAGCGAATACCAAACTCGGATGTCCCGTGAGAATTTAAATGATAGCACACCGATCACCCATATCTATTCGACCCTCAAAGTGCTGCAGAAAGAATATAATGAGATTTCAGCAATCGTAGCCAAGAATCTCGACGTGAATGCTGGACGGACGAGGCAGAAGCTGAAAACGATTGGGGGGAGGGTAAAATTGGTGCTTGGAGGCAAGCTGGAGCGGTCGTTTAGGAATTTGGAGAGGTGCAAGAGCCAGTTGAGTATTGATCTACAGGTATTGGGCAGGTATGTCGGTGCGCCTATTAGAATGGAGACCAAGCTGTTGACTTGTAAGTAGTTTTAACGACCTTGCTGTGCATGATCGGTTGGAAAGTATCCACGATGCAGTGTCTGAGTTGAGGGACGATCGGATGGTGTCCGTCATACTTGATGAGAAGACCACCACCTACACAGAGAAGAGTCATGCTGTGCTGAATTCTCTTCACTCTCTCGAGGCAATAGACTCGCTGATGGCGCAGCTTTCAGCCATGCGGTGTAATATTGAGCAAGAAAATACCAGCAATGGTGATGTTTTAGATGATTGGGACGATAGCGAGCATGTCCAACGTGCTACTCTGCCATTGATGCTACTCCAATCGAAAATCAAAGAAGCATTGCAGCTGATGATGATGTCCAAGCCCGGACACAAAGGACTGTCCACTCTAGATGTACAATGGGTCCGGACAGAACTGGAGAGTTTACTTGCAAAGAGCCACGAGAGGGCTGCTGTGACTATTAGGAGCTCGAGCACTACTACAATGGCCGGGGACGATATCCATAAAAATCGACAAGTCGCAGTTACAAGCATGTATGGGCAGAAAAATCGCCTCCAACAGCCGAACAAAATCGTGTCATCCCAATTCGTGCTTCAAGACTCCCCGGCAGGCAAGGTATCCATCCGTGTACAGTGGGCTAAAGCTGAAAATCCACCCTTTGCTCGCGTATCTGATATCATTGTTCTCCTGGCGCCGAATCCAAAGATTGCTCAGGAAGGACTTCTTGTCTCCCTGTCAAAGCTTCATGATGGCTTAACCAAGCCAATGATAAACCGTCACATCTCATCCTTCACAGTAGTCGAGACAACATCACCAATTTTTGCCTGTATTGAGGCCAACGACATCAATACTTTACGGCAGCTACTCAAGAACAAAGAATTCTCGCCTAACGTGCGCAACACAGAGAACGAGAGTTTGTTATCGGTAGGTCTCCAGCATCATGTTCTGTGCTGAGCTAACCTACCAGGCCGCTGCACACCTACTTCGCTTCGAAATATGCGATCTCCTTCTTAATGAGGGCGCCGATCCCAATCATTGCCGCAGGTAAGCCATCCCGTCCAAATTAGCGACAAGAACCTAACATCGCAGCGATGGCGCAAATGCCATCTACGACGTCCGAAACGCCTTCTGGTACCGACCAACCCACTATACCATCGACAAGAGCATCCTCAGTCGCATCCTGCGCCTCTTCATTACCGCCGGCTGCGACATCAACGCCGTCGCTCTCGGTGGCAGCCCCCTCCACTTCACAGTCAGCACCACCCTTCCGGGTTCCAAGCTCATCGACGAAGCCGAGATCGCCGCCCTAATCAACCTCCTCATCTGCACAGGCTGCGACATCGAGCACGAGAATGTCGACGGCCTCACCCCGCTGCTGTACAATGCCTGCATCCCGCAGTGGCACGGCGTCATCGTCCTCCGCGAGCTGCTGCAGTGGGGCGCTAACGCGCACGCCACGACGTATCTCGGCGAGGGCGCGCTGCACCTCGCAATCGCGTTCTCGGGACCCGGCTCGGCGCTTGGACAGATCGATGGAAATGCGCTCGAGGCGCGGCTCAGGCTCCTGCTGCGCGCGGGGTGTGATCCGAATCTACTGGACAATGGGGGACACAGCCCATCGGATTTTGCAATGAGTAGCCCGCGGATTTGGTTCCAGTGGTGCTTAGCTGTTGAACGGGCTGGGCTGAGCATGGAGGAAATTCTAGGCCAGGAGGGTGTGCGTGCGCCTGTACAGGCTGCGTATCAATCCACCCCCGTGGAGGATGCGGAGTGGGAGTCCTGCGGCAGCGAAGATGAGGATGAAGGGTATCAGAACGAAACGCGTCAGGATACTTGCTTCGACGCGGACCATGTCTTTCTATTTTGGAAAGGGTTCTTTCCATGGAGCGTTTCGCCGCGCTGTGGGGACTGCGGTCTTCTTTGCGACCTAGACGATATCGAACGCAGGAAGTGGGATGCCTGGATTGTTTTTCAGAGTCTGCGGGAGCATTTTCTTACCCACCCCCCTCAAATACCGATCAACGGCGCGCCACCCAGTTCATGATCGACTCACAACTCCTCGCCCAGTTCTGGGACCTATAGACACCTTACAGGCCGGCGCGGGTAGTGAGCATAGGCCTGTGTTGATCGTCGTCGCTTGCAAAGCGTACTTGTCGATCATGAGGGGGTAAAATGTCAAGAAACTTTCAAAGGTGCTTAGCTAGCCGAACCCCTGGAGAGATGAGCACGAGCAGTGGGTTGATCGGATCTACGGGGAAATCAAAGGTATATATATATACTCTTACTGCCTGCTGGCCAGCGATTTGATCTATCTAGGATGAGTAGGTAGGCCTTTCTCACTTGGGAGATATTGGTGAAGGGAAAAGGGTAGAAGAACTACATCTGGAGTGTCAAGAAGCATATAATAGAAAGCTATCTAGCTTCTGAGATACTTGTTTGTAGACGCTTATATAGACCGCAACTTGGGAGTCTATACACCACTCGAGCTTGCTTTCTAGATAGAGAGAATTTTACTGTATTTTGTCAACACAGAAATAGTCGAGTCCTCTCTACAATATCATTCCTACATTTCGCACCATATCACAATTGTCTAGTCATTCTACCCACTGCTTCGGCTTCTGGTCGTCAAAGATAGGCTAGGAAATGTCTAGAAAACAGAAACAGTTCTATTCTATTGTGCAATGGCACCTGGCAATTCAATGCTTTGAGTCGAAATCACGACATCGGCTGACAGAATAAACCTATATATCTGAAAAGCGTTTACTTGTAACTAGCTAGCGCCAAGCCATTGAGGCAGATGAGGAATTCCCTCTTTGCAATTTGGAGGATATGCAAAAGCTCACATGGCGAAACAGAGTCGGATTAATCCTATCTCAACTATTAAGGTACGTGCGTACTATCATCGCCAATCTCGGTGAAATTCTTCCTCGTCCAGGAGCATTATCAGTAGACATTAATATCTTTCCCTGTCTGTCTCATATCATATTCAAACTCATTACAGCAGGAGGGCAACTGCACCGATGGCCATAGCCTTGCCGAGAGTAGAGCCAGCCTTGTTGAGGCTGGCGGCGCCAGTGGCAAGGGGAGTGGAGGGAGCGGTCTCGTTGCCAGAGGAGTTAGGGCCGGAGGGGCTAGGCTGAGAGGAACCCGAACTGGGGTTGGAGCCAGTAGGCTCTGGGGCAGGGGCAGATGGGGAGGGGTTAGGGATTGTGGCCAAGGTGGTTGGGCCGCTTTCGCCAGGACCCTCGGGGACAGTGACGGTGCTGCCACCGGTTGGCTGAGTGACTGGAGAGGAGCCAGTCGGAGACTCGCACTCATGGCAAGGCGCGGTCTCGGTAGCGGTCTCGGGGGGTGTCTCGGGAGAGGTCCCAGTCGCTGTGACGGTCACCGAGTTCGTGGAGGTCAGAGTCTCGCCGTGAGTGGCAGTGGAGGTCACGGTGGCCGGAGGCGGAGGAACGTTGGTTGTGGTCTCACAGTCGGTGGCAGTCTCCGTGCCAGTCCCGGTTGGTGAAGGTGTAGACGGGGGAGGGGTGGTATCCGTGGGGGTGGCGGGTGAAGTAGTAGTCGTCTCGCAGTCGGTGGTGGTGTCAGTGGGAGTGGCAGGAGGCGTGGTAGTAGTCTCACAATCAGTGGTGGTGTCGGTAGAAGTAACAGGGGGAGTGGTGGTAGTCTTGCAGTCGGTGGTGGTGTCAGTGGGAGTGGCAGGAGGCGTGGTTGTAGTCTCACAATCGGTAGTGGTATCGGTAGGAGTAGCAGGTGGTGTAGTGGTCGTCTCGCAGTCAGTGGTGGTGTCAGTGGGAGTGGTAGGAGGCGTGGTAGTATCCGTCGGAGTAGCAGGAGGAGTCGTAGGGGTATCCGTCGGAGTAGCAGGAGGAGTCGTGGGGGTATCAGTCGGTGTGGCGCTGGTCGTCGGCGAGGTCGTGGTCACAGTTCCCGCATCCTTATAGGCATCAATACCGGTCTGAATGGCCTTGGTAATTCCCGAGGATAATTCAGCAGCCACATCCTTGAGCGCTGCTGGCACCTTGGAAGTGAGGGCGTCCGCCAGGTTTGACGAAGCCGTATACTGCTCCCGCAGTTGGGCGAGGGTTTTGGGACCGGCACCGGCTGCAACGACCTGATCCTTCTTCGCAACAAGGTCGTTGATAGTCTTCTTAACCTTGTTGGTCAGCGCCAAGATAGGGTTGACCAGGAGCAGGCCCTCCGTTTGGGTGAGATTGGGTAGGGTCTCAACAGTGCTCGTGCCAGCGTTGATGGTGCTGACAACATCCGCGGAAGCAGACTCGATGGCGGCAGTGTCACCACCAGTGTAAGCGGTGATTTGACCATCCAGAGCGTCAACCTTGGCAGCGATGGCAGCAACAACACTGGTGACCGCGGCAAGATCGCGCTCTACGAGCGAGGGTCCCTGTGAGACCTTGGTAGGCGTCGCAAGGACACCAGTCAAGGCTCCCAGGGTGAGGAGGAAGGTAAACGCAGAGAACCGCATTGAAACAACCAATAGCAGGTATAAACGACTGTGTTTGAGGTATATAAAACAAAGAAACGAGAGCGATGGGATACTTCTGGAACGAGGGACAGACTCTCAGCAGGAAGCGTGAAGGATCAAAGCAGAAGATGCCCCCCCGAGGTACCGTCCCCGGAGTATTTAATCACATTTTGGGAGTCGGTGGTCAGTTCACATGTGTCATTGCATTGATCTGTATGATTGCCTCGCTGTGATCCAATATTGAAAGTCATTTCCGTTCGATCCGGGGTATCCTAGTTCGCCGACGGACATTGGCGAAGACCCCAGACAAGAGCTTGATGGGAGAAACTGTTTTGAGATTAGTGGACGCCATGTCCTGTGGCTATCCTGTGAGTGCCTGATCAATTTTCACGAACTCAGGTACCACGGCCCTAGACAGTTAGCGGACAGCAATGCTGTGATTGGTTCAACGGTATATTATTGCGAGAAAACTCGGAGGTTGGGCCTGTGCTAGACAGTGGCAACTGGATAGGGCTCGAGAGGACTCTGGGTCCAGTCGAATCAACAATATGGATGGAAGCACTAAGAATCAAAGAGATTGACTCCAAGTGATCTCTTCTAGTCCAACACATATGTCATCTGGGAGTAATAAATGATGCCATGCCAGCAGGACCAGAAAGGCTCACAGGCGGCAAGCGATCACAAGTAGCACCATTCCACCGGTCTCTCCAACTTAAAGAGTAATCACCAGGTGAACAGATCGAGTCTCTGCTGGCAAACTTGTGTTGTCAACATGTTCATGTTCTTAATAGGTCCTGACTCGGGTGTTCCTCGAAACAGGATATGTTGCGAAAAAGGACCGACAGATTGTCTTCCCCTCACGGTTGCATCTTAGTGGCAGAACTAACGACTTGGCTTCGCTATTGGAATGTAACCTGACAGGGTTCTGAATAAGGAATCATTCTTGATTTCATTTCTGTCGATGCGGGGCTTGTAAGACATGTCTGTTAAGGCGTGGCTTGTTCCCCCGGATCTTCCTAGCCAGATCATCCTCGGGCTGAGTCAGTTGACATGGGGATGGAAGAGGATTACAGTGCTGAGACCCTGCAATGGGACTGATTCGTACTCCTTTCTTCCTTTGCTTTGACGCAGATGAATGGAGAATAGATACTGGGTGTTGATGATGATGATGATGATGATGATGTGTTGGTTGGTTGGTTGGAGGTGGAAGAGTTGAAAGAAATTAAAGACGGCAATGCAAGGTCTGTGCTATGTACTACGACCGTGGCAACTGGCAACTGGCAACCATGCATGCAACCAAGTCTCCTCACAGCGATCACTGATGAAATAGAAGACTGGTATCACGGCTCAGAGGAATTGTCATCTTTCTGATGGTTGCCAATACTCATCTCTGCCAGTTTACTTCATCCCGAAATGGAGTCTGAGGTTGATGCTATAAATATTCCTTGCTAACAAACTTTCCACCTCGCTAACAGTAGTCATATTATCACTGTCATTGAAACATAGACCAAGCAGAGCTATCTACTGAATTACTGCAAATTACTACTACTACAAGGTAGTCAACAGCAGTGACAGTGGAGACATGCATCAGCCCTGTGATCATAGTTCTCTCTCCACCTTGATACTCCACCGAAATGTACGATCTCCTGGAGAGTCCCTCTAGACTGCTGCGAAAATACTCCATAAGGCACTCGAATCAACCTTTCGAGCGTCTCGCTTTAAGCTTCTGTCTCACCTCACCCACTATTCGCGTGTCATCAACCCACATGACCCGTTGATGTGGTACACTGGTAACTAATGACAGCTTCGCATACACAACATTTACCTTTTTTCGAGTCACTCAGTCCCTTAGAGGTACTTACTTGCGTTTTGTTGTAATTCCAAGAGCAAAACCATTGGCTCGGTTTCTCCCAGTGTCTTGGTTAAGGTGCTATGACAAGTGGAGAACTTGACGTTTGCAAGATGGTGCGGGATGCCATTGTCAATGGTTGTGTAGCCTCGACGCCGGCATATTTGAGGTGCACAAACTCGAGAGGGGATATTGAGAGGATTCATCAAGGAGAGAACTCTTCCCAATGACGCCTGCCGGCAAGGGACCTGGAACGGGATTCGTGCAAGCTGATCAAGTCCCGCCACTAACTTTTGGTAAACGGGATGCTGCCTCTATTGCATGGAGAGTATGGCTGTCACAAGAGCCGGATTCCTTCCTCGACGGGAATTTCCTCGCACGTATCAAGGCCATCACTAGCCCTACCAAGGGATCATAAGGCATTTTTCTTATGCGCTAGAGGACCTGCATTGCCTCCGTCACGAAAGTGACAAATAGCCATGTTCCTGTGTCGCGGTTTCGGTTGTTAGTTGTTACCCAGCAAATAGGATGTTGAAAGCCATTTTATTCACTTTGTCCGGACCACAGCATGCTAGTCAAGCTTTTATCATTGATGATACTGTGCTCACACGTCGGCTTGATCGATAGCCCCGATCAAGATCTGGATCCATGTAGGTCGATGCAGCGTCCAGCTAGGAGAAGACAGGAGTGCGCCCTATACACAGTTATTGCGTCCGCCTAGGAGCTCCTTGCAATTTTGTGATGTGATCCTTCGGCAACCATCAAGTATTTCCCTTCCGCCAATGCGATCTCGAGACTCGCGCTCAATTTGAAGAGCGTCAACTTGCCTCGGTCAGAGAATCATGTGAAAGACAAAATACTCCGTACGTCGTTTAAGATATTCGGTGACCGCAGATGTCCGTTTATATCCCCGAAATTGGCTTGTAGACTCGCCAGTCTACCGTTACCCCAACGTTAGTGCTTATATCAGTAAACTAAACTTGAATACGCTGTGCTAGGGAGCGAACCATGCGAGAATATTGACACGGTCAGAATAGCCAAAATCGTGAACCCCTGGTCAAACGCAAGACACATGCCGGGGCAGGTAATTTGATGACCAGGTACCTTAGCCATGCTTTACTGCCTAGTATCGTCTCATCTCCAAGCTAGTCATCCGATATCGTACTCATAACAAGATGGTTGGTTAAGAGCGGTGTATCAACAATCCCTGCCAGCTTTAGGGGGGTGTCTAGGAGATTTTCACTTCTGTTCACCGTCGTAGAGATTGGTGTCTGTACTGAAATCCACATCCTTCTTAGGGATGAATCATCACCATTCTGATCCATCTCTATATCTTTTGATATTGCGTTGCGGAGCAATCAAGAACACCAACAGAATGGCAGTTGATACCCGTCTGTTTGCTCAAGCGCAAGATGCTGGTGTCAAGGGAATTGAGCTCCGCAGCAGCGCATTCTAACAAATAATGCCAATGATTCCTCATATGGCTTTCTTTGCAATTACCATGTAAGAAGTTGCTAAGAGCGGGAGTAGGTAAGGATAAGGAGACTGGCTTTTGTTGTCAACAGCCTCTACAATGACTCTTTTGTGTATGTTTCTTTGGGAGATCTCCAACAAAAGTACTCTGTAGGCTGGAAACCTCCATATCAACGCAGCAAACAACGGGAACTGGCAGAGGGCAAACAATTGCTGACCTCTACTTTCTCCTAGCATTGTACATGACTGTGAATATATAGAGGCTGAGCTGGCCTTCTTTAGATCATTTTCCAACAATTCTTCTTCATCATCAAAAACCCTCTCTATCTTATATATATATATTTATATTTCGTGTCTGCCTACATCTCACACCCTGGGCACTCTCAACACCAAGACCACAATCAGAGATCGATCAACCCCTTACTCCCCAGCATCATGGACACTTGCTCTCCCTATTCCTTTCCTATAGGAGCCCGCCAATCGAGCGCGCGGGCTACTTCACACCTCCGAGATTATACAATCACGACACAATACTCCATCACCCTGTGGACACCAACACACCACACAGACTTCTCAGCCCAACGCGTGGCAGACCACGAATCCTGTCACTTACTACCAAATCTCTCAGACAGGATGCCCACCGAAAAGCCTGCTGGAAGCATTCGTGTTGAGTCTCATGGGCTGGGCACGTGCACGGCCAGCATCGATGTGCACAACACACCGGATCGGGGACCTTGTTGACGCCGAGTAAGGCGCAGAGACCTGGCAAGAAGAGAAAAATGGCACCAAAACGCCCCATCGAACCTGCCCGGGGCGCCCCGTGGGGTTATGGTTCCGGCGGTGATGAGGAGGAGACTTTCGAGCCGAATCTGAATCATCTCAAACCAAACACCGATCAGAGTTGGTCGGCCGAGCAGCGATGACGGAAGAGAAGGCTGCGGGGCTAGCGGCGTCCCTCGAAGACACAACAGCAGGAGAGCAGCCAGATTCTGGGGCGCGATCGTGACTGCAGACGAGGCGGCGGACACACGCAAGCCGAGTTCAGCATGTCTTTCAAGAGTTGTTTTGATGGATGAAGAAATGGCTGGAGACTACTGCGAGTGGAGGAGCCATGTGGTGGGAATCATCCTTCGGTCCGCTGGAGAATTCACTACTATTTCTTGAAATGGGAGGATGCAAGGATGATGGACCTGGACGATACAAGATAATAGGAAAATTTGCTCAGCAAATCCAGCCAGAGTGTGGGATTCTTCGCTTGGACCATGCTACGCGTCCAAAGCTTGGTCGGAATCCTACAGCAGAGGGACGAAAATCAAAGAGAAAAAGCCACAGTGTCTATATATGTGCTCTTTGCATGATCCTGCTATATACGGAGATACATCCAGAACGTTCGACAAGGTCGAAAATAATGACAAAGAATGTAAAAACCAACAAGCGCAGGCAAGGGAATCTCCATCACCCCAGAACTATATACTTGTCTATGCGTTAGATCGATTCTGATTTCCTGAAACCAGCTCTATTTCCATGCTCCGGGTTGGCAGATCTACCACGCAACAGCGGAGGGAGCGGCGTAGGAACCGGTGACGGTCTGACCGCTGCACGAGCCAGGCACCTTGTTCGCACCGGACGCGCCCCAAGAGGCAGGGACCTGGCCGGCGCGTCTGGAGGCAGCCGTCAGGAACGAAGCATAGGACCAGGTCAGATCGGAAGCGGAGACAGGCTTGCCAGAGTCCCGGCCGAACTGCTCAGCGAGGTTGCCCTTCTCAGGAGTGTACTCCTTGATGACGGCGATGAATTCGTCCGCGTAGGTCTTCACAGCACCAGTAAGGGAGGTGTAGCCACCGGAGCCCTTGGCGTACGAACCAGCAGTGACGTTGGAGCTCAAGTCCTTGAAGAAGGGGAGCGAGAGCTCGTTGACCTCAATGGCTCCCTGCTTGTCCCACTGGTAGAGGGCGTCATAGAGCTGCTCGGCGACGGCGAGGGTGGTGAGGTACCTTTAGCCTGTTAGTCAAGAATACTCATCTTCGTCCAAACGGAAAGACTCACCATGGGTTTCCTCCCTGGTAGTTATCCTCCGGATAGCGGCCGGTGGCGGCGGCCTTGCCGACAGGGCGATCCTTGTTGACACCATAGATAGAGCGGAAAGCGTCAACATAGACCTTGAGGTTGGACAAAGCCCGCGCAGAGCAAGGCTGGAAAGTGGTGTCATCACAGGCAGCCTCAGGATCGAAGGTGTGAATGGAAGTAAGCACAGAGTTCGAGTCGATTCCGCTGCGGCCGTTGTTGGCAATGTTGGAGACAATGTTCTTGCCATTCCAGTAGTCCTGGAGGAAGCATAGGATCTGAGGTGCCACGGCACAGCCAGCACAAGTCTCACCCAGCGCCTTGGCGAAGGCAGCACCCTCGATTAGGGACTTGTGCTGGACAGCAGTGGTGAAGAAGGACGAACCCTGAACTTCTTCCCACAGATCGAAGCCGGTCTGGTTCCAGTACTGACCCACATAGGCCAGATCGTTGGCGACAATGGGCCAGAGGTGCTGCTTGGCAACGGAATCCTTACCCTTGGCGATCAGAGCATTTCCGTAGGCGATCAGAGCAGAAGCGCGCAGGGCGGGTCCATCACGCTGAGGACGGCCCCAGGCACCAGTGAAGGCTGAGAGGTCGACGTTGAACTTGGGCTCGGCCAGTCCAGATCCGTCAGACAGCTGTCCGGATGGGTTAGAGACGGTCTGCAGCTTTGCCTGGGCATCGATATAGCTGTGAATGAGGGCTTCGAGCGAGTCGTCGCCAGCAATGAACTGCTCAATAACCTCGAGCAGGGTCAGAGCAGAGTCACGAGTCCAGGTGTAGAAGTCTGTGTAGTCAGCATATGACTGTCCCATATGTCAACGCGAGGACTTACAGTCGGGATTCTGCTTGGAGGGAGATGCCACGACCACACCGGCAGCAGCGCCCTTGACGAGTGTGCCATCAGCTCCAATGTTGTTCAACAATCCCTGCTTCGCGAAGGTGGTCTCGCTCTTGATGAAGTCGCCGATGTCGGATTGTCTCTTGAATGAAAAATGGGCAGGAGAGGCCCAAGCGGTGCCCGCAAGGGTACCGGCAAGAACGAGCGAATTGGTCAACATCGTGAACAACAGGAGAAGAATTGTTGGCAACAGGAAAGTGTACTGAGGCGAGTGTCTGAAGGAGCTTGGCGATGAGAAGCCACAAAAAGACCGTTGGGAACTGCCGTTTTTATATCTGGAGACTGTAAAACTCCATTCACATGCCCATATGTGTCTCACAACGGATGACGTAGAGCAGATGTGCCTGAGTAGCATTACCTAGAAGAAGATACAGGCAGCGGGCCGATCTCTCGGAAATGACTCGTTTCGCCAGCTAGAGGATCGACAGGCAATATCCGGAAGTGAATGGAGACTGGATGAATCTGGGGAACCAACTCTGGTGAACAATTCTCCGCATGTCAGTCCGTCCAATTGACCAAAGAATCCAATCCCACAGATCGTCCCGACAACTCTCCGTGCCGATCGTCTGCGCCCATTTGCCGTGCCATCCGACTGTGCAGAGTATGAATGATGGTGATAATGGACGCTGAAGATGGCTCTCCGCGGCAATGTGCGTTGAGATCACACCAAAGCCCGCGGATTAATCTAGATGGATAGCAAATCACCTAGTCAAGACAGCGCAGCACCCTCCGAGGCAAGGATCGTGACTTGTTCTTCAGCTTCATGTTTCGGCATTGAACATGGGATCAAGTCTGAAATCCCAAACTCGGTCACAACTTGGTCGCGCTCTGTTGCTCCGACCCTTGCACGCCATCTTTCAAAAATGGATTCATCTCCTGGGATTGGATGAAGTTATTCGCGGAGTGAAACAAGCCGTCGGGGGGGAGGCGTGAAGTAAGACATGTGAAGGCAGCCACCGTCATGCTTTTTTTTTTTCTTCTATGAACGTATATGCTACTCAAGCCTCTTAGAAGAAGAGAATTAAACGAGTCCTGGATGTGTCTCTTGCTGAAAGTCGCAACAGAGAGTTCCGTGCAGGCAGTTGGGGGGACGGGAGGAATTCACTAACTGATCGGGATTCATCACGTCGCGCCTTGCTTGGTCGGCACGAAGCTACAAGGATGTTTTCGGGCCGGCACAGGATGCTTGTCTCGACGTGGGCTGCACGGATAAGTGATGCGCATCCTGAGGGAGACAAGGGTGTCGATTGTTGACTGTTGACTGTTGGTTGTTTACTGTCGACTGTTTGAGGGAGATTCTTCACCATTTTACATTGCATAATTGCATAGCTGATGTAATGATTTCGAGTTGTGCGTTGCATTCAATGAACTTCTGGTGATGACGTAGTAGAATGTCTTTGCCGGAAATGGGTGTTTCTCTCTCCAATCTCCCTAGGATTGCTCCTATGAACTTCAAGAAACTGTCTATTGACTACCTGGCCTTTGTGAAGAATGCGCATTTCTAATAGAACCAATACTAAAACCCAGAGATAAGCATAGCAATGCGTCGACAATGGATGGGTTGCGTCTCAGCGCTGATCGATAGAATCCAGTAGGTGAGAAATATCCCTCCACGAACATACCTGCACCAGAGCTAGTGTTGATTCCTTTTCAAGGTGGAAATCACCAAATCAATGGGCGGGCCTAGTAATGCCGGCCTTCACCAGCCGTTCAACGTTGTTAGCTTGACTGGGTTCGGCATCTCTGCCCTTTCGTTCTTTGCCAGATGCTACACCGCTTGGATGATCCTTCATCGAACGGCCAGCGACCTCTACCTGGCGATCGCGACATTTGTAAGTAGTGCGTTTCTGTGCTGAATAATAACGGAAGATGACGCTCAGGTGTTGGTGAAGATCATTGGCACTGCCAGCCAAATCTTCCTCACATTAGCAACAGCATCATACGGAATTGGCGTTTATGAATCCACCTTATCAGAGGACGATAAACGAAAAGCGCTTTTATGCGCGTGGCTCAATCAGTTTCTTGCATTGATCGCCATTGGACTCGGAAAGGTGGCCATCGTCGCCTTCATTGTGCTTTTCCAGGGCTACCAGAAGCGGATCTGGATCATCTTCCTCTGGTTTGTCGGTCTGAGTAGCCTGCTGCTCAATGTTGTCCCGGCTATTCTACTGCTAGTCCAATGTCGGCCGGTACGAAACTGTGGGACGAACAAGCACCGGGAAGGTGTAATGATAACCATCGGGGGCAGGTCTTGGGCTTTGTACAAGGGTGTAAGCACGAGATATCTTCCATTATCAGCGACGTTGTGTCCGTTGCTCACAGACCTGATAGCATACTCGGCTTTATGTGATATTATTCTGGCGAAGTACCCAATGGTCATCTTCTGGCACGTCCAGGCATCCTCAACGGCCCGAAAAATAGGCCTTGGCTGTCTGACAGGGTTCGGCCTAGCGTACGGTGTCCTTGGTCTCTGCATGTAACCTATCCTAAGTCCTCACAGTGCTGGGGCTTGGCTGTCAAAACTTCTAGGCTTGTCCTTTTCACAGCAAACGAAGATATAACCAGTTAGTATATCCGCGTTGTTTCTTGATTACCTTCTGATACTGGCTTTGCAGAGCGTCTCGCCGGCATTATTGTCTGGAACCAGTAAGAACCTCTAGTATTTTCCTTTTTAGCTGACATCTGAGTAGGTCAGAAATGCGGTTGGTCTTCATTGCTGGGTGTATACCCACGTCAAAGCCATCTTTAGTCTTAATGAAGGAGAAGACTGGCATAGGTACGATGATAAGATGGATATTCTATCACCGTCCACGAACTGCTTTGCCCCTGCGAGATCGATTTACAAGGAAGGCTAGATTGCCAACGTCAGTAACAAATAGTTCAGTCAGTCGGAATTGAACATACATATCATTATCCAGTATCTTTGCACATGGTCCATGGCTTTGACAACTCTGAACAGGCGTGCTTCTGCTATCAATGACAGGCAATTTGGCGGAAAATGTCTAGCATTCCAGTGAGAACAGAAAAAAACCTGGAGATTATGCATGATGTTACCAGTACTCCGTAGGGAGACCGCTGAGCATGTTCGGAGCATGTTCGCGTAGTCTGGTAGCTTGGATCTATGAGCTGAAACAGTTAGAGCCTATACTGCACGCTTTGTGCATTTCGAAACTAATCCTATGTATTTCATGACAGGCATCAAGTATCCACGAAGGATCATCACTCCAGAACAAGCATGACTCGCGCTCTGCCTTGCAAGGCCACACGAAGCGGCCTTTTGCAACGACCCAAGAGTGACCAAGACTTCGTTATTTATGGCGCCTTGGCGAATGCATCAGGATCTTCTTAGATCCCTACAAGTCAGACTTAGTCTAGGGGCAACGGACTGATGATTCATCGCTGTCATCTTGATGCTTAAGAGTGCATTCCGACATGCTATACTCCATATGACCACGCCAAATAATCCCCGTTGGTTTGCGGCTGCTTGACTGTTGTTGCCCCATTGCCCGCCCTGCAAGCGCCAAGGCATATAAATAAATGGCGCCACTGCGATCTATCTATCCTTCTTGGCCTCTGTTGGTAGTTTGTTCGGGTGCCCAGAGCGCCTAAACACAGCCCATCAGCCAAGTTGATAAAATGGGGCGCTTCCCCCAAGACCTGTCAACTGTCCAATTTCCCCAGGTTGTTGAAACTGGCTTCAGATCTTCAATGGCAGCCGTGTTTAGGGGAGAGAGGACATCATGAGCGATTTTCGTCGCTGGCTGGCTGTTGGTCTCATAGCAGCCATATTTCCCAGCTGTAGGTATCTCAATGTCTTTGGTGGCTACTGACAGGATTACTGACAGGATTACTGACAAGTCCAGTTGCCTCCGCGATCACTTGTCTGATTTCCAGTCCAGAATCAGACTCAGAGCAGCCATTTTTCCGACCATACCCCGTCGAGTCTGCAGACGATCTAAACCGGTTCGCGACAGACAATTGCACTGTCATATACGGTAATATCGAGATATCAAGTGATTTCAACGGAGCATTTGCGATTCCGAACGTGGAGATCATCTATGGAAACATCACCCTCAGGGATTCATCAGGCTTATCGTCAGTCAATTTGACATCGATCGAGCTTCCCAATGCGTTGGCCGTGGAAGGAATTGAGCTCCCAGATATACCGGCCTTGAAGAATATCTCCGCACCGAAAGCGATACTCGCGCGGTCTATCAAATTCGCCCAGCAGTCGTCGATCAGCCCCAATGTTGATTTTCGATCTCTGATAAGAGCTGAGAACATCTCTCTAACGGGGAACTATTCGAGGTACGTTCGTCTAGGTCTATATTCAGGAGCACTGTAGCTAATGCTGGATACAGCCTGCACTTCGATGCACTGCAAAAGGTCAACAACTCACTCAGTGTATGCTCGGTGAGAGACTGCGGACCGGCCGACAAGTTCGAGCTCGCCATATCCTTTCCTGCTCTGATATCTGCAGCGTATATCCGAGTAGGCGGACTGATCAACAGGTATGCGATGTGCATTGGGTCGAGCTAGACTGGCTGATGATGTATGTAGCCTGTCACTACCTGCCCTCGAAACAATCAATGCCACAAAGCCAGATTATGCGGGGCCCTTGGGCCTGGACGTGCACAACTATGGCAGACCATTAGCGCTTGACTTCCCGAAACTGCGATCCGTGAGCAATACGCTCGATCTGCAGGGCTCTATCTCCAGGTATCCGCATCTCCAATCCCCACATATTAGCGGTCCTCCTCTGACCTGATAGTCTATCACTTGATTCGCTCGCAGCCACCGATGCCGATATCCTCATCGACACAGACAGCTCCCTAGACCTCAACTTCAGAAGCCTGGAGTCCGCGAACACCATCCAGCTCAACGGCAGCATCACCAGGTACTTCCCCCAATCACCAAAGCTATATCAAGAGGAAACAAAACCTAACCATACAGTGCCGAATTCCCCGTCCTCCAACACGTGCAACGAGTTACCATTAACGCCGACAGCTCAATCGACTGCCGACCCCTCAAACAGGCCCTGCAGCGAGCAGCACCAAACTCCGATTCCATCTGTAACCGGAAAAGCGTGTTCGAACCGAAAGGGCTCTCGCCCGGCGCCAAGGCGGGGATCGCGGTTGGGTGCAGCATCGCTGCTCTTGCTTTCATAGCAGCTTCTGTCTGGATTTGGAGGAAGATGGACCGGCCTAAAGCCCGTAGGACGTTGCCTTGGAGGGCATCGCCTTCGTTGCGGGAGCGGAGGAGAGAGTCGGTGGATGAACCTCCGCCGCCGTACTCGGTGCATCCGCCGGTCTAGTTGTACGTTGTTGATATGAGTGAATGGTTTCTTCGTTGTGGATTCTTTTGATATACTCTCGAGTGCCAAAATAGGTCTGGGACTGGTTTATTGGCTTTGTTGTACGCCTCTTGTTGTTGTTCCTTTTCTCTGATGCCTTTGCATATGACACTACCTTATTCATTCGCAATATCTCTAATCTAACACTACCCAACATGATCCTCGCAGAATCCAAATCATCTCCCATGCTCTGATTCAAAAGTAAGGCTACAGGACAGCACAAAGCCAGTAAAATAAGTAACACTCAATCCCAAGCCCTACACTTGCATTCTCCCCAACAACTCCTCCAGATCCTCCGCCCGCCTAACCCCCTCAACAACCCGATGATCTCTCCCTCCAACCGGCGCACCACACTCTGGACACGACGACTCCTGCATCGCCCCGCCACACTCCCCAATCGTAAACGGATGCCCATTGCGACAGTGATACCAGTGTCCCGTCCCATGGAACTCACGCGCCATAGCTGCGATCACCGCCATGCGCTCCTCGTTCGTCACAACAGCGTAGAACGTCGATCCGCGGAGCATGTTCTCCACGCCGTCGATCTCCGCGGGCAGACCCCTCGTCTGCGACGGGTGTTGCGAGCATAGCGCCCGGGCTTTGTCTAGCGCTGCTGATCCGTCGCGGAGATGCGTCTCGGCGGCGGCGGGGGAGGTCGTCTGCGAGCGTTCGAGCGCGTGGGTGCGCGCGAGGAGAATGTATCCTTCAGCCTGCTGTGGGATTCGGCCGGATTCTTGGGCGAGGTTGGTCAGGGCGAAGCATTCGTTTTTGGTTTGCGGGAGGGCGAGGGTGATTGTTATACTGGCTGTATTGGAGGCGCGGTCTTTGACCGTGAGGAAATCAGAGAGGAGGGCGAGGTCGAGACGCAGGCTGAGCGCGCTGGCGAGAAGGACGCCTTTGGTTTGGAGGACCGTGTCGTCGAAGTCGAGTTGGTCGTGGCTGTCTGTGTTCTTGCGCCTCTTGACGTTCTCGACCATGCTGCGCACCCGGTTGTAGGGCTGCTCGTCCAGGGCGACCTGCTTGCGGTAGGCGAGTACCCTATTGCGAAGCTCGATGAGTTTCTTCCATCTTCCTGGTGCAGACTGGTGGATGATTTTCGTCATGGCCTTCACGTGGTTCTGAATCAAGCCGTCGATCTTGATGTCATGCGTCGCCCAGGTAAGACTCCTCCTGGTCTCCGTGTCCTGCAGTTGCTGGACCTGCCGCGTGAGCTCTTCCTCCAGTGGAACATATTCTCGGTTCACGTAGAGAATGAATTTCTTCGTCGACTCATCCAGAAGCGCCCGTCTGACGAGGCGACCATACCGAGCGATATCACGAAGCGGCCCGCGACAGGTAGCGCAGGACTTGATATCCTGCATGGAAAATGGCTGGGATGCGTTTGCGATCGAGATCGGCCGTCCTTCTTCGTCGACTTCATAATGCTGCCGTATATCCATCTGGCCGTCCATGCTCTCCATGGTCAGAAAATGCCCGCAGGCGGGGAAGATGCACGGGTTCTGGTCGAGATCGATCTCGGCGTACGTCTCGCCCATAATGAAGTCCACGACCTGGGATTTGAGGTCCTCGTTTCCGCAGAGCTGGCAGTATTTCTCCGATGGACACGCTTCTCCGCACACAGACGGACACTGATGGCCGCAGCTGAGCGTCTTACTGCACCGTTTCGAGCAGGGTATGTGGTTGCAGGGTGCCGCGCAGGGCATCGAGCACGCGGTGTGCGGGCATTGCGAAAAGCACTCTCCCTCAGCACAGGGCGTGCACGGCTCCCGACACCTCTTGGTGCACTTTGAGTGCCCGCATCGGACATCGCACGGTGCATCGCACGGCGGGCAAGGCTGTTCCCCATGGCACGCGGCAGCGCAGAAATGAGCACAGGTGGAGTACTTGCGGCCGCATTTCTGTTGGCATTTTCCATGGTCGTAGGACTTTTGCTGATCGACTACCCGCAGGCAGGCATTGCACTGGCGCTTGCATGTGTGTCCGCATGGCAGGAAGGCGCTGCATTGCGTGGTGCATCTGAACCGAGGGAGTGTCACGTCTTGGTGGCATGGGACCAGAGCCTCGTGCTTGCAATGTTCGACTGTCTTCGTCACGAGCACTGCGCATTTGACCAGCGAAAGATCCTGATCCTGCCAACAGGGAAGAGTAGGCATGGAATGACCGCACTTGAGCATCCTGTCTTCCTTGTGCACGTCGACCATACACTTGGTGGGACATTGGTCGCCGCAGCGCTTGACGCATGAGTGAGTACATCCCTTGCGCGGACGGGGACACGGCTGTGGGCAATATACAGCATTATGAAGCATCTCCGAGTGGCACTTTTGCTCACAGGCGTGGCCGCAGGGAAGCCGATTGATGCATCGCATATTACAGCCTCCTTCAGGAGATAGCTGCACGAAGTCCTCGGGGTCCGACACAGGAATTGGCGTATCGGGATGCCGAGGACACTGCAACTCGAGCTTTGGTCCAATGCTCTCCGACTGGCGCAGGATCTCGAGAACCTGGGCCCACATGGGGACATGAGCGGATGTCTCTGAGTTACCGATGATGTACATCCCATGCTGTGCGCGAGAAAGAAGAACATTGATCCGGTTGGATGTTCGCAGGAATCCACAGCGGTTTTGTGGATTGCTCCGCACCAGCGATATCACGACAACTTTAGCTTCTTCGCCCTGAAAGTTGTCAATCGTGGCCACTCGCAATGTCTGCAGGAGAGTCGCTCGCGTGGCTTCACTGCTAGAGTCCTCCTTAACTTCAAATCCGGCGGTCTCAAGCTGATCCGCGTCCCGTTCTCCGAGCGTGACGGTGAAAGCCCGAGAGAACAACTGGCGCAGCCGGTGCAGCTGGCCCAGGTATGGAGTTAAGACGGCGATTTCGCCGTTACGGTATTTCCCTTGGCGCACTAGATGATTGACCAAAGCGATCGTCATACCAAGTTCATGTTCGTTCCAGTGAGACGTCGCCATAACACTGTTCTGAGTGTCAGAGATACCCGCCTCGGGATTGCGATGGTCGAGCCAGAACAGCCTCTTGCGTATGCCTACCACCTCAGGGTACTCCGCAACAGAACCAGCATCTTTCAGCTGGGGGTAAAGCGTGGCACGAACCAGTTCGGCAATGGAAGGGTGCATGCGGCGCTGCGTCTCTAATGTGCAGAAGGGAAGACCGAGACCCATGCTCGTAGCCCTCGATTCGACAAGACGCTCAAACAGCGAAACATCCAGAGAATACTGCTCACCACCTCTATGGTTCTCGCGCGAAAGCTCATAGTTCTGAATCTGCGGGCGAAGTTGCAGATGGTCACCGATTAAGATGACATGCTCCACCGACGGCAACAGAGCCGTGAGGAGATGTGCCTCCAATACCTCACCGGCCTCTTCACAGATAATCACTTTTGACCGAAGTTTTCGGAGCATTTTCAAGTTGCGCGCCAGTCCGGATGTGGTGACGCCGATAATATCTGCTGTGGACAAGCAGCGAAGATCTCCTTCATCCCGGACGTTGTCGAACATGGACTTGGCTTTGTGATGCGACGAGCAGAGCCTGGTGAGTTTTCCATGCATTTTCTCAGTGACCTCCCTCACCAAAGCCTGATAGAACGCCTCTCTCTCAGGTCGGGATAGTGCAGATAGATCGAGCCCCTGAAGGTCTTCAAAATGCCTGGTTGTACCATCTCCTGGTTTCCCAGAATTAATCCAGCCCCGTAGAACAGCGGCTGGCCGGCTCTGACGAACCGCTTCCCACCCCTTCTCACTCTCACCAAAGATCTGAGCATAATAGTGTCGGTAGGATTGCCGGAGATGTAGGATAATATGTGTCGCAAGCAAGTTCTGGTTGACTCCAATGGTGGCGAACTCTTTCTCATACTCCTCCAGCTCTCGATGAAGATGATACTGAGCCTCGCGCTCCCTCCTCGTCTTCTCCGCATCTTTCGCGATCTTTCTGAGGTTGAGGGGTTGCAGTTGGTCCGATTTGGACTGGGAGCCGATTCGAATAATCTGCGAGGTCACGTCCTTGTCGATGAGAGCTTCTAGCAACTGGTCCAAAGCATGGTTGGTGTAGGTGACGCATAGCACTGGCCCAATATCCGTCTTTTCGTGGTGATTCTTTTTCCTGTTGGCCAGTAGCACTCGGATAAGTGCCACGCCTGTGAAGCTCTTCCCTGTGCCGGGAGGACCTTGGATCAGGCCAATCCGGTGTTGGAGGCTATGCACCAGCGCTGCGGCTTGAGCCTGGTCAAGGGTTGAATGGCTGTGCAAGCTCTCCAGATCAACTGGTTCGTTTGGCCGAACATGGAAATCAGCGTCATTGGTCATCAAACAGCGAAGGTTGAAGCTAAACCCGGGCCTGAGAGCATACAATGGAGGTGGGACATCCACCGGATCGTTGTCGTCGTTGGGGACAAGAATGTCGAAGAACGGCAGCTGCCCGGTCTGCTTGATGGATTGCAGGGCTCGCAGAGTTGGTTCAAAGCTAGCCAGCAGGATGCCAGGGAACTCGACGATGGAGAACTCTCTCTTATTGAGCAAGTTGTTCAATACTGTACGGACATCCCGTAGCCCCGTGTCTACCAGTGTCAGTTTGAGGGACGCTTTCTTTGGGTCCATCCACAGCGATGTCTCTTTCTTTCTGTCGTCCTTGTCAGCTTCGGTCATTCTCCTGGATGATCGGTTTTGCTCATTGACTACCGTGCAGAAGAGGATAGTCTGCCTGACATGGCCATGCATCGTCAAGCACACCAGAGCACCCGACTGCAACCGTTTGGACAGGGACCACCAATTTTCTCTATCCTTAGCGTTCATCTCGCGGACCTGTGGCAGCTGAGGAACGGCAACTCTGAACTGAAGACCCGCGAACTTATCAAAGCACACTTCTTCCATCCTTGCATGAGGATAGACATGCGTTCGCATCTGGCTCTGTCGTCTACCGGATCTCTGAGGGCCTCTGAGCTCTTGGTGGATTGCATCTCGCAATTGTCCAATCGTATCTTCCCGTACAAGACGGAAATTGCGATCCAGCAATCCTTCAAGACCACCGACATGCCACTGAGCGGGATCATTCACGGGGAGATACTCTGTGCGCGCGCTCTGAATCTCCGCCAGAGTCGGCATGATGGCGATCTTCCCAACATCAACATGGTCGTTGTCGTGGCGGCCGCCAGGGGGATCGCGTTGGATGTGGAAAGAAACGGGAGGCTTGGTTTCGCCTTTTTTCTTGTAGTTGGTAGACGCAGCAGGTAGTAGACTTCCAATTTCCAAGCGACGCAGAATATGCTCGAGGTGAACGCGTGCGTGATGCAGCGACTGCTCCAAGCCGGCTTCATTCAACTGAAGGAAACCCTCCTGGAATCTGTTCGCTTGATCCTTGAGAGATTCTAGGACAAACGCGGTAGAGTTGAAGTCCACTATCTTTGCGAAGACAAGGAGAGCAACTTCCATCCACCCTGCAACGGCCTCATCCTTGTTACTGGATGCCAGGACATCGCAGATCGAGCTTAGCAGCAGCACGGCTCTAGTACCATTGATGCCAAAGAGCACGTTGAAGATAGTCCCGACCGACTGCTCGAGGACCAGTGACGATAGCACCTGTGGGTGCGAAATCGTCTCGAGCAGGGGCAACACCTGTGACGCGAAGATGCTGCTCTTAGCACTCGCACCAGCCTGTGCAAAATTCGTCTCCACAAGTTCTCGAATAACACGCAAGCCAGCCTCTCCGGCCAGCTCATTAATGACACTTTGCATGAGGTTGGCATCGACTTCAACGAGCGTTCGTGCATCGCGGAAGAAGGTCGCCATGTTTGTATGGGCACGGCTGAGTATGGAAAACCTGCCGTTCGTGGATATCCGATCCTTCCACGCTCTGAACTGGAGCTCTGAGTCTGATAATGGCGCTCGTTTGGGTCTCGCGTCGCGAGATTGCTGGTTGGCTTTGCTATAATTTGAGTCTCGAGTGTGTTGGAACTTGCACCGTGGGAATGGGCAGGAGCCGGTCCTGGCAAAGTGTCTACAGACTCTGAAGATGGTCAGCCTGTTGGATTAAAATGATGCACTACTGAAAAGCATACCTGTTTCCTGCCATGGCTATGTGTGATGAGTCCTGGGATGAGAGGTGCCGAGTTAAAAGCAAAGTTTGGGGGGATGTGTTTGGTGGGGATAGAGTACGGTAGAGAAGGGGTAAAGCGAAGTTGATGTGAGATGATGAGGGTTAAGAAGAGAGTTATGGGAATAAAAGAGAGAAAGCGATGAGAAAATAACACAATAAAGGAGCGAGATCTCTTCCAGGAGCCCACATAGACTAAGGTCAGGCTGTAAGTGAATGTGCCTTATGCTGCGGCAGCTTCACAATCCAGCCTTGCTATTGTTTCTCGGGCCAATCCAAGACGTCTATGTCCATGCTCATGTGTTAGAATAAATCCTAGACATATCTCAGCCTGTTGATGGTATGTAGATAGCCCACGTAGACAGACTACGCCACAAAGAGCTGTGCCGCTGGAGGTGTATTCAGACATCCATAGCCATTCATTCTTTTCTAGTATTTGACCTAGCTTGTGTGGCGCTATTAAGTAATAATGTCATTACTATCTTATATCATCATCCTCATATATTTTCTCGAAACAAAGAATGCAATAGTATACGTTAACCAAGAAAGTAATATACAGTGAAGAGGGCAATCATGCCCACCAGTGGACCTTCACTTCAGCATCAAAACAACGGTCTAGGCCTCAGTATTTCGATACTGATGTTCCGCCCTCAGCAGCTCCGTCTCAATAGCAAGCCTGCGCTCCTTCTCCGCTTCGCTCGAATTGTCCTTGAAGACGTGGTCCATCTGTTCCAGCGTGCGACCTTTCGTTTCCGGGACGATGAAGAAGGTCCAGAGTAAGGCGAGAAGACAGAATACGGCGAAGAAGACATAAGCGCCATATCCGGTATTTTCGACAAGAGGAGGTGTGATAAGGCCCTGGTATTGTTAGCGGCCCGGCACGCGTGGTGATCGGGTACAACGGGACGTACAATGATGAAATTGTTGAGCCAGTTCGAGCAGGTGGATAGTGCGACGCCCTTGGCACGAAGAGAGGATGGGAAGACCTCTGTGAAATCTTAGATTGCCCAAGGAAGACCGGCGCAGAGAACTTGGACTTACCTGATGGAAGAGCCCAGGGGACGGGACCCCATGATGCTCCGAAGCTGAGCATGTAGAAGAGAAGGAAGGCTACACTCACCCAACCCTGGGTTCTATGACCAGGCCAGTCATCGGAGAAGACACCCACGAGAGCCGCAATGATGACATGAGAGATCATCATAAAGAATGCGCCCCAGAGTAACAGGACGCGACGACCCAAGCTATCCATCGTCCAGACACTGGTCATGACACCAACCAGCTGGGTCACGTTGAGGATACCTGACATTAGGAGTTGCATGTCATAATCCAGGCCCATGGTTTCGAAGAGCGTAGGGGCGTAGTAGATAAGAGCGTTGATTCCAACAAACTGAATGTTACTGTCAGTCAGAGTCATTTGTTACTTCAGCGCAGGTAACGCATACCTGCTGTAAGAACATTAGGCCCATGCCTACATGAGTCCGCCGCCAGCATCCTTTCTTGAAGCAATCTGCCCAGGAAGCCATCTCCAAAAGGAATGATTTTCTGGCCCCCCCTCCCTGGAGGATAGGGTGCTTTTCTGCGTTCATTTCCTTATGGAAGCGAACTTCAGCTTGGATATCAAGGTATTCCTGTCTGACACGCTTGTCCGACGTGGGAAGCCGACGCAGCTTTGAGAGGCTCTCCAGGGCTTCTTCGTTTCGTCCCTTGGATGCCAACCATCTGGGCGAGAACGGCAATGCAATGACACTACCCGCTAAAACGAAACCGGGGATCATCTGGAGCAGGAAGGGCAGTCTCCAAGACCATTCTCCAGCCATAAATCGGGTGCCGTATGTGATCCAGAATGCAATGACAATACCCAGGACGATGCAGAACTCTTCGAGAACGAGCAGAGTACCACGGCACTCGGGGGGGCCTTAGATCGTCAGAGAAGGCCTCCAATCTCAATCCGGAACCTGTAAACTTACTGATTTCGGAGATGTACAACGGAGCAACCATCGACAACATACCAATGCCGACTCCGCCGATGAATCGAGCCACAGTCAACATAGCATAATCCATCGCTGCCGTCTGCAAAACGGAACCAATGGTAAAGATAATGACAGCAACGACAATTGAATATCGTCGAGAGATCTTATCCGCAATCCATCCCTGATTGAGCGCACCCAACAATGCTCCCAGCTCGATCATAGCGGTCATGAGACCTTTCCAGAACCCAGCTCCGGAGGCATCTGGCGATACCTCTGGGAATCGGCCTAGAAATTGATCCATGACCAAGAGTACCGAGACCACGCCTTGGTCATAGCCGAATACAAGACCGCCCAGAGTCGAACATGCAGCACAGAGAAACACAAACGGGTTCGATACCAGGCCCTTCAGACCTGGAGGCCCGTAGGGCTCTCTGTCGTCCATGATGTTCTCGGCATGATGGCTAAATCCTTGTACCGACAGAGGCCCATCAGCTGATATCTCTTTTGCTAAGGTGGAATGCTTGTCTGCCATGCCTAGCCGGTGTCTGGAGGGAAGAGAGAAGAGAGATGGCTGATAGAGACGTGGTAGAAGGCTAAAGGTTTTGTATAGTCAACCAGAACGATGAATACGACCGAAACCGATGACATGGTTTATATAGGCAAAGGCAAGAATAGTCGTCCATTGAGATCAATTGTCTCCTCCTTGGGTCATCCTTGCCAGTGCAACTCGACCGACCAAGCTGGATGAAACCTTGGCCAGTTGCAAAGACCGACGGGAACCGTTGATTCATAGAGCATCCACCTGGTAGGACGGCAGTCGGATGCCTCCCGAGCCATGGGGGCGGGGGGAATAGTAGAAGAGCAAAGAAGGAGACCCCGGATGTTGGGGGAAAGACGTGAAGGGGAATAATCTGCAGGCAAGGATAGTAGATCTCTTGAGGACAGTCGAATCATAGGGCCGTTCGTCAAGACGGGAATTGGAAGTAAAGGAAAGATGGCCTAGGCTGGATGGGGAAACAGATGGACTTTGGGATCATTAGAGGCTGCGATGGAGACGGATGGGGGCGTTTCTGGCGTGTAGCCGGTGAGATTGTGGCTTGGAGAATCCTGGTAGTGGTATCCTTGGAAGTAGCAGTAGACAGTCTCCAGATCAACAACGATTGAATTGACTCCTAAAGCCTGTTTGTTTGATTCTATACACGAAGACCCATTCTCATTCGGCGTCGATGTCCCGTGATACCTCAAGCACGTGCGAGTCAGCACGAGACTACAAGTCACCTTCGATCATGATGTTCATCTGACTGACAACTACAGGATTGATTGATAGATAGTAATCATAGTTTCCGGGTTGGAAGATCATGATGACGACGAAGAGCAAGGAGATACCACCTTAGTCTCGGACAGTAGTGATATCCAATGGGGTAGAGTGTGCCTGACAGCCTACACCTACACCATAGGTAGTGACAATACGCATCTCTCCATGCCTGTGTGGTCGGTCGAAAGGCTCCAATGAGAGGAAGATGAAGGCAACCTAAGAGTCATTACCTATGATTCACCTTGTATTGCCATGTGAGTTGCCATTCGAACGTGCGAATAGGATGGACAATGAAGCAAGTTAGTAACTGAGCTTTCGGGCCGATGATCATGGAGATTGGATTCCTGGGTCTAAGCCCGATCGGAAAATGACTGCTGAGCAAATCAAACCCTTCTGAGTTGAGAGACATTCTATGGAGTACTGTGTAGATATCTTAGGCGAGTACCTACTACCTACACTGTAGTATGTAACTATGTATTGCAGTCATTAGTCACGGGTGACTGGGTTCAAGACAAGACATGCTGACTGGATTCCCGTGGCTGGTTGCTGGTGACAGAAGGTTGGGGTGAGGTCTCTTTGCCTGACATTCTTGCTGGCATCATTATCAGCCATTTTCAGCCCATCCTCAGGAGATCGAGAGTCACCCGCAGAGGTCATGTCGGGCTAGCTGGTGGCTGAATGAGCGCATAATAATCATAGTCGTCCGGCATGTTTCGGTTTGTATCTTGTCAGTCCAAAGATGTCAACCCGAAGAAGGATCTCTACCTAATAATCCGACTTAAAAGAGTGCTAGCGTGGTGGAGGAATAAGTGCCCCTCTTTCTGCATGTCTTTTTGCCCTCTCTCTCCCCCCTCCCGGATGTTTGTTTGTTGTCAGCTAGTATCTAGTATCTACTTTCTCTCCAGAGATCATAACTTGCAATATCATCACTTCAGAACTCAGAACATCACTATTATCTTCATCCCTATAGGGATAGACTACCAGGCACCCCGTCGTGGATTCTCTTGACAATAGCTATCTACCCCAAGCGCTGAGCGCTCCCCTTCAGGCTTCATTTTGTGTATTCCCCACTTATCTACCTTACTTATCAGTCAAACGCCGACCGTCGATCTTGGTCCACCGCTAGACAGAGAGAGCGAGAGCTGGAAGTCACCAAGTCTTCAGCTTTCTCCCTCAGCTCTGTGATATCGAATTTACCGTTCATCTACCACAAGTTGCATGTCAACTGCAAGAGTGATCCAGGTGTGTACTTATGTCCTCGCTATCCTTGCTGATAAGGACATGTTCGATAGAGCTACAAGATCGCTAACGGACATTCTCGTGGAACAGCTTCAGTTTCCAACATCCCTGCCACAGAAATTCGCGGGCGGATTTCAGTTTCCGACGCGCAACGTCATCGCTCCCTGACTCCGTCCAACTGAATCGTAAACCCACCCGTAATCACCAAACATGGGATCGTTCATGGAGGATCTCTGGTCGAGTATCTTTACTCCAGGTCCCACTCCGACCCTCCTCGTCGCGACCAACGTCACCTTCGCCGCCCTCCAAGTCCTCCTCTTTGCTCTCCTCCTGGCTACATACAGCATCCATTTCGTGGTGCTCTCAGTCCTGTCCGCGGGGTTGTGGTGGTCGATCAACTGGTTTGCGCGTGAACTGAGCCAGGTGCAGGCACAACAAGCTCAGGGGACCCACGAAGAAAAGGACCAGGTGCGAGGTAGTACAAAGCCACCGGGCGCGCTGGACAGCAGCGAGAGTGATACAGAAACCGAGACCGCGGCGAAAGAGAGCATAGTGACTCCTATCCCTGCTACAGATAATGCCCCCAGCCCTACTGCGTCCAGCCTCTCTACTTCGGCTACTTTGCAACCACCAGCGGAAACCAGAGGAGCTCGGAAACGACTCAGCGTGGGCGGTGACAGTTCAGGATACCAGAGCACTGATAGCGAGTGGGAGAAGGTGGACGACAGCAATGCGTCTTGAGTAGAGAAGCATGTCTCGCGCCGGGCACACATCACGTCCACGCTTCTGGCGACTACTACAGTTGCCAGGATGTCTGTTTTGTTGATTGACCTCCCGTGTGCCACATATGATGCGTTCGAGTTCCTTCGAGTTGATACCCCCATAGATAACAAGATCCGGTGGATAGCGTTCTTGCACTATAAATATCATATGTATACGCCATGTATACCCAGCTCACCCACATAGTCCTTTCAAGCCTATATATTTCTACCTACAACGGTTAGGTAAACCCAGCGTCTTTTAGCTTCTCACCGCCGTCGTCCTGTTACGCTCGATGATATATCACGTGACGGCGCGATTTCTTGGCAGGCACGACCAACATCAACATTGATAACGATAAAGAATCTCAAGCTAAAAGTAGATGATCATCCCTGCCATGTGCTAGCTAACATAACAGCGCATCGCCGAATCCAATTGTCACCCTCACAATGCAACCAGGCTAGCTCCAGCAATGGCCTCGACAATCCTCCTTGCGAACCGCAAGCGCATGCTTGACTCAGTCTTCCCGCCCGCGTACTTCACATCCGCGTCCAACGAGAAGGCCCCGCCAACGGGCGATAAAGCAACCTGGGATCAGGCATGGCGTGTAGCGACCACCTTTCTCAAACTACCGGAGGAGACAGTCGCCCTGGAAGATTTGGATGATGACGGACAGATGCTGCGACGATGGATATACAAAGATCCAAGCAGGGAAATCAAGGATGCGTTGGCGTATCTGCTCGCGGAGGGACCACATGGGATCATTGATTGGTATCGGCTGGAGATACGGATGCATTTTCTGCGTCACTTCCACAAGGGTCTGGCGAAAGTATGTTTTGGAGGGGCGAGGGTGCTACGTCCATTGACTGATTGTTTTATTTTAGGTTCTAGATGCGCAGGACACGGAGCAGCTGCAGGCTATTGTGCGGCTGCTGGGGTTCGCGCGTCAGATCTACTTCGCTCCCTTTGTCGAGTACATACTACCCTGGCTGCGCCCGGCGGATCAAGAGAAGGAACTTCGGGCACTTGCGTACACGTTCCAGATGGTAGTTGGCTATGCCCTGCCGTGGTCCCGGGTCTCCGAGCTACTGTTCCGGGAGCTCACCAAAGATGCTGTAATCATCCTGGGCATCGACGCGTTGAAAGAAGAGGCGAACTTCGACGACACTTTGAGCGTGGATAATATGGAAGTCGACCGCCAGTATTCCGTATCCTACCAAGATTGGAGGGAAGAGCCGGCTGCTGAGGTTCGAATGCAGATGATGGCGGAGTATGAAGATGTACGCGTCAACGCTACTCGCGAGCGACTACTTTCCTTACTTCGGAGCCTGCAACTGGTTGGTCTAGGCGGCGACAAGGCCCAGAAAGTCTTTGCCAGCGTGATGGATATGATGTTGACGGTGTTTATCGAATCGGCGTATGCCAACCAGTGGGAGGGACCATCCTTGGTGACACGGCACCTGCAACAGTGGGTTGAAAATGTTTTTGCCAGACTTGTTGTGCAGGTTTTGGCGATCATCAATCACGACGATATTGAACAGATGCCCGCAAATCATCTTGATGTTAGTCTGGGCGATGTGGAAAGATGGCAGGAAATGGGGATCTCGCGGTTGGGATCGCTCCGAACCCGAGAACTTTTTGATATCATTGTGGAGTGGCCGGCGAGCAGTGGTGCCATTGAAGATTTACGACATTTTTCCACTCACCCCGCTTCACGGTACTGTCTGACACAGGCGTTTGTGAAGGTGCTCAACCAGCGGCTTCTACATCCCGGAGCGTCAACGGTCGAGATTCTACAGGTGTACATCTCTATCATCCGCGCATTCAATCTACTTGACCCCAAGGGAGTGTTGCTGGACCGGGTTGCTCGCCCCATTCGTCGGTATCTGCGGGATCGCGATGACACGGTAAAGGTCATTGTTGAAGGGCTGTTGTCGGACCCTACCGATACCGAAGAGCGCACGCTGCCATCGGCAGGCGAAACGCTTGTCGAGCTGGCCGCCGAATTGACCAAAGCACACCAGAATTCTCTCCGAACCGAATCCGGAGAGCTAGACTGGGACGATATGAACTGGATGCCGGACCCGGTGGATGCGGCGCCAGACTACCGAAAGTCCAAGACCTCCGATGTGATTGGCAGCTTGATCAGTCTTTTCGACTCCAAAGAAACCTTTGTGCGAGAAATGCAAAACATGCTGGCGGAGCGGCTGCTGCAGAAACGCGCGGAATTCGAGCAAGAGATGTCGGTTCTGGAGCTGCTCAAGGTTCGCTTTGGGGATAGTGCTTTGCAGGCGTGCGAGGTGATGTTGCGGGACATCTTTGACTCTCGCCGAGTCGATACCGTGGTTCGGAACGACCAAGGGCTGGCTAGAAACCAGGCACAGGGCGAGGGAGCGAACGTAACGGAGCTGCATGCGAAGATCCTCTCCCACTTCTTCTGGCCTGAATTCCCGGCGCAGGAATTCCATGTGCCTCCCGAAATTGGAGCGCTCCAGGAACGTTATGCGACCGGATTCGGGTCACTCAAACAGTCTCGCAAGTTGACTTGGCTGAATGGCATGGGTCAGGTCACGGTCGAGCTGGATCTTGAGGATCGAGTGTTTGTGGACGAGGTGACGACGTGGCAGGCCACGGTGATCTACGCTTTCAATTCCGAAGGAGGAGATTCGACCACCAAGACGGTGGATGAATTGTCCGAAGCCCTAGGCATGTCAACCGCTCTGGTGCGCAGCGCCTGTCTCTTCTGGGTCAGCAAACGTATCCTCAGCGAAGTGCAGCGCAACACCTTTACCGTACTGGAGGCCCTTCCTACTGAAGACGACAAGGGTGCTCTCGGTGCAGCCGACGTATCAGGGCTGGGTGAGAGCGACCCCACGACAGCGACGGCCAACGCCGCGGCAGCGGCCGATGCAGCGGCGGCGGCGGCGGCCAAGGAGACGGCCGAAGCAGCAGCGATGGAGAAGATGAATCTGTACTGGCAATTTATTGTCGGCATGTTGACCAATCAGGGCGCGATGCCCCTGCAGCGCATTGTGATGATGCTCAAGATTGCGGTGCCGGGGGGATTCCCGTTTAGTAACGAGGAGTTACGCGAGTTTCTCGCGGGCATGGTCGCCAAGGGACAGCTGGAGATTATCAGCGGGGGGAGCTACAAGATTGTCCAGTAAAGTGTTTGAACTGTGAAGTCGCCCTACGAGTCATGATTAACGAAGAAACATATTCATATGCAACACATTAAATCTATGGTATCTATGGAATCTCTTGTTTTTTCCTTTTTTTTAAAAAAATGATTACAACAAACCAGTCCACCTACTCCGCATCCAAAGGAGCCACAGGCGGCTGATCATCGACCTGGATACCCCCTCGCTTTTTCTCATTGCTATCCCAGAAGGGCAGCTTCCAACCACCCTCGTCCTCAGGCGTCGCCAACCACAGACGCATGAGATGTCTTCTGGGCGCGGGGGGCGCATGGTCCTTGTACGCGGTGCGGGCATGCAGCACATGCGAGTTGGCGAGGAACTGGATATCGCCGACCTCGAGGATCATATGCAGCGCATTCTGGAGACAGGTGTCCTCGAGGACCTGCAGGGCCTCGAGCTGTGCGGGGGAGAGAGGGGGGATGATGCCAGCATCGGAGAAGCGGGTGAGCGAGCGGACGTAATAGGGGTCCCACCTTGACGGCCGTTAGCACACTAGCCCGAAAAGAGAGAGGGGGGGGGAAAGGCGGGGAAGGGGAACTTACTTTGTGTATACGCGGGGGTTATCTCCGCGTTCGAGATACATCACGCTGGTGCGGATATACTCGTCCTCACCCTTGCTGGTCTCGCCCTTGCGGTCGAAGTACCAGATTGGCTCGGTGAGGGTCTTGAGCACGTCCGGGCGGTCCCGGGCCAGGATGTTGTACACGTTATGCGAGGAGACGAGGTCGGATTCGCCGCCCTCGAGGGCGCGCGCGATGCATAGCAGCCCAACGATGTCGGAGTCGTCGGCGTGGAAAAATTGTCTATGTTGTCAGGGTTTTGTTCTCCATTTTCTTCAAAGGGTGGGGTAGCCTACCTAGCATTCGTGCGGTAGATGCGCACCTTGTCGATCTGCGTCGCATCTTCGCCGAGATCCTTGACGTGGCCGAGGACGTGGCCGCGGCTGTTCTGGCTGACGAAGTAGCCCAGATATGTGCCGAGTCCCATGTAGACGACGGCGGACTTGTGGTTGCCCCATTGCTGGACAGGGAGGCCCTTGAAGAGGATGAAGCCCTTGCCGTTGATGAGGTCATCGCGGAGGATGTCGAGGTGTTTGGCGAAAGTGGGGAGGGGGAAGTTTTTCTTTGCCGTCGGCTGTCAGCATGTCTCCTCTTGATTGCAACGGGAGTCAGCGAGGAGGTGGGAAGCTACCTTGGAGATACCAGTCAGGGGGATCTTATTCTGGATGAACTCATCGGCGGTGCGACTCAGCTCGTCGAGCTCGTCGGCGGTGAAGCGGTGTGTCCATTTCTCGGGGTGGTCACGGTATTCCTCTGCTGTCCAGAGGGTCGGGCCTGAGATCTGCTTGGGGAACTTGTCGAAGGGATGGATGTGGTCGTAGAGCGGGGGGTGCTGGCCGGTGGTCTTGAGGCCATCAGGGAAGACGTCGAAGGGGACGGAGGGAGCGTGTTGTGTGAGAGCCATTGTATTATAGCAAATTTGCAATTCAATCAATTCAATCAATCCTATTATCTGATCCCAGCTTTTCCTCCCCCGACATCCCCCGCGGTATATATATATATATATATACCCCTCTGGAATCCCCGGGGCCTCCTCCTTCTCTTGCATATCGACCGAGAAAGCACCACCAACACATGTTACACCCATCAATTGTCCAAAGAGTGGACATGATGGCGTGCCAGCAATCATAGCCCCCCCCCCCCCCCTAGCTCTCTCATTTGCCCACGCCTCCGAAAATAGTGGTCGTGGGCGAGCGCGGCGCGCACAAGCCGGGATGGCGCAATCGCGTGCTGGGGTTGCGAGAGCAGGAAAGCAAGCAAGCACTTGTTCAAGAGACCGTACTCCGTAGAGCTAGATGATATGAACATGAACATGAACATGCTGCAGTCTGCAGAGGTATGATCTATTTGATTACATTACCAAAACTCCAGATGGAGAGTTGGAGAGTTGGAGACTATTCCGTAGTTTCGTAAGGATGGTGTTGTTGTTGTTAGCGTCCTGTCCATAGACTATCTATCTATCTATCTATATATCTATATATCTATCATGGCATCACTGACACTAACACTGACACTGATGGCTAGGAATGGGAATGGGAATAAGAGTAGGATAAGGTCTGTAGGTCAGCCCCCGCGTTCTTCGGGGAAACAGGAAAAAGCAAACAGGAAACAGACAGGAAACAGACAGGAAACAGACAGGAAACAGGGGACGGAGGACAAAGGACGGGGTTCTGCAGGTTGTTTTGCCGGGGTTCGGGGGTTTATCGATGTTCGGCGTTTGTGTCTGGGAATTATGTCTCATGTTAATGTCCCAACTTCCAGTCATAAGGACGGAGGAGGATAGATGGGATTACTCTGTAGAGAAAACTAATGGACTGGACTGAACTGAACTGAACTGATTGGATTATAAGCAGGCAACTTCAATCTACAGTACTCTGTAGTCTGTACACTATCCAACAATACCTTATACTCCATAGATCTATCGACGAGTACTCCCCTACTCACTCCCTAACAAGCAATAACTACCAAACACCCCCTGGAAAACCGACGGTGCAGATCCCCGCACCCTGTTCGGCACGGAAATTGCTTCCAACTGCCAACTTGCACTTCCACTTCCAACTTGCATTTTGCAACTTGCAGCCCTCGTCCATCCTCCCCCCCACGTAATATCCATTCCATGACCATCCCACGCTGGCCCTACTAAGCCCCCAAGCCCCAAGCCCCAAGCCACAAAGCCACCTATCCACCGAACCTATCGAGTCCCACAGATAAGTACAGACTAGACAACGGAATACGAACTATGGAGTATCTCGAGAGTAAAAGAATCCTTCACAGAAGCGTTCTCCGTGCCGATGCCGTGAAAAACCCGGCAACTTTCGGTCGAACGTCTGACTCAATTCCAAACACTCGGCTTCCTGGCGGCGCCGGAGTCGGCCACTCACAGTCACAGCGCCTGGGATTGGACCGGTGGGCGTCGGGCCGTGAGGGTTGTACCGAGTAGATCGGTAGGGTAGGTGTTGTTGTTGTTGGATGCAGGATGCAGGCTGCAGGAATGCGCATTGTAGATTGCAGATTGTTGCAGACCACCCCTGCTGCCACTCCCAGCCACTAAATGTTGCATGATGATCGGTCGTGGGGGTTGGCGTGGTATGCATCCCTACCGTGTATCAAGTTTTCCACAATATAAAAGCGGGATAACCCCCCCCCCTCACTCTCGACAAACTGTGTCAACGTGTCAATAGTTGCAAATCCAAACCACCATGCTGCGCTTCCTCCCCCTCTTCTCCCTGGCCTCGGCCGCCCACCTCTACGCCACCCACTACAGTGGCTCCCTGTCCACCCTCACCCTCGACCGCGCTGCCAATGGCTCCTACGCGCTTTCCATCGCCGCCTCCGAGGTCACCTGCGGCGGCATGCCCAGCTGGCTCACCCTCGATGCCACCACCCGCACCCTCTACTGCTCCGACGAGACCGGCGACGCCTCCACGACGGGCTCCCTGAGCACCTACACCGTCGGCCGCGACGGCGCGCTCACGCAGACCGCCAAGGTCGTCGACGTCGGCGGCCCCGTGAATAGTATCGTGTATGAGGGCGTGCGTGGCGAGAAGTATCTGGCGATTGCGCATTAGTATGTGCCTAACCCTTAAAAAAAAAAAAAACGAGATCGCAACCACTGACTATGAAAATGAAATGACAGCACCGGCTCCGCCGTCACCACCTTCTCCCTCCCCATCCAACCCTCCAGCAAACCCCACCAGGTCCTCCGCTACACGCTCCCACACCCCGGCCCCCGCCCGGAACAGGACTCTCCGCACCCGCACCAGGTCATCCTCGACCCCACCGGCGCCTTCATCCTGATCCCCGACCTCGGTGCCGATCAGGTCCGCGTCTACGCCATCGACAAGCACACCGGCCAGCTGGACGCGTGCCCGAGCCTGGAATTCACCCCGGGCAGCGGCCCCCGGCACGGCGTCTTCTGGTCCTCCGCGGACGCAGTGCAGCGCGGCAGCCGCAGCCGCCGCCCCGGCCACGCCGCCGAAACATTCCTCTACACCGTCAGCGAGCTGAGCCGTCACTTCGACGCGTTCGCCGTCTCGTATCCCGCGGCCGGATGTCTGGCCTTCCACCGCACCCAGGACTTCATCCCGTATCCCGGCGGCGAGACGCCCCAGGGTGCGTCGCTGGCAGAGATCCGGCTCGCGGGGCATAACCTCTATGCCTCCGTGCGCAGCGACCATGCCTTCAAGCCCAACGATTCGCTGGTCACCCTAACCCGTGCGCACAACGGCACGGTTGCGCTGCGCGAGCTAACCAGTGCCTATGGCACCGTTCCCCGGACCATGGTCATCAACAAGGCCGGGACGCTGGTGGCCGTGGGTGACCAGGCGTCGGCCAACGTTGCCATCATCGCGCGGAATCCCAAGAGTGGAAAGCTGGGTGACTTGGTCGCGAGCGTGCAGGTGGGCGAGCCAGGCAAGCCCGGGACATCGACGGGACTGAGCAGTGTCATCTGGGCGGAGTAGGTTCAGACCTAGTCACGAAAGACCTGACGGAAAGAAGTTTGGGTGTACATAGAATCTCATGTATTTTTGGCCAAAAAAAAAAAAAAAAAAAACAAAACTAATGAGATGCAACTCTTACTCAAACCCATGCCGACCGAACCAACAGAAACCAAAATGTTGTGAATCAAGTCAACCAAAACCAAAATGCCAACCGTATGTAACCGTCCAGCGTCATCGAAAGAAAAGGGGACAAAAGACCAGCTTTGTATCGGTTCCTCGCTGTCAATCATCGAAGGAATGAGAATCTAAAGTGGAATCAACCGTAGTGCACACATATCCCACGTTTATCTGGAACCCCAAGGATAAAAAAAGAAATCATGATCCCGTTCAGCCATGGTCGTAATCTTGGCAAGTTGCAGCTGACAAGGCATCGACCATGAGCAACTTCGTATAACGCCATCCGGTGCCTGCATATCCCGTTCATATTTCGCGTAATTTTCAATGTTCATGATCCCCTCAAAAGCATTAATCGTAAATCCGTAAACCAACAAACACGAGGGAAGATCTCGTCAAAAAAAAAAAAAGTTGTAATCGTCCGCTTCACTGACGGACAGGGAGACGAGTGTCTCATCGAAATTCCAGTTGGAATGCCTTCCATTTGCCTGTGACGCTGTGGCATCTAGGACATCCCCGAGGATTGGGATAGCTGGTGGGGCCGCCGTACCCCGCGTTGTTCCCCGTGGGGACCGCGCTGCCAGGGCTGGAGGTCACATTCTTGAAGGACGCCGGCGGACTGCCCATGAGCATCCCCACGCACTCCCGGCACACACCGCAAATGCACTCGGTACAGGCGTAGCAGTCATTCAAGGCCGACGGCCGTTTGCAACTGGCACAGTAGATCTGGATATCTTTGTTGCGGAAGGAGGCCGGCGTGGGATTCGAGAACCGATGATGCTGGCGCTGAGATGCCGAAGGTGGAAACAAATTCAGCACTGGGCTGGAGTCGGAATTCACGGACCCGGAGAGATTCCTTCCGAACCCGAAGGTCTTGCCCGACGCTGACGACGCGGAGTCGAGAGACGACTCAATGGACGGGAATGGCTCAAGATCGCTGTCCCGGCTGCGTGTTTCAAATGGTGGCGGGGTGAGCGATTTGTGCAAAGGGGATGCAGCGTACGAGAGCGGCTGGAACGGGCGATGCGAGGCCGGTGGAGGCAAGCTCCCGGACTGGAAAGCAGGAGGGAGCGACGAGCGGTTCTGAGCCATGGAGGGCACCGACGTTATGTGGGAAATCAATGGGGGTATAGTTGGGGAACGACCAATCTACCTAAAATCAGCATGGACTTTCAAAAAACCACTTGTGAGTGCCTCCCAGAATTGACCTACCTCCGAGTGGGGTTCATCATCTGCTTCAGTCGCCGACGTTGCTGCCTCGATCAAATCCTCCCAGCGCTTACCCTGGGCCCAGGCGGCGGTCTGCGGCTCCGCCGAGAGTGCCTTGCGATCGCCCAGGCTAGGACGTCGTCCGAATTCTTTCGATCGAGTCCGGCCATGCTTCATCTTCCGAGAGATAGAAGATTTGCGAGGACGAGGAAGCTTGTCTCTCGTCTGAATGGGGGGCAATGTCGAAGAGCGACCGGGCGGAGAGTGATTGAGAATCGAGGGAAGCAGTTCTCGCGGACGGGGCGACGAGAAGGGGGGCAAGGTGTCCTGCTTGAAATGGTCTCGCAGAGAGGGCAATTCAATTGACGATCGCATGCGGTCCCGACCGATATCATTGTCCGAATGAATATCCTAGTGATTGATCCTGGTTAGTTCGGTGTTCGCTGTCTTTTTTTTTTTCTCTCTCTTTTGTTGAAACCAGAGCAACCTACCATGTCGGTATCCCAATCCGATGCTAGACGATGATGATGCAATTGCGCCAGCGCAACCGCAGCGGTGGCAGCAGCGGGATGAGGTTCATCGATCCCCCGGGGAGTTGCAGGCGAGCTGGCATCCGCAACGTAGATGTCTCGATCTGCATTGGCTGGAAGCGTCAGATGCTTGTGGTGCCAGTCGACTCCAGCGGATCGAACATGGTCGCGGTACCCACCATTCTGTCTGCGAGAGGGAGCTTGAATCGGGGGAGAAAGATGAGCACGTTGATCGGGGGGCGTTGTGACCATCAGGATGAAGCTCTCTTCGGTGGCCGGGAGCTTCGGGATGTAGTGATTGGGATGAGCTCGTCGAATGTGCTCCTGCATGGAGCGATATCGTTTTTCCTGTGGCGATGAAATTGATCAGAATCGGGTGCTTTAATCATTTTCAATATTTTTTCGTTTTTCAACTTCTTCCAACCGTGAATCGCTGATCGATGTGCGAGGACACAGGCAGAGAGAGAGAGAGAGAGAGAGAGAGAGAGAGAGAGCATCACTACTTGAGTGGGGCTCCACACTGATAGCTTGACGGGCGGCGGGGGGGGGGGGGAGGAGAGAGGGGGGGGTAATAGAGGAGCCAAAAAGGACGATAAGAAAAGACTCACACCCAGACATCTCTTTCGACAATTGGAGCCATCGTTGTTCTTCAATGGACAGACGACCTCATTATTGGCGTCGGTGACAGAAAAAGAGCTGGTGAGAGACGCTCGGGGCGGCATTGTCTGCATGAATCCGTGATGGCGGCGGGGTTGGAGGAAGATGCAAAGCAATCCAGCAAGCCAGTCGACGTCCAGCAATGATATGGAAGTATGCAAGTGACAGCAGATAAAAATAAATAGAATAGAATGAAAAAAAAAAAGAAGAAGCAGATGAGGTCCAAGCTAATAGAGTCGGACGTCGTAATACATGCTCCGATCAGAAGAGATATTCAAGTAGAGGAACCCATGCGATGGATTGAGGAGGAATTGAGCTGGGAGGGAAGACGAGGAGAGAGAGAGAAAAGGAGAACAGGAAAATTGAAGAGGGGGGAAGGAAAGAAAAAGTGTAAATGAGAAGAAGCAATAAGAGGTAAAAAAAAAAAAGAAAAATTGGCTGATGAACCCGTTGGACTAGCTTGTTGGCCAGGTAGCTAGTGTAGGAGTTAGAGTATAGCTAGGTCCTGTCCTGGAGGAGCAACCAGAGCATGAAGTATTGTATCTACTGTTTGGAAATAGGTAAATGATAGAGATATGATAGTGATATAGACAGCTCTGATTGAGGTGGATGTGGGAGATAGATAAGTGCGATAAAAGAAAAAAAGGATTAAAAAAAAAAAGAAGGGAAAAAGGCAAGGGGGGGAGGAGGAGGAGGGATGGAAGAGAAGGATTGTAAGGAAGAGTCAGCAGGAAGCTGGTCAGCCTAATAATAATAATAATAATAATAATACTACTACTAATGAGGAGGTAAGTAAAAAAGCTCCCTTGAACTACGGATGTTAAGAGGAGAGTGAGAAAGAGAGAGCAGGGCTACTTAGAGAGAGGGAGAGAGAGTTACTGTAGTAGAGAGAAGAGACAGAGAAGAGAGAAAGCGTACTGTGAGTACTGGTAGGGTATGGTCAGGTAATGGTAATTACCCGATACAGTACAATACCCTCACACAATTGACAATAAGAGACTGAAGATTGGGTGAAAAGAGGGGAACGAAGGAAAGCCGGTCGAAAGAGTGGATGGTCGGGAAGACACCGTGGAGGCTTCAAGCTTAAAGTCGACTAAAACTAGCAGCTCTCAGACTCCTACTGACACAGTCTGAGATAGATACTACGGAGTCAATACTACGAAAAGGAGAAAGGGTAGCTGAGCAGAGAAGAGATGGATTGACGATGACGATGATGATGATGATGATGATGCTGATAGTCGATAACGATAACCGTTCTACTTAAGTTTACGGAGGACAAAAAAAAAAAAAAAAAAAGAAAAAACCCCAAGAATCCGGTGGCACCACAAATTGTTCCATGGAAACTTTCCAACCGATTACCCAGTATGTAGCTAGTAGTAGCTACATTTATAGAGTCTACCTATCTCCAAGACCTCGGAGCTACCGTTGCAGCAAGAATGACAACAGGACTTGGGGGCCATCTCAACTACTAGCTACAGAGTAGATCGATACTACTACGAAAGGACTAGTGCTTTTATCCAAAAGGCAGAAATGAATTCAACTAGCGCAAATTGTATTCAAATGTCACACAGACCTCCAGCCAATGGCAATACTCCAGTCTTCGAAGGTCAAGGAAAGTTTTACTCCGTAATGCCGAGACAAGAAAAAAAGTTAATTGTATTTCGCCTATCGATGAACCAGAACGTGGGACAGCGCGATATCCGCTTCGACATGGTAGGATTGGTAGAATCTAATGCCAGATTCCAAGTGAGAAACCAGAGAAAAGAGGGTATTCTGATTCTTCAGTTGGATGACTTGACTGTATACCGAGCTGACGAGAGATTGGCGATAAAGTAGAATGTATCCCTTACATTCTCAGCCTCTTCCATAGGTACCTAGGTACGGAGGAATTGAGGTCGGAACTCGGCTGAGATGGAAACCCTGGTCATTACCAGTACCAGTACCATTACCCAGCACTTTGGGAAACCCGGTGGAACCCCCTCCGCCCCTCATGAGATTCGAGAAGATTGAATAATTGGGAATGGAAGAGAGCTAATGCAGCCTGACCTGAAGAGCTGATGTGATGAAGTTGATTGATTGATTTTGATCCCAGAGAGCAGACATGTCGAATAGGAAATGAGGACAGAGCAGTTACTCTCACGGTCTCACCTCTCTCCCCCTCCAAGCTCTCCCCAGCTCTCAATTACTAGTGGTAGTCACTAGTGTCTACTCGTACTAGACTCGATTCAACTGCTCGTCTCGGCGCCACTCCATTCTTTATTCCGTTCCGAAGTGGGGCCGGTCTTTTGGAAACTGACACAGTCGGCCAAATTTGCAGTGGCAACTGGTAATGGCATTGGGAATGACACGGGCAATGGCAACTGGCAACTGGTTGGATCCTCTATTATTACATTTACAGATGATTCTCCCAGCGATAGGGAAGGTACTCACGATGAAATTATCTAGAGTGACTGTATACTTCCATTCCATCCGGAGTACATCAATCTCAAGTGTAATGTAATGGGCAAGGAGGGGTTTGGTTGCCCCCCAGTGTTTGCCTTTTAAGCGAGACGGGTGCCGTGTATTCCCGCGGCCTTGACACCTGATCATGCGCGGATTCTTCACTGAAAGTCCTCTGCAGCCAAAAAGTGAACTACAAGCGAGTTATCTATCTATCAACTAAATCTAGAAGAATGCCAGATTGAACCATGTGTAGTGGGATTGTGTATGCAATAAAGTGGAGGACTCGAGGTACCTACTCGGCTATTACACTACTACACTACCTAGCTCCTAGTCCTAGCTCCTAGTACCTAGTACCTAGTACCTATGACCTTGAGGATACAAGTGGAGCAGGTTCTCAACTCTCTGGTTTGGATCTCTCTGGTCGCTAACAACGAGTCATGACCAAAACAGGTCCTGTCAAGGTCAACCTCTCTTCCATCAAGTCATGTCACACCGTGTGACTTCTCTTGACTTCCCTCACCTGAACTCCCAAGGAGGAAACTAGCTGCATTTCCTCTTCGGATGCCATGCAGCTTGGAGATCGAATGATTGGATCTCGCTTTCCCCAGGGAGATTACGATTTCAATGAGGTGTTGACTCGGAGATACTAATGATGCTACCGCACTAAACACTCTACACTCAACTCGGTTTGTTGCATCCAAGAGCATCTTGATTGGAGTCAGCCAGTCATGCTTACTTCATCCTGCTCTGTGGTATGATAGCTTGGAAGTAGTGTACACAGCTCACATAAGCAGTCCAGACTGCTTATATAAGCTATATCCTGTACATGTGACTGCCAAGACTATTAATAAGTATTTATAGCTTGTGTGACCTATATAATAAATTATTATTCTATCTAAAATTCTAGTATAGTAAATATTTTAAATACTTATTTAAGTACTTAGTAACTACTTTATAATTAATTTATTAATTATAGAGGCAGCTAAGACTTAACCCTATAAATATAGTATTAGTTTAATTAAGCTCTATACTAAATAATAGTCTATTTAACTAGCTAGAAGATATAATATAAAGTAATAAAGTATAGTTAATATAAGTATTTTTTAAGTAGTTACTAACTAATTACTAACTACTTAAGATTAATATTTATTAATTTCTCTTACTAATATAAAAACCTCTGCTCTTATAATATTAAAGACTAAGTATATTAATAATCTCTCTAAGTATTCTACTAGCTATATTCTTAGTTATATATATATTATTCTAGTTATATAATATATATAGAATAAAGTAGAGTAAATAATATAGAAGATATAAAAAAACTAACTTATATAGTATTTTTTAACTACTTATAAACTATTTATAAACTACTTAGATTTAATATACTTAGAAGCAGACCTTTAGCTAGAGAAAATATAGTATTTATTTATTTTTTCTATTATATTTAATAAAAAAATAGATATAGAAGTACTTAGGTATTCTAGCTTATAAATATCTTAGTCTATTTTTTCTTTCTTATTATTATACCTTAGTAGATGAGAGTATTTAGAAAAGAATTTAAGAATCTTAGGGATTAATCTAGATTCTTAAGTCTAATATTTAAAAATAGAATATCTATAGATAAGTAGTTTATAAGTACTTCTTAATTACTTACTAATTATTTAATAGTTATTATTACTCTAAACTTAGCTTATTTAAGAGGGGATTAGATTATATATTATAGCTCTTATTATATAAGCTAATATTTAAAAGATATTAATAACTAGTATAGTTTAAGTACTTCCTAAGTATTTACTAAGTACTTATTAACTACTTTAGAATATTTTTAGAAATTATATACCTTATATTAGGTGTGTGAATAAAATAGCTAATATTATAATAAAATATTATTATAGAGTAATTTAAGAATATACTTCTATTAATTTTAATTTCTTAGAGAAGCTTTTTAATAAGGATATTATATCTTAGTCTAAAGAATATAATATCTTTAAGCTACTAGCATCCTAGTAAAAGTTCTATAATAAATACTTATTAAGTATTTAGTAACTTCTATAGGAGTACTTTCTAACTAGTTTAAATTATAATTCTCTATAAGGCTCTAGACACCTAAAGTATACTCCTTATAATATTATTTTTAATACTTTAGTCCCTATAAATATTTCCTAATATCTATATATCCTATTTATCTTATATAGTATTTATTAGCATCCTCCACCCCTATCTACTAAGCCTCCTAAATATATTCTATAGGTAGTAAAGCAGATTATCTAGGAGATCTAGAACCTTAGTTTAATAACTAGTAAGTAGTTTCTAAGTACTTATATAGTACTTACTAAGTACTTAATAGCTTAATTTCTTTAAAATCCTTAGCTTAAAGCCTTCTATAAGAAGTATAATACTTCTATATTAATAGATATTTATAAGAGTTTCTATAATAAAGATTAAATTACTATAGTTATTTAGAAGTAATAGCTTTTTTTATATCTAAATAGATAGAATATAAATAGTCTAATATTTCTCTAAGAGATTAATCTATATATAAAGATAAGTACTTTATAAGTAGTCTTAAAATAATTTCTAAGTACTTATAGCTCTTAGATATATATCTAGAGGATATTCTATAATTTATAAGGAACTATAATTCTTTATATATATAAAGAGTAGATTTAACTACTTATAATACTATCTTCTTTTAAAGTAGATATATCTTTTAAATATATCTACTTAAAAAAAATAAATAAGATCCTTTTTATAATATTTCTACCTAATTAATTAAAAAATAAGTACTTCCTAAGTAGTTAGAGAGTACTTACTAAGTACTTCTCTTAGTTATTATCTTATTTTATATCTTTATAAGCTTTAATTCTATTAAAGAATATTATCTACTATTTAAAAGGGTTTTCTCCTTAGTAGAAAGTATTCTAGGATAGTTAATATCCTTTAATTATCTCTATAGTACTAGAATATATAGGATTATAATAGATATAGACTTAAAATAATATACTAATAAGTAATTAAATACTATTTATAAATTACTTACTAAGTATTTAGGCCTTAGGTAATATCTCTCTAAGATTAATCCTCTATATTAGGATATAATATAGTAGTTAAAGTATATTTTACTATTCTATTATATTTATTTCTAATATTTAATCTTAAAGACTATTAGTATAAGAAGCTAGGGGAGCCCTCTTTAGAGCTATATAATAAGTTTTCTAGATTATCTATCTAAAGAGGACTATAATAAACTACTAAAACTTTTAATTAGTTATAAATTATTTATTAACTACTTAGGAAATACCTACTAACTACTTTTAGAATATAAAAGTCTAAATATTTAAAATTAGGCATAATAGAAGAAGAGCTAAGTAATTAAAGTAGGCTTAAATAAAATATACTCTTAAATTTAGTCTTATTATTTTAATTTATTATAAAATTATACTAATACTATTAAGTAATTATATTAGAAGTTATATACTTTAGGGAAATATCTTATATTAGTAGAAGTAGTTAAGAAGTAAGTACTTTCTAAATACTTAGGAACTACTTATTAAGTACTAAACTTTAATCTAGTTTAGTAAAGCTTAATTAGGAAGATATCTTATAATATAAGAACTTTTCTAAGTTAAATATTCACTACTTATATTAAATATTAAATATAGAGGTAAATTACCTCTATTATATAAGTTAAGAAAGTATATTAATATTTACTAAGTACTTACTAAGTAGTTTTAAAGTAATTACTAACTACTTTTTTAGAGAGCTAGAAATACTACTAGTTAGACTCCTTAGATATTACTAAAATATAAAGTATATTAGAATTAAGAAGAGGTAATACTTAGGTTAATTCTTAATAATCTCTATTCTAGATAAGAGGATTAAGATAAGTACTTCCTAATTATTTAAGAAGTATTTATTAGCTACTTATTAAGTATTTAGCCCTAGTTATTTCCTTTACTATATTACCTTAATAAATATAATAAATCTAGAGTAGAGATAACAGGAGCTTAAATTAAAGAAGCTTAAAATTAAAATAAAGAAATAGAAAAAAGAAATTTACTTATAGTAGCTTAAGAATAAAAGATTAGAACTAGATCTTATAGAGTAATAAATATAAATTAGAGAGACTTCTTAATATAAATTAAGTAGTTTCTAAGTACTTCTAAAGTAGTTTAAAAGTAATTAAAGTTAAATATTTCTTTATAATAATAATATCATATTTAATTTAGCACTCCTAGTAATTAGGTTAAGTACTTAGTAAGTAGTTATTAAGTACTTAGAAATATTAAGCTATAGTATACTAGATATAGTAATTAGATTAAGTACTTAATAAGTAGTTATTAAGTACTTAGGAATATTAAGCTATAGTATACTAGATATAGTGATTAGGTTAAGTACTTAATAAGTAGTTATTAAGTACTTATTAAGTACTTAAGTATATTAAGTTATAGTATATCTTAGATATATTAAGATTATATATCTTAGTTATTAATTTAGTACTAATATATTAAACTTATAATATATTCTTTCTAAGTACTTTCTAAGTAATTATAAGATATTTTAAAGCTATATTTTATAGTAAATTTACCTCTCTTATATCTTATAATTATTATTTATTATCCTAATATAAGAACTAGCTAAGTAGTTACTAAGTATTTTAAAACTAATTATTATTTAGTCTTAATCTTAATTATATTCTTTATTTTCTTAGTATTCTTAACTTCTTTAATCTCTTTAGATCTTTTATTATATCTTAGCTAATATTCTTCTTCCTTCTTAGTTTTAATACTAAGACTAGAAAGAATAGATAATATACTATCTTTATTACTTTTTTTACTTAATTCCTTCTTTATCTTCTTTTTAGTCTTCTTTATATCTTTATTATTATATAGAATACATGGTCTCTAAGCTTATGATAAAGTAGGTATAAAAATAAAATAAATAAGAGTAAATATTAAATCTCTATAATTAAAAAAAAGAAAATAAGTATATTAATTAATATTCTTATAGTAGTTCTTATACTTCTTATAGGGGCTGTAGGGAACTTTCTATCTAAGATTTATTATCTATTATCTTATATATATAATATAGATCTAAGTAGTTAATAACTACTTAGAAAATAGTTTATAAGTAGTTAGGAAGTACTTATAAAGCTATCTTTTTTATAGGGGAGGGAGGGCTTTAAAGACTATTATAGAGTTATATTTAGTTTTATAATAATAATAATAAAGATAGCTAAAGTTATATCTATATTACTAAATAATCTATTATACTATTCTAAGTAGTTTATAAGTAGTTAATAAGTACTTATAAATTAATTTAATTATATAATATATTTATTACCTAATTAATATCTATCTACTTAGCCTAGCTACTAGTATTTCCTTCTTTAAGTTAGGTCTTTATTAATTTATATAGATATAGATAAGATTAGAGATTATTTATTAAAGTATATTTTTACTAAGTAGTTATTAAGTAGTTTATAAGTAGTTATTAAATAATTATTAAATAATTAATAACTATTTATTTATCTCTTAGAGTAATTAGAAATATAGTAAAAAACCTCCCTATAATAGATAATAATCTTTCTCTTATTATTTTATAAATAATTAAAAATTAGTTTCTAAGTACTTAAAAGTAATAATATAAATTCTTACTATCTTATATTCTAATAATTATAATATACTCTTTACTACTATCTCTAAGTACTACTTATATCTTAGCTATTATTATCCTATTAGCTATCTATATCTTAAGTAATAATAAGATAGTTTTTAAGTAATAAATAATTATCTTTTTAGTAATTTAAGCTATAGTTATATTAATAGTAGTATAGTGTAAGGTTTAGAAAGAGGTAATATAAGATAAAATTTTTTCTGAGGTTATATAAGCATTATATAACTTATTCTTATAATTTATAGATTTACTGCTCACCAGAGTAAAATTACAAGCTCATCCAACCTGTAACCACCTTGGAAGTACTCCATCCTATCAATCATCCGACCAACTCTGTAGAAGAGAAGAGAAAAAAAAAAAAAAGAAAAGAAAAGAAAAGAAAAGAAAAGAAAAGAAAACCAGCACAACAACAGCGAATATAACTATTTCTTCATGCTTCATCAGTATCCTGCACTCTCTCATCCAAAACTGACTTCGACTCTCCCAGGATTATGGAGGATATCCGATCCCCCGTGGGGTGGTGGGTCTCTGGATTATCCGATATGGGGTTTGACGATATGCCCTGTTCGATATCCGATTCACCACCATTGACACAATGCAGACTCTAGACTCTATCCCCTAGTGGCCAGCATATGGCGGCTTGATTCATACCATTGAAAAGGTGCCTTGGTCCCCTTCTCCTCCCCGAAAATCAATCTCCACGACACTTGCTGTAAGGGACAAATGACAACGCAAAAGAACTTCCACGTCGCCGTCATCGGCGGCGGCATCGCCGGCATGACTCTGGCCATCGCCCTCCACCGCCGTCAGATCCCAGTTACCATCTACGAGCAAGCCCCCGCGTTCGGCGAGGTAGGCGCAGGCGTCTCCTTCGGCCCCAACGCCGTCGAGGCGATGAAGGTGTGCCACCGCGGCATCCACGAGGCCTTCGAGCGGGTCTGCACGCGCAACCTGTGGCCCTCCAAGCAGAAGGTGTGGTTCGACTACCTGGATGGCTTTCACCGCGGCACCTCGACCAGCGCCCAGAACTCGAGCCGCCAGGACATCGCCTTCACTATCTCCAATAGCCTGGGCCAGACGGGTGTCCACCGGGCACATTTCCTAGACGAGCTGATCCAACTGGTGCCGAGCGAGATCGCGCGGTTCAACAAGCGCCTGGAGAACGTCACGGAGCGCGCCGACGGCAAGCTTGTGATGCACTTCGCCGATGGATCGGAGGATCTGACCGATGTGGTTGTCGGCTGCGACGGCATCAAGTCACAGGTCCGCCGGCTCATCGTCGGCGACGACCACCCCTCGGTGCATCCATCATACACGCACAAGTATGCCTATCGCGGCCTGGTGCCCATGGAACAGGCCATCGAGGCCGTGGGGGAGGAACTGGCGTCGAATTCCTGCATGCATGTGCGTCGCTCCGCCTTTTCCTTTCTTTCATCGACCATACTGACATACACATACATAGATGGGCCCCGGCGGCCACATGTTGACCTTCCCCGTCAACCAAGGCAAAACCCTCAACATCGTCGCCTTCCACACCTCCCCCGATGAATGGACCGACTACCCGCGCCTCACCCGCCAAGGGACTCGTGACGAAGCACTCCGCGACTTTGCCGGCTACGGGCCCAACGTCACCAAGCTGCTGAAACTGACCGATGAGAAACTCAGCGTGGTACGTCCACCCACCTTTCCATCTTTCCCCCTCCCCACAGTATGATACTAACATCCCTCAGTGGGCCATCTTCGACCTCGGCGACCACCCGGTCCCCACCTTCCACAAAGGCCGTATCTGCATCACCGGCGACGCCGCGCACGCGACCTCCCCGCACCACGGCGCCGGCGCCGGCTTCTGCATCGAGGACACGGCGGTGCTGGCGACGCTGCTAGCGGACGAGCGGGTGCAGACGGGCGCCGACCTCGCGGCCGTCCTGGCAGCATATGATCACAGCCGCCGCGAGCGGGCGCAGTGGTTGGTGCAGAGCAGCCGGTTCGCGGGGAACTGCTACGAGTGGCTCGCGGAGGGCGTGGGGGCGGATTTCGCGAAGATCGAGCAGGCGATTACTCACCGGAATGGGATCATTGCCCATGTCGATGTGCCGGCGATGTGTGCGCAGGCGAGGGAGGGTCTGAGGAGGCGGTTGGGGCGGGTGAGGAGGGGGGTTTTGTAGTGGGTTGGGTTTCGTTTGTGGACGCCATTGTAGCTTGGTCGATGTTCAGCTGCATATGCATATATCATTGTTCGATCCATTCTACCTCTCCTTATTTCTCTGAACCAAAGACTCATCCTCCCGATCATTTCTCTCCTCTGTCTGGTCGCTGAATCTGATGTGTATCCAGGTGGACTCCGCCAATGGAAAGAAAGAGACTATGCGGGTTGATTGTCTTACATCGAATACCCTAAAGCTACATGAACACCCGCATGTCTCTACTATCCGATACAGACATGCATGATTCCCACCCAGCACAGACGAACGGAACCTGCCTACCCTTACCCAATACGATTGCAGTGTAGCCACTACAGATCCGGACCTACGTAGTACAGAGAATGAAGGAACCGGACTATTTCCCCACATCAAGGATCCAGAACAGCGAGCTTTTTTTCGATCACGGATTCCAACCACACATACACACACCGGCCTAGTTTCGTAACCTCTTCCGGCCGGATTCTCGCAAGCGTTGACATATCGCCCTCTACCCAACCCCATGCAATGCAGCCAGTGACTGTAGTCTGTAGGTACCCCCACTCCGCTTACGGGGACATGAACTGCAAAAAGGAAACGAATCGACAACTCCCGCCGCCTCCGGGGTCTGGAACGAGAACAGCCGACTCTTTGACGAGCCACGAGCCACATTGTCATCAAAGTACGTCTGCCTTGTTTGTCGCCCATGCATGACAGAGCAGGAGCTTAAACGAGTATGTTCTACTAAGTCGTGGCTGTAGTTAGGGCCAACTGAGAGCAACGCTACCCCACCGGGACGATCGTATGTTTGGCTCAAAACCTTCTGTCGTGAGTCTAGTGAGTGAGTATCGTCGCAAGGATGGCCGAGGACCTCGCCCTTGCTAGCGTATTTGTTGGGCCAGGGAGAACCATCACATGGGGCTTAGTACTTGTTATATAAGATTGCTACGCGTCGGAGGGATGCCACTTGTTTGAGTGTAGGAAGTCGTCGTGGAAGACAAGACACCATGGGTGATGAAATCACTGGGAAACTCATCAGCGAGGACTTGAACCGCGTCTCGATCAGATGGGGCTAAAGGCATATCGACTGATATACGTAGTACTGCGTAGGAGACGTTTGGTGATGGTGATTATTCCATGCTCTGCTCTGCTCTGTGCTCAGAGCTTGTTGCAGTCTTTTGGGGGCTCCGGGACAAGGGGAAGAAGAAGTGGAGCAAGAGGAAAGGAAAGTCCTTCTAGCATTCCAAGAATCATACTCTGGCAAGCTACAGATGGACTGTCATATCTCTTGCTCAGAAAGCCTAAGTATACATACTGTGCCAGCTCTCACCAACCGATCCTTCTGCATCCTAGAAAATGCCGGGCTGACCGCCATGAGACATTCGATTAAGTCTCTTCATATTCGTAGCATATGTCTTCGGACGCTTTCCCAGGCGAAGATCTCACCAGTACTTATCTTCTCCGCTAATACCGGGGATGCTGCCACTCGGGTAACCGAGGAGCCATACAAATGAGGACGCAGAACAGGAGTGACGCCTAAGATTGCCCCTAGCAGACTTCGAAGTACTCCCCCATTCTGGTGAGGCGAGGGCCGAAATATGCTGCACAATCTGATGGTAATTCGCGCCCAGATAAGGCGCAATAAGGCTCGGCGACAGCAGGCCTGTTGGATGCATCTGTAAGGTGAGAGCGCCGTACATGATGGAGCGGCACTCTAAACCACACCCTAGCTTGCCACTGAACAGGTCCGCTTGAGCCTGGCGGAGTCGCTTGATAATGGTATCAATCCACGACTCTCTGGTGGAATACATCGTTTCTAGAGAGGTATTAGCGAAGGTTTATATGGAACAACAGCTCATTCGCCATACCAATGAGTGTTGCAGGAATCGGAAGCCCAAGATGGTCGATGCAACCATTACTTTGCGACATCACAGTCGAGGTAACTTCCTCGAATTGTTCAGGAAGCCTGAAAAACCACGAGATCCATAGCCAGAGGATCGAATCTCGGCAGAGTGTTGCAGGCGGTTTCTCCAACGCCTGAACCCAGATATTGGAGAAGAACCCCAGGACCTCCCGGCACTCGTAGTAGTCGGCCAGAATTGCTAGTTTGGCAATCATCTCAAGAGTGAGCTGCTTTGGTAATTGATCATTCTGGCAATGCATCGCGCGAAGCAGGATCAAGAGCGCTTCGCTATCCCAGCTCTCCGCGGTGATCTCAACAGTTCCTTTTTGGAGATACGTCGCGCTCTCTTTCCAGCCACCCGTGAGTATCTTCTTGAACACTGGTGAAGCGAGGGTTAAATGTTTCATGGAGACCTGGAAGCGGTGGCTATTTTCTGTGTCATTGTCGCAGTTGGGCTGTTGCGCTGGACCAGGGTCATTTGGTTCTGTAGCTACTCTAGTATGAGTTCCAGTAAGATTCGAGTCCAATGGATGATCGAGTGATTCAGCAACCGGTTCGGCTACTACTTCAGGTTCAGGTTCAGGTTCAGGTTCTGGCTCTGGCTCTGGCTCTGGCTCTGGCTCTGGCTCTGGCTCTAGCTCTGGCTCTGGTTTAAATTCCACAAGATCCGAAGCTACATCAGACGCATCAGAGCAAGCACAAGATCCAATTCAAAATCTTCTTCGACGGGCGGTCCCCATAGGGGTTTTCCCCATCGATCCTGACAGTCTCGTCTCCTTCAGAGGCTGGGAACACATACCCGCATTCAAATCATCACTCCACTCCGCAAAGGGGGCATTCGCATTGCGCAGGATAATGACCACTTCGCCATCCGGGTCAATAATATGCATATTCTGTCCGATGGCGCGTCCACTGGCCGATTCACCGGTCTCTTCCATTCGCAGGGAGGCAGGAAATGATGTCGACAGTGATCGATCGATGATGGAGAGGTTTGGAGTTGTAAATGCAAGTCTATGCTTTATCTACCTTGAAATGTCTGTCAGGTTGGCAGTGTGTTAGTGTGGCGGTTGCTGGTTGGGCTCTCGTGACAACGGAGAGATCTTTTTATAGAACTCTCAGAGTTAAAAGAGATGCTTCTGGCATTTGGATCCAACAGTGGACGAAAGAAATAGAGGCCTTCTGATTGATGCACATTGTCTTGAGGGGGGGGAAGAAAGCGCTTGGATGTGCGGTAAAACAGGAAGATCAGAGCGAATGAGATGAGCTACTTACTAGATTGATTCTTACCCCTGCAGAACGAAGGCGCGTATATCTAGACAGTATCACAAGTTGTCTCTGGAGATGCAATAAGCCTTGTGAGAGCTGGGTATGGTTATCAATATATAGGAAAGGGAAGCTCACTTTCATCATAATAATGATATACTGTTGCTCATCTACAGAATGTCTAGTAAGACCAGAAAATAAATCAGAATCATCCATCTCCAGCTTAACCCTAACCACCAGACAATGGCCTGCTAGACTGTTATCACCAGTTACAAGCACAGATGCAACACTAAGAATGTCTGGAATAGTTCTTCATTCTTCATGGGCTGAATATTTGCATCCTTGGCTTAAATCATCACCTCCCAAGTATATGATACCTCCATCCCATCTTCTCCCTCCAACTATCCCTAACTACAACACCTCCATACCTCCATATCTACAATCAAAAATGTCCAAAATCTCCATCGCCGGCGGAGACCTCGGAGAGATGGGAACAACCCTGGATGCAGAAGCGGATATCCAGATTGACATGGATATAAGACCATAAATCCAAGAGCAAGAGCGGGGGGATCATAGCTCTGCGTCCACAGAGATAGTTCAACGCTTCCAGGGGCAAAACGACAAACATGCAGCGCCAGTTCTCTATCTTCTTGGAGACGAGCCGTCGACGCCCAGCTGGAAACTCGAGGATCTGCAGCGCGCGGTGGGCTTGAGTCTTCCCACGTTGCGCAGCCCTGAGGGATCTCTCCCCTTTCCCGTGCCTGGCTTCTTTTTCAGTACACGGCTGAGTGGTACTGCCACACCTGCCGTTCAGCGGCTCGGCGCGCGCCTTGCGCGTCGTCCAGAAGACCATTTACACGCTGCTGCCGGACGCGATCGATCGGGCGACTCGGAGGGCTGTCCACTGCAGAAGATGCTGTGGGTGGAAATGGACGATTCCGTGATGATCGGATGGAAAGGCTTGACGTTACTGTGACGATGTACTATGTACTCTGCTGATGAGTCAGCTGCGCATGGCATAATTCTTATGCATTGGCTCTCCAAAAGGTGAACGAGAGTCAAACTCTGCTAAAACTACGATCAATAATAATAGATAGAAATGCCACCCAGACGCCGCGCTCAACACGGGTGGAAAGAGACCCCGTCCCATAATCAACCAAATCCAGTCGGATCAAATAATACCAACATCGCTTGCGCCAAAACCAACCTGACCAGACAAAAGAAAAAAAATCCTGCCAGATACCCAGTGGCTTTTGGAACCCATGACCCCCCCTTCTCCCAAAAGACAGACTGACGGGCGTCATCTCGCCCGCTCCCAAAACACATGATCGTAGAGTACATAAGACATGCCGGATAATAATACACAAAGAAAGATAAAAAAAGGAAAGGAAAGGAAGGCATCAGCGGGAGAATTCGCCCCACACGGTGCTTAACCATCCGGCCGGAATGCCAACCTCGGACGGCATCATGCTGGACAATTGGTCACAGTCGGATCCGTCCAGGAACGCCAGCACATCATCCCCACCGAGACTGGTCGACCACAGACCATTGGACGCGATGCTCTCATAGCCATCCACCGTCACGGGAGGAGAGGCCGCCGGATGGTTGACGGATCCCGGTGGAGGCAGCAGCGGAAGTCCGTGCGGAGCGGCCGCTTGGTTGATCGGGGGAAGAGATTGGGAATACGGCCCTTGTTGCCGCGAGGTAAGCCACGAGTTCAATGGCTGGAGACGGTTGGTCGGAGGGGGCACGCCTCCATACTGAGGGGAGGGACCGCCCGTCGAGGTCGGCGACGGGCCACCGTAGGTGCCAGACGGGGTGATTGATGGAAGGTTCGGAGAGGAAGTACCGTAGAGAGGACCGTCGGGATGGTGCTGCAAGGACGGGAGGGAATAGGGCGACTGCGGCTGCAGGGCCCGACTAGGAGGCAGTGGCAGGCTGGGTCGGCGCTCGGCATCGGGACCGGGATTGGGCAGCGGGAGCCCAGGGCTGTTGATCGGAACCCAGGATTCGCGACGTCCGCCCGCCCCATCCAGGGGAGGCTCACCCGTCTCACCGGGCTCACTGCGCACGGCATTGCTGCCGGCATCGCTGAGGTTCGTCGCCCGCTCCACACCGTCCTCCTCGGCACTGCCCTCGGGCAATCGGTCCTCCATGCTCCCAAAGTCGAGGAAGAGCTTCTCGAGCAGTTTGAACTCCTCCAGCCCGGCCCCGACGCCACCGTCTCGCACCAGCCGGATCCCGTTGGCATACGGATCGAGACCGTCCAGGCTCAGGTCCATCTTGCGGGACTGACGCCGGAAATCGCGCTTGACCTTGGAGAAGTAGCCGTGAAGTCGGTTCAGGGTGCGGAACCAGCCCGTGGCCATCTTGAGACGCGAGCGCATATCGCGCAGGATATCAAGGGCCTTGCGGGTCTGCGCTTGACCCTGTTGTCCGTCCCCGGGCGCTCCAGGCCTCAGGCTCAGGAGACCTTCGAGATCCATGTGGGGGAAATGGGTTGCGTAGATGCCGATCAAAGCCGCATTGTAGATGGCAAACCCAACTAGAGGGTTCTCGACCAACACCCCCCGCTCCTGACAGGTCACAACCAGGTCCATCGTCTGCCGGGCGGCCCGGAACAGCTCCCGGGCACTCTCGCGCCAGAATCCGTCGGCGGGCGAACCCACCTTTTCGCCGGGAAATAACGGCTCGTCGGACGGCCCGGCCGGCTCCTTACACCTCACGGGAAGAAACGGGATGTGGGCACGGTGGAGGACGATAACGGAGAGGAAGTAGACCACATGCATGACGGTATACGACGCCAGCTTGTTCTTGTACATGATATGTGTGTCGGTGTTGCGGGGGGAGTACTGCAGGTTGCGGGAGAGTCCATCTTGGAAGTCTCCCAGCATCGTCCGCAGCTTGGCGAATTGGGAATCCATATGCCAAGGGGGCAACTGTTCCGTTCTACTACCGTTAGTCCCGGAGCCGTAGTAGCCGACAGGGGCTGGGGCGGAATACCTTCGGCCCCCTGCACACGACCATTTGGCGATACTGCCCCAGATTCGGACGATGCGAATCACCCGGCTAAGCACGGGCTCCTCGGCCCCAATTTCCCATCGATCGATCTCATCCTCGCTGGAGTCTTTTCGGCGGGAGATGGGAGACCAGGGCTTGTTGTCGGGTGGGTTACTGGGGAGCTTGTCGTCGAACCCCCCCAAACTTTGGCGGATACTCGGGATCTGAACCCCCTGGGAGCCAAAGCTCTGCGGACGACGGGCCGAGGGTTCGTTGAGACGAGAGGTGCGCACGCGCTCGCCAAAGGCGAAGGCGTTCTCGCTGGGAAGCTGGATGCCCAGCTCCTTCACGCGGATCATGCGCGGTCGGTACTTGCCACTGCTGAGGCACCGGTCGAGGATGAAACAAGCCCAAAAGGTGCGACGCTTCGTCTCTTGGGCGATGACATCGTCGGATGTCTGCTCTTTGGGCTCCGGCCCTCGCCGGGGCACGCCAAAGATCTCAGTCTCGGGCTTGAGGGCCGGGGACCGGGGGGGTTCGCGGCACAGGAGCTCGTTTTCCAGCTCAAAGGGGAGCCCCATGGCCTGCGACAGTCGGATGGCCATTCCCACATACAACCATGCACTCTTGCCGCGGCACATGCCCCATTCATGGAGGGCGAGCATGAGCAGGGCCTGGACGCGGGTGAGATCGGGAATGGCCAGACTGGCACCATCAATGCCGGCCAGCCGGCTGCGCAGTGCCGTCGCATAGAATTCGGAGGCCACGAGAGGGTTCGACGGGTTGCCCGTAGAGGCGGGAGAGTGATAGGCGACGAGATGAGGGTGGAAGCGAGCGGTGAGGGCGAGGACGCCTAATGGGATTAAGGGATTCGATTCTGACTTGGGCGCGGGCGGACTTTGCGCGGAATCTCGCGAGTGTTCTTGGTTCGCGGTAGTATTGCTGCTGTTGGTAGTAGTAGTAGTAGTAGTAGTAGTAGTAGTAGTAGTAGTCGAATTGGTGGAACCCTGACTGCTCGAAAGTTGCCGAATCTGACTGAGGAAGGAGGCGGGATGCAGGAAGGGGAGGATGAGGGCGTAATGGGACTGGAAGAGATCAAAGACGGCCTCCCAGACCTTGACGGTCAGCACGGAGGAGTCGAGCACGTCCATGGATGCCTTGGCGGCATCTTTGGCGGCCGCGGAGGAGACGGTAGCCTTGCGCGAGCGTTGTCGCTTGGGGTTATCCCAATCGCCATTGCGATCCTCCCCATCGGCCATGGCGGCGATGTCCCGCTTCGCCGCACCAGCGCCCAGGCCGATGGCGGGTGTGGGATATACACATTCTCGACCGGAGGATTCGCATGCCCGACAGGTGGTATCGATTCCGGCATTGACGCATTTGATCTTGCTGCGACGGCATCGCGCACACGCGATACTCGACCGCATGATGTGGGTTGGAGGGTTCTTCTTCGAAGGCGTACTAGAAGGCAGAAGAGGAGGAGGAGGAGGAGGAGGAAGCGTAGGAAAAGAGGATTGCAGACCCAATGTCTGCTGCCAACCGGGTTAGTTCCTCCACAGACGGGGTGGCCTGGTTCAGCGCGTGTGTGAAGTGGCCGGTCTCGCCAAAACGGATTTCAAACCGGCCCAGGTTGTCGGCTCACGAGGGGGGACGAAAACAACAGAAATAAGCCGAGCGCCGACTGTGCCAGAACACTTATTAGGGATTCAGAACCGGATGGAATAGGTAGGGGAGGGGACTCCTTCGCCGACACTGAGCGACTTACCTAGGGGCGGGCGTCAGTTCCGGTGCACAAGACTGGACGGGTTGTACGACAGCAGACCGGTAGAGGACCAATAAGTGATGGTGACGAAACGGACACAGAAGCCGACTCCAAGAAAATTAAGAAACCGGAGTGGTGATATGATCTGCGAGGGAGGGTGGAGTGCAGTAACAGCAGGAGTAGGAGCAGTAGGAGCAGTAGGAGCAGTAGGAGGTTGAAGCCGACGATCGATAGACAGGGAAGTTGGGGATGCAAGGAAGGCGAAAGGGAACCATCCAACATAGGCGACGGAATAAGCGGAGTGTGGGGGAAGACTGGAGAATGGAATGCCAGGGATCGGGGCACCGGACCGGCAATGCGACGGTAGAGGGGGGATGGAAAAAAGAGATGGAGAGAAGGAAGAGGAAGCGAGGAGGGCTGGGAAAAGAAGCGTGAACAATTGACGAAGAATGTCGGGTAGAGACGGGATCGGAAGATGTCCTGGTCTATGGACATAGGACTGAAGAGGAAAAAGGGAAGAGAGGGAAGAGAGGGAAGAGGGAGGAAGAGAAAGAAGGGGAAAGATTTCTTTGATGATGAGGATTCGGATTTCTTATTTCTGTTCGTTGACCTCCGACCATAGAGAGAAGGGACACAGAGAGAAAAAGAAAAAAAGAAAAAAACCCCAGGCAAATTAAACAACGGGGGAATAATAATAATAATAATAATAATAATAATAATAATAATAATAATAATAATAATAATAATAATAATAATAATAATAATAATAAAAAGAACAATAATACTAATACGATGAGATGAGATGAGATGACTCCAAAATAATGCGAAGAAACTACGGAGCAAGATGATACGGACTACAGACTACAGAGTACGGAGAAGGAGAAGCAAATTGCGGAGGCCCGACGCTGGGCACTTTAAGCAGGTTGCGGTTAAGCCGGAGCTGGTTTAGCTTGAACGTCTTTTGGGGGGAAAAGCCAGAGCCTAGGGACTAGGGAGTAGTCTTGGAGGCTTGGAGCATGGTGGAAGGACTTACTACAGTAGTAGTAGGACGAGGACGCGACCCAGTGCACGGTACCGTATGGTTACCGTATTGGTGGAACCCCAGGTTGGGGGGTTCCCGAGTGCCAACGGGAGACTCATAGTCATAGCCAGAGCCCATAGAACTAGGACTAGGACTAGGATTCAAAGTGATGAAACAGATCTGAAGAAGAAATTTGAAGTATTTCTTCAGCGATATTCATCAAAACATATATATATATCTAACTACTCGGTGTATATCCAGAGATCTGAAAGAAATGGGTACATAGATGTTAGGTACAATCCGGGGATGAGACCTACAGGGTAGGTACCTACCTTAGTAGTAACGGTACATGAAATACAGGCTGGCTGAGTCAGTCCTCGGGACGGGCGAACTGGGCCAGTCGACGAGTTTTCGCGGGGTCTTCCTAGATTGGCCTTACTCTTAGTCTCTGTACTTTCATCCGACCGACTCAACGGCGTCACGGGATCTCATCAACAAACAAAGCATCTGAGTTGATCTTTGATCGATCGATAGATCGATAGATAGATAGATAGATAGACAGTAGATTTTATTTATTTACTCTTCTATCTCATATCTCATATATAATCCAGATCAACTCTATCTCGATTTGACCCCCAATCCATGTGGATAGTCTCCTCCCTATAAACTCTCGTGTGTGAATTAATTTCCTTCGCGTCAACCTTTTCCCCTCCGAAGGTGATCGGGACACTCGATGACGGACCGAGAGAGCCGGGTCCCAGCCGTAGAGTTAGACACACTTAGTTAGGTCTTAAGAAGTTAAGACACTAAAATTCCCCAGTTCCCCCCCCCCCCCCCCATTCGATTACCTAACAAGAGCACGGAGGTCCTTGAATCCACAATCCACAATCCCACATGGTTTTTTGATTTAGTCCAATTTCATTTTTCCCGTTGCAAATGGCTCTCTTACAGTTAGGACTTAAGGACTTTCCCCGGCTCATTGTCGTTTCGTTTGCCTTCCCATCATCCCTCCCCCCCCGTCATCTTCCGCCTAAAAACCTGGATGCATTCACGGTAAAATGGGTAATTTGTTCTCATCCCTTAGTACTACTCTACTGATGTAATTGCTTCCATTTTATCCTTTTTTTCCCTCCCTTTTTTACCAGTCATAAAATAAATAATAAGACCATTTATGCAGTAATAACTAATAAGCCTCCAATATCCAAAATCCCGTGCCGATCGGCGTCCTGAGAACGGATGGGGAAAAAGGGCTGGAACTGGAACAGAACAGTCAAGGGGACAGATTTCAACACGGCGGTACTTCCGGGGCCCTCAGCCCGACTTGTCTTTCTTCCATCCGACTCTTTCATTATGGATTCTGGAGATACGAAAAAATAATATCAATAACAATATCAATATATATTTTTTTGGAAAAAAAAAAATATATATATATATATATATTGATAGATATATAGATATATTCAATGATGTTGTATCCGATACGGATGTAGACGAGAATAACCACCATCATGTTGTCTTCCCCAGACCTGTGACATTCAAAGAGAACCTCGGGTACATATCCATAATCTTGGGCCGAAAAAAAAAAAAGAAAAAGAAAGAAAGGAAGGAAATAGAAATAGACTTGCCGTATATTTTCGTGCTCATCGGGATGGGTTGGAGTCTTGTGAGTCTTTAGTCTTTAGTCTTTCGTCTTAACTCCCGCTTTTCCATGACTAACACCATCGGGGTCCTGGGCCAGGAGTGTCCCCTGCATCGGGCTTCCCCGCGGGGAGAGAGAGAGAGAGAGAGAAAGCCTAGAGGCGAGAATCGAGATCAGGCTTCGGATTGTCACCGAAGTACATGCGACATGCAACTACTACGTAGGTACGAAGGACTGACTAGTCGAACTACTACCCTGTTCCGATCAGTTGATTCTGGATACTCCGTAGGCCACCTGCAGCATGGTGCAAAAGTCACAAGATTAAGGCCGGACAGGGATGGACTCCCGACAACACGGCTGACGGCGTATACATATTACATACATCGTAGTGCCCTGGCCCAGTGGGATACCTTTTTTTGACTTGTTGTATCAATCGTCTTCCCCGAGATTCCTATCACTACATAGTACAGTATATCAAGTATCAACACTATCAACCCTTCCAAATATCTACGGAGTACCATCCGACCGACACTCTACACACGGACTTTAACCGGCCTTCCTCGTCCCGTGGCCGCTCTTCAAGCCTAACCGACCGCCCTGATTGGCCGACCAAGCCACCACAGCTGAGATTCGCACTCACGCGAACCAACCCCGCAATATCCTGTAGTAGCACTAATCCCTAGTCATTAGGACGAAGGACTAAGGACTAAGGACTAAGGACTAAGGACTAAGGAAAAGCATCTCGGAGTCGACTCGGAGTCTTTTCTCCTACCCCATACTCCCATCCATGGTACAGACTACAGACTACAGACCTAGACACTACACACTACCTATACAGCCTACTGCCTACAGGTCCCAGAATAACCCGGCGAATCATCGGAGCACGCCCTCGTTCTCATTCCTCCCAGTCCCAGCCATAATAACCATCCCACCCAACCGAAAAGTATCTTCACCTTGACTGAACAATCCCACCACCAGCTGAGAATGAAGAAAAAGAAGAAGAAGAAGAAGAAGAAGATGATGATGATGATGAAGAGTCCAAAAAGAATAGAACAGACAATCAAGAGCCCTCAGCAGTCAGCACAGGCCAAGGAAAAAAAAAAACCACTTCGGGACCGCACAGACAGAGTTACGAAGGAGCAGCCATGCCGCGCCACGTCTTCCTTCCCAGCGGCTTTTTTTGGACTTTTTGGCGCATTGTCATTTGTTGGAGCCTTGACGCCTTGTAGTAGGCTCTGAAACGAGAATGAAATGAAATGAATGAATAGACGAGACTAGGCCACGTGGAATTTCTTCCTTGAAGACCAGTGGTAGAGTATAACCTTGGAATATCTCTACGGAGTACGGAGTAGAAAGGTGAAGGCTGCTCTCCAATCCCAGGAACTTACCTGGACAGATAGATAGATAGATAGAACCTTTAACATACAAAACATAGAGCCTACCTAGGTGACATCGTCCTGCCTCTATAAAGGACTCCTCCCGAATGAAAACCCGCTCGCCCGCTGCTAACAACCCGACGGGGGCCCAACGGGAAAAAAAAAGGCCTAAATATTTACCCGAACTGTCCCCTCCTCCTCTCCTCACTATAAATACCGCAGTCAGTGTCATTCCGTGGCTGAGGACTGCTACTGTTACTGTTACTGCCCGCTGCTGCTGCTGCTGCTGCTGCGGACTGTTCGAATCGAGTCGAGTCGAGTCGAGTGGGTGAGAGTGAGACTGAGGGCTCTGTCCCGAGGGTCCGGGGGGTTGTCTCCGAGTGAGTCGCAGTGGGTTTCTGGGGAAGGGGAAGGGGAGAGAGGCAAGGACCGAGCTATTTTCGATGGCTCGTGCATTTGCATGTGGTCTGGGATCAATTATTGACTTTGGGGAGGTTGAAGGTACTTCCATGGGGTGAGGGATTAGAATGACATTCAGTATACAAGTACATAGCATAGCATAGCATAGCATCACAGAGCAGAACAGAACAGGAGAATAGGAAATGCCGTCAAGGCAGACAATTCCAAAGCACAAATCGTATGGGTAGAGTTGTTAATAGTTCCAGGGTATCGATATTATTATCCCATGTTTAATCGATCAAGCAGTCGGCTCGCTCTTGGTCGGATAGAACCTACACAGTCCAACCGTGTTAGATCTCATCGTCTTTCTCATATATATCATGATTTGTGTGCATAAGAGAAAAAAAAAAAAAAAAAACACAACATACCAAGCAGCTACCGCGATGATCAGGTACATCATCATCAGCAAAACACCCTCCAGCCAGTGCGACTTGCCGTCCGCGATCAGGTAGTTCACCTAGAAAAGACATCAGTCATCGGACTCCAGTGAGACGATCAGGTCGCACTCCAACGTACCAGCAGCACCGACACAAACAGCAGGATCACCTGGAAGGCATCAAAGTACAGGGTCTGCGCAGTTAGTTATCAACTTCATCACCAAGAGACAAACCCCAGAGCATACCATATTCTCAAGTCCTAGATACCACAGTTAGCCACGCCATGTCTGATGACATCGACACGAAAAAATGAACACTCACCCATGATCCATCCAATGACAATCACGAGCGGAAGCACCAGCAACGCAATCTGCATGCTCGAGCCCACAGCCACCCCGATCGCAAGATCCATCTTGTCCTTGCACGCCACCGTCACGGCCGTCGCATGCTCCGCCGCATTCCCGACAATCGGCAGCAGAATCAACCCAACAAACGTCTCCGAGATATGGCCGCGCTTCGTGAGCGCGTCGATTGAATTTACCTGCCCCAGTCAGCAAGTTGGAGCTCAAAGAGTAAGTCAGAGAGAGAAAGAAGCTACGCACCATGAACTCCGCACACAAGGCCACAAACACCGTCGAGATGGTCAGCGTCAGCACCGCAACCCAGATGCTGAGCTGCGGCTGCTCCTCCTCCTCATCCTCCTCGTGCAGCTGCATCTGCTGCGCCTTCTGCCCGCCTAGCGTCGCCGTCATCTTGCCGATCTGCGCGATCCCGCGGCTGGCGTCCCCCTCGGCGACCTCCTTGCGGCGCTTCTCGACCTTCGGGCTAGGGCTGTTGTAGAGCTCCGTGTGCGACTTCAGTTGGAAGAAGAGGTAGCATCCGTAGACGAAGAGGAGGATGATACTGGTGCCTAGTAGAGGTTAGCGCGCGCGCGCGCGAGAGAGAGAGAAAGCTTGTCGGCCGATGAGTAGACTGGGACTCACCTCGTGATAATGGGGCAATGCCCGCTTCGCCCGCTGCAACAGTCAGTCAGTAAGTTTAGGTCAATCACGATCATTCAAAGAAAAAAAAAGAAAAGAAAAGAAAAGAAAAGAGTGACCTTACCATCGGACCAAACGTGGAACGCTGTAGGAATGATCAAACTGGCCACTGCCAGCGCGAGGAGACTCGCGGCCGTCTGTGCAACCACCGGGTTGAAGTGTTGCTCCAGACGGTTGACACCGCCGAAGAAGAAACACATGCCCATCACCAGCAGCAGATTCGACAGCATACTGCCAATCAACGACGTCTGCACAATGACGACCTGCTTGTCGACCAGCGCAATGATGGCGACAATCAGTTCAACGGCATTCCTGCTCCCGGTTAGCGACGGTTTTGTTTGTCAGTAGATACCGATTGACCTACCCGAAGGTGGCATTGAGCAAACCGCCAATGGTTTCGCCGGTCCTGTGAAACGTCAGCATACTCTGGTGTGACGATCCCGGAGGTCATACCGCATGGCGATCTCTTCAGTCGCGTAACTCAACATGGCCGCAAGAGGACTGCGAACCGTCAGTTCAAATTGCACTGCCCTCTCCCAACCCCGGGAAAGTACTCACATGATGGCGATGAAATTCACCACGAAGACAGCCACCGGGTCCACGTGCACATAGTTCAGCGCAACTGGGATCCACGTCAGCATGCAAAACCCCTACCCCCACCAGCAGGTTCGGGCCAACTTACTCCCAGCCGGCACAGCGAGCAGAAGTACATTGATCCACGAGTTCAGCAGCGTCGCCTTCAGCTGTCCCACCGCCGTAAACTTCTGCTTATCCGGCAGATCCTTGTGCTCATCATCCGCCGCCGATGAATCGCCGTCGCCATGCGCATACTGACTCCCATCGGCACTCAGACCAGTCTTCCTATGCCTGTGCCGCGGCTTCCCCTCGACCTCACCGTCCTGCTCCGCGTTCGAAACATTGATCGGCTCGTGGCTGCGCGCCGACGGCCCCTGGTGCAGCTGCAGCTTGTCCTCGCTCCCCGTCCACCGCAGCTGGTCCGTCCCCGACGGCTCCGTCGGGAAGGTGTCCGCGTGCTCAGGCCCGGCCAGCCCCTCGCGCATATCCCTGTGGCGGCGTGTCTCCTCGGCCAGGCGCACGTCGCCCGCGGTGCGCACGGGCGTCAGTCGACTCTCGAGCTGCACGGAGCTGGAGCGCCGAGGACGCGGCCGGTATTTCCGGAAGGGGTTGTAGTTGGAGGGCTCGTCGTCGTCGCCATACCAGGCGAGACTCCTGGCTTTGTGCCGGTAGATGTCTGGGTGGTTTGGGGTTAGTTGCGATGTCGAAGGCCTCTTGGCGCACATGGGTGCATTGGGGGCGGACTTACGCATGATAGCCTTGAGATCAGGATATTTCCTGGTTAAGGAAGTGGTTTCTGGAAGTAAGAGTAATTAGGATGGATTATGGAGGGTAGTTAGTCCAGTTGACAAAAGTCGCGCGATCAGATAGATTGTTTGGGGTTAGGGATGCCCGACGACGACCAGACAAAAGAAGACCCAACGACTTGTCTTATTACTCTTATTCAATTCTTAAAAAAAAAAAAAAAAAATAATAAAAAGGATACATCCGAGCAAGAGCCAAACAACACTGACGTCTCCCTTGTGGCTTCGTGTTCACCGTACTATTGAAGTGTGGCTCGTGGAGATTCAGGCAGGACATCAGCCCCAGTGCCAGTGGGCAATCAACAGTTGACAAGAAATCCAAGACTGAGACAAGCTTTGGACAAGAGGGTCGATCGATGGAAAAGAGAGAATGCGACCAATTGAGAGCAGTGAGCACGTGTACAACAATAAGAAGAGAAAAAAGAGCGACTGAAGGAGTGTTGGACTGATTCAACCAGGAAGCAGTACTATGTAGATAGGGATACCAGAGACTGTGACAGTCGACAGAAGGGAATGACGGTGAGCCACGAAGAAAGGAGAAGAGGCATTCTAATCCTGTCTTTTCTTTTGTGGCTACTTTTTGGACGCTGCAAAGAAAGTTTACTAGATTGGCATACACTAGATATTAACCTATGGAAGTGGTTCAACTATAAGCAATTAAGTCGATCTATTGCCAGATTGGCAGCGAAGAAGAAAAAAAAAGGAGATTATTGGCGAGTAAACGAAAGAAGTCAGGACCCTTTTTTGATTACACAGCCACACAAACTACGACAGAGTAGGTTACTAGAGAGAAAACGTCCACGGTCCAGAATTCAAGGTGGGTTGATAATGATGATGATCATCATCATCATCCCCATCCCTAGAGTTATTCTAAATGTCTGACAATGGAAGTGCTGCGTGCTATGTATGTGGCTGACTTGATCCCCTCTCAAGTCTCAATCATCTTAACGTCCAGCAACTGATGCAATATGCAATGCAGGGCATGCATCATTCTGATTCTTGATTTCCAGACACTCCCAACTCCCAACTCCCAGGATTCAATCCGGTTTATTGCTTAGTCCTGTTTAAGCTTGGACTCCATTCTGGGATCGTTAGTTCCAACTTCCAAGCTTTGTCCTTGCGTGGCGGAGTTGCGTTGTCCTTTACTCCAGCTTCCTCTCCCTGCTATCTACCGAGTACACAGCACGAGACTCGATTCTTTTGTCTTGAGGTTGGGACGTGGGACGTTCCTGAATAGCGCTCCACCGTATCTACGAAACCATGTACATCTCTCTCATTCTCTTAAGCTCGAAAATCAAAGTCAAAATCCATGACCATGGTTGATTGCAGTACCAGCGGTGGGTCTGGCAACAAGTCTGGGCATTGTTCATATCGATCATCTTGTTCATACTTCATCCAGATCTCAATCATAGGCGGAATCCTTAATTTGGTCCGCCATTGAATAGTAATGACTGGGGATTAAGGGGTCTAGCGTGGCTGATCCTACCTTTCTTCGTGTCTTCTCCAGCATCTCCACGAAACAATAGATAGACTAACATGGCTTTGCGAGGCTCATGCATATGACTACCAGCCACACTGTCCTTCTATCAGCCACAGTGTGTGGCTACGCAGCCATGACTGATCCAATCAGTATCAGATGCTGTCTACCTACCCAACATCATCATGCTTCAATCCTTACAGATCTAGGCAGCTGTTTGATGCTGTACTGTGCTACAGTCGATATACCGTTGCCAAGAACGGAGTACTGTACTACCATTGAAATGCTGATAGTGATACTACTACACAGTAGATAGATAGGACTGGGCAGACGGGGGGTCTAAGAGTGCAAAACAGAAGCCATTAATACTGTTGAACGTTTTTCGGTTGCATAAATGACTAATTACTCAGCGTAAACGAAAGACTTACTCCTACTACGTAAGTATTATTATGCCCTGTACGGAGTACCTAGGGTGGTAACTGGTGCCATCAAACTCCCAGTGACTGGTGTTACATAACTCGGATAAAGTCCGGCTCCTTAATGCTCACATCGCTTTTATGCGGTGGTTTCATGTATCCTTTGTACAGTATCTGAGTTTCCTGGATAAAAGGGGGTACCATAAATTTTCTCAAAGGTCAACCTTCAAAGCAAATACCTCGCTCATGAGGATTCCAAAAACCGTCGAGTTTGACGTCCAAAAGTCCAAGAAATCTGTTTATCACTGCTCCTTTAGACAAGCAATTCATTGGCATCAACAAGAAGTCAAGATGAGAGAATCGAAGCTGTCTTGACTTTTTTTTTTTTTTTTGTTTCGCCCCTATTCCTGCCATTGATACACTGATATAATGTATTATCATTATTACACATCTTCGATACCTACACAGTACATACGTTCTGGAGTCTGGTCCCCATTATTCAATTCCCTATGCCAATCACTCTTCACCAACTCTCAAGTGTCTTTGGCACCAAGTTTCAAAAGGCCCCCACAGTTCCGTCACCAAGAATGATCATTTGTTGTGACTCTCGAGTCTTGCACAGGAACTGGCGTATCATTTGTTTCCAGTATGGATTCCATATTACTGTTGTTCAGGAATTGTTCTGTTGGACAGTGGATAGATACTACGGACGTATTAAGGTACATACTCTGTACCTAGGCTGCATACATAACACTCCTTGGCGATACACCAGAGACCATCCTCCCACTGAGACAACTGGAACCAATGTCTCCAATCCAAGAAGGATTTGAATCAATCCTCAGACTCAATGTCCAATCATCGTACAATCTTCATCTCCTGATTGACAGTCCTAACTACTATTTTTAGTCGGCCATTGACCCAACTAGTCCTCGACTAAGCCTAAGGTAGTAGACCTCGCGGTAACGGCGTAATATTACAGGGGGCTTGGCTTCCATACGATGTACTCCGTATCAGTTCTGCCTTGGTGCCTAGGTACCTCCTTTCCGTCTCCTTCCACCATCTCATCCATCTCGTGTTTCCTTTGCTTCTTCTCTTTCCTCTGCTTTATCATCCTTCTTCTCGTCATCCTTTCTTTCCCTCTTTAATTCTATTTCCCCTTCCTTCGGGATTTCATATCGATTCATCCAACGGCAGTTTTCGCCGTCAGTCACTCGTTGTTGACCTCTCATCGTTCTTCTCTTCCCCAGATCCCCGTGGGTTTGACTTCAACTGGGTTTTGTTTTTGCGGATCAAAGACGATCATCTGTCATCATCATTCTGAAAATCACCTTCGCTTGACTCGGTTTACCGTGATAACCCAACAAAATGAAATTCGCCTACGCTCTCGCGGGCGCTTCCCTCGTGGGCAGCGCCCTCGCAACCCTGCCCGTTATCGAGAGAAAGGTACGCGACAGAATCTCTCGCTCATCACAGTCACAGCGCATGCGCTAACCGGTGTGGTTCGGGTACAGGGCAACAAGTTCTTCTTCTCCAACAATGGCACTGAATTGTGAGTTGCGCCCGCGGTCAAAACCAGGATTTTCGAGAAAATCAACGTGGCTAACGTGTGCTAGTTTCATGCGCGGTGTCGCCTATCAGCGTATGTGCCAGACGGAATTTAGCCATGCACCTGCCCGATATAACTAACCATCAATTACAGAGGAGTACCAGGCCAACGGCACAGCCAAGGAGAACTCCGACTACACCGATCCCCTGGCCGACGTTGCGAGCTGCAAGCGTGATATCCCCTACCTCAAGCAGCTGCGCACCAACGTCATCCGTACCTATGCCATCAACCCCACCAAGGATCACGACGAATGCATGAAGCTTCTGGACGACGCCGGTATCTACCTGATCACCGATCTGTCTTCTCCTTTCCAGTCCATCAACCGTAACACCCCTGCGTGGAATACGGATCTCTACAAGCGCTACACCGATGTCATTGATTCCTTGGCCAAGTACAGCAACGTGATCGGTTTCTTCGCCGGTAACGAGGTCTCGAACAGCCACAACAACACCAACTCGATTGCCTATGTCAAGGCGGCCGTGCGAGACATGAAGGCGTACATCAAGGAGAAGAACTACCGCACCTCCCTCGCGGTCGGATACGCCACCGACGACGACGCCGAATTGCGTGCCGATTTGGCCGACTACCTCGTCTGCGGTAATCAGGACGCCGCCATTGACATGTTCGGTTACAACATCTATGAGTGGTGTGGAGACTCTTCCTTCGAGACCTCCGGCTACAAGGACCGGACCAATGAGTTCAAGAACTACCCGGTCCCTGCCTTTTTCTCCGAATACGGCTGCATTGAGGGTGGTGCGCGCAAGTTCACCGATGTCCCCGTCCTGTTCGGTCCCCAGATGAACGATGTCTGGAGCGGTGGTATCGTGTACATGTATTTCCAGGAGGCCAACAACTACGGTCTGGTCAGCGTCAGCGGCAACGATGTTTCAACCAAGTCCGACTTCTCCTACCTGTCCGCTCAGATGCAGAAGGTCACTGCCACCGGTGTCAACAGCGCCAGCTACACTCCTACCAACGCTGCGCCGTCCTCTTGCCCCTCGATCGGCACCAACTGGGAGGCCAGCGACGACTTGCCTCCTAAGCCCGACGGTGACCTCTGCGACTGCATGGTCCAGACTCTCTCGTGCGTGGTCAAGGATTCCGTGGACGCGGATGACTATGGCAGCCTGTTCGACTACGTCTGCAGCAAGGGTCTGTGCGGTGGTATCGCTTCCAACTCGACCAGCGGCGATTATGGTGCTTACAGCGTCTGCACCCCCAAGCAGCAGCTCTCTTTCGTCCTGGACCAGTACTACAAGAAGAACAACAAGGCTGCCTCTGCATGTGACTCCAACGGCAAGGCCCAGACCCAGAAGGCTGCCGACGCCCAGGGTACCTGCGCCTCTCTGATCAAGCAAGCCGGCACTGCCGGTACCGGAAGTGTCACTGCCGGCGCGACTGGCTCTGGCTCTGGCTCCAGCGGCGCCAGTGCGACCTCCAAGGGTGCTGCTGGCGTTGCTGCCAGCCCCATGGCTGTCAAGGTTGGCAACTGGCAGTTTGGTGCCTACATTGCCACCGCTCTTGTGGCCGGTGTCGGTATGGTTATGCTTTAAGATGTCACATCGATCGAGGAGGGATCAATCTGTACGAGGCAGTCTTCATTCGAGGTCTGTCACGGGGCCGTCGAGGTCATTCGTGTTGTTTTAGTTCATTCCACTTGAAGTACATACATTTTAGCAATTCGTGCGTGACGCCTTGATTCCTCATTGGAGGATGTATTTTTGTTTTGATTATACCTGACTGGACTTGGTCGGTCTTTTGAACATTACTTGAATGAAAGTTTAGTTCGTTCTAGAATTGTACGCATTCCCACTGTCTGTTTTGTACCTGGGCATAGAAACAGCTCTCATAATGACTGACAAATGAACAAGCCCCGAGTCTTGGCCAGCGTCTCTTCAGTCCCTTAGGTTGTCTTGGATTATTTCTATGTAATTCGGCCACCCGGCATGCTGACTCCTCTGTATTATGCACTGTCATCAACTAAGAATATATACTCGCAATCCGTGAGCCTCATCTCTCCTCCTCCTCCTCCACCACCTCCTCCCCCACACTCTTTTCTACAGGAGGCGCATGTTCTTGCGTTGATTATTCATCTTGATACATAAGATTGAATGAAATTGGTATGTTCTGAGTGCGAGGGGCTAGTATTGCATTGGATCGTCTGGTGGTTTGTATATATATATATATATATGTATATGTATGTATGTATGTATGTACTATCTGTCTCGAGTTTCTAGACAGATTGGATGGATCTGGGGAGAGAGAGGTATGCATACAACGCTACCATACCCAAGCGTATATCGATGCAGATGCATATGGTCCCTCCCCTCAGGAGTTGATTATTCTTCAGCTCGTAGAGTTATGTATGGGTTAAGGCGGGCGGAATCTACGAAGACAATGGCCAGGTCTGAGCATTCGGCATGTCCCGGACTACAGTGCATTCTTCCAGGGATGGCGAGAGTAGCATCACTAGGTAGAATCCGTGTCTTGAAAGAATTCCCATTGTATCTTCAGGATGAGGAAGGAGGGCACAGGGACAGAATGTGAATGTGTGTCCCAAAGTGCTCGATGGCAATGTTATTCTGTTCGCTCAGGAAGGATTGGAATATAGGTATCTCCCTGGAAGGTGTTACCTAACGTCTATAACGCCCTGCCTGGATGCCCCAGGCAGAATCCCAGAGGTTAAGGACAGTGACCTGTCAGCGTTGGAGGAGCATCCACCTCTATGTTGCACCATCGGGTGAACGTGGCTCCTGCTAAAAATCATCATACCTCTTACCTCTCGAATTGTATCTCTGACCCCCCCGCGTGTCTCCCAGTATGTCGAATCCGACGCGTCGTCGCTTGAAAATAAAAAAATCGAGGGGGAGATCCAGATGGAACAATGCGATTTCGCGAATCTTTCAATATCAATCCGTGTCTATGCCACTCAACCAGCATCTCGGTACCTTCAACCTTATCTGGACAACGCAGAGGATGAATGCTGTAAGCCAACCAAAGCCAACCACGCCGACTGGACTATTCGAGGGAGCGAGCGGTCGCCCTTGGGTCGAGACGCCCGTTGGCTTCTGAGTATTCCACATGCTAGGACGCGTGGACGCAGGTCTAACCGGTCAGGGAAACGCAAGCGATCGTGGTGTCGGGGTTGGATGGTGCAATGTGCGTTGCTCATCGAGAGGGCATTGTCGGGAAGACTCCGTGGTATGTGTGCGTAATTGTCGGCCCTCTGGGTGGGATCATGCCGCGAAAAGAGAATAGAAACTGATGGTTAGTCTAACGTCAGGAAATCTATTCTTTCTCGCAGAACTGACTTCAACGACGTAACGTAAGGAGTAGCGATCAACTACGCGTCATAGAGTCTTTGACGAGGGGTCGAGCAAACCAACGAAGAGGACGAGGTGAGACAGAATTCGTCTCAGATGCGCTCGGGTCTTCACACCTGACGTGGTCTTGCATAACCCAGACGAATTGGAAGGGAGTAGTCAGTAGAAAGATAGATAGGTGGGAAGAAGGTGGTCGCCGGGTGATCAATCTGATCGGGAAAAAGCAGCGAACGGCTCAGCAATTCGGCACAAGATCCGTTGGCGGATGGGTTATGCCACAAATTGATTTAAGAGACCAACGAGGAGCTTAAGGAGCCGGTTATTATTAAGAAGAATGATGGACGATCGAGATCCTCCATAGTAAATCCAAAGTTGAAGAGTCGATTTTGCCTTCAACTAGGGACTTGCTCGGGTAATAACAAACAAGTGTGCCACGCACGTTTTTTAGCAGCCCATAAGGCTCCGAGTCCGAGTGGAAAACATTTCCCAAGACGTTAAGGGGGGGGGGATCTCTTATGAGAAGATCCATTCCGGTTGACCAAGCCAAGCGAGAGCCAGAGCCTAGAGGTCCAGAGTCCAAGGAAGGGTTTGGGGCTTCCCTTCATCACCTGGGGGGCAGGTTGGTCAGTGACGGGTGCAAAGAAGGCCCACCGTAACCATTAAGTTGACAGATTTCGTAATCCTTCTCCAGTGCCAATTAGAGGGGCCAGATGGGGGCAGCATCTTCTCTCACTGTCCCACGTCTTCTCCTGCCGTGAAGTTGGTAGTGGTAGATACCTGTTAGTTACTACTGCTACTACCACCACTACTTAGTTGGCACCTTTAAGTAAGGTACCCTACTAGGTAGGTAGGTAGGTAGGTAGGTAGATAAGGTAACCAACTGCCAACTTCCGACCTCGATCAGTGAGTGGTTCACAAATCATCCTTCCTGGGCCCCTCCAACACAACCTTCCACGTCCACTTTCACTTTCTCTCTCTCAGTCTCTTCTCTTCCACTCTCATGAGAGCCCAAGAGAACGGTGACCACTGTTCTTGAGCGTCCTCCGCGGTCGTGTACGTTGCAGATCAGACCGCTTTGACACCCCGACCTCATCTCCGCCAACAACCAAGTTTTCGGCTTTTTCCCCTGGGGCCATATCGGCTCAAAGACGATGTCTACAATGTCCAGAAACCGTGCAGATCGCCTTCAAGGTCCCTTATCTCGATGCCACCGAGTGGCGAACCGCCTGTTTTGATTGATTAGGTTGCTTATCGATCGTAGTTACATCCAGCCTGACTGAATGTACAGAGTAAGGAACAGTGAAGGGGGGGAGAGGGGACAATAGCAGCCACCTCAGCATGAACGACTGACAATCGCGTTGGAAGAGTTGATGGATGGGAGATTATGGGGCAATGACGAGCGCGATATGGCCAGATATGACTGCTAAGAAAGCACCTGACCCAGCGATTTTTCAGCAAAGATTTAGTTGGTGAGGACCAGAAATCGACCGATCCTGAAGAGTTAGATTGGCTAACTCGCATAATCTGATGATCTAGAGTTGCTCTTCCTGTTGCGGAAGTTTTCCCTTTCGATCAAAATGTCGATGATAACTCCCCGAGTCCCCGTCACCATCGTGAGGAAGAAATGTGTTCAAGTCGCCCTTTGGGCATTCCGAAAATTGGTCATTGCTCATAGATCGATTTCTGTGGATACTCGTTGCAACCTAATTCTCAATATATATGGATGCACGCTCCCGCCAGTATCTGGAAATAAACGCAGCATCGCATGGTCTCGCTGAGGGCTCGATGGTACTTGAACGAAACGGGAAAGTTAATACCCTGAACTGGACGGCAATACATCCTGCACTTGCCTTCAAGCAAAATCCGGTTTCTTGTTCCTTCGGTCCCGCTATTCAAGGCGCCTGTCCAGAGAGCATTTACAATACCTCTCATGCAAGGAGTGGCTCGCAACAGTATTGTACGAAACTGAGAGTGATCGATTCTGTGTCGAAGCAACGTTGAGAGGCATAATGTCCTAGCACGTGTCTATATCGTCAGCATCTGGTTGTACCACGACGGCACTTGACGCTCTGAGGATCGTGCAGATCTGCTCTGAGACGTCAAGACCAGCATATGATGGCTTCCTTTCTCTCTCTTCTTCTTCTTGACACTGGGCCATTGGCCTGATTATCCGTCCTTAAGAGCCAACCCCCCTTTCCACCTGGACACTCTTGTGCGAATTTCTCGGGTTGTAATAGTTTGGCTGAATGACAGACCATCTAGCCCAGACAATACCGTAACGATGTCGTCATTGCTCATCAGTGAACCCTCGTTGGTTCTCTAACAAGACCGAAATAACCTGTTAGATTGCGAATAAGATCGGTATCTGCAGATCGTCAGTCTTATACAACTTCTCCACACCAGAACAGATGTCCGCAAGCCCTCATTAGGCTATCTGGGTGTTTGTCAGTCAACACCAATCAACAAACCCTCTTTCGTTTCTCATGGGGATAGATGATCAATAATGAAAGACCATCGGTATTCGCATTTGTCAAAACCTTCGATAGAGATCTTGTGATGAGATGAAGAAAGAACATCAATACACCAACGCAGCGTGGTTTAGATCACATTTAGTCGACCGAGTGGCGATAAAATCGTGGAATAAAAAACCCCCGATCGACGGGGGTCTGTTCTTTATGTCGTCGAGTTTCACATTCTACTTTTTTTTTCTTCTCCTCCCCCTGACGCTCTTAAAAAGCTTTTGGTTGAAATCGAATCGTTCTAGACATGGACCGTTTGTGTACATTATTGGCAGGTTTGGGGGTCGGAAGCGAGCCGATTCCCGCCCGCCCTGTGGCGCAGGACTGGCCACGGCAGTCATCTCCAGCCTACCACAGGCTTCGGGGTCCTTTCTCAACCCAACAATTTCCACGCGGCTGGTCCGTGGTTGCTTGCTGGCTTGCTTGTGTTGCTGCTACTAAGTGCTAACTATCACCGCGCCGATGCTGCTGCTGCTGCTGCTGAACCACAAGGCATAAGCATAGGTACCTACCTCTCTATCGACCCGAACTTAATAATAATAATATGGGATTCAGATCTCCCCTTCCACCCGTGACTTTTGTCCCTTCCTTGCTCCACACTGGCCTTGGCTTAGCGTGTGTTGACAAAACAAACGTCGCTCATCTTGTTCAAGGCTGGACGAAAGGGGTCCTTCAGAGAGAGATTATTATTTCTCGCGCTGTGATGAGAATATGTCGGACCCTAATCGTCCACCTTTTTTCTCTTATGGATCTTTCCCCTCGTCCGAATATCAGGAGAACGATCCTGCATTCAACGACTGGTCATCACACCCCTTCCCACAACCACCCTTTGGAGCCCAGCTCAATTATGAGACACCTCCTGGATATGGTGACAACCCCGCAGGCTCTCATGTTGGCACTGGAGAGCGTTCTCTGAACTCCAAGGTTGCCATACCCCGGTCAGCCAACCCGAGTAGCTGGACCAGCAGCGGGCGAGTCAGTCGAGCGTGCGAAAATTGTCGCGAGCAAAAGGCCAAATGTAGCGGACATCGTCCAACCTGTCAGCGATGCCAGGAATCGGGAATTCGGTGCTCCTATGGCGACCGCAAGCGAGAGAAGATGGCCAAGTGAGTGAGCGATGAAATGCTTCTTTTTCATCTTTACCTTCTTTTTTAGTTTTTCTTTTCTTTTCTTTTTTTTATTCACTTAGTCTTTTTTTTCTCTTTGCGATCTTCCTTTTTTCCTGTCTTTCTTTAGCCCCTCCTTCTGGGATTCTGATAGTGGGGTACAGGCATCTTAGCGAACTGACAGCCCAGGTGCAAGCGTATGAGACGTTGCTGTGAGATATCTATCCTAGATTAGAACCACAATCTGCGCAGCATGTTGAACAAGTCATGAACGAGGTCAGTTGAAAGATCCGTCTAATGCGGCGATCTCACCCATCCGTCTCGCTGGAACTAACCAGCCTAGCAGCTAAATCCCGACAATGACCACTTCACCGGTCAGGAGGCTTCCACGCCGTCATCCACGATCAGGCTTTCGGATACGGCTCGTGTCTCGAGCCCTGCTGCTTCTAGCCCAGGTATCTCACTGGGGGTTCTCGACCACACCAGCGAAGATTTCAATCGCGACGAGAAAATTCAGGCCATGGGCTTTGTCGGAGAACATTCCGAGATTGCTTGGATGTACCGCTTGAAACGACTGCTCGAACAGACCAGCCCCATCACCCAGCAGGAAAATCCAGATCGCCACTCGGTAGCTTCAGCGAATTTCTTCCTCGACGACTCGGATATCCCGGTACTGGATGATGTTGATGTCTCGCAACGGCCCTCGCAGACAGTTGCGGATCGACTCGTGGATGATTATTTTCAAGTTGTACACCCTTCCTTTCCAATCGTTGGCAAAGTTTATTTTTTGAGACAATATAGGTCGTTTTATTCGGCTGCCTATGTACGTCCAGGGAAAAAGTGGCTCGCAATACTCAACCTGGTGTTCGCTATTGGCGCACGATATTCTCGCTTTATGCAGAGCGGCAATGATACGCCATCAGACGATGGCACGGTCTACTTCTCACGAGCTTGGCAGCTCAGCATGAGCGATGCTGCGTTGTTGGACCATCCAAATCTACAACAGGTGCAGGTGGAGGGCTTGACATCGTTCTACCTCTTATCTGTGGGACAGGTAAATCGGTACGTCCTCTATGCACCGATGTCTTGCTCTCCCGTTTCTCAGGCCTAAACTGTTGACGTCGCTGGTTGTTGGAATCCTTTAGGTCCTGGAGAATATGTGGCATCTCATTACGCTCCGCGGTTACGATGGGTTTGAATCTCCGGAGTGAAGGTAACGCGATAGCCCATGTGTCCAAAGAGACTCGATATCGAGTCTGGTGGTCTCTTTACATGTTGGATGTGTCCCTTTGTGTGATGACTGGCCGTCCACCGAGCAGCACCGACGAATTCCGCACGACGCCTTTGCCAGTCCCCTTCAAGGAAGAAGATTTCTCGGATGATCGAGTGGTCCAACTTATCGCCGACCAGGAGGCCCGGAACGTTTTCATGGAGGCTCTGTCGGCCATGGGTTCCGCACAAAGCAGGACGGAGGCGATTTCGGTATCAACACCCGAGACGGCCGAGCAGCCCTTGTTCAGCTCGAATCGAGAATGTGATCAGGTCGCGTCCAGTGCCATTGATTTTCTGACGCCCAACATCTCTCTATATTTCCTCTACCAAGTCGAGCTCGGATTGATCGTACGAGAAACCATCGATACCTTGTATGCTCCCGGAGCCGCGAGGAAATCGTGGCGGGAGATTGAGATGGCGATCTCTGCCTTGAACGTCAAAGCTGACACCTGGCTCTCCAAACTTCCGCCAGCGTTCCACTTTAGGCATGGCACTCGCGTGTTCGAACAGCAGCGGTCAACTCTCGCGTTTCGCTTCTACAGCACTAAGATTATCATCGCTCAGCCTTGTCTGAGCCACCTCACTCGGCAGGCTCCAGGTACCGAACCCCCGGGAACTTCCTGTGAGGTGATGGCGGCCGAGTGTGTGGATTTCGCCTGTCATATGCTTGATCTCCTCCCAGCGGCGCCCGACGCGTCCTGGGTCTACCGCGTCTCTCCCTGGTGGAACGTCTTGCATTATCTCATGCAATCCATGGCCGTTCTTCTGACCCAATTACTGCTCCGGGCAGATGTCGGTTCCGCCAAATACAACACCGTGCTGGAAAAAATATACAAAGCGACGCATTGGTTATCGGAAATGTCGGTCAACGACCCATCGTCTCAGCGGGCGTGGCTCGTCTGTCACCATTTCATCTCCCATTACGCGCCCGCGGTGGATATTGGAGCTGCCCCCGTACGCCACAAAAATTAACCCAGTCACCGAGACTTTTCACGAAAGGTCCAAAAAACTCTATTGTTTCAGCTACTGTTCATCCATCCATCTGTTGCTGCTCCGAATCCTGTCCACGCGAACATTTATCTGCCTCCCGGTCACCGCCCGTTTCTCCCCTCGCGAGATTACCGGATTTATGGAGCATCGGGGTGAAACCCTTGGCCTACGAAAGTATCACCGAGACGGTCGCCGGGGTCATCGATCCGGACTGAAACGCTCATTGGGAACCTTCCGTGGTCAAATTTACATCCCCACTACACCTATAGGTTTTATGACATCGAATCGAGCGGGACCTTTTCAGACCTCGATTTTCCAAGTCTATGACAAAGATCTCCGTCCATAGTATACGCTAAGGAAGATCCAATCTCAGGACACGTCGGTCTGTCGCAGTGATTAGCATATTCGCCTCCATGGGTTCCAATCTTGTTGACTCCGCAGTTCTACACGAACAATCACTTAATGCGAGAACTATCAAACCTGCCGATGATGAATTGGGACCGGGACGATGCAGAACTGACAGGATGCCTTGTCTCCAGGAAGATAGGAACTCATGACACGGCTGATCGGCGCATGCAAATGAACCCTGAGAGCCAGATACCAGAATACGAAGACCATATCGAGAAACACGATAGACTTTTTTTTCTCTCCCTTTTTTCTGCAGCATATCCAATGATACACAGGGCAATTCAAATTTTTTTTTCTTTTTCTTTTTTTATTTCTGTTATTTCCCTTCATTTGCTTGCATGTTTCCTTTTTTTTTTTTTTTTTTTTTTTTTTTTTGCTTGCTGAATTTTTCGACCGATTTCCATACTGCCTCTGTTGACCCTCCCTTCTCTTCTTCCTCGCACCCTTCCATCGGAGAAGCTTGGAAGGCGGACCGGCAGTATGGATGATGGGTTGCATTCCTCACACAGTAAGACCCCTCAGTGAAAGAATGATGTACTAAGCGAAGCAGAAGCTGCATGGCCCCTGTGCTTGCTTACTTACTTACTGCTTGCATTATTGATAGTGGAGCCATGTTCATGAGAGCTACATTGTGATCATTCGCTGGGAGGCAAATCCGCGGCAACGGAACAGTCCTTTTAGCTCTGATAGTTTATTGATTTGGGTTTCCAAGTCTATGCATCAATGCTGTTGTTCCAATGAGGGAGCAGTTCCATGGTCCAGGGGATAAATGTTCACCTACCTATCTCACGGAGTTCACCATCTACCAGTACCTCAAGCTCCGGCTCAATCCTTATCTGGTACAGGATTAGGTTGCCTGTGTTACGTGTTGTGGTTTCAGTCACCAAATCAGCATTTTGATGCTGTGCCATGGTTCTCGGTCCTACGACCACTCGCCTACTACAGAGTGTGCAGGGCTTGTGCATGTCACCATACGGTGAGTAGTGTCGAGGGGAAGACAGGAAGGCGAAGAGCGGAGACACCAAATCTGTCACCAGAATAAAAATATGCCAGTTGTCGTCATGCAGTGAGTTATCGACGCCCTGCTCGTCCTGATTGGTGCTTTCTTCCATCATTTTCCCATGAGGCTTGAACGGTTTGAACGGTGGCTGGCTCGTCACTCCTATCAGTTCAATCAGCCACTGCCTGACTGCCTCCGACTTGTCTAGTGTGTCAACCGGAGTGCTCCGTAGTGTCCACAAATTTGCATGATCAGAGGCCACGATCTACTAATAAGAATCACTTACAAGCGAAACCATCTGCAGGATTCAGTAACTGATCTATCGTCAGCCAGCTTTCGGGATAGAAACCAATAGATATTTACATGGTCAATACCTAGGTACCTACTGTTAATTGTCACTGTTTATTATTGTTTCTCTACTATCCACCCATCGACCATGACTCCATGAGAAGCGATCCGTCATGTTAGGAGATGAGATCCTCACTTACTGAGTCCCGCCCAGTAGTGAGCTCCTGCCTATATGGGAGTGCATGTCCGAACCCCCGTCCTGTTCGGGAAGGTGATTAATCATCTAAGCACCAAGCAGCAGTCTAACCTTCTACAGAGCAAATACTCCGGAAGTTCCAGATCATCGATTTCTCGATAGTCCAGAGTCCAGACTCTAGAGTCGATGTTCACATCCATGATTCTGCAGGGGACAGCATGCATGGATGCCTGAATACTCACAGTAGCCATCTCCATAGATCTGCTAGATCGTCTCTGTCTGTAGAGACATACTTCGCGAGTACCACAGACTCTACTACCGCGTAGTCTGGATATGATACGTACCCCCAAGGGAAAGCAACGCAGCCATTTGGAAAAGCTGGAAGGCGGGTACTCCAGTGAATTCAAATGCCGGGTTATAAGGGCTTTGGGGGTGCAAATCCCGGGTTTGCAGAATGCAGAACGCTGGAGGGATCGAAGAGGGGCCGGTGGGATCGGTATTCAGTGCTGGTTAGGGAGCTTATGGAGTGGTCAATAATAATAATACTCCAGTAGATGCTAGGAGAGGGATAGCGCTGGGTGTCCTACTCATACGTACTCATATCAGATAGATAATAATCAATAATAATAGAGATCGAGGAATCAGAAGGATTCCCACTCTCTTGGAAGGAACCAAGTGATGCCTGGGGCAGCAACTAAATCACGTGAATATGCTGCTGCCTCAGGTGTCGATGAGTAATTGACTGCCCATCGTCCACGTGACTAAACTGACCGCCTTCCGTTCCCACGATTCCGCTTCTCCAATCATGAAGTGATACAACTTTCGAATCATTGATTGATTGATTGATTATTGATTGAAACTGGCAATGCAGCTTCTCCATCAAATAACACGTGACCGGTGTCCGCTCTGATCCACAAGGAAAATACCATTGTGCATGTAGGAGATAAAGAGAAATGTCTCTGCGCGGGCCCATGAAGCGCTCCCACCTGAGACAGGTGAGCGCGCCCAGTGTAGACGATCTCGCGACCTCCTCCCAGGCGCAGGCACAGTCCCACCCACGGGACGGCGGCCCGTACAACGACGAGCATGGCCAGGATTTCCAGTCCACGCTGGACGCCCGCAACATCCGGCTTTCGACCACCAGCCTGGAGCGACGCCAGGTCTCGCTCTGGGTGCACGATGAGACCTTTTCGCGCGAGGAGATCCTCTTCAACCAGGCCGCGTTCAGCGACCTCGGCGTGGGCCCCGGCGACGTGATCGAGATCCTGCCCGTGCGCTCGCCCGGCGACTCCCTCCACAGCATCAAGTCGGATCTGGGCCTGCGCGCGCTGCGCGACAGCTATGTAGAAACGGGACCCGCGCTGCTGCCGGACCCCATGTCCAAGTTCAAGACCCCGCTGCAGAGCCGCTGTCTGTTCGTCGTCAAGCCGCTGCCGCAGGAGATCAAGGCGCGCCATCCCAAGCTGGAGATCTCCGTGACGAGTAGCGTCGCGAATATCTTCGGCTTTAAGAACCGGACGCTGGTGCATATCGATGTCGTGGACCGCGCGCAGTGCTCGGCTTCGCATGTGGATATTGCCTTTCGGGATCAGTTCCTCGTGCGCTCCGATATGTGGCGGCTGGTTATGTCCGAGCTGGCGGAGAAGATCATCTACAAGGGCCAGAAGATCGTCTTCATGGGCAGTATCAAGGCGACTGTGAAGAATATCTTCATCCGTGAGAAGAAGGTCCTGTCGGGCTACTTCTCCCCGCATACCATCCCCGTCTTCCGTAGCGAGTCGGCAAAGTATGTTTTGTTCATCCAGATGTCGCGGGAGATGTGGGATTTCGACTCCGAGGGGACGGGCGATATCCTCTTCAGCCGAGTCATTAATGGATTTCTGCCGGAGCTCTTCAAGCGCTGGGCGAATTCCGAGGCGAAACACCTCGTGACGATCGTGCTGTTTACGCGTGTTGAATACGATGTCTCCGCGATTGGGGCGCCGTTGCCCCTGAGCTCGGAGACGCTGAGGTGTATCTCGAGCCCCAATCATGTGCCCACCAGGGACTTTTATCGAGTAGTGGTCAATGACATGGCGAGCGGCCACTGGACCGCCATTCTGGATGAGCTGAAGAAGGATTTCAGGACCTTCCTTCGGGATGTCTCGACCCTCAAGATGGACTGTGCGGATACGCCTACGCTGGATGGAGTCAAGGTGGCGCCCAAGAATAAAGCTGCGACGATTGCCGGCCGGCCAAGCACGGCGCTCCGCGGGAACATCCTCGAAGCGATTCACCTCGCTTCGGCTCATCTGGCATACGACCACATCGATCGCGACATGGTGCATACGGGTACTTCCATCATTGTCATCACACCGGGCAGCGGCGTCTTCGAAGTGTCCTATGAATCATTGTCATCGACCTCAGAGGCACTGGCAAACCGTGGCATCGCTATCGATTTGGTCTGCCTGAGTCCCATGCCCCTTCATTCTGTGCCCTTGTTCAAATACAAGGCGCCGGCTCAGCGATCCTCTAGCTCCTCGTTTTGCGAATTCAACAGTAGCGGCTACTCCCCCGAGATGCGTCATTCATTCAGCTTTGCGAGTCGGACGCCCCATCTGTCTCCAAAGTCGGCTGCTCATGGTTCATTTTCTAGAGGAACGGCCCATAAGGAGCATGCGGCTTCGCGCTCGGACGAGTGGAACTACGGTATCCCCCATTGGCTTGATATCTCGTATTGGAATCCAGATACCTATAGGGAAGCCCGACGGATCCTGAAGAAGGACCTCAATGCGCCGATCCCCTTCACCGTTACTAAACAATCAAAAACGTTTGTGCCGCGAGTGCGGATGTACGAGATCCAGATGATGGGGGTGATGGAGAGCGAGCAGTCCAACATCTCGATCCCCTACCTGCTCGAAGGCGAAGGCATTCACAGGGCACCCAGTCTCAGCCTCGGGCTGAGTCCCAGCGCACTCTCGTCTACCAGAGCGTCATACAGACGCAATCCTTACAAACTTCCATTGAGCGACAGCCTTCGCCCGGAACCGTTCCTCCAGGGATTAAGCAATCCAAAAGACGTGATGCTTGCCAGATCGAAGAAAGCCCCAAAGGCGGTTCTTGCGTGGATGGAGCAATATGACGACGCAGTGTTCCAGCCCTTTGCGAAGCGGCGGCATCAACGCAAACCTTCCAAACCCAAGCGGCTCAGCGAGCCTGATGTGCAGGTGTCGGGTGCACACGAGCGCCTGTCCGCTCGTTCGGTATTGCGTCTCAGGGAACATGAAACCAACGCTAACTCAAGCGAACGCCCTTATCCCACCAGGACGATTCCCCGAGTAGCCGAGACGTCACTGTCAGCCCCCCAAACTCCCGTGCCATCCAAAAGCGCCTCCCCCAAGAAGCCTGCCTTGAAACCCCCGTCCGCGGGAAAGGCACCGCGGATATCTCGAACGATCAGCTTCGCCCTCCGTGGCTTGAGCGCCACGCCGCCCAGGGCCCTGGCAAGCACCGAGGTCAATGTAGAACATGCGAGTGCATTGCCCACCTCAAGCCCAAAACTGCTGCCTGGCCCATTTCCGGATACCAGGAGCGTGGATTCCTTCAGCGGCTCGGATTCTGCATCCATCTCCACCGTGATCGATACTTCACTGAGACCAGCTTCGCCTCACAAGACCCCGCAGAGCCGGGCCATCATGCCGTCGCGACCCATATCCATCAAGGTGCCTCCGCGACAGCCCTCGGAGGATGCAGAGCCGGGCGATCGAGCCGTAATCCCGGAGTCATACTCGACCACGAGTACTGCGATACCATTCAACGAACATCATCGCCGTGACAGCCATACCCGAACCTCAGGGCCTCGATTCGAAATGACAGTGAACGGCGGATCGCGCGATTCGTCAATAAAAAGCCCGCAGAATAAAGCCTTGGCACCCTGGGTTCGCTCCATCAACCCGTGCAACACGTCAAGGGAGGTGCTGCGAGACACGAGCTGGTTTGGGCGCTGGCAGCATGCCTACCCGCGGCCGCCTCACGTCGCCGTGGTGAAATGGAAGAGCTTGAAATCCCCTGCGATCTTGCCCTTGACCACAGAGGAATTTCCAACCGCCAAGGAGCTGGGGACTGATTATCTGCAGACACCGTATCGGGTCTTCCCGAATGACGATCCGGAAGGGTTCGAAGTACCGAAGACAAGAGGAATTCTGCTGCGGGAGATGATCTCACTGCGCCTGTCGCACGGGTTTCAAATTGTCATCGGGAAGCATGTCGCCGAGGTGTCTGGGCAACATGCATTGGAAACCTTGAATGTCTTCAATACCGCGAGCTTAGAACGGAACGGTGCCACTATCTTTCTTTCCAAGGGCAACTCTATCCACCGGCTTGTCTGTGTGGATGGCGGAGAAATCGAGGTCACGCGTTTCACACACAGGACCTCTTCTGCTTTAGCAGCCGGGAGACGGGATGGCTTTTCCCTCTACTCGCCAGCGATGCGGACAATCCTGAGCCCCGAGTACGAGCTCAAGAACATCAAGCTGGACCCAACTGCGGAGGAATATAACTGGAACTACGCAGACAACTACGTTGCCGGACACCGCGACTACCTGTTCAACCCGGCGCAGCAGCTGCAGTTCTGGCGCGTGCGATATGTGCTCATACCGATGCATCTGCATGTGAACACCCGCCGCCACCTGCAGTCCTTCAACGAGGACAACGAGGAAGAAATCCACCTGCTGGGCATCAACCAGCTGACGCATATCTGGCAACGGCACAAGTACATCCCGCCTGAGGAGAAGAGGTTCGAGTCTTCGAACAAGAAGAAGGAGCAGAACCCTCTGAACATCATGTACCAGACTCGGAACCCGTCCGAGGTGGTAGCGGCCGAGCTGGACCGGATCTTGCTTTCCGACCCGGGCTTGGACAGTTCGCCTGCGCAGCTGCTACCGGAATCCGAGCTCCTAAAGCGATCGAGTATTAGTCTATCGTCACTGGCACATATCATCCAAGGGGACAAGGGCGTGCGGATGATGGATCGACGGTGGCATTGGCGGCTGCATTATAACTGCTTCATCGGGTTTGAGCTTACGACCTGGCTTCTGCAGAATTTCCGCGACATTGACAGCCGCGAGGAAGCGGTGGATTTTGGTAACGAGCTGATGAAACACGGTCTCTTTCAGCATGTGGAGAAGAGGCACAACTTCCGTGACGGAAACTACTTCTACCAGATCTCGAGCGAGCATCGAATCTCGCGACCTGAATCCCGAGGTGGCTGGTTCCCTCAGAAGCGATCGGACAAGGGTGTCCCCTCCACACCAGCGAGCAACAACGCCAAGGACTCGCCCCTAAGCGGCCATGCCCGGTCCGACAGTCTCGAGGATGGGCCTCCCCACACCCCTGCCACTCCATCCAAGTCCAAGAATAAAGCTACGATCATGTTGTCGAAGATGATGAAATACGATGTGGATCCTCGCAAGCGATCTAACCGACCGGAAGTCATCGATCTACACTACGACCGGCTGCATAACCCGGACAATTGCTTCCACTTTGAGCTCAGTTGGATGAACACCACCCCGAAGCTGATTGAGGATACCGTGTTGTCGTGGGCAGCTACGGCCGAGAAGTTCGGACTCAAGCTCGTTCAGGTCCCCATCGCGGAAGCCAGCGCAATCAGCCGAACGCAGCCCTTCCGCAAACCGTACCGGGTGTCTCTGAAGATCCCGCCTCCCAAGGGGCCGGTCCCCACGCTGTTCAACACCGCTTCTTTCTCGCAGCCGGGCTTCACGGACATGCACTACTACCATAAGGCCATGCTGCGAAAATTCGACTTTGTCCTAGATTTTGAGGCGAGATCCGCTTTCCCTGCGGATGTCGGGGTGTCGTACTCCTGGGGTACCCCGGACTATCAGTATCCGCAGTACATCCACCGCTCCGGCAGCACGTTGGTGCAGCTCACCGACGAAGGCGATTTTCTGTTCCTCGCCAACCGGCTGGTCAGTACGCGAGCTGCCGCAAGCCGGGAGATGCCGCGATATGAGCGGATGGACCGGGCAGAGCACCTGCGCACACGTGCAGCGACTCACGACCCCTTGGACCGTCTCTCCCCGCGGCTGTCGCCGATCGTGCGGCCCCTCCACGAGATCGGCAGCCCGCAGGTACAGTCGAGCATTGACTCGGCGCATCTCTACCGTGCCCCCGAGCTGATCATCTTGGGGTTTGCGGAATTCTGCAACGACGAAGGGCGACTCGAGCAGTTCTACAAGGAATCGCACGCGCGCCCGGTCTCGACCAAGGTCGGGCCTGCGACGACCACGCTGATGGACTCATCGATTCCGTCCCTGGAGCTGCCTGCGAGCGTGGTCAGCCATCATCTCTCCCATCCGCCCGCGTTAGTAGCGAGGGCGTCGGTCGATGGGTCCATCTCATCGATCGACGTGAGGGTTCGGGCGAGGAATGACAGCGTGAGCTACAAGGGAAGCCCGAGAAGTGGCAGTCTGCGGCCGCTGAATTTGAGCTGAGCTGAGCTGGGATTGATATTTGCTATTGCTATTGCCATTGTAATGATACCCTGTGAGGATACTTTTTTTTCCTTTTTTTTTTTTTTCTGTCTTGATATGACTATGACTGGATGTATACATGAGCCATGACCAAATCCCTTCCAAGAATTTCTTATTCTTATTGTCTCTCTTCTTCTCATCCTCCAGCTAGTAGTCTATGGCTCTAAACGTTGTTAACACCCTTCGTAAGCAAACACCATCATCTCCCGCCAAGATGCCCTCGTGTCTCTCTCCACCACGAGTTTACCCGTTCAGGCAGAATCGCACCAGCACCGACAAGATTTGTACAGGCTTCATTGGTGGACATGGATGCTCCCCGAAAGATAACGCATCAATCGCCTTGCACAGCCTATACAGGACACCCGCATGAGATTTCTAGACCCCCCCCCCCCCGCCCCCCCGGGGGGGCCCCAACTCTTCTTTCCTGCCTACTCCGTATATCATTATCCCCCCTCTCGGCCACCCACCCCCCCCCAGACCTTGCCCCGCCCACCGTTCGAACTCCAACATGCCATACGTCGAATCGGTCGCTGGCAATGCGGTAGACTAGACTGGAACACGGGCATTCGGCCCGTATCGTATCGGGGAGGGGGGTGTGAGAGGGGGGGGGGGAGAAAATAGGGACTGAAATATGGGGGAGCTGATCCGCCGCAGTCTCGATGAAAATGGATGGGTTGATTGGGATTGCTTCCGTGAAATTTTCCTTCAATTCAAGCTTACCTTTATCTTTATCTTTACCCGTCGTACATAAAAAAAAAAAAGAGATAGGATATACGGGGAGTAGAGGACAGGATGAAGTTCACAGAGGGCATGTGGCTCCTTCGGGTAGGATTCTGATTCTTCTTCCGTCTGTTTACCAAAAAGACAGAGAGCTAGCTGATGGATGATTTAAAATCAATAGGAGGGCATCCGCATCGACTGGATGAATAACGTCGAAAGACTCAGCGTGCAGAATGAATCGGGATCCGTCGATCTGCTGCTCAACAAGCACCAGCGACACCGCGGCGACACGCTGAACTCGGGTACGTTGAAACGAAAAAAAAAACGTTCTACGCCAGGTGGATGTGTTGTGTAGGATGATGTTGATCTTATGGCTGACACTGTGCTGCTGCTGCTGCTGCTGCTGCTGCTGCTTACTAGCGACTGTATCCGCGCGCGTCACATCGCCTCTGGAGGGCATCATTGGCGTCAAGCTCGTGCACTGGTACGTGAGAAGAAGGGGGGGGGGGGGATGGCCCAGGGGGGCGCGCGCAAAGCAAAACAGGAAGTATGCATGTTAATGTCAAGCAACAGGGCCGGACAGGTCGACAAAGGCCCGCATTACCACCTCAGCACGGCTACGGGCCACGCCCAGATCACCCACACGCCGCACGAGACACTCCGCTACACCAGCGGCGCGCTGGAGCTGAGCATCAACACGGCGGCGAACGAGCTCTCGTTCGTGTTCGCGGACGCCCAGGGCAAGCTGACGGGCCACTCGTGGCGGTCGATTGGGTACGTCGGCGACCAGACGACGGAGAAGTCGCGGTGGGACGACGGCGTCTTCTTCGAGCGCCAGGGGTATATGCTGGCGGGGCTGGACCTGGGCGTGGGCGAGAAGCTGTACGGGCTTGGGGAGCGGTTCGGCCCGTTCGTGAAGAACGGGCAGCGGGTGGATATCTGGAACGAGGACGGGGGCACCTCGTCCGAGCTGGCGTACAAGAATATCCCGTTCTACATCAGCTCGAAGGGGTATGGCGTTTTCGTGAATCACCCCGGCAAGGTCAGCCTGGAGCTGCAGTCGGAGCGCACGACCCGCGTCAATATCTCGCTGCCCGGCGAGGAGCTGGAGTACTTTGTCGTGTATGGCCGCACGCCCAAGGAGATTGTGGGACGGTATACGGCGCTGACGGGGCGGCCGAGCCTGGTGCCGTCGTGGAGTTATAACCTGTGGTTGACGACGAGTTGCGTTCCCTACCCCCCCCCCCATAATCCCCCTCTGATTGACAAGACGCGGGATGCTGATTTCTGACGATCGACGACTGCAGGCTTCACGACCAACTACGACGAACAGACCGTCACTGGCTTCCTGGATGGCTTCCGCGACCGCGACATCCCCCTGGGCGTGTTCCACTTCGACTGCTTCTGGATGAAGTCGTACCAATGGTGCGACTTCGAGTTCGACGCCGACATGTTCCCCGACGCCGGCGGGTACCTGGCCCGGCTCAAGGAGCGCGGCCTGCGCATCAGTGTCTGGATCAACCCGTACGTGGGCCAGGCGTCGCCTCTGTTCCAGGAGGGCAAGGACAAGGGGTATTTCATCAAGGTAGATCTGCCCCAACCGGTTGGAGGCAATCCGTGACGAATGCCAGAAGAAAGACCTACTAACCGAAAGTGATAAATTCGTGTGTAGCGCACCGACGGCTCCGTCTGGCAATGGGACCTCTGGCAAGCCGGCATGGCCATCATCGACTTCACCAACCCAGCCGCGTGCACCTGGTTCGCCGCGCACCTCACCCGCCTCATGGACCTGGGCGTCGACTCCTTCAAAACCGACTTCGGCGAACGCATCCCCCACCGCAACATCCAGTACCACGACGGCTCCGACCCCACCCGCATGCACAACTACTACACGCTGCTCTTCAACCGGCTCGTCTACGAGACCATGAGCGCGCGCTACGGCCGCTCGCAGAGCCTGCTGTTCGCACGCTCCGCCGCCCCCGGCGGCCAGGCCTTCCCCGTGCACTGGGGCGGCGACTGCGAAAGCACCTACGAGGCGATGGCGGAGTCGCTGCGCGGCGGGCTCTCGCTCATGCTCTCGGGCTACGTCTTCTGGGCGTCCGACATCGGCGGATTCGAGGGCACGCCGCCGCCGGCGCTCTACAAGCGCTGGGTGCAGTTCGGCCTGCTGTCGTCGCACTCGCGCCTGCACGGCTCCTCGTCGTTCCGCGTCCCCTGGATCTACGGCGAGGATTGCTCCGCCGTGCTGCGCGACTGCGTGAAGCGCAAGATCCTGCTGACCCCGTATCTGCTGGCTGAGGCGCTGCTCGGCCACCGCGCCGGCGTGCCGCTCATGCGGCCCATGTTCCTCGAGTTCCCCGATGACCTGAACACCTACCCGCTCGACACGCAGTATATGTTCGGCGGCAATCTGCTGGTGGCGCCGGTGTTTGCCGATGATGGGAAGGTCACCTTCTACGTGCCCCGGACGCCCGAGGACGGCGCGGGCAAGTGGATCTCGTGGTTCGACCACGGCAAGACGTATGAGGCCGGCCAGTGGTATACCGAGACCCATGGGTTTGATACCCTGCCGCTGCTGGTGCGCCCGGGCTCCGTCACCCCGATCAATCCGAAGCTCAAGGCGCCGCAGGACGATGCTCTGGATGGCCTGGAGCTGCTGGTCAACGGGTCTTTGGCTGCGGAGGTGGCGGTAGAGATCGTGGATCCGGCAAAGACCCATGAGACTCTCAAGATTGTGCGGGTTTCGCCCGATGGCAAGGCCGACGATGCCAGTGTGAAGGTTGTCTGTGTAGCAAAATAGAGGTACTCACCAGTCCAGGACTAAAAGCATAGTGGAATGAATATACACGTGCTCTTTCAGTCAAGCGTAACATTCTCATAGTTGTAATCACACTCAAATTCCCTAGAACTCACACCCGGCAACTACACCACTCTGGTCAGACAGAAAGGTGACGGGCTAGAAATTGTAAATCATACATGAATGGAAGGAAATAGCAACTCAGCTCAAACACAGGGGTATCATAACAAAATCTTCGACCAAACAAAATAGAACATTGATCAGCCGATGCACGCTGCGGCAGCAGACCAAGAAAAAAAAGAAAGAAAAAAAAATCTTTCCATCAAATAAGCAGATGCTCAAAAACGCTGTGGAAACGTGAGACAAGAAGAAAGATTTAAAAAAGACAATGGGACTACCAAGCCTCCTCAACGTCAAGGAGCCACTTGCGAATTCCCTCTCGTAGGGTATTGTCCACGCCGGCCAGAGAACGTCGTCGCTCCCGGTCTGCAATACCAACTTCCTCATCAACGTCCTCGCGGCAATGTTCAGCTGTCACGCTGCGGACCACTTCCTCCAAGGCACCGAGCACCATCTTACGGCACTCCGCCCGAGGAACCTCGAGCGATGGGACATCGTCCCGGGGGACGGTGTCCGACGTGCTTCGATCGTCGCCTCTTCGAGCGCGGGATGGAGACTGGGCTCGAGAGTGCGCCAACGAGGACTGGCCACTCTGAGCAAGGACACGCTCAAGGGCATCCACGAGAGTACCATCCAGATCCATGACAGGCTCCTCGACAAATCGTTCTTCATATTCCGGTACCTCGAACGCGTCCGCAGCGGAATGGGTGGACGTCCTGCTCGAGACAGAAGCATGAGAGAAAAAACTCGTGAGTTGCGACGCAGATGTCGCGGTACCAAAGAGGTGGCGCGGCGTCCCAGGCTGCGAGATGCCTCCGGGAGTGGATGGGGTCTTGCAAGCCCCATTTCCGACGATCTTACGTCTCAGACGAAGCCGCTTGACACTGAAACTCCGGGTGTCGGCAATCAAGGTCGTGGCAACGTCCACCCACTTCTCTTGCCCTTCCGGTTCAAACGAGAAAGCGGCAGTGGGCGTGGGCTCGGCTTGCATGGCCCGTTTAATGTCGGCTTCGATGCTCGCGTACGGTCGCACCGCCTGCAACAAAAAGTCCTCGTGAAAGGTCTTAAGCCAGCCGGCAACATTCATATTCGGGCCGTCGTTGTCCTTGGTCCCACAGTGAAATCCAGAGTTACTGCTATGGGTGGAGGCCAATGCGTCAATGCTCGTGACCGAGGTCCGGGTTTTCTTCGGGGACGCCACGGTCGAGTCGCCCGACGAGGAAAGAGAAAGGAAGCCGGGAAGGGGGAGTTCCACATCCACTATGCCATCATCCCCTCGCACAGACAGCTTCAGAGACGATTCTCTGTTCTGCTCCGGCAGAGATGACGGCTCTTGAGCTTGCTCATCGATCCCGTGCTGACTGGAAGACCGGGGAATGGAGATGGTGCCACTCGGGGTGCTGGTTTCGGGGATTTCATGCAATACTTCTCCTGCCACTTCCTCGACCATTTGGGTCAAGGTGGGAGGGCTCCGCTTGGATGGGGCGGCATAGCCAGAGACCGATCGCCTGCGAGGCTCGACAGAAGCCATCGAATCGCTACCGCCAGTCCCCGAGGATTCCTGGCGCGAGCTCCACAGGCCGGAGAATAAACTGCCCCAGCGCCCACCATTGGGCGGGATGCTGCTGTTGGCGCTGATGGCGGAACTCTCGCTTCGTTGTAGATTCCGCAGGAGATTCTCCGACGCCAAACTGTCGGCGCCCGGGGTACTCGGATCCGGCTCCTCTTTGCCACGACGGGGCTGTCGCGACGCGAAATGAGGCACTGGGACAGTGGTGGCGGGCGTCGCCGTGGAGGTAGTCGCGACGCTGGTGTTCTTGTTCCGCAAGTCTCTCGGGTGCATGGGAACGCTCAAATTTCTGATAGAACGAGCATCCGAGCCTCTCCGATGCGTGCCGATTTCAGACAGCGTCGGATCGATATCGTCGGCCGATCGATGGGCGGTTTCAGTGGACGAGGCGCTCACGGAGCGTTGGTGATTCTCGGCCAGGCGCTGTGCACGGGAACGTCGTTCAATAGCCCTGCGGAGGGATTCCTGTCTCAAGACCGGCACGGTGGGCGGGCTTTGAGAGATCGCACGTGCAGACGCCGAAGTACCTGGCCGCAGAGGCGACGGAAGGGGTTCAAAGCATTGCTTGGCCGGGAGGAAAGCCGATAGCAAGAAAATGAGCCGGCGAGCAGTCATCTTGTCAGGCGAGATCACGACAGTCCGGTGGGCAAGGACGGGGTCGGCGTCCTGCTGAGCCTTTTGCTGGAGGTAGTGGCGCCGCCGGTACCAGTCCGGTCCGAGCGTGTTGAGCCACTCGGTGTGGTTACCCAGGAATGCCGTGATCAGAACCAAGAAGAAGAAGCTATGCTCTTTGTCGCCAAGATTGCGCACGATCGAGCGTCCTTCTTCTCGCCACACACCCCAGCGGCTCTGGCCCGTCACCACGTATGGGGTCTGCAAGGCAATGCCGATCCGACGGGCGCTCCGCAAGGCCTCATCCTTCAGCTTCGAATTCACAGCCAGGATGTTTGCCGGCAGATGGACGATCGTCTGGTTGGTCCGTTGCATATTGGGGGGCTTGGCAGGCTTGGGATTCGCGCCCGACAAGGAATCCACTTTCTTCAGGAGGAACAAGATCTCCTTACGGGAGAGTCGCTCCAGGTGCGACAGCGTACGATTGATCACATCCCAATGATCTACCAGCATATCGATTCGCTCATCCAAACTCGCCGGTGGGGAGGCAAGAGACAGGCTGTCGTCGAGAAAGCCACCGCGCCAGCGATAATCTGAATCCAGTGAGCACGACATTCCCACCTTGGGGGAGTCGGTCGCCGGCGAGCTAAAACGCGACCCCGGCCGTCCCGAGTTGCGCGAGAGAAGCGGGATCTGTATCGTGATGGCCACGGCATACATCGGCGTCTTTTTCTCCTTGATCTTCTTGCGTTTGGTGACGTCGGGAAACGGGAATCCGTTCTCGGGCAGCGATTCCTGGTACATGAAAGCAGGATAGTCGGGCCGGTCTGGAGACGTCTCGCCCCCCTCGGGCAAGTTGACACTAAACATTCTGGTGAGCAGGATGGTGACTTTTGCCGGCGGCTTGGTCTCGTTGCCTGGTGCAGGGCCTATAAGCCCCGACGAACTTCCGGTGGTATATGCCCGTGAGAGCGAGGTGCGGCTTGCAGGCGATTCACTGGCGGTTCGTCCCGATTCCTCATCTGCGGAGATGATGTGCATCTTGGTGGAGGAGCCGCGGTAGCTGAACGCACTGCTGCCGAAAATGCAGTTCAACAGACCGGTATCATTACTTTCTGCCGGATGCCGTGAGCGGCCCGCTTCATTCAGTCCTCCGGCAGGTGAGAGGGTCGAACTGCGGCCACGAGCGCGGATGAAAGCACCGGAGCCCATCGGGGGGGATCGACGGGCTTCCGCGGCGACAGAAAGCGGGCTCGGATCGGCGGCGGAGGAAGGGGGGAGGAATCCGCGGCGAGGGGCTCGCGACAGACTCGAGAGCGTGCGAACATGTCTTGTTCCCGAATTATCGAGCACGTATGGTTCGGAATCGGGCGTGTTCGATGTCAAGTCCGACGAATTCGCACGGGTATCCAACAGCACGCAAGCATCTCGGTCCCCAAGAGCGTTCTGGGCGATGATCACCCGAAAGTCCTTGATGGGGTCGAGTTCCACGCCCCCACGATCATCATAAGCACCGGCTGTCGAGGCATTGGGGAAGTTGAAGGTGGTATGTAACGGGTAGGCATGCGTATTCGAGCGTCGCAGCAGACTCGCATCGGGAAATAGCAGGCCGGAGGTGTGTTCTTCCTCGGTGACGGATTCCAGTTGCGTAGAATTTCGGTTCGAGTAGGCCGCTGGGTTTAAAGTGGACGCTGCACTGCTCAACAATCGACCCAGCATGGTGGTTATTCCGAGGGGAAGAATTGTTCAGAAAGGAGGAAGAGAAAGACGAGAGAAAAAGGAAAAGAAATAGAAAAGAGAGAGAGAGAGAGAGAGAGAGAGAGAGAGAGAGAGAGAGAGAGAGAGAACGGGCAGCGGGGGGGGGACTGTTCGAATAACAGAACAAGCCAGGAGAGTGGAGAGTTGGAAGTTCGAAGGACGATGAAGGATATCCGGTCACCAACAGCTGGAGTTCCCCAGAGAGCGATGCTAATTATGGCCAACCATGATCAAGGCGACCTTGACCGAGGGGCAACTGGGGATTCTTCCAAGATTACGAAAAAGGGAAAGGACACCAGCTGCACAGTAGGAATCCCGCGGGTGATTAATTGATCGATAGACGAGGGTCACTATGGCCGTGGACGACCATTCCGGGGCAGGAATTTGTCAGAGAGGAGACCAGAAGATAGCTCTAACCACCATGAGAGAATGAATTATGGATGATTAGACCGATATGATAATATCTACTCAAGTCAGGAGAATCCAGCAGAGGAACGGGATGGGGAAAGAAAAGAAGAAGTAAGGAAGAGGACGATAACGGGTGTGGAGGGGAAAGCAAAGAGGGAAAAGTCCGGAGTTTTGAGGGGGAAAGGAAAACAAGAGAGAGAGAGAGAGAGAGAATGCCATGAAAGGGCGGTGAAGCAGCAAACAGGAGAGAGAGAGATAGCCGTCAACCACAGGAAGAGTCAGGATTATTCTATGATTTGTGAGCAGTGCTATTAGTATGATTATTTATTACTCTGGTGATTGATAGTCAGTCTAGGTATCTAGTCTAGATCACTAGAGACTAGAGAGATCAGAGGACAGACAAAGAGAGAGAGAGAGAGAGAGAGAGAGAGAGAGAGAGAGAGAGAGTCTCCAGGATGATCAACCTGAAGAGGAGAAGATATTCACACAATGATCTCAGCCTCATCTCATGGTGATGCACATCGCATGCAACTCATCATTGTCAAATCCCTACAGATCCGTACTCTATACTTCCTAGTCCATAGTATCAGTGGTTTGACTCCAACAAGAAATCATACTGCAGGGCGGGGTAGGACGAACACTTCATCCTGCATCCAATCCATTTAGGAGTCACCGACTGTTGATCATGACACACAGCATCAAAAGAACAAAAGAAAGAATGGAAGGATGCTGTGGGTGACACTGAGATCCAATTCAATACCCCTCCAAAAGGTAGACCAGTAGACGAGGAGGAGACAGCCTACCGACAGATAGATAATGTACAATGCTTTTATTGTCCGCTCGAGAGAAAAAAAAAAAAACCAAAAGAAACAACACCTCCCTCCCAAGAATCACCCGAGGAGTCTCAGGCTTACTTCTGCTGTGTCTTGCGCTTCACTTGGTCCACAAGTTTCTTGAGGTCCTCGGTCCCTCCGTTCCCAGACGCGCTCTGCTTCTGCTTCTTCTGCTTCCGATCACGCGTCCTGGTGTCGACCTCTTCGCCTCGGTCATCCCGATCCCTGCGTCGCTTGCGTCCCTCGTCCAGCAGGGCTTTCATGCCCGATGTCGCCTTGAATTTCGGGTTGGTGGGGTCAATAGCGAACTCGTGACTCTCGAACAGCCGGGCAAATCGAGGATCGCTGACGTCCATCTGGAAATCATCCGAAACAGCGGGGGCCGGAGCCGCCTTCGCCTTCTTCATCTTGTTCTTCTTGCGGGCCTGTTTCTCGGATTTCTCGATCTCGTTCATATCAAAGTGCTTGATGCCGGATTTCTTGTCGTCCAGCATCAGAAGCTCGAGCTCGGCCCGCTTGGCCGCGTTGGCCGCCTCCTCCGCCTCGCGCTCCTCCCGCTTCTTGCGCTTCTCCTCCTTGCGACGAGCCGCCGCTGTAGCCTTGCCAGTCGGGTCGTCAAAGAATGGATCGTTGAAGCCCAGATCTTCTTGGGGAGCGGTCGCGGCGTCATCGGGGTTCCCAGAGCCGCTGGGAGCCGCTTCGTTCTCATTGGCGGAGCCCTCTACGTCGCCGTCGCCGTCACCCTCACCGTGCTTCATAGCCTTGAGCTTCTCCTTTCGTCGCTTCTTCCGTTCACGCTCCTTGCGGACGTATTTCTCAATCGTAGTCTCTTCCTTCTCGGGAGCGTTTTCGAAGATATTGTCCCGCTTCGGCTCGCCGGCCAACCCGGAGGTAAAGGTGACCTCCATCTCGCCGACAGGACCCTTGGGTTTCGATGACTTGACGGGAGCCGCACTCAAGCCCAAAAGAGCTCGCATCCGCTGTCGCTCTTCCTCCTTCTTCGAGAGTTTAGTGCTCGGTGCGTCTTCCCTCGTAGCATCGATAATTTCCACCTCCTCGTCGGCTTCGTCCTCGGAGCTGTCGCTGGCCAGGTAAGCCTTCAGGTCGTTCTCGTCAATATCCTTGCGGCTGCCGCGGAATGCCCGCGCCTGAGCATCCTTGCGCGACTTGTCCTCCGCATCCCATGTAAGCTTGACCTTGCTGTGCTGGAGCGCATCGGTCACGAACTCGTTCGGCTGGTATCCATCCGGGATCCGCTCACACTCGTCACGCGGCTTGTCGTCGGAGAAATCGGTCTCGTCTGGCACAAAGCGAAGGTCGAAGAAGTTGGCACTAGACAAGTATTCTGCTCCGTCCACGGAATCGTAGACGTTCTTGGCGACCTCTTTGCTCGAGAACGTCAGGATCGCATAGTAGTACCGCAGCCGTTCCAGCTGGTACTTGCGTAGTTGTGTAGAGTTGAATTCCTCGCCCTTGTCCTCCTTCAGCATCGACTTTTTAATCTTCTCCTCTTCTTCGTCGGAGTCAAGCACCTCCTCCTCCTCCTCCTCATCCTCGTCATCCTCGTCCTCTTCGGCCTGCTTACTCGAAGCAAAAATCTCCCGCGGCGGCCCTTCCGTCTCCTCCTTTTCCATGCGCTCCTTGCCGAACTCGCTGGGGTACACCGAAACCTTCAGCACCCGCCCGCCCGTAGGCACGAAACTCGAGAAGACAGCCATCAGGTCCTCCGCCCGAATATTATCCCAGTCCAGATTCACTACCGCAATCCGATTCGTCACCTCCCCAGTCGGCACATCCACCTGCTGCTTGTCCGGGTACTCCAGCTCCTCCACAGCCTGGTCCTCCCCCTCCCCCTCCTCATCATCATCGTCCTCGTCCTCGTCCTCGTCCTCATCGCTCGAACTCTCTTCCTCAGACGACGATGACGAAAATCCTCCGTCCCGAGCAGGATCATACGACGCATCCACCCGCTTCAGCTCCCGGAGCACCTCCTCATCGTCATCCGCCACCATCTCCTCGTCCTCCGCGCCATCCTCCAGCTGGTAAAACCGCTCCAGCTGCTTCTTGGTATCGTCCCGCGCAAGCTTGCGCCCGTATCGATCGACTGCCGCGTTCCGCGAGAAATCCTTGTCCCGCAGCATGTGCGCGAACCGCTTGTCGAGCTTCACGTGCGTCTGCCGTCGGCTGGGAAGCCGGTACCGCGGATCATTCTGGATGTCCTTGAATCTGGGATCGGCTGGAAATTTTGGAAAAGAAAAAGAACGAGGTTAGTTTGTCTGCGATGATCGGGTTTGGGGGTACGGGGGGGGGGATGGGAATGCAGGTCGTACTGATAACAGCGCCGGCCTCTGTTGAGGCCTTGCTGCCTTTTTTGGATTTCTTGTGGTCTGGCATCGTGGATTTGGCCACGTGCGATGAAAAAGAGGGATTTGAAAGAAGGGATAAGTGGTAAAATAGAGGTGATTTGTGAAGGTGTCGTCTTCTTCTTCCAACTTTTTTTTTTTTTTAGTCTCTTCGGATTGGGGGTTGATAAGGATAATTTTCTTTTGGCGGTGGAACCAAAGAGTAGTCTTCGGTGTTGCTGGAGTGGCTCGTGCGTTTCCATGCTGATCGGCCAATCAATGTGGCCGGCCGCAGTAACAATGCAATTGAAAACAGCTGAGCTTCATAACCTCATTACCTTACCTACTAGAAGTACTACTGGTATGTGATCCATATGTACAGTTCATTGTGCAGATTTATGTGACATAGACCAGCAGATTAACATCCAAAATATCTCTTCTCCATCCACCGGGGTTCCCGCTCCTCCTCAATCCGTCCTACAATGACCTTCACTTGGGGATAGACGGTAGTCAGTCGCTTGAGCCCAACCTTCCCAGCTGCACAAGTGACAAAGACGATCTTGCCCTCCGCGACCCCATGGTCGATCAGCACGCGGACGGCCATCAAGGCAGCTCCTCCGCTGGACATCTGAGGATCCAGAAGCATGACGGTCGCATGCTCCTCGATCTTCGAGGGCAATTTCAAATAGTGCAGCTCGGGTTCTTCATTCTGCTCGTTAGTCTGGATGAGTACGCGACCAGTGATACAATCAGGAATGGTTCGCTTGAGCGCGGTCTCAAGGCAGGAGCCACCGCGTAGAACTGCCACGGCGGACACTGTGCCTGCCGGGTTCAACCCGTCGTAGTGAGTTCCCTGAGGAGTCTCCACCTTGGATGGATCATACGAAGTGCTGTCAAGCGCTCTGTTTGGTAAATGATGGTTAGTGATGAACTCCAAATTGACGATCTCCAGAGTTGACATACTTTTCAATTAACAAGCAAGCAAGCCGATCGAAATAGAAAACAAAGTCGACTTGCTCCGTGGCCGGATCCTGTAGGATGGTGTTCATACCGACAAACTGCGGCGTATGAGGCATGACAAACACGTTGGGTGACAATTTCTCTTCCAAAGCGAGCTTGCCCAATTTTTGCAACTCCGCACTGTGCTTCTCGGATTTCTCCTGCAGCTTGCGCTGAATATGCTTCACGACCATATCTAGGAGAACGTTCAGCGAGTGTATGAGCCGCAAAGTGACTATATCACTCACCGATGGCGGTTTTGTTTTCGATTCCGCGTGGGATAATGATGTCTGTTCGTCGTTAGAGAAGCACGCCAGAGCGAGTAACCATACTATCTTACCCGAGACTGCACGCTGAGGCTCGACAAATGTCTTATACGATGGCTTGACAAATTGGAACCACTGCTTGATGATGCCATCGATATCTCGGCCTCTTTCACGGACATCGCGCAAGACTGGCATCCTCCTCTGTTAGAGGAGCTCCCTTTGCGTGGAGTCGAAAGTCACTCACTTCTGCGTCCAAGGCACACATCCATATCGGCTTCTACAAAGATCTAGAGCGATATGGTGAGTATTTGTACACTGTGCTACAGGTGCTCGAGAGAGGTACCTTGACATCCAACATCTCCATGATCCGTGGATCATGCAGGGCCAAGATTCCCTCCAAAATCAAAACATGCGGAGAATAGAGGGTCGTCGTCTGGGGTTGACGCTGATGTTCACCGAATGAATAGACAGGGATATTGGCCTTCTTTCTTTTAGGCACATTTGCTATTAGCCCCCCTGCCTGGCAATCGCAAATGAGCACCGCGGAGATATTACCCTTGCTTCAGATCGGTCAGGGTCTGTACTAATGCATCAAAGTCTATCGCATCCGGGCAGTCAAAATCGAATTCATTGGCATGCGCTTTGCGGTGTTGCTCTGGGGTCAGGCTCTTATAGAACGAGTCCTGTTCCAGAAACGGTTAGAGATCACGAGGGTGGTTTGATCTGGGAATATCCCTCAAGAGCAGGCCGAGAATACCATCACCAGGATGACAACCCACGGCAGATTCAGAGACTTCACAATCTCCATCGCCACCGAGGTTTTGCCAGAGCCAGAGCTACCAGCTATACCAATGATACTCAGATCCGCCCATGGTGGGGAGTATGTCTTCTTTGTGGGCGCGGAGTAAACAGGGGGAATGGACTCCATGGTTTCTACTCGTTGCAAAAAAAAAAAAAAAAAAAAGAAAGAAAAAAATATAAAAGAAGGTTATTAGGGAGCTTCAGATATAATATATCAATGCAAGATTCCTGACCCTCCAAACATATGCAACATGACAGTCAGGCCAGGAATCACCAGCACTGTGGATGCTCCAAAGCTGATAAGAACAAGAAACCCTCAAAGCTTCTTCTATAATCGGCGCTTGGCCCGCCTAGGACTAGCGCCGTCCCGTGACTTTCGCTTGCAGTTTAGCGCCAAAAGCTCCAAGCGTGACCCAAAAAGCTCCCGCTTTTTTTTTCCTCTCAGCTTTTCCTCCTCTTCTTCTTCTTCCTCTCTCACTCAGACTATCTAGATACTCTCATGGCTCCCGTCTGCGAGGTTTTCCATCTTCACAGACAGCCAGAACAGTCCAAAGACACTTGATCTCATCATCAAGGTTGACACCAGATCCGTCCCACAATGTCTTCAGCTCATTACGTATGCTCTCCCACGGGCTGTGCGCACGGAATAGCTTGATTTTTAACGGGAAGCAGGTGTCTCCCTCTTCCTCGACAACAACGCCAACATGGCATCAGTTCGAGCGAAAGGTTGATGAGGTCAAACCATCCAAGACGTGAGTTTTTTTTTTACTCCTATTTTCTTTTCCTTTTTCTTTTTCCTTTGTTCCTCGTCAACACCTTACATGATGATCTTGAAATCAAGTTGGGAATCTCTCTGAAATTACATGAGGAGAAAATGTTAACTTGTGTTTCTGATTTGTTGTCATCAATTGGCTTTGTTTTCTCATTCGCCTATTGAGTCTCGTGCCGTGCTAACAACTGGCGCAGTGATATAAATCATCTAGTGATGGACTACCTCATTACCAATGGATACCCAGCGGCTGCGAAGAAATTCGCAGTCGAGGCCAACATTCAGCCCAAGGCGGATATTGATTCCATCCAGGAAAGGGTAGAGATTCGCACTGCGATTCATTCTGGCAATATCCAGGCTGCAATTGAGAAAATCAATGATCTCAACCCACAGGTATGCAGAATTTTTTTTTCTCCTTTTGCCCCGCACATACCCCTTTCTGCTATGATTATATCGGTTTACATGCACCACTCATAAATACCCTTCTGGGTCTTGATGAAAAACAAACATCTTCAGTCCTCAGTATGAGCAACACACATCTTGATCATGTCATCACTTAATATTATACTTTGTTTTGACATGGTATGCTGACTTCGTCTGCATAGATCTTGGATGAAAATTCATCTCTGCACTTTGCATTGCTTCGCTTGCAGCTTGTCGAACTGATTCGCACATGCATGTCGACGTCTGATGGAGACATCAGCCCTGCCCTCGAGTTTGCAACCTCGGAACTTGCTCCACGTGCACCCACCAACCCACAGTTCCTGGAGGATCTCGAGCGCACCCTCGCTCTCCTGATCTTCCCCACTGACAACTTGGCCCCCTCCCTCGCGCCTCTTTTGCATCCAGACCTCCGTAAAGATATTGCAGCCAAGGTAAATGAGGCTATACTCCAGAGTCAGGGAGCCCGTAAAGAAGCTCGACTGCGCAACTTGGTCAAACTCCGCGCGTGGGCCGAGCAGAAAGCCCGAGAAGCCAAAAAGGATTTGCCCGAGAAGCTGGATCTCGGCCTTTATGATGGCAACAACGTAAAGAACACCTCGGGCGCCAGTCAAAATGGCGCTTCGAATGATACTGTAATGACCAACAACGGCGAAGTTGACCCTATGATTTCATGATTGTCTTTTGAGGTCAAACTGTCACCGTGTCTTGTTCTGTCCGATTAGCGAGGAGTTTTTCGGCGCCATTGTTTCATTTCTACAATCCTATCCAACCATAGCTTGATATCCTCAATCCTATTCGCATATTCAATTATCCCTGGCTGTTATGTCTTTGCCTTCCTCGTTTGTTCGATATGGTCAAACAGATTATGAGAGGACGGCGTTGATGTTCTCGTCATCATGTGGCTGGACACGAGAGGCGCTGAACCTATGCATCTGAGTCTCTGATCAAGGAGCTGTAGATGAATGAAAGAAAGTCCAACCCTGCCTACCAGGGGCATGGCCGACATCTATTTATAACATGTCTTATAGATATTGGTTGTTTTGTTGACAGTGGCTGCGCTCTTCTGCGACAGGTTGACTATCTCTCTATACGGCTAGATAGATAGATATATATATACATATATCGATCCCGACTTGATCATCCCCGCCTGCAACCCACCTCGACTGAATTACACCATTCAAGAAGTGTGTATTATGGCAGTAGTACAAGATAGAGATAAACTCTGCCACGCATGCAGTCAAATTCCCCCAATCGAGAGTTTCGGAACAGAATTCCAAACCATTTGGGCGTCCTTTGCGGAGATCGAGAACGGAGCCCACAGCGGATGTCCCTCCTGCTCATTTTTCTACTCAACCGCCAGTGGCTCGGAGCGTGATCAGGATTCTCCAGCCCAACCGGCCGTTCAGTATCCTTACGGCCTGAGATGGAACAGTTTCGTGCCACCTGCGCCAACGGCTCCAAATGAAAGGCCGACGCTCGAACTGCTTTGCGAAGCGAGATTGCCACCCGCCATAGCTGAAGGAAGCTTCGACTTCGCGTTCTACGATGTGTTTGCGAAAGCGGGTATGTTGTCGGTTTCGTGAAGCTTCGATGGTGCGTAGGTGTGAGCGACAGAGATAACCGCTCCAGATGACAGAGGAGCCATTGGCGAAGATACTCAAGATCCACGATGTCGACCCGGATCCTCGGTCAGACCGAGTATTCAGTGGGATTCGCAGGTGGATCGAAACGTGTCGTCGGACGCATGCCGCCTGTCAATCGCGAGACGATCCAGTCCTGCCCAGGTTTATAGTTGAAATTCGTTCCGGGTCGGGACCAGCGTTGGCGCCGCGGTTGCGGCTTGTTGAAACTGACGGGTCGACAAAGGCCCCCTACATCACGCTCAGTTTCGTATGGGGTGTCCAAGTGCAGCCGGTCCAACTGTCCAAGGCAAACTTCGGCCAGTTCAAGAAGTCGATCGACTACACGCTACTGCCACAAACCATTCAAGACGCCATCTACGTCGCGCGGCGGCTGGACGTGGGATACATATGGATAGACACTCTCTGCATCGTGCAGGACGACAGCGAGATCAAGAAGCAGCAGATTGCCCAGATGAACACGATCTTCGGTCACTCGTACCTCACCGTGCAGGCGGGCAATGTCCACTCCGTACACGAGTCGTTCCTCCGGCCGCGTCCTCCACCTGAGAAAACCCCACTACAGCTTCGATATAATGACGCCAGTGATGTCTTTCTGCGAGCAAACAGCCTCCAACAACCTTTCAAAGATAGTCCCGCAAACCGCCGCGGCTGGGTCTTCGAGGAAAGCGTCCTCCCGACCCGCCTCCTCGTCTACGGCACTCACCAGACCGCATTCGCCTGCAGAACCGTCTGCGAGCTCGAAGACGGCTTCCGCGGCCAACTCCGCAACGTACCCTACCCGAGCCTCCTCCACCCACCACGATGGTGGATCGGCGAACCCGAGCACTTCGCCGCCCGCCCGCCAGACCGCAGACTCGACTTCCTCCGATGCTGGTACCGGGCCTTGGACTGGTCCTACACACGCCGTCTGTTCACCCTGTCGCACGACAAACTCCCCGCCATCAGCGGCATGGCCACCCGCCTCCAGTCCGAGATCGGTGGCCGCTACCTCGCCGGGCTCTGGGAGTCCGATATGCCCTGGTCCCTGCTCTGGCAGTCGAGAGACCACCAGGGCAAACCCGCATGGATCAAGGAACCACAGCATCTGACCCGGCCTGCCGCGACCCGAGCACCCTCGTGGTCCTGGGCCTCCGTCGACGGGCCAACGGACCATGCATTCATGGAAAGATTCCGCCACCCTGACGGTCCCCTGGCGACGGCGTACACCGAGTCCCTGAGCGCGGATCCGCTGGGCGTTCTCTCCGACGGCGGCGTGCTACGCATCAGCAGCGCCCTGATCTACGCGACCGTCATCCCGCCCACGCACCCTGAATTCCAGTGCCTTGGCCCCATCGCGAGCCGCAAACATCTCGTCCATAGGACGATTCTGTCGCTCTTGGTCTGGGCCAGACCATCCACAGGGGCGGGAGCAGGAGCGGGAGCAGGAGCACACGAAGCGAGCTTACTAGGCCTCGCGAACTTCGACATCAAGGCCGAACAGGGCGCCGGTGTCTGGTGCCTGCTGATCTCGCACGCCAAGGGCCTGTTGCTGGAGTGTGTCGATCCGGGAAAGAAGATCTTCGCGAGGGTCGGATACTTCTCCTTATCTGTTGATGACTGGCTTCCGTCGTTGAACCAGGAGCTGCGGGTCGAGGTGACGATACTCTAGGTTTCTCGGCTTTTGGCTTCTCATGGTCTTGTAGAAAGGGCCATACAGCCCGCCATAGTATTTATACATGACTGGCGATTGATAAGAGTGGACGTAGATATCGAACGCATCTTGGAACATCACCACAGGTTTTCTCTATGTAAAAAATGAGTGATATACTCGGAACAACTCGAAGCGCTACCCTAACAACGAAAAGCAAGATCAGAAACAAAGGAGGATTGATTATATGTACAAAACAGCAAGATATGTAGAACGGGGTATTGATCCCACCAGCGATCACAACGTCATATCAACCTACACTCATCCTATATTGAAGTGAAAATTGAAGCCGTTGAAACTCTCTATCTCGCTTAAGCAAATCAGAAGCTCATCAAATCTATTGCCACAAGAAGTCAGATACGGTTTCAAAAGGGTAGCCAGGGGAAAGATTGCAAACAAACCTCTTCCAAAGAGCGCTCTCTTGGCCCAGTCCATCGCCAGCATACATCTTGTGCGGAAGCTGACGCTCTCCGCGAAGTAGACGCTGCGCCAGAGGTACATGGCCAGAACGCCACCGCTGAAGTTGAGGCCACCGAAGTCGAAGACGGCGGCGTTGCTGATGTACGCCAGGCTGCCGAGGTGCTTGTACTTGAAGGGCTTGTAGACGGCGTCGTCGAGGTCGCCGTGTTCGATCTCGTTGGCGCGCATGCCGGGCAGCGCGGCGGCGATCTTGCTCAGCTTGCGGCCCAGGTACTCGCCTTGCTGGTTGGCGCGCTGGGCGGTCGCAGGCAGCGAGGTGAGTTTGGTGTCGATCTGGTGGAGCAGTTCGTGTAGCTCGCCGAAGTCAAGGGTGCCGGAGTGGTCCTTGTCGTACTGTTCGAAGAGTCGATCTAGCCGGCGCAGGTGGTTAGAAGCCTGGGGGAAGCGCCTCTTGACTCGTGCGGCAACGTCCCTCCACTCCCGGAAGGTTAGGTGCAGCTTCTCGGGATCTTTGCCCTTCTCCCAGGCGATTGTGCGCAGGAAGGATACGATGTTCTCTGCTACCTTGTTCTGGACAGTTGAGCAGTCCCCGACGGCATATACATCACCCAGTGGAGCTCCGATCAGTCGCAAATGGCTATCTGTCTCCAGAGCATGCTTGTTGTTCTGAGCGTCGAGCTTGTCCGAAAGTCTCTTGCACAGTTCGGCGCGGGCTGTCAGGGTCAGTTGCAAGGTCACAAATGGGCTTTAAAAACTGAGGTGCACTTACCGACACCAGTCGACCACAAGCAGAATCCCATGGGGATCTCCTTCACAACGGGCTGCCCATTCTCAACCTGCGTGAACAGGACGCGATCATCATGAACTTCCTTGACTCGAGCATTCGTCAAAACTTCCACATGATCACGGCTGAACCGGGCCTATAGACGTCAGCAACCAGCCCCATGGAAATCGAGCGGGGCACTCACTTCGGCATATTTCGACAACGCTTCGTCGTATGTGTTCAGAATATGGCTACGGCTCTGGATGATGTGGACCGAGATCTCGTTCCGCAGAATCTTCGGGAACGCGTGAAGCAGATCCTCGTTGAGAAGGTCGAACAGTTCGGCCGCAAACTCAACGCCTGTCGGACCACCACCACAAACCACAAACGACAACAAACGACGGCGTTCTTCGTCACTAGTGGTCGGCAGACACGCCAGCTCCATGTTCTCCAGGACCTTGTTCTTGATCTTGCGGGCATCGTCAATGGTCTTCAGGAAGTTGCAGTTCTCGAGACCCTTGACCCCATGGGGATTTGTGACACAACCTATTGTGATCGAGAGTCAGTATTGGCTTCAAAAGGCTTCAAAAAAAGATGCACCGGTGCTAGGTTGCACTCACCAACACCGATCACCAGCTTGTCGTACGGAAGATAAAAGCTCTGTTTCTTGCCATTGGCATCTGTCTGCGAGATTTCAACCAGCTTCTCCGAGAAGTCCACATCCTCCGCCTCAGCTTTCAGGAAGTGACCATGTACCCGCTGGATGATCCGCCGCACCGGCTCGACAAGCGACCTCAGTCCCAGCGTCCCGACCGTTGCGGAGGGCAGCATCGGCGTAAACAGGAAATAGTTCGTCGGGGACACGACGGTAACGTGGTAGTCGCCCGGGTTCAGATTCTTCAACAGCGCAACGCTACCCCAGCCCGTACCCAAGATCACTAACCGCGGCTTATCCTTCTGCTGCGTCGTATCCACCGAATCATGGTCCCCGATCAGGAACTCTGCAATGGGCAGGTTCTTCGGACCCCCACGGCGGGGATTAAGCGCCAGTTCTGACACGGGGATATCCTCCGAGCTTATATCCTCGCGGTACGTGCTCGCATCGTAGATGAAGAACGCGACCACGGCCGCACCGCTCATGACGAGAAAGAACCCACAGTAGGTGAACGTCTTCATCATGAATCGGAACGCACGAGATTTCTGAGCAGCTTTGACCATGGAATCTGTTGATTCCGATGTCGAGGTCGATTCGTGCCGGATGGATCGCGAGGCATTGTGCAGCGCGTCCGCGGTGAGGCATCGTGGCACCGGCCGCCGAGGAGGTGTATGAAGGGCTCGAGATGGAGTGATTCCTAACGAGGGACGAAATTTGAGAGACTGTACACTCCGTGTAACAAGGCTCACTCTCCTCAGCGCCGTCGCGTCCGGGCGAGTCCGGAGCAGCACCGTGCTCATGGCGGAATCAATGCGGAACGACCGTGTTCAGCGATCAAGACCAATGGATTGAGAAAGAGAGACCCGAAATCGAAGTCAACAAAACCATCCAAATGAAAGACTGACTGACTGACTGACTGATTGATTGATTGATGAATGAATGCAGCAGAGAAAACTTTTTACAGTTCTTTCTGTCTGGTTGAATGATGAATGCCAGCCAGCTGGGAAACGAGAGGCTACGTCATGCCACGCTAAGCCTTCTGGGGCCCACTCGGTCAAGATAGCGATGGATGCCTTATTCTTAGGGAATAATAATAGGGATATTAGTCTGACTGTCTGATAGGACTTAGTCTAAGAACGAGAGATAGTTAACTTAACGATGGGTATCTCGGCATCGTTGAGACTGGTCAGTGGTCCCTAGTGACTAAAATAACTGTCGTAGGCTCGTAGCGTACTTGGCATGCAGTAGCCATGAGATAAAATCATAAAGCTGATGGAGTGATGATTGATGCTGAGATAAATATTAATATCCCTGTATTATCTCGTGTTTGGAACAACCGTGCGGTGAGAATGTTTCCATTGATATCCTCGTCTAGCTAGTATTGAAGGAGGAAAGAGAAGATCATAGAAATGTCCATAAGATCCATAAGATAATAAATAGTCAAATAGTAAATCCCCCGTCCAGCCCTCTTTCTAATATCACAGAAGAGCTAGATATAAATATCTCTTGAGATATGAAAGCAAATATAACGCCCCCTTCCCGAACACCAGTGCCGGTCCCATATACGACCCTCTACTCTATGTGATGTTGAGCTGTCATAAAAAATTTACACAAGCGTAATGGCCAGATTGACCCATTGCATTTGGAGACCTCAGCTCCAGTCCATATCGTCTTCTGGTTCCATGCTCGCTCTCTTCTTGCCGGAGCCAGGTTTCCTTCCCCGAGGTCGCTTGACAGGATTCTGGCTGGATACAGAGTTCTTTCGTTTGCCGGGCCGCTGACTGGCTGGCGCAAGACCAGCTCCCGGGTCGTCGAGGTCATGATCGAAGTTGTCGCCTTCCGCATCTTCGTCGTCGACGACCTTGAATTCGTCATCGATCGCGAGTAAGGTAGAAAATTCGCGGCATTTGCTGACCATCCGGTCTTCACTCTCGAGCGTCTCCAGGTTACGGGCAATGGCATCCCAGAATTTGTCGCCGGTCACTCCTTGCACTTTTGTGGCAGACTTGTTGAGCTCCTTGGGCGCATTCTTGCCTTCCTTGTCTCGCACATGGGCGTGAATTCCATACAGGCGGCGAAGGTAGGTTCGAGCCTCCCAGAGCATCGAGAGTGAGGCTGCCGCTGTTGCCAGTTGCCGGAGGACGGCTGGGTTGACTTGCCGCAGAGGCTCGGGGTGAATCGGCCCTGGGGCTGCGGAGTCCGTTGACTGTCCTTCCTGCGGCGGCCCGGCTTTTGCAGGGAAAATGTCGGTTTCAATGGCATGCGCTACGACCGTTCCTGTCGCAGCAACGATACGCTCCATGGATCCAATAGCTGAGACGAGCTCGGCGAGCTGACCGTAGTCAAAGAATGCCAAATTCTGGGACACGAAGCGTGCAAGCAGAAGATGTTCCGGCGGGTTCCCAGTGCTATCGAGCTTCTTCAATTCGAAATTGACCTTCGCGCACAGATTCGACAGGAATTTTTTCTGGTACCGACTATTGCTGGTTTTGATGATTTCGAATAGTGGTGCTAATTTGGCGACATAAGGCCGGGCGAGGGCACCGCTGGGGTCTCCAACCACATCACGCTGGTAATAAAATGCTTCCTGAACTGCCCGCATGTACTCTCTTTCGAACATGGATTCGTATTGTTGGTGAAGCATCTTATGTGTATCGTAAGCGATCTTGGAAATAGCTGGAACTGTCGACGTCTCCAGCGAAACCAAGACACCTGCGCACTCTTTCGGATGGACCAGACCTTGGCGGTTGATACTGGCAATCAATTCAATAGCCGTCAACGCAAAAGAATCCTGCCGTGACTGAGCGACCCGAAGCATGCTTTGTAGAAAATGTTGCGCAATCAAAGCCGCGGCCCCATCATTATCACTCGCCTTCAGAGAACCTCCTAATCGGGTGGAATTCTCCTGGTCTGTGACTTCAGCGCTTGAGACAAATTTCTCTGTCTTGCCTTCGTGCATGGCGAAAAATTCCGCAAATGATTTCAAAACGATGTTCTGAAGACTTGCATTGTCCTCCTTGAAGACCATGGACAGAATTTTTCGGGGTTCATCTCGACTGAATTGAGCAGGCCATGCTTGACAAATAGATCCTACGCTCTCCAGTGCCATGACTCTTAGTTCCAAAGGTTGCTTTGCAAGTGTGTAAGGCACAATAGAATCTACCATCAGCCCGGCCACAGATCCGCCTTTCCACGAAGGGAATGCGTTCCTGAAGTGTGATTCATATTTCTCGAGATCACAATGTCGACCCACGCAGCCTGCAATTCGTATATAACTCTTGGCCCTGGCCACAATAGCGGGATTGGCATTATCGGTGAGGTCAGCGCTCCTATACTGTTGAATTGGTTTCAGCACCGAAATGGTGAGCTTCACAAGCCTGTCTGTATTGCGCAAGATCCCGTTGATGGTCCACAGACAGGCCATTACCTCGTTGAGCTCAGAACGAGCGAGTTTCGCGACGCTCTTGAACAAGTCATTTTGCACCTCTTTGAGGAGAGTGTTATGAGCGGACGATACATATGGCAGGACACATCGATAGATGACCACAACAGATCGGAAAATAAACAGGTCCTCTGCCGTGGTGAGATTGCCGATATAAGGATGAAGGGTTTCGAGCTGGTCAGGGCTGAATAACTTTGCATTGGCCTTTGCAAAGACTGTGATCGTCTGCAGGAGAGCCTGTTGAAACTCCTTGCCTGAAGATTCGTTGTCCTCAACTAGCTTTTCGAACATCGTTGCAACCATCGCTTTGCACACTTTGAAGTTCAAGGCAGCGGTCTTGGAACTCTCGGAAAGGATCTTTCTGAGACAACCCCCAAGCGTTTCAAGGGCAGTCTCGCTGCGTTGGACTAAGTTCACGATCAATGTCACTCGTTCCCCAAGGCCGACCTTAAGCTTGGAACCATCTTGAGCTGAATCGATTAGCTCATGGAACGGAGCAAGCCAGATCTCCTCGAATGTCTGACGTGCCAGAGAAGATACACTCTCCTCAAGGTCGCTAGTCCGTTGAAGGAAGCTATCAATGATTGCCAACTTTAGCTCGGTACGTGACGTCTTGAGATAGATATCCTTGAGCAGCGCAATGCAGCGCTTCCGTACCCCAGCTGTCGGATCAGCCGCACAGGTTAGAATGCTCCGGCACCCATCTTCCTCAAGCTTCGGTTTGAGAGCAATACACTTCGCAATTAGTGAAAGCGCAGAGTCACGGACCATAGGAGACGCGTCTGTAGTACACCGGAGAATAATGTGCATGACGGATGCGTCTCTGTCTAGGAGGCTTGGATCTTTCTCAAGCATGTAAATAACACTCTTCAAGCTACGGCTGCGGACCTTTGCCTGATCACTGCCCAGTGAGTTGAGAAGGACTTTCAAGATTGTATCGAAAGCTTTGCAGAAGCTTGAGTTTAAGACCGTCAGATTATACGCGAGTTTTCCGTGAGTGGAAGAAATCCTATCGAAATACCTAAATCAGGTAAATTAGAGACGAGATCTCAAGACCAGCCTTTGTAAAGACACTCACCTATTCGTTTCCAACCACAAGGGGTCGGAAAACAACCTCGTCAAGAGAACAACTAGGTCGTCAGTGGCACTGTCTGGAGAGACTTCGTGCTGATCTTCTGAATTGTAATAGACACCACAAACAGTCTTAGCCCATTGTGCCAGATAAAATCCCCGAGCGCTAGAGAGCTGCCAAGTGTCTGACGAGCGATCCTGCAGAAGGTACTCGAGAGCTATTCGATATGGACCCTCCGGTACAACAAGATCTTGGGGATGCAAAGCGTGACTGGAATAATCTTCAAACAGTTGTCTCAAATAGTCAGTGAGTTCAGCATCGGATTCATTCATTGAGGAAAGTGAGTTTTGAGCCGTCGCAATCAAATCAGAAATGGCAGAGCCCATCCAACCCAACAACTCCAGTGCCATGCTCTTCGCAGTCGCCGAACTCTTATCAAGATCCGCAATATTTACCATGTGATAGGCCATTATGTGTAGAAGTAGCTCGGCTGCTGGCCATTCTGTTGAGCCCAGAACACCTTTGAGATCCTCGGTGAAGATATCAAGAATATTCCGAAACGGCTGATCACCTGTCTTGGTAGATGTCATTGCACGCTGCACTATGAATTTGACAATGTACTGCGCACTGCGAACAGCGTTGTCGTAGAGGCGGTTGACCTTCGTCGCCAGGCGCTCCAGAGATACATCAGATTCATCATTTTCGTATTCGTCGGCCGAGTCATCTTCACCTTCCGGCGATTCTTCACCGGGGTCACCAGCTGCCACGTTCCGTTCCGCTTTTCGTTTTGTCGAAGATGGGGAATCTAGAGCAGTAGTCTGAACAAGCTGCATCACCAATGCAGTGAGTAACTGGATGCTTTTACCGTCAGCAACCTTGAATTGCCTAGCGCTCTGTCGCGTAGAGGGCAATTTCTCCAAGGAAACCAGGATTTCGTCAAGAATAAAGGGTCGTTGAGCAGGATATTTAGAAAATATCTTTGCCAGGACATCCATTGCTCCACGGCGAACGGATTCATACTTTTGATAGCCCACAGCAGAATCCTTATCGGTATGAGCATTTTCCACGAAGATCAACTTGGTAGCGAAAAACTCCGTTGCGGTAATTGCGCCTTCAGAGACATCGACCCGAGATAAGAAGTCGGCAAACAGGCCAAGAACCTTTTTACTTTGTTGGATAATACCCCCAATCACACGCTTCTGAGAAGAGAAGAAATCAAAATATTTGGCTTCTTTGCCCCCGGGGCGCGATTCAACGGCCGGAATGACGCAATGATCAAAAATCTGATTGAATACATTCGGAATGGCCTCGATCAGGTCCTCCGGACAAAGATCCCTTTCTGTCCGAGATCCAGACATCGTCTGTAACAGTGTACCTACTGCACACAAAGCATTGAGCATATCGTCCATCTTGTTCAACCATCCTTGAGATTCCGATTCACTGGATGGATCGTCCAATCTGAGATCGGGCGATTGCGCGGCAATGATGGGCTTCTCACACAATTTCTGGAGCCTTTTCAAAAACTCCGACGGAATATCCTGGAGTCGATTGAAGCCGACAACTTTCTTCATGGCCTTCTGAAGACGACTGTGTGCATCAGATGAAAGAACAGGTCCATTCACGTCAAGCGTCCGAGCAACCGAGAAAAGCCCAGCCTGCCCTTCGGACATCATACCCGATGTTACTTCTGCTTCCAGCTGGTCCTCTGCCTCGAAAACCTCGTGAAACAAATCTTGTAGCTTCACAAGCGCAGCATCAGCCTCCTCCTTTTGATCCTTAAGCCGTATCATGGTGAGATCGTCCGCCTCGTTGTTGAGCTTCCTTTTCTTCAAAGCATTATGGTCGTCTAGGGAAGGGAGCGGCTTCACAGGAATCACCACTGAGAACTGGCTTGCTGTTGGCTGATTGGGCTGCGTGTATGGTATCGAGATAGCGTTGGTCGCACGATGCGCTTGCTCGTTCCACGATGCTGCTTTCTGGAGGGTCTTCTCGTTCTTCGGTTCGGATGAAGTAGGATCTATGAATGATCAGCCCAAAGAAAATTCAGTAGGAGACCAGGAATTCATGTCCTACATCGAAACGCTATTTCTGTGGCATCCAACATCATCTTAGCAAACGGACCAAGCTCGTGACGACCAGTGCCCTGCTCTGAGGTGGGACCTGACAATGAACTTTGAGGACGTGCAGAACCGGTGGGAAGCTTAAATTTGCTGTTGAATAGATTTAGTGACTAGTGATGGTTCTATCAGATTGCAAATCCTTACAATTCTGTCAACTGATCCCCATCAAGGAGCTGCTGCAGATATTCGCGGGATGTCTCTAATCGGCTCGACTCATCACGCCCGGATTGTATTTCCGTGTTGAGCTCATTCAAAACCGTACGCCCGGACTGAAGGATATGATTGATGGAGGTTGTAGTAGGTGGCCTGCCGACGTCAGGACGCAGAATACAGTCTGGAAAGCCCAAGCAATCAATCAGTTTGAGTTCACCTTCCATGGAGCGAATGGCCAACATACCCAAGCCGAATACAGGTGAACTAGACATAGGGGAATACTGCAACGCTTCATCAACCAACAAAGGTCTAAACCGATGTTGTGGCATCCCCCCAGAGCCATGACCTTGAGCAGGAGAGCGGCCATTGATGACGACCTGGACAGCCGGGCGCCAGTTTTGATCCATGGTGACAGTTGCAGCAGTTAGGAAGGAGAGGCGAGTGATAGAAACAGGAGGAGCATGGCCCACTCAAAGACATGGCTATCAGCGACAGAAGTCAAATCTCGTTTCTACCATCCTTCTTTGAGATGATAAGGATCCCTGATATCTAGCGACGCAATACTTAGTTAGCTTGGAACATAATGAATGGATAATAATTACTGCCAGGCACGCTTTCTTGCTGCTGCCGCTGCTGACCGCCCAGCACTAAGAGATGTCGGGTACTTCTGGCTTATGTGTAACAGACATTATTGGGCGGGTTGGTCCGTGCTGCAGCGTTGGCGATTATTCCTGGGCAGAAAAAAAAAAGTCGGGATTCCCTATTGCAACCAGTTGAAGATTAAGTTACTCGCAAGGCTACTGAACCTGTTCAATACTATTACAGATTGTCTATCAATCTCATTTTGACCTCATCTCAAATTTAATCTCACTTTTTCGCCCAACTCACAGCAATGTCTGCCATCGGATCCCTCATTTTCTGCACAGATTGCGGCAACCTCTTACCGGAGTCGACTGGAGATCCTACCAAGGTGCTTCTCTGTGATGTATGCGGAGCTCGGAACAAAGGTGAGCTGGCTTCATATGTGAGAGTTCAATGAGCGCGCTTGTGTTGACTTTTCTGACTCTCAGATACCGTTCCCAACACCATCGTCTCCGAGTCGAAACCAAATGCCTTCCCGTCGGCACTGAGAGCCAAGAGATCTGCAGTCCAGACTTTGACAGCAGAGGATAAGCGGACAGAAGCGCTTACGCAACATACTTGCGCCAGATGTGGGAGGAAGGAGATGTACTTCACAACGGTCCAGTTGCGAAGTGCAGACGAAGGCAGTACCGTGTTTTACACCTGTGTTTGCGGTTATAAGTATGCAAACCCCGTCGCTCATCTTTTCGTCGCGCTTAATGCTGACAATTACTCGCAGGGAAACTGCAAACAACTAGGCGCCAGAGGAAGAGGATAGCTCTTTCAAGATTATGATTGTACGTCTATGGGAGGAAAGATACATGCGCAATACCGACATTGTAATGAGATACATATTCGACATCCGGGACATTCAAGCAGCCGCGACGCCAGAATCCGGCACCAGAGCATATTCAATTTCACCGTTCTTTTCATACTCCGCCATGTCCAGAGCCACAATAACGCTGTCTCGTACGACCTGCTCGGGGTCGTTCAGGAATTTCTTCAATGTGTCCTCCACACCTTCGCAATCCCCTAAGCTTCCCAGAGCCTCTGCCGCTTCGTGCCGCACCATACCAACTTCATTCTGGTCGCTAAGCGCCTCAGTGAGACTTGGAATCGACGCAGGGTGGCTGAGTTGCCCGAAAACAAATGCGATCTCATGGCGGAAAAGTGCGGATGGGTCTTTGAGTCCTTTAGCCAGCGCCTCGACAGCGTGGGTCGCCGTGGGGAGATCGGGAGGTGAAGCAAGGTCGCGCAGGGCAAACATCGCGCGATATCTCTGGAACAATGGCAGACTTGTATCGAGCAATCTCTTTTCGATGTCTGGAATTGAAGGCTCGCTGGTCGCCATGGGAAGTGGTGGAGCTGGGTCGATCGAGGTAAAGTCACTAGAAGTTCAATTGAAGATCAGTAACCTGCAAAAAACAGATAGCATAATCATAGATTATCTTTCTTGTTCTGCGACATGCATCATACCTTGCCTTCAATTTCTCTGCTTTCCTTTGTTCAGAGTTCTCCCACAGGATTCTGTCCACAGCAATATCACAAGTCTCCCTGATGACGTCCGGCTCGTCCTTGTTATCTCTGAGGACCTTCAGAATCTCCAGGCTGTCCTCATAGCCCAATGCGCCAAGCGCCTCCGCGGCCTCATGGCGGCACATTGTATCCTGCTCTGTATCCTTGACGACTTCTTGAAGGTAGGGCACAGACTCGGGATTCCGAGTCTGGCCCAGGCAGTATGCAAGTTCATGTTTGAGCAGGGCAGATGGCGAGGTGAAGGCGGCAGCAATGGCCTGGATTGCGGGGAGCGTCTTCTCCGTAGCTGGCTGCTGGCAGGCAAGGTACTTCAGGGAGAAGAGGGCACGGAATCGGCGAGCGAGCGGCTCCGATTCGGAAGTGAGGACTTTGCGGAGCGTGAGGACGGTGGCATCTGGGCCGTCTGAGTTATCGGTCGCTGAAGGTGACATCTTGGGACTATAAGAACGGGTATCTAGGGTATTCGGAAGGAGTATTGAGGGACTTGTTGGCCTTTAGATGTTCACAAAACATGTAAATTTTCTGATCTTATCACTTCCAGATAATAAATTTTAGGTGGGGTGGCGGGGTTGGTCACGGCAACTATGCCTAAAATGCTCCCTACAGAAGAACACTCAATTAAGATTCCAAAACAACCATTTTCGAAGCTGGAGGGTGATGACTCTGTGGTGCGAATGGAGAATTATTTCAAATCTTCTTAGGCAGTCGTTCAGTTGGGGTCGTCAAAACCATGAGCAGGAATCGTTGCCTACACTCGCCAATGGATATACACTTTGACATGACACACTGTTGATCAATATATCCTTCTGAATACATGTGATTGAGATATACATGCGAGCTAGAATGAAAACCACGAATGGAGGACTGAGCATATAGACCAAATTGCATTTACTGACAGGGACAGATCTTCTGCAATTAATGGCTGCCACTCTCAGCTGACTTGCACAGCATCTTTATATCACATCTGCGAGCAACATAGTCTGATGTTTAATGGGAAGACTCAAGCCACAGAAAGGGACTGGCCCAGGGATTCGCATTAGTCTAATTTTTGAGCGTGGACCATTGCGTGCTGAGCGGATGCTATGCTTGATCAAATTCTTGCTATCACTGTTTGTGCTCGATGGGTTGCAGCTTGCAACTCATCAATCTCGCCATGATTCTCAGCTATGGGGCCGGCCTCCGTAGGTCATAGGCTTGCTGGAGCTATATCTCAACGTCCTGGCCAACGACCTCAATGATTACTTCTGGGTCAATGATATCAGAGCCAGTACTCCATCTGAGTAAACAAGGCAATGATACCTTCGCATATTCTTGGTGAAGAATTCTCTAAACTCCATTGAGTTGTGGCAACCGTCGCATCGAGCTCCCCTTGAAGTATCATCTTTCACAGGACTATTCGATCAGCCGGCATTTCAATGTTTTGATAGAGTAGGGAGCAGTATCAGCTTGCGAAGAAAAGTATGCGGGTGAGATCCCACGGAGTAGACCATGATGAACAATGCGCAAGGAAAATAAGTGATAAAAAACAATGAGGATCCATTTGAACTATGGAATCAACTTGAGGAAAAAAAGAAAAACGCATTTATATACACAATACACTCGAAAACTCCAATCACTTGGTCCGGATGTGCTTCAGCTTCTTGGGTTCGTGGACGAAGTTGTTGGCGTAGGCTTTGGGAACGAAGCGACGCACATTGGGTTCCTGGACAAAGTATTCGTATCCCTGCTTCTGCGCGAAGAGGATGGCGTCCTCCTTCGACTTGAAGTTGAGGTGGGTGCCCTGCATGAAATCGCCGGAAGATTGCCAGCCCATCAGAGGATTCTCCCAGCGGTGACCCTTCTGCAGAATATCCCAGTCCATTCTCCAGTGGTGTCCGTGCCAAGTACCAGACTGCGTTGCGGGCTTCGTGGGGCGGTAGATCCTAGTAGCGGAGAGTGTCAGGAAACTGCCGGAGCACACATATGCGACCCAAGTCCATACCTGACGGTTCGAGCCTGAAGATCCGTGGGAGCACCGGAGAGAACAGCAGCAGCTACAGTCTCACCGGGCTCGCTGCCATCCATAACACGCTTCGGGACAGGCGAGAATACACTGAACTAGTTGTTAGTCAAAGCTCTCTGGTGTCATCCAGGTGTCCCTTACGATGTAGCATGATCAATCGTGGCCTCATAGTCAGGCTGGTGACGAGCCATTGCCTCGGATGGGGTCTCCTTGCGAACCAGAGAGCTGTCCTTGAAAGGTGTGCCAGGTGCGTCTGCAGAGCTGGTTTTCACACCGGGGTCACCAGCGCGGTTGTTCGAGGAAATGAAACGCGCATTGACAGGAACAGCGAGCCTACCAGCCCGGAAGCAAGCGGCGTTGCCTGCTCTGAAGAGTGACATGGTCGCAGATTTGTCTGTCGTTGATTGTGGAGAGCAATGGCCGGCAGCAGTAGTGCAATTATCGTGAGTGAGGTATGCGGCGAGGGCTGGTGGTTAAGGCATGTCCAAATACGGCTAGCGCGGTCTGAGGCTCTCGACGTTAGGAACCGCTCATCCGACAACCCGCGCTCTCCAGGCACATCTTCACTCCTTCGTCTTTATCGATTGTACGGTTCACTCGCCTGTACCTAAGGTAAGAAGATTTCCTGAATCGTACTCTCTCGATTGCTATGGTCCATAAATGAATATTGGAATTCTAATACAGATTGAAATAGACAAGATGAGCTACATTGCCCGCCGAGGTCTCTCGACCTTGATCCCTCCCAAGGTAAGTAACAGCGCAAATATCTTGAGATTGGATCCAATATGGATTGCTTAGAGACATGCTAATTGCTTGATAGATCGCTTCTCCTAACGTGAGTCCCTTCCATCTACCTTGATACTGAAAAAAGTCCTTTCGTACACTGTCCCGAAAAAGCCTTTCATCACGACACCAAGCCGACCGCAAACAAATGAAATGTTCTCGCTCGTCAATCACTGACTTTCTTTCTAAAGGCCATCGGTGCTGCCAAGGATGCTGCTCGTATGGAGCGTGTGGTGAACTTCTACGCCAGACTCCCTCGCGGCTCGGCTCCTGATGTCAAGCCTACTGGCCTCATCGGACGCTACCAGGCTCGCTACTTCGGCAAGAATCCTTCCGCTGCTCGTGAGTGACTTCCTCCGCCCGAGAGATTGCATAAATATGGCTTGCTAACATATACCTCTTCCCAGCCCTTGCTCACGCTATCGGCGGTATCCTCATCCTCGGCTACAGCATGGAGTACTACTTCCACCTCCGTATGTCTTCTGTCTGGAATTATTACAATAGATAAATACTAACTCGAGCAGGCCACCACAAGAACCACCCCCACTAAACTCTCCATCGTCATGGATGGGTCGCGGAGGATCTGTGTATATACCACCACCCTTAGAATGGAAGCAATGTAAAAGAGGCATACCTCCGGCCTTGCAGCTTGGGTCTTGGTGCAATGTTTTCTTATGCTATCGAATCTGATCTGCTGTTGAATATGTGTGTCCTGGAAAACAACAGGTTGTCGTCGGGGTTTGTAGGATTTGTGGAGTCTTCCATCCCCTGACGGTGCGCGTACTCTCCTCTTCGTGGGAGGCTGTAGAAGTAAATTAACCAATCTGGTGTCTATCGCATGATGAATGTTCTACGAGTCTTCAAAGCTCTTCTAAATTCATTAATGATGTGTCTAGCAATAACAGGTCCCTACAATAATAGCACTTCGTTGTCCCTGCGGCTCCAGCCCCCATTTGTGGTTTTGACTGTCTTTACTTCATTTTCGTCCTACGCTAACCCCAAAACAGCCACCTCAGCTCCAACATAAGCCGTCACCCATGACTGCAGCCATCACCCGATCATCAACCTGCGAAGATCAACCCTATCGTGACCTCCCTTTTGGGATTCCTTGGGCAGTGGCGTTTAACTATTATATCGCATTTCCTTTCGCCTGCCCGTTCTTCTAGCATATTCATTCTCACCCTTTTGACTTGGACACTCCTCGCCGCCTTAATCCCATCGTTTGGAGCTTTTCCCAATCTCCATCAACCCCCCAAAGGCTCACACAGTTGAGCTAGCGATCAAAACCCTGGCGATTCTTAATACCTGGTAATAGGTATTTTCCAGACTATTTCCTCATGTCTTCATCATAAGTTCATGGATACTGCGACAAGACTATCCCGCATCTACAGTTTCAGAACGAGTCTAACAGATGTCGCAACTTGCGGATCTCACAGACTCGAGCATTGTTATGGCAGAGCAGAAAAACCACGATGTGGTAAATCAGACCCTGTCGGGCGGCGAGCCTTCGCCTTCCGACGTTCCTGCGAGCACCAACGACAAGATCTTTGCTGGAGGGGACGTGGGGGAGACCAAACATACCACCGAAACAACACAGACAACAACAAACGCGAACGATTCACAGAGCGAACAAAGCCGGAGTGCTGCCGACTCATCGCTGGGGAAGAATGAGTCGGGAAGGGACTTTGAGGGCTCATCGACAGTGAGTCTTTCGCCAACGTAGAAACGAGTGTGCTGCTGAACCAGTTGTAGGATAAGGATTTCTCAAAGCAGGGTCCGGGACCAGTTGCTACACGAGCGCTCGAGATGAATGGGGTAGCTTCGGTGTCAGATGGAGGGGAGGATACTGCTTCCCAAGGTGGCTCGGAGTCAGACGCCAGTCGAACGGACGGTAAGCGTTCGAGCTCGAAGAAACCGGCGACGTTCAAACCTGTTTCCTTCGCCAAATTCTCTGTTCCTAAGGCTCCAGGCGCGCTAAGTGCCACCAAGACATCTGCGCAAGGTATACACGGTATCTATCGAGGACTCAGTGGATGATATACTAACACTATATAGCCCCTTCGTCGTTAACTACCCCTATGAGCGGAACACTGCAGAGTTCACGTCCACGCTTGGTCGCCAAAACGACCAGCAGCCTACGTGATTCATTGTCAAAGTCCGGAGCTGGTGCAGGCAAAGCAGGTGGAGGGGGCCCGGATCCAAATCAGGTGTGGAACAAGAATAGACGTAAGAAACCACTCGTCACAAACTTGGAATGCCATCGTCTAACAAATATTGTCTATAGCGGTCCAGCCTACGCCGCCGAAGCACTTGACAGACGAAGAGCTGAAGCAGCAATACGGGATTCATATGACCTCTCGTATTCAAGAAGATGGTGGTGGAACTGAAGCGAAATGGGCCGATATCGATGACGATGAAGATGACTGGGCGCCTGAGACGATCGAATGGACCGACGGTACCAAGACCAGTCTTGCCCATACTGAGACCGCGCATCCGACTGGCCAAGATCCGAAGGCACTGACCGAGACAAAGATTAGTCCTCCAGCGCTAGAGCCCGTTCCTATCAAAGAAGCGCCAAAGGTCGTTCCGAAGTCGACAACCATCATTGGGCCCAATCCTACGGTCCTCAGACTTGGGGCAAACGCGGAGAGACAAGCGAAGAGTGCAACCGTTCTATCGAAAGGGCCAAATGACAAGCCGTCTTCAGCGTCCACAAGCCCTGCCCCCCCACCCGCGAAGTCGCCTTGGGCCCAATTACCACCTGTTGAAAAAGTATCCCCGGTTATGCCACCTGTTCAAGTTTATACTCCTGGTCATCCCCCCGTTAAAGATTCTCATGTGAGCGAGGCGCCCAGCGGAATCATACCTCCCAAGGAGATTGCCGCTGATGACTTCAACCGAACCTGGCGAGAGACGCAATCAGGAGCAACTCGCGAGCTATTCAACTCCAGGTCTGGTCGTTACGAGCCTGTCCCCGAGGTCAGAAAGGCACCATGGCGTCACGAGCAAAGCTTTCGACCATCAACTCTGCTACAGCGACCCACGCAAGGCGAGCAGGCAGGACCTGCCGAACCTTCTCCAGCCTTTCAGACTCACCGATCGAGTGGCCACGATTCTGGTCACTGGACCCGTCGGCGAACTTCATCCAACGTGAGCGGAGGAAGCGGAAGCTTTGGGCGTCGGATGTCGATCGGTCGACCTGATGCGCCACAGAGAATGTTCGAGACGAGAAGAGGGTCACAGGTCAACGGAAACATAGACCCATCATTGCTACACAAAGAACAATTACCCTCAAAAGAAGCACCAGTGCGCGGGCTTTCGCCAGGACGCCATGGTCCAGCCTCAGCTGCTCGGCCCTCACACGGGCCCGCAGGCCCTCAACAAGACATATCTGTGAATGATTCTCACATGAGCAACCAACAACCCTCAGCATCACCTGTTCCAGAAGCAGTTGATACCGCGGTACTGGCCCCTCAGGAAGATCCTGTTGCCATGCAAGAACGTATCATGAAGGAGAAACGGCTGGAAGCTCGGCAGCGACGTCTGGAACAAGAAGAGAAGGAGGAGGCTGCGAAACGCGAAAGAATACGGCAGAAGCTCGAGGCATTAGGACCAGCGCCCGAAAAGCCGAAGCCGAAGCGCAAAGAGTCTTTGGACACCAGTAAAGCCGAAGTAAATGCATCCTTGGCTGCTGCGCAAGCATCGCACTCTCCGCCCAAGCCCCCAGTACCAGAACCGACTGGAGAACCGAAGCAATACGGAATGATGAAGGTTCACCATCCCGATGCCGTTAAAAAGCTCGTTGCTGCCAATGAAAAGGAGAGAATTGTGGAGAAACCGGCTCCGATCGCCAATGCTCGGCGCGCACCTTCGCCAGCTCGTGAACCCAAACACGACGCCGCCATGGTATCTGGGCCCCCACAGCTTGCCGATTCCCAGCAGTCTCGGGTTTCCGACAAGCTTTCTGAATCAAGGACTGAAGAGTCGAGCTCGCAGTGGAAGAGCAATCTTGATGTATCGAGCTCGTATTCTCCATGGTCCGCGAACACTAAGCTTGGCGCCGCGGCTTCTTCCATCGCAAACCCCTGGAAGCCTCTGAGTAACGACAAGACACTCGGTAATGGCATCTTTGATCAGGCCCTTGGAGGCTTTCCACCTAGAGACATCTCTCTACGTGGTCATCTTGGTCTCGACCAACCTCCAATGCCCCATGGTCCACAACCCTTTACCGCCCCTACTCGACCTACACAGGAAACCACAACGATCCCCTCCTTGCCTTCTCCTGAGGTCCGACATGTACCTTTTGACCCTATGCATCCAATTGTTCGTCCCGGTCCAATTGGCCCTCCTAGTACACAACAGCCTCATTGGCAGCAGGAACCCCATGTCACTAGCACCGCGGCCTGGAATAACTTCCACACAGTTGCTGCGAAACGTGAAGCGGAAGAGAACGAAAAGCTTCTTAGTGATATGAATACTGTGCGCGAGGGCCAGTCTCTGCAGGTTTCGTTCAACGAGACATGGCGCCAAGTTCGCGCTGGCGATCAGAATGGCCAGAGACAGGTCATCGGTGTTCAAAGGTCAACCGAAAATACAGGGGCAATCTCTAGCCATCTTCCCGGATTCGACCATCCTGTCAGCACCCTTCCATTTGCCGATACCCACGCTCGTCCACTGGTCAACGTTCCGGCTCGGAGTTCGCGATTCTTTCCCCAGGCAACAGAGCAATTTAAGAGACCGGCATACGAGGAAGAAGATCAAATCCGGAGCCCATCCCCGCCACCTCCAGAGGAGTTGTCGAATCACCCAGTGTATACTGGAGATTCTAACAGGCCTTTGGTTCATCTTCCTGCTCCCAAACCCATTGTCAAACTCCCTCCTAAGTTTGTTGCTCCGCCGCCGCCGCCGCCGCCTCCAACTTTTGCTTCTATGGTTGCTGCACCTCCACGTGCTCCCCCCCAACCCATCTCGACCGCAACCTCCTGGCAGGAGAAGATCAACTGCCTCTTTGGAAAGAAGACTGTACCCGAGAAGAAGAACGCTCTGGCAGTCACTTCTGCATCTAAAGAGCCTCTTGATGTTCAATTGCATATTGCAGCGGTTTCGGTTTCCCTTCCTCACCATATCGAGAATGTTATTCTCACAGGTGATGGAGTGGCGAGTGCCCAGCAAGTCGAGGAGACAGAGGAGATTTTTGAAGACCGTGAAGCAGGTTCCTTGCCTGTCGTTCGCGTACCCAACAATGCTCCTCCCGCAGCCTGGCATGCCGCTCCCCCGCCGTCTCAATCTCGCCTGAGGGTCAAGAATCTCAAGCCGATGCAGGTTCACAGTATTGAGCCTTATCTCTTCGGCATTAGTGACAAAGACTCCCCCGGTAGCCTCCGTGTTTCAATCCGCTTTCCAGGTACCATCGCTGCGAAAACAATGACTCTCCCTAAGAAGATTGGAGGTCAGAGTTCTCGACAGCGAGGGCCATCGACCTTTAAGCCACGAAAGGGCACGAAGCCTCGGGAAGGGTCTGGGAATTCTAATCCAAAGAAGACCACATCTTCCCAGCAGAATGGTAGCGGCAGCAGTTCTTCGCCACGACACCAACCGCGAAATGCAGCCTGGGGCCCGCGTACCTTTAGCGGATCTCAATAAGGGCATTTTTTTGCACCCTCGGTCGGAGGTATATCAACCCCCGTCACAGAATCATCTCTATTAGCTCGGAAATGGCAGTTCTCAGGTTTCGGGTATTCGTTGAGCGTTTTCTTTCGGTATTGAATGAGCTATGCCCGTGGAGATCGAAACGATCTGGAATTGCCTGAACTTTCTAGTACTCCTCTTGATGTCCTTCCCATCGTACATTATCCTCAGTTTCTTCTACCTTGTCAGTACTCACTTGAAGTAACATCCTCATCTGAGACACAATGACTACCATACATCACACTTTGTGACTTCATCATTTGTATTCCCTCTGGTTCTTGGAGATTTCGGAGAATGGAAACGCAGTTTTCGCCCGCGTCTGTCTGATCTGTTAATCCGTGTGCTCCTCTAGACGTACAATGTTATCATGTAGCCATCGAGTTGAGGCCATGACGCTCAGTCATATCATTCCTGAAAGTCTCTCCTGACCATCCCTAGCATTCTTGTATAACGGACTATATAGAGATTACATCTAGTCCTGCTCTGCGATCGATACGCGTTTAGATAAATGCTTGGGTCATACCGCGATCTTCTTCATAAACAGCGAGGTGTGAGTCACCTTTAGAGCTGCTATCGGTATCGTTCAAGTTTCTAGGATGTCGTGCGTAGAGCAGCAGAAGCGATACAGCCAGACTTACCATACCAAGTTTAGTAAAGTAGGAAAAGATATGTATCTTGAAGCTTGATGTAACCGAATCCAGCAAATGATTGATTAACCCAGCCCACATGTGATTGATATCATACAGATCGCCCGAAGTGACAGCTTTCTCCATGAAAACACCCATCAACGCCTGCCATAACCCAAATCCGAAACTAGACCTTAAACGCCACTGCTAGAAAGAAAAACACAAACGGAAACCAGCGCTTCCTGGTGCGCACAGCAGCCTCACCAGTTCCATGTCCGGCTGGACGCGGTGAACACGGGGGGTTTCCACTGCAGACGTGCTGGATCGATCTTGCGCGCTCCCTTAACCTTCTCCTTTTCCAGGCGCTTGTTGTGCTGTTCTACTACATAGTCGGTCAGGACGATGACCCAGTTTCCTTTCTAAGGGATTGTTAGTCCTATCAATGACAGCAAAAGAGAAAAGTGAGGGACAGCAGAGCATACATGGTATCGGAGCATGTTGAAGACAACTAGCGTCTCATGGACATCTTTTTCAGTCATCGAGGTCAGGAGAGCAAGTTCATTTTCGCTGATGGCTTCTCGTTCAGGCTCCATGAGTATGTTAACGAGCGTCTCCCGCCAGTATTGTCGGTAACCCAGCAGACCAAGATCACTAAGTGGCTTCTCAGGAGAACCGAGCTTTCCCTCGCGCTTGCTCAGCTCATAACTGAAGGAGATGAGCAGCCGACCGAATCCGCGCCGTTGATACTGCGGTAGTGTCAGGATACAAGCCAAGTTATAGCCTTCCGCGGAATCTTTTTCCTTAGAAAAGTATCCGACGAGGTGGCAGCCGGTCTCGTCTCTTGTGCACATGCAGTAGAAAAGGAAAGGGTCGACGTCGTAGTAGAGGGTTTTGTGGTCGAGGAAAAGCTTGCTAAGAAGACAGAGGTTACGGCACCAAGTGCGTTGACGACGACCGTCAACCTCGAAGAAAGAGATGTAGTCATCCCGGTAAATTTCGTTACCAGGCGGATGGACAAGCGTGCACTTCGCACGGTGACGCTCGAACGCGCGCTTGTCGTCGAAGTAGCTCAGACAGAACTCGTCGATGTAGATGATGTCGACGTCAGAGAACGAGGCAGGATAGGGCGAGAAGTACCAGGGTTCAACGTCATATTTTCCCATTTGCAGACGGTTCAAGTTTCGCACACGATGGATTTCCGTCGGGTTCTGGGTCATACTACCACTTGTCCGCAGTCGTTCGATCTCCTCTTCGCGCGACATGAGCCCTAACGCTTTCTCCTCCTCCTTGATAGCCTTCCCTTCCGAGAAGCTGACATCGATCATCTCAACATCATCTGCTTCAGCCTTTGGGGTTCCATCCACAGAGACAGCGTCTGCGCTCACAATGGGCATAGCCACAGGAGTCCCATCACGATTCTCCTTTCCGCCAGCTTTGGACGGACGCTGCACCTTGCCGACATTCACATTCTTGCCCGTGAGCAAATCTGGAGTGGCAGAGACATCGCGGCTGTCCCCTCTAGCACGCTTGTTTTTGCTGGGTGCTTTGTTGCCAGCACCGGCCTTCTTCTTCTCGGGCTTCTCGGGCTGAGGCCACTCAACTTCATGAGCCAGGTCGAGTCGAGCAGCATCAATCCATTCTTAGGGAGTCAGCATTTCCTTTCTCATATGTATAGAATAAGAAATTCACACACCGTCTAGACGCTTGTTGAAATCCACATAGTGAACACTGGAGGGAGACAATCAGCACAAAATCCCAGGACATGATGCCAGAGAAACCTGGGATCCTTGACTTACTAGAAGCTAGGCCCATCCTTGCGCTGTCTGATAGACAGAATTTCGGCTTTTCTCAATTCGCCATCCTGTACCAGTCGGTAGGTCAGCGTCTCTGAGTAGACCAATATCACGTGACTGAATATGGGAAGATGCTTGGAGGCGGTTGATGAGCAAAACTGACCTTGTGAACCATAGCCTTGACACCGATCCTATCTCCATGATCAGTGCATGCGACCGAGGAAACCCATACAGAAATCTCAGGAAATAATTTTTCGCAGAGAAAACTCTCTGTCTTAATGACTTACCGGATGGTGTTGAGGGTGGCAAAGCCCTTCTCGACAGGGTCGGGTGTCCCACTGATCTCCCCGTGAGAATCTCGCACACCCATCGTGATATAGATGTGAGTCCAGCGACTTTGGCAATGTTTGTATGATGAAAAATATGGTGTAAGTGGATTGCTTGATGGACTTATCCAAATATATTGCAGGGGTAGAGTGAGGTTCAGTTCTGTTCTGACGGACTGGAAGCGACCGCCTTTGAACCAATTCTTTTGCCATCCGCTTTTGGTTGTCTCCATCAACACTGGGTTTGGTGATGCCTCTCGGCCTCAGGGGATAACCACCACACTCAGGATGTTGAAAATTAATCTACAGGTACTATTTCTGTGCAAGCTTTCAATAATTGAGAAACACCATAGTTCATGATTAGGAATGGTGAGATAGTGTACATCTTTAGGTATCAATCATCCCATGCCCTTCAGTGCCACCCATTGACAGCACCTACTGTCCCGGCAACAAGCTCATCCAGCTCCTCCTTTCTCGTCCTGTATATTTCCTGAGCTTCACGCTCTCTCTTCAGAACAAAGGCAACATCGTCGCGCAATTTCTCCAGTCTCCTCGAAATAGCCGACTCCTCTGAGATGTGAAGGGTCCGGAAAGCATCAAGTTCATCCTTCGACTTCTCCAAAGCGGCACTGGCTTCAATGATCTTAGTCCGCAGCATCTTCGCACGGTTCTGATATCCACCGTAGTGCAAAGCAAGTTTCTTCTCGAGCTTGTTTCCTCGCTCTGCGGTAGCCAACAAAGATGCCTGCACATTGTCAAAGGCGCCGATCATTCGCTGCTCTTGTCGATAGATATCCTCGTCTTCCTCGTCGCCATAGTTAGATAGTCCTGGAAGAGCACTGGAATGTGACGATGACCAGTTGTCATCAAAGTTCTGCAGCCATTGTTGTTTCTCATCAGACGAAGGAACTTCCGCAGTGATAGCCGCACGAGCTGCCTCAACGAACTCATCGCCAATCGGCTCCAGCTTCCGCGCCTTCCCTTCAATCTTACCGTTAGGGAGGCGGAATTTCCGAGCGTCATTAGCAATCAGAAGAGCTGCTTCCCTGGCAATCATACCGCCAATGGGATCCGTGATATGCGAGGCCCGTTCCATCAGAGCATCGATATCAAGAACGCTAGGGCGAGGCAGACCCCGTTGATAGACTTGACTTTGCCGCTTGAATTCAGCCTGGGCAGCCCGCTCCCGCGTCTCCTTCTCTCTCCGGTCACGCTCTGCAGAGTCCTCCTCAGCGATTTCTGCCGCAGTGCTTGGCTCTGCGGTCTCTGACGGAAGTTCTTCCAATTCCCACTCAGTTTCTTTTGGCTTTGGCAAGGCAGCCAGTCTACCACGGATACTCTGACTGACGGCCTTTTGATGCAATCTAAGATCACGCGGTGTAGCGCCTACCAAATGGCCGGCTTCCTCTTGATTTAGCGCAAATTGATCTCTAGGCGTCCTGAGAGGAGTCGCTCCAGGACCAACGCCACCGTGAATTGGGGTTGCACCAATGCCGTTGGCTTGTCGGAAGGGAGTAGCCATTGGATTCGGGGTGACAATCTGTTGTCGGCGAGGAGCAATGCCATCAAACCTGGTAGAAGAACCTCCTTCATGGAGAGGTGTATTTTCACCACCAAGCAAAGATGACTGTGTTTCAGTCAATGCTCTGATGTTTCGGATTTCATTGGCGATGTGGTCCTCTTCTGGCGGAGCTCGTGGTGTCCTAATCGGCGTCCCACCGACGATTGAGGTGTAATTTCCGATCAACCCGCGGGTCATTTCTTCATCGCCAGACATCTTACTAGCCCTATCACCAGCCATACCCATTTTGATGATATCTTCCATCTCACTTTCGCTCACTTGGGGCGTTGGTAAGACAAGAGCTCTCCTCTTGCTGCTCTGCTCAGCCTCACGGATTTTCTGCATTTGACCAGCTCTTGCAGCAGCGGCAAATGCGGCAGAATTGCTGTTCTTGTCGCTCTTTCTCTTCTTTCTGTCCGCATCTTCATCCTGATCTCCTTTCCGCTTGTTTGCAAGTTGTTGCTTCCGGGGGTCAAACATCTCCCGCTGTCTTTCGTTTCGAGCTTCCTCCTCCATAGTATCGTAGAATCCAGGTGCTGCCGGCTTTTCGAACGGAATATCCGCGTTGTAGTCCATCTCGCCCTTCTTACGTGTAACGACCTTGATGTTGATGCCGGCATTCTTGAGTTCGCGGCGCTTTTGAAGAACCGCAAGTCTTCGCGATTCTTCGAGCTGACGTTCTCTAGCCTTCCGCTTTGCTTTCTTTCCCTGAGTATTGGCCAAGCGAGCACGAGCTTCACTGAGCATTTCCTTTTCGTCTTCATCAAGATCAATCGTGTCGGGTCGTGCAGGCTTTGATTCCGGATCAGGATCTAATTCGCCGGGCCTATGAAAGTCAGCACCACAGAAAATCACACTTTTGAAGCCAAGGGCTCATACCGTAGTCGTCTGACATCATCTGCACTCGGTGCGGCCGCCTCGCCGCCCGAGGGACCTCCTAAGCCCAACTCATCGTTCTCGCGGGCCTCGGCCTCATCAAGGAGTTTCTGATAGCGCTCGAGACACTGGGTCGCGGTACGTCCAACAATCGGAGCAATTGTTCGCCATTGTGTCGGCATCAGTTTGGCCAGATGTAGCAGCTTCTCATCCTCTTCTCTCGACCATTCGACTTTCCGGATACCAGGATCCAACCACTCCACCCATCGCGCTTTGCATTGTTTCGGCGTCTTTCTCGCAAGGAGCGAAGATACTCGCGCCCATTGATTCAACCCATACTTGGATACCTAGACAGAAGGAAGACGTGTCAGCTCGTTGATGTTCAATGGTTTTCAGCGAATACGACTGTATCCGAGACATACCGCCGCCCGGAGGACTTCATCCTCGATATTAGTCCTATAAGAAAATCAGTTATGCTATGATGGTGGGATTCAGAAGCCCGCGAGTGGTCTTACCAAACACCTCCTTTGACCACGGGCATGGCGAGTGTGATCGCTCAGCGCGATGCCAGATCGATGTGATAAAAATGAGTTGAAAAGGACCACACCAGTATTCGCACACAATGAGACACGGATGTAGAATCTCTTTTTGCACTGAGGACTGTCGACAAGCAATCGACGCGGTTCGATAGATGAGTTGCACGCAGAAAGGTCTTAAGAATGGTGTTAACCATGCGACAAGTAGTTAGCCGCGAAGACACTTTAGCGCGGCAGCCGCTCTAGCATGGCCCCGCGCTACCGAGTTAGGTAAGCGGGTCCAGATTTTTGGAATTTCTTCAGATTGTTATCGCCGACACGAAGATAAAAAAAAAATTAATCAGTCAAGATTCAGAATTTGACTCAGCAAGGCCATTCATTATGTCGGCCTCAGTCGAAGCCCCGAGTCAATTCAAGCAGCCTTCTCGTAAAGGTAAGAAGGCGTGGAGGAAAAATGTGGATGTTACGGAGGTTCAGGAAGGTCTCCGTCTCTTGAAAGACGAAGAAATCAAAGGGTATGTGATTTGTGAAATGATAACTGTAAGAGACTTGAGGTTGCGCTTTTTTTTGACTGACGCCAATTCAAAATTCTAGTGGTGTTCTGGCAGAAAAGCCCTCCGATGAACTGTTCATCATCGATAAAGAGGGTTCATCAGAAATCCGAAATGAATTCCTGAAAAAGCACAAGCCCTTAAAAGCAGATGAAATCCTCGCAAAGAGGTCCGTCATACCCGCAGTGGACACCCGCAAACGTCTGAACTCCAAGGTCACCGATGGTGTTATCGAACCGAAGTCTAAGAGGCACAAGAGCGACTGGGTCACTCGCAAGGAATGGCTGCGCTTGAAGCAGGTGGCCAAGGATGCGAACCCCACCCTGAAGGCCGAAGGAAGCGAATTATATGATCCTTGGGCAGATGCTCAAGAATCAACCCCTGTCGAAGATCCCCAGTTCGATTACCTCCCGAAGCCGAAACCCAAGGTTGCGCCTGCAACACTCAAAACGCCTCCCATTTCACTCGCTGCCAACGGAAAGCCAGTCCCTGCTGTGCGAGCACCTGATGCCGGTATCAGTTACAATCCCACCTTCGAGGACTGGGATCGTCTTCTGCAGGAGAAGGGTCAAGAAGCTGTGGATGCTGAGAAGAAGCGTTTAGAGGAAGAGCGGAGAGAGCAAGAGAGACAGCGTCTCATCGCCGAGGCGCAAAATGATGACGGCGAGGTCAAATCCGATGACGAGAGCGCCTGGGAAGGATTCGAAAGCGAGTATGAGAAGCCGGATTGGCTGAACAAGAAGCGCCCAGAGCGCAAGACAAAAACACAGAGAAATAAGATCAAGAGGCGCAAAGAGGCCGAAAGACAGGCCAAATGGGAGGAGAAGATGAAGAAGAAAGAAGAGCAACTGGAGCAAGCGAAACTCATCGCGGAACAGGTCCAGCAGAGACAACTCGAGCGCAGTCAAGAATCAGGCGATGATTCTTCTGAAGCGGGTGACGACGTTGCCCTGCGACGTAGGCCATTGGGAGGAAAGAACCGGTACGTTCTCAGTACATTCGTTTAGTTAATGCCCATGTTTACTGACTGGACTGTAGTGTTCCCGAGAAGCCGTTGGAGGTGGTGCTACCTGATGAGCTTCAGGACTCCCTGCGCCTCCTGAAGCCGGAAGGCAATCTTTTGGACGACCGTTTCCGCACACTGATAGTGCAGGGAAAGCTGGAGTCTCGCAAACCGATCACACAGGCCAAGAAGGCCAAGAGGAAGATAACAGAGAAGTGGACATACAAGGATTTTAAAGTACCGGGATTGTAATTAGGGTAATTGGTTTAATGGTTCTGTCTGTTCAATTTACAAAAGCGTGTTGGTCAATCTGGACGAATATAGAGACTGCTTCACACTTCAATTGAGTTTCAGTAGAAAAATTACTGCGCTCTAAGACTCAGTATTTGTCCAACGATAGAGATACACTTATTTTTTTTTATACTATTATTGGATTCTGCTCGCAAAGGGAAACACCATAATCTAGATACAATCTTTGGCGTTCCAGACTTTGAATGCCTGAGTGGGGCCTGAGGTTGTCCAAATTTTTAGCGCTATCTAATCGCCGACTTTTCGAGAATGCTTGAATCCGACATGCAGCAACAATACACTCATTCTCTTTTTTGACGGATTTTTTTTTTCTTTCATCAACTGTACATGATGCTATAGTATCACGCTCGCTATTGGAATGGATGCCAAGAATCTTTCCAGCAATTGGAAGAAACTTCAGGAGACGCTGAAAAAGGAAAGCGTTCCCTCCGCCTCGAAAAAGCGCAAGACATCGGACCGCGAGGATGAGAATGCTGTTGTCAAGAAGCCAAGGACGCATACTTTAGGAAACAAGAAGAAACCCATCAAGAAGAGAACGATGTCTGAAGGAACCCAGAATGGAGGGGACAAGAGCACCCAAGCTTCCACGGTGAAAACAATATCCCGCAAGAGCTCTACAGCAACACTTTCCGAAAAGACGCGGACAGAGTCAAGAATAGCGAAGGTTAATGAGGGCCGTTCACCTACGTGAGTGCTTAAGCTGGCGGGCGCTGTTTGCTCAATGGACGTCCACTAATTTTTCTCCAGTGCCGAAATAGGTAAATATGTTGCGATGGACTGCGAAATGGTGGGAGTCGGTCCCAACCCCGATGACGATTCCGCCCTCGCACGCGTCAGTATCGTCAATTTCAACGGCGAGCAGGTGTACGATTCATATGTGCGACCCAAGGAAATGGTTACAGATTGGCGGACACATGTGAGCGGAATTGCACCCAAGCATATGGTGGACGCAAGATCTTTTGAGCTTGTTCAGAAAGAGGTTGCGGAAATTTTGGATGGGCGGATACTAGTGGGACATGCTGTGAGCAATGACTTGGATGCGCTTCTCTTGAGCCATCACAAGCGCGACATTAGAGACACAAGCAAGCACCCTGCTTACCGAAAGATCGCGGGCGGTGGCTCTCCTCGTCTGAAAATGCTGGCATCCGAATTCCTGGGGTTAGAGATTCAGGATGGAGCGCACTCTAGTGTGGAAGATGCCAAGGCGACGATGCTTTTGTACAGACGGGATAAGGACGGATTCGAGCGTGAGCATCTCAAGAAGTGGCCAGTTCGGGTCGTTGTTGAGAAGAAGGACCAAGGAGACGAACAGAAGAAGAAGAAGAAAAAGAAGAAGAAGACTCGCAAGAGGTGATTGTAACTTGAGCAATCATTTCAATGATGTGATATACCCCTAGGCTTTTGTCACTTATGTACATACCATGTTGCCAATGATCCAACTACAAATGATTGGGTGAAACGATCCTGCTTCTCATAAGTAAATAGTTCATTTCCCTTGCAATTTCTATTAGGTCGTCTCTCACATCGTCGAGGTGTCTCGAGCGACGATATTTGCAACAATATGACCCTTTCGGGATGGTGCATCTCCACTTCCACTTAACGCGGGCAACGCGTCGCGTATCTTACTTGGACAAGAGTCTCGACAACCTCATCCAAGGACAATTAAACAAAACAGCACAGCACTCTATTCATAATTCAGAGATGTCGGTTTAAAAAGACCGCTGTTTCTTAATATCCTTTGCTACATACGCTTTGGAACAACAATTAACGCTTCTCCTTGACGCGGACACCAATCCTCAGAAAATGTTTGCCATTCGACCTACACAAGAACAGTCATCTAGCCCTGAGAATGCAAAATCGACAGATAGTTGCACTCCTAATATTCTTCCCTGCAGGATTCATCATGATGGGCCTGTTGAGACGTCAGGGCGTTTCTGGAATCCTATAACCGACGAGAAAGGTACAATAAGCGATAGATTGCAATCCGACTATTCTCTCGACTTGTGCTGACACTCGCCAAGATGAGAACCTGCAGATTGCATACTTTCGGGGGCGCAGACTGCGAGGCCGACGGGTTGCGCTTCCAGAAGGGTATCAAGGTATGATTTAAATGACGCCAGACGACGGAGGGAGACGGTGGTTAACCCGACTCTCCAGGCGTTGTCGGAGTGCCTACAGATCGTGCACTACCACAAAGTAGAAAGAACGAGAATTTCGAAGCCGATACTCAAGCTGAACAAGAAGAGCCCGTCAAGATCCTTGAGAAACAGACTACATTTGACGACTTCATGGTTTGGGGTCATGAAGAGGTGCCAGCAGCCGATGACCCTTTCGTTAAGGGTGTTGAAGAATGGCTAAAGATGGCCGAAGCTGTATGTGAAACAATCCTCGTTCGAGACCATAGAGCTGACCATAGAATCTAGATACACATGCAATCCAGCGATGAGAAAAAAGTCTCTACTTGAGTAAGCTGGTTTGAGTTATCTTTTCACGCCTTATATGAGCCCTGAGGGCAGGCCAAATCTACCTCACTTGCACTATCGATGACAAGGCCATTGATACAATTACTCGCATGTACAATCGATACGACAAGTCGTCTTGTGCAGAAGGTTCTGCGGGAACGGAGCAGCTTGTGTCCACCACCCTGAGCTGGCGTGGACACTATAAAAGAACCATTAAACTCTGGGCACAAAGCAACGCGAGGTATCAAGTCCATCATTTCAAATCTCTTCGTGCAGGAAAAACATGCCCCAAGTGACACCAATCGTGCGGTCAGCTGCAATAAGATGTGCAAGCTAGGGTTGATTTGCTAGTGGTCGGATAGTTGCACCCAGCAATATTGGAACGATGGCCCTTTCAAGCTGCCAGCCTATCTCAGAATACCATGCAATTTGATAAAGAATCCATAATTGAATTCATAGATCATTGATCCCAATAATATATCAGGTCCAGCTGCAACTTATTGTTGGTATCGATAAGGCTGACCGCCCAGTAATCTATAGATTGTGCCCAAGCAATTTACCAACCTGGGGAAATATCTTCTTCTTCTTTATCACTGTCCTCTACACGCATCCCCATAATCACAATGGACGAGCTTAACTGTGATGAGAAGATTGCTCCGGAGGCTTTAATTTCCAAGTTCGAAGTGAGAAGACTCCTCAAGCAAGGTTCGGCTGTTCCCCGCACAGCATTCCGATTTCTAGCGTCTTATATTCGGTCCGCCTCTAACTGATATTTCAAGCTATATAGACCAGAATGGCCGACGCATTGCCATACTTGGATTGATTGATGGCAAGCAAGGCATCCTCACTGCCGAACGAGCACCATTCGCGACCGAATCTCTTGAAGTTCTGACGGCCTTCCACGCTGCAATCAGCAAGGTCAACAATCTCGGCGACAATGACATATACAGATGGTATCTTGCGTCTTCAGGTACAAGGGAAGACGACCAGCAGTCCTATGACCTTAAACTGAACCTTATCTGGCCGTGCACGGAAAAGCATATCAAGAAGTACTCGGACCAGGTGTTACGCATGGTCACTGAGACACCGGAGATTTACCGCGACTATGTGCAGCCGTACATGAGCGTGCAGCGGAAGGAAGGGAGATTGAACTGGGTGTTCAATATACTCGAGGGCCGGACGGAGCAGGAGGATGTGATTCTTCGTGATGCAGGCAAGGGCCCGGATGATGGGTTCTTGATGCTTCCCGATCTCAACTGGGATCGAAAGACTATGGGATCTTTGCATCTCCTTGGTCTTCCCCTGCGGCGAGATATATGGAGTTTGCGGGACTTGAAGAAAAAGCACGTTCCCTGGTTACGCTACCTGAGGCAGAGATTGTTGGAGGGAACGGTGAAGATGTATCCGGAGCTGGAGCAAGATCAGCTTAAGCTTTATGTGCACTGTAAGTCAATCCTCAAGGCCCACTCCTGGGTTCTCCTTTCGTGCAAGCTGCTGGAATGTCACTTATGATTGATATAGATCAACCGACATACTATCACTTCCATATCCACGTGGTCAATGTCATGCTTGAGGCAGGTGCTACGCAAGCTACGGGAAAGGCCTTTGGATTGGAGAATCTCATTTCGCAACTGGAGACCATGTCTGGTGACGACGATGCAAGTCTAGCGGATGTTAGTTTGACCTACTATCTCGGGGAAGCCAGTGAGCTGTGGACAACCATCTACGATCCCTTGAAAAGAGGATTGAAGCCAACGATTGGCAAATGAGTAACGATACCATGGCGAGGATCATAGACCCTCTGGTTTTGATGAAATCCAGGCTTAAACGTGATGATGAATAGAAAAATACCTCACATATCGAGATCTCATTATTTCCAGTTTCAAGTGATTCCTCAAGCGATCCTGTCTGTATACATTCAATATGCATATGGTTCTCCTATCAATCGTTGACCAGTTGTTCTCTGTGTGTTTACCCTCCGCGGAAGATCTCCCACCCCGCACCACCGACGTCAATCACCCCTCACCAACATTCCTCACAACTCACACATGCCACCTCGCGCACTCTCTAAAGTCCCTCTCATAATACCCAAGACTTCTGGACATCTATCTTCCCTGTTCGATACGATCAAACCACCATGACAGACCATGTGGATGTCCCCGACACAAAGAAGGCCTTCGTGCCCCTCGGTACACACCCCTCCCAAAAGCATCAAGTCGAATTACTCAGTATACTAACATCCCCTCCCCCTTCCCCAGAAAACAACCCAGAAGTCATGTCCCACCTCGTTCACCAACTAGGTCTACCCCCCACCCTCGGCTTCATCGACGTCTACTCCATCGACGAACCAGATCTCCTCGCCTTCGTCCCGCGACCCTCCCACGCCCTCCTCCTCGTCTTCCCCGTCTCCCCCACCTACGAAGCCTCCCGCATCGCCGAAGATAAACCCCTACCCGAATACACAGGCTCCGGACCCACAGAGCCCGTCATGTGGTTCAAGCAGACGATCCGCAACGCCTGCGGGCTCATCGGCCTCCTGCACGCCGTCGCCAACGGCGAGCCGCGCAAGCACATCACCCCAGGCTCGGACCTAGACTCGCTGCTGCGGGAGGCGGAGCCGCTGGCGCCCGTCGCGAGAGCGGATCTGCTGTATGAGAGCAAGGCGTTGGAGAGCGCGCATGCGGATGCGGCGCGGCTGGGGGACACGGCGGCGCCGCAGGCGGAGGATAATGTCGACCTACACTTTGTGGCGTTTGTGAAGGGGGCGGATGGGCGGTTGTGGGAGCTAGATGGGCGGAGGAAGGGGCCCTTGGAGAGGGGGGTGTTGGCGGCGGATGAGGATGCGTTGAGTGAGAAGGCGTTGGATTTGGGGGTTAGGAGGTTCTTGAAGACGGAGGCTGCCGGAGGGAATCCGGATTTGAGGTTTAGTTTGGTCAGTCTGGGGCCTTCGTTTGAGTAGGTTAGTTCAGGGGAGTTGTTGGTTTGCATGGCATACTGCGGAGCATACAATTAGATTGCAGGATATTCGTCGTCGTTACATAACTTTCGGAATATGGAATCTTGCCAGGGTGCCAAAGTCACCGGCATTGATCTCTTGTCTAGTCCGTAGCCCATACTGTGAGCTCAGATTGGGCATATTGCCAGCATATTGTACAGACGAGGTCCCCAAGGCTCATTTCAGAACAACCATCGTATATTTCATACTCAAGGCTGCTCCCACCATTCCCTCGAGTTAAACTTCAAAGCTTCATTCCCACAAGCCCACCAGCCCGCTGTCAGATTCCGCGCAAACACATCCAGCGCCGAATACGACAAGCAAGTATCACCCACCAAACCAGCAGAGGACGACGGCGCAGATGCCCGACGCAGCTGCGCAAAAAAAACCCGCTCAAAGACCTCCTTCAGATTCGGCTTCCGAGAATGCACGTCCGGAACCGCAGCAACAACCCTCCTCACAACACCAGCACCCTCGCAGCCCGAGACCCTCTTCCTCCCAATCACAAGAATCTCATACGGCTTCCGCCAGACGCCCTCCACCGGCGTGATGGGCTCCCCGCGCGTCGTCGTCTTGATCCACACCCACTCCTCACACACAGCAAGGCCCGCCTCGCTGAACGCATCGTATGCCGCTTTCCGCGCCTTCGCGGCATTGGTGATCCAGATCGCCGCAAGGGACGGCGCCGCGACGCCGTCCTGTATGTGCGTCTTGAGTATTGCCCCTAGACCCCCACCCAACAGATCCATCCCTTGTCGCGACTGGACCTGGTAATGGCCGCTGCGGCGGACGGAGCGATTCGCCCACGGCGGGTCGAGGAGGATCAGATTGAATTTCCGACTCGGCGGAAGGCCAGGAATGGGCCCCTCGACTTGCAAAGGCAACGTGCACAGCAGGAAGCTGCACGCTGGCGGCACGAGATATACTTGTTGATGCGTCTGCTGCGGCTGTACAGTCTCCGCACCTGCCGTGCATCGGATGTCCAGAAGCGCTTGCTCCGCAGACGGATTCCTGACCACGATATTGCACAGCTCCGACATGGATCCGAAGACATTTCCATCTGGTTCCGGCGAGAGGATAACAGGAGGAGGAGGAGGAGGAGGAGGCGGCAACGGGGTGTGCCAGGACGCAGCCACGCTCCTGCTAGGATCCACAAAGCAATGGCATTCATCGTCCGGGATGGGGAGGGCTGCGTCGCTCCGCACGGCCACGGCATCTCTTTTCCTCTTCGCGGAGCGCTGGCTTCCTGCCTCGTGCCTCTGCAGGACTCGCTCCAAACACCAATCTACGCTCCTCGGGACATCCCGCTTGAGCTCTGCCAGCGCATCCCGAACCAGAGGCTCAATGGTCTCAGTCTGCAAGACGCGTTCGGACGCGGGAGTCCGCGCGAGGACTCTTGCGCGCGCAGCTTCTGTTTTGGGTTCCGTCGACGCACCGTACGGCTCCCTTAGAGGTGCTGACGATAATAGGGCGGGTCTCGCATGGTTTCTTGTCTGGGGTGACGGAGACCCAGGTCGAGAATTCCATGCTGAAGTCGGTGGTCCGTGCTGGACTGCGGACAAATCCTGTGCGAGGGCAATAGAAGCAGGAATGTCGATCAGGAAGATTGTATTTGCTGCGTTATGGTAAAGGATGGAGGATTGTACCATGATGCCATGGCTGTAGGACTTGGGTGGTATGGTGATGCACTGGACCATAAGAGAATTTTATGCCGACTGGGATATCTTCAAACGGAACGGTATCAGCAATACCACCTTTTATCACTCAACACGATTGAACCAGCAAGCTATGGGATCTTTCGTTGGAGGATTTTTTACGTCTACTCAGTAGGTACAGACAATGATTTTATACTGTAACCCAGAATGACAGTTTACCCTCGCTATCATACAAAACACTATATTCATTTGTCACATATTCACAACAAAAGACCCGATATAAACCCTGATGTCACAAGTGGACGCCCAAGAGCGCAAGGCGAGCTGCGACATACATAATGATCGCTGTCATAAGTCAAAAAGACAAAACCAATGCCGACAAAAAACTGAACTGATTCGAAGCACTTGCTCCTAAGGATGCGAGTAATCACAAAGCCGCATTGTCAGAGAATGAGACTACATGCTTCAAGCAGATGCCAATTTCAATACTTTTCCACGATTCATTCCTCTTTCCCCCTTCCCCGAGACGGTCCAGCGTCGGTCTAGGTATGTAGGGTCGTTTCGCTCAAGAAAACCAGGCTTTCCTCTCTGTTCCATGCTGAGAACAAACAAGAAAGGAGAAAATTTGTACAAAACGTAAAATTTCATCATAAAATTGGCTCAAAAACGTCATACATGCACATCAACGCTGAAGAACAATATATGTTAGCTTTCAGATTTCATTTCGAGGGTGGTGGGCCTAGCATGCTTGGGAATGACTTACACGTCCGCGACGTCCCCCGGCCGACTGTCCAGGGGCCTGGGGTGTCTGAGAATAGAACTGGGGAGGATATTGGTACATCTGTGCTGTACTCATGACGGGGCTAAACTGCTGGGGCGCATACGCCTGCTGGTTCAGCAACTGAGCGGGTGCTCCAGGCAACGGAGCAGATTGTCGAAGAGGATCCACAGAGGGTGTACCAGCTGGGTAGCCAAAGCTAGGATTGCCAAGGCTTGGATAGAGACCACCTGGGGAGACGCCCCGGGACTGGGCCGCCAAATAAGCTTGGTATTGTAGCTGTTGCTGGGTAAGCGGCATCAGGGGTTCCTGGACAAACCCGCCCCCGTTGATGCCAGCTAGTCCATTCAGAGGGTTTACTGCACCCGTGGGGCTCAAACCGTTGGCCCCATTGACGGTATACGGATCAAAAGGTGCCATGCCTGGCTGCTGCTCGGAGCCGGGTCTCATGCTGTCCGGGTTCTGGGCAAGGAGGCCAGGTGCAAATTGTCCATTGAACTGCCTGTCCATGGGTGGTGGGGCTTGCCGAGAAGTTGGACGGTGTTGTGGCTTTTCAGCATTGGTTCCATGACCCACGTGCTCTCGCCCATGGTGGTTATCACGAGCACCTCCACGAGAGGACAATCCAACTTCGTCCATCAAGCGCTTGTAGCCTTGGTTCGGAGTGGCTTTCAACTGGGTGAGCACTTTGGCAACATTCTTCACAACCTCCGAACGCATCGATTCGTCGAAGAACGGTGTGGTCAGCACTTTGAAGATCAGGGTGGCGCCAGATGTCTGATCGCTGAGGATCCTCTCCAGAGTCTCATCACCGGGACTGAAGAACAAAGCGTTCAGTACAATCTCACGTGCCTCAGGCTCATTACGCTGATTGATGACTTTGAGGACGGTCAAGTAAGCGACCTTGTGGGTGCACAGATGGACCAGATGTGGAACGAGCCGAGGAGCGAGTACGGTGCGACGACGAGGGAATGTGCATGTATCCAGGAACCATGTAAGCAGGAGGGCACCGTTGGCATTCGTCGCAAGCTGAACACTGTGAAGAGCAACAGCTGCCGCAAGCATCCGCTGCTGATCCTTTGTGGCATGGTGGCTTTCCAGACAGGCTCGCATGGCGCGGGCACCGAACCGCCCTTGCGCAACTTCCCACATACGGCTCAACATGGTCTCAAAGATGAAATCATTATACGGGGCACCGAAACGCAAGCAGCACTGCAGGACGTAGTTGCCGTACTGATCAAGGAAGAGAGGCACAGTATAAGGACGGAGAGCCTCGGCGATCATCTTCATTTGCGCAGGAGTCTTGGCAACATCAATGATCTTCTGCGCAGCCCAGGTACCATTCTTGTGAACACCAATCTCGGCAAGATGAGGCGCGATTGAAACCAGCATTTGTTCTTTCGTCTCCTCCGAGCAGAATTCAAACAGTTTCTGGACGACTGTGTTGCCCAAATAGTCCGAGGACAGCTCCGCGATCTCTGGGAGCATTGCAACTGCAGTTTCCTCAATTTCCTGGATGGAGCAAGCGCCATTATCGATTCTCTTACGAATGTCTCGAAGTCGTGGGGCATCGAACATCCTGGCTTGGCTTGGCTCAGGAACTGAGGGAATCTCGTCTTCAAAAGCTCGGAAACCAATGGCTCGTTGAATCCCAGCTGTAATCTTGAAGACATCATCTTCCGTAGCGCCAAATTCCTTGACTATCTGGAGCATCTCTGGTTGAAGGTCGGGGAGAGCAGGGATTTGGGGGACGTTCGAGCCCGTAAAATCCGAGTTGTCCAAGCTATCGGAGGTGCCAGGCTTGAAATTGGGATCAGGAGTAAGGGAAGATGGCACACCATTGGTTCCGGGGGTGCCGGATGCAGAAGAACCCGGCACTTTAGCATACCCGATCCGAACCGGGCCAGCGCCTGGGAAGATCTCCTTGCCATTAAGCAAAGATTTGGCTTGGATGGCACTGTCGAGCCGTTCAAAGTTGACGAAGCCGCAGTTCTTGTGTGTCAGCACACGGGTAGATTCGATTTTGCCGTACATGCCAAAGATCGCCTCTAGGGAGGTGACAGTCGTCGAGACGGGAATACTACCAATCCACAAAGCGCGAGTGGGTCCATCCTGATTACCTTCATCTGCAGTTTCTCCAGCGGCTCTAATATCCATATTAGGGCCGCCGCCACCACCACCACCACCACCGAGGTTCATCAGCTGCACGGCTTCGGACAGCTCATCGTATTCTCCGGTTTCCGCAATATGGAGATCAGCCGCGCTGAAGCTGTTCTCCAGACGAGATGGGGTGGCAAGGTAGTTGCGGATGGATGATCGTTGAGGAGGGGCCTCTAGAATACCGGCAGTTCTGGCCCTCGGGCGGTTGACCGATGCATGGTTGGCGAAGGCTTGAACGGCAAGATTGTGTTGATGGATCTGAGCCTGAGTGGCAGCCAATTGGGCTGCTGCCGCTGCGGCGGAAGGAGTGACAGTACCAGAGGGAAGTTGAGAATAGCGGGATGCGTACTCCAGGTCCTCATCATCCGCGTATTTCTCCTTGGCGTTGACGGAATAAGACCGGAAACGATTGTTATTCTTCATCATGGCCAGCTCAGCAAGCAACGGTGGGAGCGCGGATGCTTGTTGCTGTTCCTGTTGCTGGAGAAGGACATCGACAGATGATCTCGCCACCAGATTGGCTCGTGCTTGTTGAGGGGTCTCCGCGAGACCCAGGTAGTCCAGAGTCTTAACATCACTGTCCGTGAGGCCATCTCTCGAGAATGAAGATTGGCTGGGGGAGGCAGGACCTTCTGAGGATCGAATGCTCGTCAAGGTTGTGGCTCGGTCCCTGGCGCTTGACCAATTCGTTGAGAACAGAGAAGGGCCGAACGGACTAGCCGATCCAAGGTAGTTTGTCCTTTGTGGCATCGAGCCAGCTCGCAGACGCGACAGGCTGCCCGTACCGCTTGGGGCGGCAGTTGTCGCCGTCCTTGCGCTTGTCTCGATACCAGACACTCCGGAGGGCCGGAATGGACTGGTCGAAGGCGTAGGCCGAGACGATTGAGAAATAAAGGGCTGTTGCAGATTCGCTTCGTTCAGAGCACCAACGGGGGAGAATCGTGAGGGAACTGTACCGGCTCTGGCCCTTCGTGCGGGGCCATTCATCGAGCTGGTTGTGGTAGGTATCAGGTCCGGGAAGCCCTCCTGGCTGGGAGATTCGGGGATGTTTTCGCGCAAGGGAGTGGAATGGCCACTCGTTGGAGGGCCCCAGATGCTTGGGGAGACACCTTCTTCGGCTTGGATTTCTCGGGCACTAGAGCGAAGAACGATAATCAACAGACCATTCACATTTGACAATTGTGGCATCCTCGCATGTTGCAACCTACCGTTTCGAGTACAGGCGAGCTCCAAGCTCGTGAGAAGGGGAGCCAGCCCCTAACCGCGCACCTCCAATGGCACCCGCTGCGCTACCCAGGCCATTTGCGGGTCCAAATGGCGATTTGACAGCGGCAGATGCGGACAAGTCGCTAGGGGAGCTGCGTCCCGTGGAAGGTCCAGACATCGGTTGAGCAGTCGGGATGAAATTGAGGTTCATGTGGCCCTCTGGTCGCGAAACGGGAAGCATTATATATTATATCCCTCCACCTGGAGAAGGCGGACCTATTCTTTCTTCACGGACCTCGAATATAACGATATGTATGAACGACGATAGTTCAGAACAGAAAATCGGATAGAATGCTGTATCTCAATGCAAAATCAAATTCGTACGAATCATGTGGTACACGACGAGATTGGGAAGAAACTTGTCGGGATATTGCGAAGCGCCAACTATTGACTTGCTCGAGATGAAGAACCTGTCGACGAAAATCAATTTGAGCCGTCTGATTATATCACAGGTCCAGCAATTGTTGAGATGTTCTCGTAGTGGGGTTAGACCCGGACGATTTGGATGCAGGAGAATATGTAAGCTTGAAGAACCGGGGGGCGCCGAATTTTCCACGCGGAGTGGCACGATGAGTGTCAATGAGTCTCTGGTGTGACAGATGGATTTTTTATGATGTATTGACGACACTTGGGAAGCCGGAGTGTGAGACGATATTGTCTGACTCTTGAGGTCTTTTCTTCAAAGTGCCGCAGCCCCAGAGTGGGTGTGTACTATGATTCCGGAATTGGAAATCTATCACTATAATCCCTCGTAGGAACGCTCGGAAAGCACCGTGAAGAAACGAGGAAGTTATTCAGAGGATAACCGGCCGAGCGAGTGGGCGAGAGAACGGAAAGCGACGATTAATAACGGAGATTTAAAAGAGACGAGGTGGCTGGAAACGAGTTGCGCGACTCCGAGGAGAGGCAACGCCAAGATAGAGAGAGAGAACAAAGGGAGTCAAAGAGAAATGACAGACGACAAGCGAGTCATAAATAAAAATCCTTAAAATGGAGGAAAATAATTATTCAAGAAAGAAATGGGATTGAACTTTGGAGGGGGGGAGGGGAGGAAAGAAGAAGATTTGGGGATGAAGGAAGAAGAGGAAGAAGAAGAGAAGAAGATAGTCTAGTTAGAGAGAGAGAGAGCAAGGCCAAGTAGTAGTACTGTAAGTACACAGTAAGTTGAGTAGTTCTCGTGAGTTACAGAGGCAGAAAAGGGAAGGCGGTGCACGCTGGTTGAGCTTTGCCGGATCCCGATGTCATCCTCCTCCTCCTCCACTTAGTTAGTCTATACAACTACCTAGACGACAATGATATGAATATGATATTATATTATTATGATATACCTGATTACCTGAGTGACAGGATAATGGGGGATATTGGACTCCTGTAAACAGAGATCTGACTCTAAGCATTCTTTTCTTTCTGAAGTCACATTGCCTGTCAGATTCTTTCCTGCGGAGGAACCACTCATCTGTCGACTTACTACTCGAAGAATCGGCTCTCAAGAATTGAGATGCTCGATTCCCACGGAGATCCACTGTGGTGCGTAGGATATCCCATCTGCTTGCCAAATCGCGCGTCAGCATCCGGTCTCCCGCTCCTGTCTTCACTCGGTTCGTTGGTTTTCTTGCCCTACTTCCTTGGATATCAATTCCTTCACTTGTCTCTTATGTATATAGTCATTGCGAGTTGTCACCCATGTACTCCTTGGTCTCCATAGACTGTAATCAGCGAAAGGGCTGTATAGTATTTAGTCAGTAATTTTCTTGCTGACAGGTGTTCACGACTTGCTCAATTGTGCCTACCTAAATCAAGCCACTGCCCTAGTGGGATCAATCACTTCCTCAGGAGATAGTTAGAGGAGGTTCTGCTGTTGATAGTTACTTTACTGTTGGGCGAGTCCGTGGTTCCCTGACCTGCGGAAAGTCAATCAATCCAGGAACAACCTACGACAACCACTTTCAATCGTTTTTAAAGTATTATTCGGAACTCCTATACTACCTGTAGTAGAAATGGGCCTGGGCCACAAAATATATCTACCCGTTCGTTCGCGCGACCGTATCTATCTATAGTCTATACCCATGTGCAACAAGACAGGTGTCAGAGAGTGGCATTCCCAATTGGCGGTAGTAATAATAGCGGCAATCTGAAACGCGCCTTGGCCTGGGTGATTGACAATACGAAACAATCTACGGAGCAAACTGGCTCCTGGTGACAAGTGACCATAAGGAATACGGGATAGGATCATAGCCCATAGGAGTAGTACTTCTTAGCTCCCCGCGTTCCAAAACTTCCAATAGTTCGTGCGTTTGACTGGGCGTTGAGTGGTTTGGGGCCTGGACACCTGGACACCTGGACACCTCGACACCTCGACACCTCGACACCTCGACACCTAAGAGCCTGAGGCACCCACCATATACCCGTTCTCCATCACCGCCACCAACGCGCTGGTTAATTGAACTTTCTGCGACCGCCCCGATAGCTTCTGACATTATCCGAAGCCTCGCGCTTCCATCTATGACCATTTGAATGCTACCTTCATTCTTAAACATATTATGGCTTAACGCGGTTCTTATCGGGTCTGGATCTACATCTATCAATAAACGAAAAACGGAATTTGAACTCTGAATAGCGTTCGATGTCATTATCTCTCCGTCTTAGGTAGTCAGTTGCACCCCTCGAATTGAACGCCCATCGCATCCTTTCGGCAATTACGAAACATAACAATGGCGGACGACAAAGACACCCCTATGGAGGAGGAGATGGTAGTTGAGTCACTCATCCAAGGACGCGCGAGACGGAGTACAGCAGGCCGTCTCATGTCCACGCTGCTGAACGCAGAGGCAGACGACGATCTCGCGCTCCTTTTCGAAGAAGTGGATGACGACAATGAATTCTCCATCGACGCCGCTGAGCAAGCTGGGGAGGACGAAGATATGGGACTGGATTCATCTTCCGACGAGGAAGACCAGGGACCGAGTGCCCGCGAGGACGACTACGAGGGGGAAAAGGAGATTGAAAAGCAAGTCAAGGTCGACCGACAGAAACGCAGAGCCCGCGACGACCTACGGCTGAAGCTTGCCCGCAAGAAGGTCAAGATCGATCCCACCGCTGTCGCCGCGGTGCCGGCGCCCCGACCCAAGAAGAAATCAGAGCGGATCTCGTGGTTGCCTACGGTTGAGGATGGGCCGACGCGGTCGTCCTCTCGTCGACAGACGATGCAGAACAAAGAACTTACCCATGCGCGACTCAAGGATAGCGAAGAGAAGCGGATCCGGTTGATTGCGACCATGGAAGAAGCAGCTAAACGGAAGGCCCTATTGAAACCGAAGAAGATGACACAGGCGGACCGTCTTGCAGAGGCCGAAAGAGTAGAGAGGCTGAACAGCAAGAGCCTCAGTCGCTGGGAAGAGATGGAAAAGAGGAAGGCGGAGGAAAGAAGAGCCAAGATCGAGGCACTACAGAACCGACGCCTCGAGGGGCCGGTCATATCTTACTGGAGCGGTGTTGCTACGTGGGTTGATGGCCGTTTAACGCGTGTCGGAAAAGTTGACATTACGCCAAAGCCAGAGAAGGAGGAGATTCCGCGCAAGAAAAGCAAGAAGTCGGAGAAGGAAGCGAAACCTGCCACTGGGGAGACTGCGCAAGGCGGTTCTGCGGAGCGTGCTTCTTCACAGCCAAAGCCAGATAACAATGCCTCTGAGGTAAAAACTGGCGAAGACGGTGCGGCGGACAAAGCAGCTCCTTTGAAGCCTGAACAAAATCTCGAGGCTTCCCAGAACCCAGGGACGATACCGGACCCTTCGAGCACCGTCTCCAACAATCCTCCGCCTTGTTCGGAGGCCGCGGCTACAGCAGATGCGAAGCTCGATCTAGCGACTCAGCCATCAACATCCGCACCTGACGAAGGAAATAAAGAGAAGACTTCCGAAACGGAGCCACCAAAAATAGAGACAGGACCGGCTAAAGAACCAATCGAGCACAAACCTATCGACGAAGCTCCAAAAGAAGAAGAAACAACAGCGGTCGGTTCAGAAACGCCGCGCGGTCCACCGAATGCTCCGGCGCAAGCGACACCACAAGTACCGGAGGAGCCACCCGCGCCGATATCCGAACAGCCAAAGCCGGACGTGCCGCCAGCACCGCCCTCGGATAAGGCTCCTGAGAGCACGGTTGCTGGAGTACCAACGAGCAATCAACCTGTATCTGCACCACCAGTGGCTCCTACGATTGCTACTCTAACACCCACTGCTCAGGATGTGACCGGCACACCGGCGCCAACGGACCAAAAACAGGATGCACCAGTGGCAGCTCCCCACCCAGAGCAAGTGGCTCCCGAGATACATGTGGATCAGCCGTCTGTTCCGAATGAGGCAGCACCACAGCCGCAAATCCCTGCTCCACCTCCGGTTGTTGAGCACACAGGACGATTCCTAACGGTGCTCGAGAATTTCGATGAAGAGACGGCGCAGAGTCGCGAGTTTAGCATTTATTTCAATGCCAAGAAGCCTCCTCGGCTAACTAGTACGTGCACAATGCCTCTCCCGGCTCAATTTATCAAAGAAAACTAGGCTGACATGTTGCTAGAAATATCCTCGTCGCTCTGCGTCATCACGTCTTTACCGTCGCGGTATCGAGACCCCGAGACATCGCTCCCTTTTGCGAACGCCTACGCGTATCGCGAGATCCGACGCACCGTCGCTCAAAAGTCGGCCTGGAGTCCCATGCTTGGCTGCTATGTTGGGCCTGCGGGAGTGGCCGCGCGTGGGGTCCCCGAGCGGTTTCTCGATCCCCAGGCGCCAAGTGTCACCAAAGAAAGCGAGAAGAAAGAGGCCGGTAGCGGGGACGGTGACAAGAACACTGAAAACCAACCCCCTACTACTACTACTGCTACGGCAGAGAAACCCAAGGCCAGTGAGGCGAAGACGCCTGGGGGTGTTTCGAATCCGTCTGCTCCAACTCCTCCTCCTCCTGCTACACCAGGTCCCGTGGCCGCAGGCGGCGGCGAGCCAATGGACATTGACAAACCATGATCGAGTGTTTGCTGCAAGCATTGGATATATTTTACCTTGAATGTTAGCAGGAAGCGGGGTGTACGGAGCCGGAGCCCAGCGAAGTTTTGGTCGAGTTTGTATGATTAGGTTACGGAGTAGTGTAGACGCTAGATACCCATCTGAATTGCATCACATTGATATTCTGTTAGGTGTTGGTGCTAATTGAGTCAATTACACCATTAACTGTCTTCGACACGCTATTTAAGTATCACCTCCCCCTACCTACAGCTATTCACCTCATACATAACTCCCTTGCATGATCATATCACATCACATCATATCACATCACAACCGTCAACATCATCATCATCAACATCATCAGTTCGCTGAGCATACGATTACCAAATCCCTCTCTCTAGCCTACAGAGCCAAAGTTCGAGCTGACCCTGAGCGGAAGACGGCGGGACCTGGCTCTATCCGGGGTTCTGAGTGGTTGTGGTCCCTGGGTGCTATGGCGGCATGTGAAGCTTAAGACAGAATTTTCTTTCTATCCCATCCACTTAATGTTGCAGTTAGGGTTGCAGTCAGTGTATTGATGTAAAAACTAGCGAGGACCCTGCGATTAGCCCTCAGGAAAGTTCAGTACTAGTCAACTCCGTCAGTAGCTCAGTACCGATGTACTCACTCACTGTCCGGCTTTAGAACCCCAGATCATCGCGATTATCGAATATGGAATGTGGACAGCGACGATGGTCCTCAAGATCGACATGCCATGCCAGCCGCGACAGTCAAGACACTTCACTCACTCCTCTACCTATACCTACCTGACCCATAGAATTCATCGAAAAAAAAAACAGTACAGTATCCAGGCAAACCCTGGGCCCAACACCACCAGTAGTAGTCAGTAGATAGTCAGTACCTTGGTCGGTATTACATACAAGTGACTACCTAGTTAGATACCAGACAAACCCACCTCCATCCCTCCCCCAGCTCTGTCTGTATCACCAGATCCTGTACGGAGCATCAGGCCGCCTTATTTCGAATGCGTTTCGTGCATGCTGCCGTGTACCTAGCACATAGCGTCTACCTACCTGCTCTATGTACCCAGCCCAGCCAACAAACCAAGCTCATCGCACAACCACACGAGCAACCTCGCGGAAAGCGTTCGGGGTCGAATCCCGCGGTGCATGTGTCCTACGAAGGACAGAGCGTTGCTTTCTGCTGTGCGACGAGAGCTGGGTGGTGGTTGGCGGGTTGCGTGATTTTTTTGTTTCTTCTTCTTCTTCTTCTTCCCCCGCGAGGTACGCAAGTGCGATACAGGAATTTACTTTTGATGGGGAGACATAGAGAGAGGGAGAAAAAGGTGGAGGGCGAGTTTGTGTGTGTGTGTGTGTGTGGTCCTGCAGGAGTTGAATTAGCCAGTTGCGGTGTTGACCTGCTGTACCTACAACCTTGGTGTGGTCGTCAGCCAGAGTTCCTATTTCAGATAGTTAGATACTGCTTGGACGACTCCGTGAGGTGTGTGGGAGCTGTTGAGTGTGTTGGATGGAGCCGGACGTGTCATAATCATAAGGTAACTGAATGCGTAATCTTATTATATTTTATTATTTTTTTTAATTGGTTCAGATGGTCTCTGATACTCTATCAAGGTGTTACTTTGTTACTTGACTGTTAGTTTGCAAGCCCACATTCTGCACCGTGAGACTGTAAGGTGGTGTCGTGTAGTGTAGATCCTCCCCGCCATGGTGCCCCTCCATCAGTGTCAGTGTCCATGAGGATATATATTTTTGAACGGGTATCTAGGCACCCATCTATACTGACGAGTGGAGTGGAATTGAGACTGCCGTACGGACTGAGGAGTCAGAATAGTCCCATGCTGTCTCTCCCAGGGTACTTTGACGGAGTACTTAATACTAAAAAAAAAAAAAAAAGTCAAACAATTTATGGCCTCATATAAAGCAAAGGCTGTGTTGAAATGGCCAATACTTATTATCAATGCAGGGCTAGTTTAGCCAGCAGCCAGCAAGGACCAACAATACACATCAACTCATGTTATCCCAAAGCGCTTGATTGATGCCATATGGCATGAATCATTGGATGGCACGACTGTCGTTCTATCAAGCTAGTCGCAAGTCGCAACCAAAAGGATAATACCACGGCGTCTTAATCTTATTATCGCCTGCAGAGCTCCAGAGACTCTCTCAATGGTCCATCTGGAGATGCACGTACGTAAAGTAATCGGATCAATCACACCTCCTCCCGACTTCTCCTACAACGTGCCCTTGTTCTATGGAGTGAGGGACGCAACCCTCATCCGGGCTGAGTGTTCCTAGTGTCCTGAATGTCTAGAACTCTCTGAGTCTCGGCCGCTTCAGGGTGGAGAGCTATGCGTTCGCCCTTGTCGCGGCGGACCGTTCGTCAACCGTTCCGTCGATTCTGAATCATGGATGCCCGAAAGAATGCCAGTTTTCTGGCGAATCCGGCGGGGAGAGTGTGTCAGGACTCGCCAAGACACCCACGCGCATCAACGTGAGTGGGATGATTGGTTTTTGGATGTTGACTTATCGTGGCCCGATAAGCGTGGCTCTATCGGTTAAGTAAAAAAATAAAAAATTTGGTAGAGGAAAGAGTGCAAGGCCGACAGGGTCATGGCTGTTCTCAGGTTCATCGAGTGGAAGAGGACGAGGCATAAGAATGTGAAGCTGTCTCATCTCATCTGAAGTCCTTGGCCTTCTTTCCTTCCTTTCTATCCCGATCATAACTTCATCGCTCCTATAATTAGAAGCTTTGAACCAGAAGCAACGGGCGTGAGGAACTTGCAGGCTTGCAGTTGCAGCATTTGCACATCATCCCCGCCAAACCTACCGGATTCCGACTGGTGAGGTAAGCCACTTTTGCATTGTTTGTGTCAGACATTGCGCGTTGCAATGGATGCCCCAGGCACCAATCCCGTTCTAGACCATCTGAGCTGCGTCGTTTCGGGGCCAATCACAAGTCCTCCAGCAATAATGGCGTGACTCAGCTCTGCTCTGTCGACAAAGCGTTGACGAGCGATGAGACGAGATGCCCATCATGACTGGAGGGTTCATCATTTGTGATGAAAAAAAAGCTGTGCTGGGAGATCACCCAGAACCAACAAGGGCTGACGAGTTGCGTCCACCATGCTTCTAGACTCTCGGTTTCCAATTATACGACGGCGTAGTCGCCCTCATAATCATACCTATACGGAGTTACTGCTACTAGTCTATCTAGTAGTAGTACCACCGTCTTCAACCAGCCTGGCTACATAACCACTGTCATTTCATCCTTTGGCTCACTGATCTCACTTCATCTTCTATTCTTATTATCATATTATCTATCACTCATCAAGAGAATTAGCTCTTTTTACTCCGGACTTATCGTCGATCATCCAATTTCTACTGGACCCCTTCTTGCCGTGGCTATCCCTGTCCCATTCCGACCTACTATTTCTATTACCTACTAGGCTACTACCAGTCAGCTGGTCGACGCCCATATCCACTGACTATCGACTTCAACTTGCACGTCTCAGCATATTCCAGAGACCAGCATTATTATCGAAATACGGAGGAGGAAATTAGAAAGAAGATCAAACATCACCTTCATCGTCACTAGTATGTGTGCCCTTCCAAGTCTCTGGGAGACCCTCTACAGACTACTAGTACTATCCTATCACTCTCCTTATCTTCCCCCATTCAGAAGCCCGTGATAACGGGCCTCCCAGCCTGCCTACTGCCGCTTGGTGCAACTCAACTGTGACCTATCTGACCCATTCATGTGTCACAGGACTCACGCCTTGCACTCCCAGGAAAAAGCTTATCGGCTGCTGTTATCTCAACCAAGAATTGCACTGACTACATTGCTCCGAGCTCGCCACTGCTCGGCTGTGAGGGTCTGAGGGTCTGAGAGAGAAAAGAGAGCTATATTCCCCCCTCCGCATTCCTTGGGCGAATCTTTTTGATATCATCTGCTGCAAAACCAAAACGCAAAAAAAAAAAAAAAAAAAAAAAAAAAGACGCATCATTCAAAAACAAGGCGATCACAGAATTTCCCTCAATTCCGCAGCAGTACAACCTTCTGAGACAATTGTTCGATCCAATTGCGTACCCTGGGTGCAAATCCCTCATACTGTGGCCCTCCCCCCCTTAGGGGTTAAGCTCGTGATCCACTCCAGTCGCTCGGCGTCCAGCCCATTGGAACGCGGCATCCTTCTGGCGCAAGGTACCCAGTACCATCATTGGACTATCCTCCCTTCTAGATCTTTGACGAGTATATACATACTCACCGCCATCCAATGACTCAAGCCAACCCCCAGCTTCATCATCGCCGCACTCCCTCATCTAATGGCTCGAAAGTGAGATCTTCTCGTCCAGCACTCCATCGGAAAGGCACGTCTTCTACGATTTATCCTATCTCGAAGCTTGGCTCTGGACAAATCAGACGTCCTGAGGCAGACGACGACCGTCAGCCCGGCATGGCGGCCAGTTTCTTGAATTTCTGGTATGTGGTTAACCGTCTGTTATCTCAATCCCTGTCCCTTTTCTTCCTGTGTGAAGCACAGTTCAGCAGCCATTGTCGCTGTGTCGGCCAATTGGCCCAATCCCCTGCCCTTATCATTGCCACCGACCCTTGCATACCGGACATATTCTTTATCTTGAGCATCAGGCTAACGTCTCTCCCAGTGCCATGTGTGAGAGGCAGATCACTGTGCCAGATAATTCTCTACTATACTGCAGTGAAAGGTATGTCATCCCTTATCTTTACTTTTGTATATCACTTTTCCTTTCCGAACTATAAAACCCACCCCAATCCCTCTGATGAGCTCCGCTTACACCATTCATCAACAGCTGCCGTCGAAAGGATTCGCACAAGCCACTGTTGGCGTCCGTTCCGTCGACAGCCGCCATGTCTTACTCTTCCTCCCCCCCAACCTCTCCTCCCATGTCTCCTCGAATCATTGTGGCCCCAAGGATTCCCACCAGAGTTCCCACCAAGTCCACCGCAGCCATCCGCATACCCACAGAGCTCCAGGACTCCAGAGTAGATCAGGATCCCTCCGAATGGAAGCCGGTAATACCTGCGACCCCTGGTTTCAGTACCACGGGGTCGCTGGCGTCCTCGGAGGCATGGAACTATCTCTCTCAATTTCACGGCCAAGAATCCTCCTCTCCAAACCGTCGCTATGGTGCCGGCCACCGCAGCTCGTCCAGTCTTTCGACGCTCATGAGCGCCACGGCGCCTCTGCCGTCTCTGATCCACACCCCATCCACCACGGCCTCGTCCGTCAGCAGCAATGCGTCCGACTACATGAGTTACGCGTACGAAGCGTCCTATCGCCCGCTGCCTCCCCGCCACAATCCCTACTTCTCCAGTGGTGCCGCTGCCACCAAGGGCGTGGAGCTGGTGGTTCCTCATGTGGTCACGCCCGCTGGTGCGGTCACCGCCGTCGACATGTCCGATAGCGGTTCGATCTTCCCCGCCAGCAGCTCCCTCTGGAACGAGGCTGCCACGGCGAAGGTGTCCACTGTGATGGAGCGTAAGGCTCCAAGTACTCTCGACTTGCCCATGAGTCTGAGAGACCCCTCCAAGGGTATGCGATCTGGGTCTTGAACGGGGGCGTGCGGGTACCTTTCGCAGCTGCACACTTTGACAGAAACATAGACTTTTCTTAACAAAAAAAATGAGCGGATATGATATGACGGATAATGGACATGGCGAAACTATTTTTCATCTTCCTCGGCGCTTTATTTTCTAGTCTTGGGCGGATGACCAGATAGATGGATTCTAATCCAGGGTGTTATATGGGGGTCACTCCATCACACGCATACACATGGCTTCTTTCGAAAGTAGGCAATGACATCATTGCATGTAGCTAGCTTTGCAATGCTCCTGCGAGTTGCAACTCATCCTTCATGCCAGTCAAAACCACGCAACCTCGTCTACTATTCTCCGCAACAAGCTAGAACCCAGACCAAATCGAAACCAACCATGCCTCCATTCACTGACCCAAGCAGAGAAGGAGAAAGGAACCAAATATATACAACGAACACACCCTTCACCCACCACCTCCTCCAACTCAATCATCCGAGATACAGCAGCTCCGATCCTTCTCATTCTAATATTTCCAATCAGCCCAGGTCCTCCCGGAATACAGTACCCAGTATAATGGAAGAAAGGAGGAAAGGGGGGAGGGGGGGGGGGAACTCACCCATCGACCAGGACACGACGACGCCAGAAATCCCTTGAGACAGAGCGAATTGCCCGTATCGGTGCCGGAGGGCGGTGCAATGAGGTCTGGTGCGGCTACCGCTACTGGGGCAGGGGCGGCGCCGACAAGGCCCGCGAAGCCTGCGAGGAGCGCCATTGCGGTAAGGGAGAGGGTTGGTAGTAATTGCATTTTGGGTGAGGTTGCAGGTTGGAATTCGGGTTTTATGGCTTTGGCTTTGGCTTTGGCTTTGCGGGTTATAGTCTGGGTGACTGGACTGGGGAGGTGGGATGTGTTCGTGGGTTTTTATAACCTGTCTCGTGGAGGGCATGCAAGGGATTGGGGGTGAGCTGTGTACCTGATCCTGATGCCTATGCCCTATTGTCTACGGGTGCGCTGGTGTGGTGTCTCTTGAGTCTTGTGACGGTGGGGAATACGGTGTGTTTACTGGCTTTGTGTTTTGTGGGAGGGGGCCGGAATGCTTGGGTGTTTGTGTTTTCATTTCTGGTGTGTTCTCAAGGAGAAAGGTCTGGTGGGTTGGAATGCTGAGGTGCTCGATATTGACAAGGGCAAGCTGCCTAAGTGTCGGCTGTCGACTAGGGGTGAAGGTCTAGGCCTGAGGGGGTATCTAGGAGAGGAGTTGTAGTCTGGGTCCTAGTGATGTGTATATATCTGCTGGTTGGGAGCGTCGTCCATATTGACGATTCCGGGGTTCTCTTCATATGGTAGGGAACGCGGACCGTGTTGGGCTTGTAGGAGATAGATATGTTGACTGCCCCAGGGTATCGGCCGTCATCCTGGATCTTTATAGATTCCAGACATATATAACGAACCACCTTCCTAGGTTTCACCTGATTACCTGAGTACATGAGCCAGTTCTTTTGCAAGCGCTGTATATAGTAGCCTAGTGAGCACACCCAAGTTGGCCAAACCCACTCGTCCCTGATCTACCTAGCAGCTAAAAACAGCAATATCTGCCGCTCTCCTGCATGTCATGTTAGGGTTGACCTGGCGTCAAATAACAGTAAAGCACAAGCACCGACACCGGTAGCTGAGTCATAATGGCTTTATGAGGGTCTGATTTCCATCGCTAGCCGGGCTAGCTCAATCGGTAGAGCGTGAGACTCTTAATCTCAAGGTTGCGGGTTCGACCCCCGCGTTCGGCTTTAATTTTTCTTTTTGCTTTTTTTTTTTTTTTTTTTTCACCACCCAGGTAGTTGTTATTGCAAGCTGCAAACAAACACCCATTCCCATCTGATTTTTGCGCATTCGCCTTGCGGTGCGGATTGGCGTTGGTTGGACGGTTGGAGAGATGTTGTTTCCCTTCGTAACTCCGCTGCAGGCGGACACCTAATGAAATAAAGCTGTACAACTTTTTCTGACGACCTTTTCTTCATTTCACATTCAATTTCGATTTCCAGCAGATAAAAACAACCGCCCTTCCGATATATACCCTCCACCCTTCTTGTCAAGCACATACGACCATAGGGTGTGGAGAACAGGGCTTCCCGTCCGCTCAGCCGTACTTAAGCCACACGCCGGCCGGTTAGTAGTTGGGTGGGTGACCACCAGCGAATCCCGGCTGTCGTATGTTTTTCTTTTCTGATCCTGTATCCTAGTATGTTTTTGATTGATATAGCCTGTCTTTTTGCCCTCTTCACCTGAATGTCCGAGCGCCTCAGGGCTGACCTGAATCTGAATGTTGTTCGGTCAACACCCTGCACACTTATATCGGTTCGGCCTCTGCGGCCTTAGAGGCTTCAGCGAGTTCTTACAGTCCGCACCAATGGTAGGGTGACTCGGCTCCTAACCCGCAACAGGTCCGCGGGTCAACACGGCAATGCGGGATCTTAGTGAGACTATCTGGAAAGTAGGAGGATTTTGCTTCACTCCTTCCAGTTAAAAAGTTGACTCTGGGCAGTGCATCTACTGTAGTTTCAATGGATGGCGGAGCATCGGGCGTTTTCTGCATCGCAGGATGCAAAAAGGGAAAATAAGGCTTGCAAGAGATGTGGTGAGTCTGGTGATTTACGGAATACTTCTCCGGAATCTGGACGGGAGTAGAGACCAAGCGCTATTTTCCGCACATGGCGCAGTATAGCCATATCATTTGATTCGCCTACGCCTTGCCCCTGGCCTTTGTTGTAAGCTGGCCTGGGTTATCTCGGAAAACAAAGCACTCCCGAATCGTGTCAACTGTCAAATTTCCCCAACGTGGGAGTTCCTTCGAGGGAGTTCCTTCCGAGGCACCGTTGCTTCAGAGGGGAACTGGGAAACTGGGGAACTGAAGCATCATACATAGTTCTAGGATTTTTCCACAGGACTTCCAGATTGATACTCGTCGCACGAAGGCTTATGAAGACACCACTTCAGTTGCTGGATCAATGTCATGTTCCAACTGAATTCCTTCAAATGGGGGGAAATGGTTACCCGGCTCCCATACAGCCTCACTTGCTTTGCCATAACTGATTGCCGAAGAATGCGGCTGTCAATATGACCGAAAGAACTAAGCAGTAGGGTCCTTGAAAAGTTGAAAAAAAACAACATTTTCTTTCTTTCGGAATTTTCCAATGTTTTTTTTTCTTTCCAGCAGTTGAACCCCCTAATCTGGTAATAATGCCAAGACTTTTTTAACTAATTAGAGCCCCTGAATTTCACTACCCCACAGAATTAGACTAATTAGAATTAGTAGCTGGTAGGTGCCTTATTGCCTAGGAAAGCTGTGTATATGCTCTAAGAAATAGTAGTAGATTTTACCTAATAATATTAAAATATATATCTTTATATATAAGAAATTATTAACTTCTACTACTTACCGTCACCATCACTATGGGAAATTCATCTTCTGGGTAATGGAATAAAAATTTAGCTAAATTTATAGCTATTTATAATCTTTACTAATTAAAAGAAGTAGGCTTCTATATAAATTTATATATGAAATTACTTAGAATACTTATAGATGCTTATCTCCTAGATTCTATATGCCTGCTGCACCTACTACCCTAATTTTAATTAAAATTTTAATGTGACCTGCCTGACTGCCTATATATCTTAATATATTAGATTATAAGAAGCATAGCATTAAAAGAAGATAGATAAGAATATAAATCATTAAATAAGTATCTTTAACTATTAAAAAGTATTAACTTCTAAGATTAATTAGTGATTAGGGATAGCTATCTTCTGTGATGCCCACCCCTTTTATATATTTTTAATACTAGGAATAGTATTATTTCTCTAAGTATTAAATCTAAAATACTCCCCTCCTTCACCTAAGACTATGGCCACTACTATACTAGATTCATGATATAGCTTTATCTAGATAAAGCTATTCTAGCAGCTTTAAATCATGTAGTATCTAAATCTTATATATAATAAATTAATAAATATTCATAGAGAAAGAATCATAAGCCTTAGTATTAATTCATATAGATCTAGCTACTTTCTTCTAGCAGAAGATATATTAGATTAAAGCTTAACTACCTATATAATTTCTATGTAGATTAAAGATCAGGTTAAAAAGCTCCTTACTAAGCTAAATAATAGGCAGGAGATATAAAAATTTATTAATTCTCTCTCTATAGATACCCCTTCCATAATAAAAAGAATATAGGTGATTCTATAAGCTAAGCTAGTATTTAAGAAGATATTTATAATTTCCTATAATTCTCATGGGCTTTAGCTAGTGATTAGAGATCTACTAAATCTTCTATCTATTAGCAGGCTCTTTAAATCAGCATCTTTAATTATAAGGTATTTTAAGAAATCACCTCTGGATTGGGTGATCCTTTAGTAAATATAGAATTAGTAGTTAGATTTCATATTAGATTCCATATTAAATTCCATATTATATTTACTTATTATAGCTATGATAACTCACTAAGGATCTTAGTATAAGATGCTTTAGTTAGTGATACAGAATTAGGAAGCTTTAAAGATCTTTATTAAGGGAGATAGAGGTGATATTAGGAAGATCTCTAAGATTCTCTACTAGCTAGACTTCTAGGGTAGTCTTTCTAATCTTCTTAGTATGCTTAAGCTATTAGATAAAGTAGTAAGAAGCTCAGAATCTTAGAAGCATAATCTTATACTAGTAAGTATCTTATCTACTTTATCTATATCTTTTACTAAGAAATTAGGTAATATAGTAATAGCTAGATATCTAAGAGCACCTATCTAGTGAAAGTAGAACTTCTATCTTTTATAATAATATATTCTTATATATCTAGCCTCTAGCAGATCATGAAGATTTAGAGAGCCAGTAGATAAAGTACTTTAACTACTAGCTTATATCTATCTACTAGCTTAGCTACTATCTACACCCTAAGACCTTAAAGGCGCAGCTTCTACTATGTCTTATTACTAATTTATAGAATATAATCTATGAGTATAGTAGTGAGGAAGCTATAAAGTAATTTAGATTCTTTTAGAATAGGGAAGGAGTATTCTTTAATACTAAATACTAGAAGGAGAAGGATCCTGAGTAGTTCTGGCTTGTAGTAGTGAGATTCTAGATCTACTAAGAAAATATATATAGAATACTAACTCCCTTACTCTTTAAAAAGATATTACTCCTAAAATTAGTGTCCTAGCCCTCTATCTCTATTATATAGTTATAAATTCTGTTACCTCTGAATAAAGCTTCTTAATCATAAATCTACAGCATACAAAGATACAGAATCAGATGAAAACTAAGTGAGTAAATTAAGTAATATTTATCTATATAAATACCTGGAGTCTTTAGCTTAGAGGCTACTCCCTACCCGCTAGCCTACACAAAGGCCTAGAAGATAGAGATGAGGAGCTTGTACAGCAGGGAGCAATCATGCTTAATAATATGGGGTATGCCCTAAGCCAGGCCGCCAGCGAGGTGGCCGGCGCCAGCGAACCCCCTAGTGGTGGTGAGATCCCTAGCGGCAGTGAGGCTGGCAAGCAGGTGAAATCTAATCAGATTTTAGGGAAGTGAGCGTGGGAAGAATAATCATTTTTTTGATGGAATTAAAATTTTTATGGAGGATGTACAGTGTGGACTTCTATGTTAGGGATAATTTTATATTTTACTAGTAAAATATATGGGCGGTGAGAATCAGCAGGAGACATTTTACTAGTGTGTAAATTTCCTCTGGAAAAAAAATATTTTTCTTTCTGAAAAGATGTTTTTTTTTCCGGAAATTTCGGAAAAATGGAAAGAAAATATGATTCCCTACTAAGCAGACTATCACTGCTGTGGAGTTCCAGGCCTGAGTTGCTCGGGCTCCACTGCATGACAAGTAGGAAAGAGGATCCAGCTGCAAGAAGATCAAAGAAGATCAAAGAAGATCTCCGGCATGGACGCTTTCACTGGCTTCGCCGACGTCGGGGGGTCGAGACCATGCCACCATCGCCAACTGGGTGGAATCAGTAAAGGCACCGCCGATAAGCGGGCCTGCGAGGCTCGCAACAGCGTAAGAGAGGGCGACAACGCCAATATATTGAAGCCTTTTTTTCCCGCAAGGAACAATGAACGCAATGATCGTACTTGTACCACAGTATAATCCAGCACCCCCCCAGCGCCAGTGATGGGTCGGCCAACGATAAGAGAGGTACTGGATTTAGCGGTCGCTATATATATAACCATATATGAGAATGGACGTTATTAGATCACCATACTACTAGACCACAGATGAGTGTAAGCGTACTTCAGGTTGCGGTACCAATAGAGTTTGCCCCAGAACGACTGGAAAACGCCCCTGTCTCAGGTCAATTGATCAGAATTCATCCGTAACCTTGGAAATGGCTGTTGCCACAAATACAATGGTCTATGAGCATGAGAGAATTGTTCCAATCGTATTCCTAATTGGGCTCAAAGCCTATCGGCCGGCCGGAATTATTACTAGTGCTCAAGAACACAATAAAGAATGTGGAGACATAATCACCCACCAGGATTAGGCATAATAGCAGGCTAATCATGATAAAGCCCGAGTTGTCTGCAGCTAGAGTTAGATACCCGGAGTGACCTCTCTAGAGTCTAGACACAGCGAGTATTCCCGTACGGCTCCTCGCGTGGCTAGGATGGTTTAATTTATTCGCTATCAGGTATGAGCTGGGCCCATTTGGCTCTTGGTGAACATTTTAGTTCACTCTCTGCTAGTCAAAAAAACCTCATAACCGAAGGGAGATCAGAAAGAAAGAAAGAGAGAGAGAGAGAGAAAAAGGGAATAAAAAGGGGGCCAGCACTACGGGAGGCATGCTGGGCATAGAGATGAAGCGATTGCAAGGGGCAATACACTAAAGTTAGGTTGATACGGTATAAGGAAAAGGTTCCTTTACGATGTTCTTTTCCATTGATAGGTACTCGATAGTCAGTCATAAAAACCTGTAGTTACTTCTCTACCTAGTGGTTGAGCGATTAGGGACCGCCAGACAGCTCCAGCGTTGCTGAGGGAGCTTTCCAGCAGATCATCAACCATAACCTATGGAAACAGCAGAGCCTCGAATGAAATTCAGGAATGGGAAAGAGAGATTGCTTGTTGCTTTGTTTAGTAGGTAGTGGTGCTTGGTTGCAATACCCCTATCTGTCAGCCTGGCTCAAACCATGGTTGACACACGCTGCTTGGTGATAGAATGATAGATATGACAGATAATGACAGAAATATCTTGGTAGACAGAACCTGGATGCGAAAGGGCAGGAACCCAAACGCACATACACACACACACACTATTAGGTTGTAATTATGCCATGAAGATCTCAAACCTGGGTAGCTGTAAACTATTTTTTTGAATGAATGCAATAGGAGCATAGCCCGTGAATTGGCGAGTGATCTCGATCACTCTACCATCTCGAGTCTCAAGACAAAAGATCCCACTCAAACTGTCCTAGAGTGTCAGTGGCCAGAAATCCACTCAGGTCACAAGATTCGATGATGCAGTCCATTCAAGCCATCTTGAGCCACGGAACAACTGGGAACTCTCAGTGCCGTGCAGAATGCTGTAAAGTTCCCCAAGGAAACGTCAGACCCACAAGTTACGGGATTAGCACGGAACATCTCCCACAAAAAGGCCCTGCCATTCGGTGCCACTAATTCGCTTTCCAGAGACGCAGGCATACTTACCAACGATGACAACTCGCCTTGACTTCTATGTATGAGGGAAGAACGGCCCCGTAATCCGTATAAGCCCCAGTGCCCAGGTGATGAACCTCGTGAGCTCCCAACAACTGTAGAATCTTCATGCTCTATGCTCCGTCGATAGAGTACCACAATGCCACCACGGTAATCGGAGTCCCGTGATTATGCATTCGGTGTCGACGAGTTTTCGTCGCGTTTGGAGCAAGGCGCCGAGTGGAGCCACATCGAAACTTCAGGATCTATTTTCCAGCACCTATCAGGAGTCCGATTGGCGGCGATGGCGCCAATGCATGGACGACCTTGTTCGTACTTACCCTCCTGCTCCTTTCCAGTGACCATACAACTTCATGCGGCTTCGCAAGTCCTTTGAAATCAGTCTCTTGAACAACGCTGTACAGCCCCTGTACTGCACATACTCCATCGCTCACAGTGGGTATGAGGTCCTTCAGATCCTCATCCCTAAGATCCCTGATTTTTGCAGCGCGAGGAGGAGAAGAAGACAAACCGAAGCCTTAGCCTCAAGCACAGTCGGGAAGAAAAGACAACCATGAACCGTCACCGAGAATTTATCGACACCACTACGAGCCCCATAAGGAGCTCTTTGCGAAGGTTGAGGCATCTTTGAATGCTTTCGACTGCAGTCGCAGATACACTCAACATCCAAGCAAGTGAGATCTTGTTTCTTCGCCAGATCCGTATGACAATTCGAAAGCAACAGTCCAAATGGACAGAGCAAAGTTCCGGTGATGAGCCAGTCAGGACTGCTGATATTGATACAGAAAACCGCGGGGATCGATTGCTCGGCAGCTTCCTTAGCTGCGAGTAGTATGCATGGTCACATAAGAGCCCCCAAGGCGCTTTCGGAAACGTTCACCCGAAAGCTCAGAGCGAAGAGGATTATGATAAAGACTAGCCTTCAGAAACGACCTCCGCTTCACGATCACAGTACCTTCCTTAACCGAATGCGGAACCACTTGTCTGAAAGATAAGAAGCCCAATATGATTGAAGAGGTGGCCACACGAGGACCAGTTGGAAGTTCCATAAGCCACTTGCCATCGCATTCCCCGATTAGTCCTTCTACAATGGGCCTTGCCGGAAGTTGAAAAGAAGTGCTTTGCTGGTTGGAACAATCTGGCAGCTTGGTTGGATAAAGTGTGATGTCAAGCAAATGGACAGCCAATTATCCTCAACTGGCCGTCCAACAACCCATATCAACACGACAATCGCCATGTGTGGTGGAGTGCGCAGTGTTTCATGCACCGAAAGAGAGACGGGCTTGGGTAGAAAGTGCAGATGGCTGTCGGATCCACACTTTCTTCGACAGGCAGGCCGTCCAAGTGCTCCAACTCAACACCACCCCCGGAAGCCTGAGCGCTCTCTATGGCAAACCCTATCAAGATCCAACCCATCCAGGATATCCATGAAGAGTCCAGTGTATCGTTGGCGAGGGTTCAGAACTCATGGTGACCGTTCCACATATGATCTGCCACAGATTGATTCCAGCAAATAATCCTCAAAACGCAGTTTCGTGGTTGTCGACCCACAGCACGTGAGTGAGCTTCACTTGCTTCACTTGCAGTCAAACGGTCCCTCAATGCTCACGAGTGGGTGACCGAATAAAGCCGGCCAGTTTGACGATGACAACCAATCAAGGAGAGGGAGACTTTTTGTTTAAGAGATGATCCAGACAAGCGGCGCGGTCAACTTGCACACAGTCTCCATTTCCTTGTTGATATCTGTCATCGGTATCAAGAACTAAGAAACATGCGTGTCTTCCGATTCGGCCTTGCGATGCTTCACCACGTCACAACGATTACTGCCTCATGCTGCCTATGAGCGCGTGAGGCGTACAAGCACTGGAGGCGCGTAATCTTTCGTACCACAAGGAGGGTACGGCGGGCATGCTGTATCTGGTCATGGGAGCGCATGGCGTAGTGTGCATATGACTGTCCTGCGCAACGCGAGGATTGAGTTTCCCGGCATTGGGGATGATTTTCTGGCGGCAAGCGGCCGGAGCCTGTCGTTGACGAGGCCCATCTTCCACCCAAATACTAATGGTAGCGGAAGATCAACCAATCAAATCCGAACGATGAGAATATCAGATGGCTACCGAAGATCGATCATTCCGTCCTTCTGTCTTCTGTGGATTACAGTAAAAGAAAACGCAACAGCTCGATAATCAGATTGTGCCTTGCTCCTGTCTTGGATACTTCAGCCAGGTGTATTCTTCGCTGGAGAGCGGAGAACGGACAAACCATGAGATTGGCTCGCAGAACGCCCAAGGACCCATTTGGCGACCAACAAGATTATAAGACTAATCAGTGATAGGAAAGTAGTCTCACTGGCGGGGGCAAACAGGCCAGGCTTACCTCGATCGCATCTAGATCTGTCTTGGTCATTTGTTTGAGAGTGAGGACTCCGGCCGCACTTGCACCGGCTAGGGGACAGGTGTATTGGAGCCTTCCTGGAGGAGGCCCATGTCTACTTGCTGGTTGCCCCCTTTCATGCAATAGCGTGCTTTCACCTACAGTTTTGTACAGTTCCCCCAGGCCGTTAAGGCTGCAAAAAACTCTTTAGGCACTGTTCCAGAGACACGTCCAAGGAGATGTTACATACTAAGATTGTCAAGCGGCTAGCGTTTGCTACAGAATGTGGACAGAACATACCTCCTCTCCTCGAACAACTCAAGCTCACCCACACCTCCATACTCCCTACATCTCTCAGCTAATCGAGAAGGGAACCTTGAACATCTTGGGTCTTTAAATGCCGCACAGAAACCGTCCTCGGACGCTAAATCGATTTTGGCCATGTCATCGCAACCACTCGTTCAAGGCTTCGCGAGGAGTGAGCGGAATGACCCGTTATTCACCAAAATAAGTATTCGCCTGGCTAGTTGACTCCCCAAACAATCATCAGCCTCCCGTTATCTTTGTCGTTCTCAGGGTTTCTCTAAGATGGTGTCCATCGTCGCCTTTCCTTGAACCTTCCGCACTCAGACACAGATTGAAAGGCACCCCCACGCACTCCAAATCGTCGTATCATACGAAAGAGGTGACTAAAGATTGAGGCTTGGGGGATAATGGAGAATCAGAACAATGTGACAAGGCAGAACGGAGAGAAAAGGTAGGGAGTCCACAGACACTCAGTATAATATCACTGGTGTCCACGCCACAGCTTGTCATGATCACTTGAGCCACTCTTCCGTGGTTGCTAAATGGTCGAATGTTGCAGTCATGATAGTGAAACCAATGCCGGTCAAAACCGGAATTCCGGGTCCGAAGCGTCCGACACACAGTCGCATAGATACACAGAAGACACAGAGTACTATCGAACTTTTCTCGAAGGAATCCTAGAGGTGGTTTGCAATGGAGATGAGGCGACCGTTTCTCACCTGATATCTTTGATTCGCTCCGGCGCTTCGCAGGATGAGATACTTGCAAACCTCTCCGAATCTCAAACCTATAACAATAACCATGACGGAGCAAATCGATCAGAATAAGCTGTGGGGAAGCTGATCCTTTTGAGCAGTGCTGTCTCCTATTTTTGGAGCGAGTTTTTTCCAATCCAACGCCGCCCTAATCTCACTTCGAGAGTCGGGTTTATTTCATGGCATGCCCAAAGCTCTCACTCTGTCCACTATCTCTTTCGAGTCACATTAGTTGGTTGGCAAAACAGAACAATTTGAGGCTCCGCATGCACTTGATACTCAGAAATTATCTCTTTCTTCAGAAGAACACACTCGTATCCCCGGCCTAGATTCAATTAACCTGATTTTATAGGACCGGCATCATCCCTTCACTGCCTTTAGATGTCAAGCATCATATTCCACCCCGTCCGCTCTCTTCACATGGCTCGACGAGTGAAGAATCGCCCTCCCTAGGAACGCCATCCTCACGACTCATAATACACAATGTCGGTAGTAGGCCGAAAGGGTGTGAAAGTGGTTCGATCATCCTCCATTACCAGGGGGTAGACGCTGCTGTGATGATCTCGTTACCCAACGATGTACAACTCGCTTCGCAAATCCTCTTGGGTATCGCCTACGATTCAACTTTGGCCACAACCTGAAGATTCACCTGGAGGCATTGAATCAGAACCAGACCATAAATATGTCTTTTCGAGAGTTTGCTCTCCCGAGTCATCTCCCAGACCATATCTGCATTGCTCATCATCTTAAGACGCTAAATCCTTCCTCCGAGTGGCTTCGGCCTGTCGAACCAACAAAGGTCCAGTGTGGGAACCAACAAGTGCTGCTGTTTGAAGCCAGCGACCATGCAGTGAGGCTACTCTTGATGCAAGGGAGATACAAAGACAGGACAAGACAAGGAAAGGAGATCATCATCCTCCAATGATGATTCTGCGTAATTGCTTCCGCGGTTCTATCAAAGAGTTTCTTGAGATGGGGACTGGAGGATGAGGATGGTTGTCTGTGATGTTCAAGACGCCAGGCTTGGCTCAGGTGCAATGGGGAATGGGGTCCTCATCAGCCTTCTCTCTTTCCCCTGGTTCACTGGACGTGATCGAGGAAATGCTTGCACCCACTAATCTCGACTGGGTAAGATGCCTGGTGTCATCTAGTGATGTTACTATGCTGACTTTTGACACCGCCTGTGGGATCAGCAGATTCAGGGTTTCGAAGACACCAGCACGAATGGACTATGGTACCCTCTTTTCAATCCATAGTGGAAGTGGCCTTTGTACGTTCAATCAGGGCAGCCTGAGCAACCATATACTTTGGAGACGATCTGAGCACATTGAGATCCCAGAAAATTTGATAGAGAAGCTATTTTGAACTAAGACATGACACGCGAAAATGTGCCTCTCAATTCCATCTCATCACGTTGTAATACATGATACATATATGCCTCTCACTGAGATGCGACCATTGTGGACGATTCCGTAGTAAAAATTCAACCCGAACAAATTATATGTAGTAGAAAGTAAAACCAAAGGCCCTACAAAACATTCCTAGTACTGAAATGAGGTTTTGTATGCATATTGTCGAGGTCTATACAAGCTAGGAGCTAGATAACCACCATTTCGGCACAACCCGCGTGGACCCTGTGTATGAGAAAAAATGTAGTCAATGCACTGCATGATCTCATTGTCCAAAGTCACACTTCAAGCATCGCCATTGACAGGCGAGACTCACCAACTCAAAACCAAAATCATGAAACCCTCTCTACCACTGCGACGCATATGTCGCCCAACGAGAATCGTCACCCGCCCTCAAGCTTCATCCTCGCTCATCCTACCCATTTCGCGGCACCGATCACCACCTACAACTCCCACCACAACCCGAATCCCAAGCCTCCCCACCCGCCGTTCCTTCAACCTTTCCTCGCTCTCCAGCCTCTTCCCACCAAGCAACAACGGCGGCAGCAACAGCCGCGTCCTCACCGCCACCCGCATCCTGCCCTACGCCCCCGACAACCTCTTCCGCGTCATCGCCTCTGTCGAATCCTACTCGCAATTCCTCCCCTTCCTTACCGCCTCGACCGTCACTCACCGCGATCCAGAAACGGGGTATCCGACCCGCGCCTTCCTGACCGTCGGCTACGGGCCTCTCAGCGAGACCTTCACATCGCGCGTGGACTGCAGCCGGGCGCAGTGGACGGTCGAGGCGCGCAGCGGGGCCAAGTTCGGGATCGACTCGAAGGATGGGCAGGCGGGCAAGGACTTTCCTGGCGCGAACGAGGGGATTTTCGAGTATCTGAGTACGAAGTGGGAGTTGGTGCCGGAGGGGGATGGGGAGGTGAAGCGGACGAAGGTGCAGTTGGAGATCCAGTTTGAGTTTCGGAATCAGTTCCATGCGGCTATGATGAGTGCGGTTGAGGGGCAGATGGCTGGGGTTATGATTGAGGCGTTTGAGAAGAGGATTCGGGAGGTGGAGGGGAGGTGAATTGATGGGCGTGCTCTTGTCTATCCTTGTACATGATAGAGCATAGACTGTGTGTTATGGCGTTGGCGGAAGAGCTGGGATATATAGTTTGTACACTAGAGTTGCATCATTTTCTTCCATCCTTGATCTCTATGAGATGACCCGCTGTACACTGAGACAACATATGAGAAAAGAAATTTCCGAACAAAGCCTAGCCAAAGGTAGTATATAATACAAGACAATTATCGAAACACATGCACCCGGGAGCTATTTTCTTCATAGCATGCTCAGGCTGCGGTTCCGGCTGGCCGCATTGCGGGCTCCCTTCATCGAGCTAACCGCGTTGTAATTGTCAAACACAACCTCCCAGTTGATGCGGTCCCACCAGCGCTCCAGATACTCGGCCTTGCCGCCGATTCCGTAATCCATCATCCACACATGCTCCCAGGTGTTCACACACAGAATGGGCTGGACGTCCACGGCACCGGCGGCCATGCTCTTCTGGTTCATTGAGTGGGCACCCATTGAGCCGGCGTACATGTTGCCGAGAGGCGCGTCAGGCGAGTGGGTAGCCATGTCGACCGGTTGCCGCCGGGAGTGAGCAGCAGGATAGGGCGAGCCTGCACTGTAGGTGCAGAAGATGTGCATCAGTCCCTCGCGCTCCAGGTTCTTGGCCAGCCACACAAAGCCGGGACCGAACATGGCGTTGGCGGTGGCTAGGAAGTCAAGTTTCAAGGATTCGACGGAGGAGCAGGTATCGACGATGTCTTTGGCGAACTTGTCGGGGATCTGGGTGGGGGTGGGCGACTATCACGACAACTGGAGATTAGACATTGCCCCATGAGTAGATAAACCCTATCCTCACATTCCACTTACCAAGCAGTTGAAGAAGAAGTGGTTATTGTGAGCCATCGAGGCATAGTTGAAGACGGAGGCCATCTCCGGACGCCGGGAGTATTTGACCAGCAGTTCTCCGGGTTTCGCATCGGCGTCAACGGTGTCTATGATTGACAATATTAGATGATCAATCCATTAAGACCTCTAATTTGGGTTTTCTAGGATATCTAGAATCAAGCCGGGGCACGCTGCGGAGGGTCAGTTCTTACCCTGTGTCAAGAGGTTCAGTTTGTCGATGAGGAGAGTCTGGTACTGGGTCCAAGCGAAGTCGAAAGCCTCTGGCGACATGAGCTCCGGAACACCATTGTTCTTGAAGTACGTATCGTGCGTCAACTGAGGCACCCGGTGCAATTGTCGTGTTTGGAAGCGTGGGAGAGCGGAGATGGGTTTCTAACAAGGAAACGGTCAGTCCTGTGCTGGAGCCAACGCCGGTGGAGAAGCGGAAGAAAGCTCACTTGAGAAAGAGCGGACAACGCACGCAGAGGAGTCTGCGGCCGGAGGAATCGGTTCAGCATAATGGAGGTGTGGAATTGGGAGATCTCAACGGCGACTGGAGAACAGCTTCAAAACCGCAGAATTTCCATCGCGGACTTGACATTGCTGTATCGAGACTAGCGTTGCTGAGGTAAGGCGTCCAGAAACGACAGCCAATCAGCGGTCAGAGATCTACTTCCTTCATTTTTAACCGCCCATCGTCGGTCTTCTGCATCTTCTCTTGCTCTTTTCCCTACGCGCCTTCATATTCGCGTTGTCGAATGAGATGCCCCCAGCCTTGTTTACATCCAAGAATAGTGAGTAGCTGTACTTTGATCGTTCGATATGCGGTCTGCTATCGAGCTCCATCCGCCGCCTTCATCTGGTGATGGCGGCGCTTGGAGCTGCTCTGGCCCTGACTACTTGTTTTAAATGAAGCCATGATGCCTATTTTGGGCACAAATGAGTATCTAATACTCTGTGCTTGTCCTGTTTTCTTGCAAATCTCCTACAGTCAGCTGCGTTGTCACTCTTTGTCCTTCTTCACGGCCCTTTCAGTGCCAAAGTTTAGCTCTTACTACAGGTCTTTCTTTGTCAATCACGAACATTCATAGTCTGTCTAATTAATCCATCTTGCCTTCAACTTACTCCTTCTCTTGACTGTTCCCTTATCGCGTATCTTTAGCTGATCTTTTTGGGGCGCCAAATGGCGAGGTCGACCTTCTCTGTGTCCTGGGTGGCACTCATCAGCATCATTGCAACCGCTATCCCAACAAGTTATGCTTTCGATCATCTGCTACAGCGGGACAGTGACTCCTGTCCGGCCTTATTCCAGAAATGCGGGAACTCTAAGCTGCCGGCTTCTTTCTGCTGCCCGTCTACATCCACTTGCGTGAGCCTGGACAATGCAAGTTCTGCCATTTGTTGCCCCAGTGGGCAAAACTGCGCATTTATTGAGCCGATCACCTGTGATATACAGCAGCAAAATGCTACACTTTATCCAAAGGCTGTGGTCAAGACGACGAGACTTGACGAAGCCTTACCTAAATGTGGTGGTAAATGTTGTCCGTTCGGATACGCATGTCAAAGCAATGGCATCTGTGCCCTGGATACATCGAGTTCTTCAACTTTAACCGTCCCGGAGTCTTCATCGACTACAGAAACATCCTCCTCTATATCTCCATCCACCACTCTCTCCATAGTTACCTCTACCTCTTCTACATCTTCCTTGACAGTTGCGACAGCTACAACACAAACCATAGATACAACCTCTTCGACAGACGTGTCGCAGCCAACGGTCATCACAGCCTCCGATCTGGCAGTCTCGTCGCCGTCCAGCGCGGCATCAAGCTGCAATGGAACAACTGCCGCCATGGCCACTGCATGCCCCTCGTTCCCGACCAACGCCATCCTTGCCGGCTTTTTCCCTGGCGCTGCCTTTGGAGCTGTCGTTGCACTACTGGCCATGTTCCTTATGCGAAGACGGCACAATAACCTGCCCCCTTCCGCCAAAGTCGCTCAACACACCCAACGGACATCGAATGGAACACTGCTTGGCATCTCCGACCCCATCCCGTCAGAAGAGAACGCCTACCGCACTGATTTCCTCCTACATCGGCCTGCCAAGCGGAACTCTGAGGGCGCACGCTCCATGCTCCAACGTACGGGCACCCGCGTCAAGAGCCTATTCGGTGGAGCGCCGAAGCTGAGCGCGCAGTCAGCCTCCAAATCACCCCCGCTACCAACAACGCCTGTCGTGCAAGTTCGCCAGCCCAGCACCGAAAGTATCAAGGTGTATACACCGCCGAGCACGTTCGCCAGCACAGGCGTCCTGAAACCGGAGCCGTACCCGAACGTCGCTATGCCGTCTGGCCAGACCTTTACCGAGATGATTGGCCGGGTGGGATTCAAGAATAAGCTAGGTGACCCGTGCTACCAGGTCAACGAGCCCCCAACGATAAGAGAGAAGAGTCCCTTGAGGAATATCTGATAGGACCGTCGTTGCCATATTTGGGCATTCGTCGTGTGCTATTTTGGCGTATCAACAACATCTGTATCTGGTGCAACCAACTTCATTTGACGATGTTACATAGAAGAAAGATGATTCCCTGTTTCTTTATTGTTGGTGTTTATCTGTTAGCGCTGTGCATATGTTCCTTCCTTGATGGTAAATGTTACGTCAACCCACATGATCGGTTGCTGTTTCTCAAATTTAAAAAGAATCAATTATTACACTAATCTAAAGCATAATATATACTACATCAGAACGGCTTTATAAGGAAAAAAAATGATTATGAGCGGATGGCCCGCCTGGCCTTCCATTCCGCCACCAGCCTCTTGACTTCCTTCAAGAGCCCCACAAGGAGCGGAACGCCGACGGGGCCCAGCAAGGGGAGATACACGGCTACTTTATGCTCATCGGGGAAATACATCTGGCCCACCATGGTCTTCTCGAAGAAACTGCGCTCGGCCTCGGTCTCCGCGACTCGGGCACTGGCGAGGGCGGCCTCAAAGCGGCCGTCACGCAGATGGGTGCATGCCGAAGTCAGATGCGAGAGCGTGGCGGAAACGGATGCAGCGACGTTGGCGGGGATGGGGATCGAGGGGAGGGACTCTGTGAGGCGGGCGAGCGAGCCCATGGTGGAGGAGGCGGAGAGGAGGAGGGTGGCGGCGCGGATGCGGATGAGGGTCTGCAGGCGGAAGGGGAGAGAGGTGGGGGTTGTGGGGACGCCGAGGAGAGTGAGCAGCTGGTGGGAGAAGGTGAGGAAGGCGGCGCGCAGGGCTTCCTTGGACAGGTGGGCTGGGTTAGAGGGGTTGTCGTTGACGGTCGATAGGGGCGGGTTGAGGAGGAAGACACCGCCCCATTGCGGGATGATCCAGCTAGTCGCGCCGCTTTCCTTGACGAGCATGGGTGACTGCGAGGGCGTGGGCACGTAGAGGATGAAGTTGATTGTGGGGCCGTTGCCGATGCTCGGGCTTAGGGGCCACTCGGCGGCGTTGATGAAGGCGCTCAGGTCTTCTTTCTTCAGGGTCCATGCCGCTTGCGTTTCGTCGTACTCGGGCAGGGGTGCGGTTGGCGAGAACGTCGCGTATAGTTGGACTTGCGTATCGACGGTGAAGTTGCTGATGGGCGCGAGTGCCTGCAACAGAGGGGAGATGTACTCCTCCACGGCGGCCTGGATGTCCCACGAGGAGGGCTCCGATCCGGGCGTGAAGAGAGAGAAAGCAAGATGATAGGTCTCTGCGTACTTCATGGACCGTCTGAGCCGCCGGCTGATACTCTCTGCGAGTTGGGGCGAGATGGAGTTGAGGACCGCGGACGGCTGCTGGTTGTTCGACGACGCAGGGGCGTTGGTATTAGCGCCGCCCAAATTACTGTCGGACAAGATCTGCGCAATGGTAGCTTTCTCCTCCGTGAACAGATTCTGCAGTTCCCCTGCGATGTAAGCGGACAGAGGTGGATTGGATGATGATGGCGCGGGGACCTGGCTCGGAGGATACATGACATCCAGCTGGGTGGTCTCGGCATGGAGCTCTGCTTTCGGAGCAGTTAAATCATCCTGGGGCAGTAGTCGTACTGTCAATGCAGTATCGGCTTTTCCCAAACCATCTGGCGTCGGCTGTGCCTGGACATTTGCATTATCCTCTGGACTGGCCGTGTCCTCGGCGAGTTTTAAGCGGAGGTGGTGGGCGGAGAATTCGTTGTGGTCATCGAGAGTATGCTGCGTGGTGCGAAGGAGATGCTGCGCTTCTGAGCGTTGCATATACGGCGCCTCAAGTCGGATTTCAAGAGGGAACACAGGGCGACATGTCTGTATATCGTGCCGCAGCGAATTAGTGTCTGGATTATGGGATGTTACGTTGTTGGGACGCGGCTGGAAACACTACCTTTCCATCAGCCCAATCGACCATCTCCTGCAGAGGCAAATGAGCCCGATAGATTGACGTTGTCTTCCACCATATCGGAAATCCTAGGAAGATAACGACCGCCCAAAATGCAGCGATGACCTTGAAGCGAGTACGGATGGCCTCTGGCTTCTCAGGCGGAGGAAGCCGTTGCGCGGTGGACTTAGAACTCATGACGGTGGGATTTGATGGTTGTGGGATAGTGTGAATACGTGACCGGGGGTCGTCATTCTCGCCAGGCATAATCACGACATCCTCCTGTTCATGGAGTTGTTGACAGTGAATCTGGGAAGCTCTAAACTAACTGACGTGCGGAGACTAGGCGGAGAGCCACAGTGGCCGCAGCGAAGTCGATCCGAGGGACAACAGCCAACTCCAGAGGATCCATCAACATTGCTTGGTATACTTTAACATTTCTACAACTACTCTATAGTTTACTTCTTGCATATTTGTTTGTTCAATTTAATACACTTTTGCAGATAACTTGGTGGTGGTTGACATACGGAGTATGGTATCAAGGCAATAGTCATAATAAATGTCCATGGATTATTAGATGCACAAGCTCTAGCCGCCTAGTGATCTATAAGTCAAATTTCCTGGGTATCTCAGATATGCGCCGATTTAAATGAACATGACCGTAATGGGTAATAAGTAAAATGATAGAAGATTCAATCTAGTATTCCTTTTCGAAGAGCTTCTGAATAGGTTTCGCAGCCTGTATCAACAATTAGTACCTGATACCCCATGGTCGATGTTTAAATATGAGGAACATACATCGATGAACCGTTCTAAATCTTGGTCCAAGCTGGCCAGGTCATCCTTTCGCTTCTTGTTCTCCGCGATAAGAGCTTGCTTGCGTTTGAGAAGTTCTTGACGCGCCTGCTCCAGCTTCTCGCGTTCGGCATGTTCGTGGTTGATGCGAGCAATCATCAGCTCATGGGAGTCTAGATCTCTGTGTTCCGGATGTAGCGTAAGGAACTCCTCCACGGGGATCAATGGGAGAGCAAGATATTTGTGACTAAATGCGAACAAGACTCGTTAGCTTGATCGCATAAGAATAATGAAACCACCCCCAAGAATGAACGGCGGTGGTCATACTCATAGGATTCGCAAGCAGCGATTTCTCCTGTCAGATGTCGCTGCTCATAGTACAAGTTTTGAAGTTGGAGATGTAACCGATCGACCTCTTGACGCGCCTCTGCAGTAAATTGCTTTGTCTGGCGGACCCGAAGAATAGCATCCCGATTCTGGCCGCGCAGCTGAGCTAGAAGTGCGAACAATTGCTTCTGCTGTTTAGAAGCAGCCTGGACTGCCTCTCCCGGGTCTGAGGAGGGAGTTTGCGTCGAAGGATCTAACAAAGATAACAGCTTCTGGCATTGTTCCCGTGTCTCGGCGCTGGTCTGCAACACAGGCAGCAGCGAGGGATCGGTGACGATATCACTGATAGACATAGTGAGGAGGACGACAAATGGATGACACAAGACCTGATGTGAGGGGGAATGTCGCTGGCGCAGTGGCGAAGAAGGTCTTGGCTCCTGGAGTAGGTAGGACGGTTCGATGAACTGAGGGGGCAGACGAAAGGACGAGACAAGCACAATTGAGCACTGGAGAACGTGGATTGACGGCGGTCGCTGATGGGCTGGGATTGTGCAGGTTAGCAGAGAGCGACTGGGGTCAAGGGAGAACAGTAGCTACCTAGGAAGTCAAATGGAATAGGCGATGATTGTCCTAGATGTGGTGAGAATGATAACGATGTCTAGAGCGTTCACATGAAGCCAAAGCAAGTGGTTGGGGGAACTAGTAATTATTACTTAGTTATCGCTGATTGAATTTCCTCCAACGAAATCTTGCAGTTCCTCTTTTAATGATTGCCGCCCCCCACCCATTCTCACTCTCTTCTTCTTCTTCTTCTTCTTCCTCTTCCTCTTGGATTTGTCTCTCACTCTCCTCTCTCCTTTGTCCCATCAGTCCTTATCGAATTCTTCTCTCTTCCTATTGCACACATTCTTTTCCTGAGACTCTCATCGCCTGTCCATATCATCTCATTATTGACTCTTCTCCTTGCTTTTCCTCTCTTTGGACATTCGCTCCGAGGATCCGCTCTTCGGCACCCAAACAACAATACTCCGTGGTACCCAGTCAATCCCCGGTCTCCTTGTTCGACCCAACCTACACCTACACCTCCACAAATTTGACAGGCTATGCGGATTTGAAGTCCTCAACGACCTGGTGGAAGAGAATCGACTGAACTGGTCGATTGATCACCATGGCTTGCGCAACGCAGTCCGTGACGCTGGAGTCGTACCCAGACGCCGTGACCACCTCCTATGTCCTAAATGCAACTGAGGAGACCCGTTTACTACGAGATCGCCGACGCAGACACTCGTTTCACACTTCCCGAAAACTATCATGCGACTATGACGGTGATGCAATCTTCCTCAGAGTAAGATAAATGTCGCTTCAGGGTAGGCGGACTACGTTCCTAACAACCAGCAGGTTGAACTCTTTCTGGCGGAATTAGAACGTCGAATGCATTGGCTTGAACAGTACCGAAAGTCGCACATGGATCAGATCGATTCTAGCCTGCGGAGGGCGTACGCAACACTCGAAGCCGTGAGGGACTCATGTTCCCACGCCTCTGGAGAACTTATGGGCAGTGGAAAGAGGCGGGCCACGCTCCTTGTCGAAACCCTGGAGGAACGATATAAGGAAGCCTTGGCCACCAAGGAGACGCTGGAGCAGAAGGCTCAGGCCGGTGTCCGCTTGATGGAGTCTTTCCTCATTGAGCTGGAGTCTTGCGCTCACACCGTTCGGGATCGCGGCATCTACGGTGCTCTGGACGATGGATGGAAAGCGATGGACTCGAAACTTGTCCACGCGGTTGACGAGGGAATGGAGCGTGCCCGGAGAGCCAAGGATGTATTACGCGAGAGCATCGACAATGCTATTCTTCTGGCGCAAGAACAGCGATTGATCACTTACGCGGATCTGCCGCATCCGTGGAGGATCAACCCTCACATTCTACAGGGATACCGCTTCACTTCGTCCAAGGTGGAGTGTTTGTGGTCGGTCTTCAGCTTTTGCAACGAAACCGTTAATATCTGGTCTCACTTGATCGGCTTGTTCATCGTCCTCTCTGTGGCCTTTTACTTCTACCCTCTGAATCCCAATTTCCACCTGAGCACCAAAACCGACGTCATGATCGCCGCCGTGTTTTTCTTTGCTGCGTGCAAGTGTCTGGTCTGCAGTACCCTTTGGCACACCATGAACAGCATTGCCAACCAGCCTCTGATGGAGAGATTTGCCTGTGTGGATTATACTGGCATCTCGCTTCTGGTGGCAGCCTCCATTGTGACGACTGAGTACACAGCTTTCTATTGTGAGCCTGTTTCTCGGTGGACCTACATCCTCCTGACCATGTCTCTCGGTATCGGCGGCGTTGTCCTGCCTTGGCATCCTACTTTCAACCGTGCTGACATGGCGTGGGCTCGTGTGGCGTTCTATGTGACGCTCGCCCTCACTGGATTCGCGCCACTCTTCCAACTCACATACACTCGGGGGTTCGTCTGGTGTGTCTACTTCTACGCTCCGATCGTGAAGAGTGTCCTCGTTTACTTTGCGGGGGCCTGCATCTACGCATCGCAGGTACCCGAGCGGTGGAGCCCTGGACTCTTCGACTACTGCGGTGGTAGCCACAACATCTGGCATCTGGCAGTACTGGGCGGCATTCTGTTCCACTACTGTGCGATGCAGGATTTGTTCGCTAATGCCTTTGTGAGAGCTCAGGGTGAATGTCCTAATCTCGCAGCATAAGCGACTGCGGCAAACCACTTCCACGCTCTTGCGTACGACCAGTTACGAACAATGTTCCACGAGATTTTCTGATTGCCATACACAAGCATTTAGATGTTGACGTCAAGGATTCATGGTCGGGTACCTGGCTCAGCGGTTGACACAGTCCCCTGTAATTCTTGCGTTAAAGATTTCGCTCAAGCACTCATTACGAGTGTCTTGCTAAGTTACTGCGTTTGCATGGATGGAGCATTACATCCCTTGATCTTTCATTTTACTCGCTTGCCTTAGACTGCTGATTCTATTTGAGGTGCCTTCGTGTACATACTTCTTCTGGTGTCTTGGCTGTTGCCTAGTTCTTTGATCGCTGCTTTCGATACCAGAGTTCTGCTCTCACTTACTATTTGCTGTTGATCTTGCTACATCCCTCTTGGGTCGGTTGAGAGTACATACTTCATTTTTTACATACCGTGTTCCTTAGACTTGATGATTTGCCACAGATGAAAGGCACTCGGCATAAATGCTATTGTTCCTAGACTGCCTCATCCTGCGATATGCAGGGTTGATCTATCCTGTCTATATATGCTTTGGTATCATAACATCATAAATTCTATGCGCGAAAACTCCGCCTTGAGTCTTGTCGCAGTCTGGATGACCTCCTGTCTGACGTGTTTCCTGCTTGACATCGAGACCACCGTGCCAAGTTGTCTTCAGACATTCTGTCTTGAGCATCTCTAGATAGCGATAATATTTGTCAAGGACGGCAAGACCCATAGGTGCAAGACCTTCTGTCGAGTCAAGATCGGGACGAAAAATATCGGGTAGCTGCACTCCTAGCCTTAATGGGCTACTGCTCGGGTCACTCTGGGTCATGTTATATGGCTATCGCCATACAGAGCATGCATCTGGATGTAGTCATCGTCTTCATGAGTCTGTCTTCTCAGCGTCGACAGCAGCGGGGTCTCTCCCGCGCTTCTGGTAGTGAGCCTGGATCCAGCAGCGGTACATCTTGAGCTTCCGCTGGCGGTTCACGATGAGTCGGCGATCGACGCCGATTTTCTGGACTTCAAACACGCCCTTCGATACGTCCGCCGACTCGGCCTCGCTGTCCATCTGCAGACCCTCCTCGGGCGTCCATGTCGCCCACATATTCACCAGCTGGTCCTTGTCAAAGAAGTACACCCGCGTGCCGTCACCGCGGACATAGAAGTTCTCGTCCATATAGCGACCCTTCTTGAACCGCACCTGCGCTAGATCACCCCGGCCATAGTCGCGGAACAGAACGAGACCGCCAGGCTTGAGCACGCGGTAGACATTCCGGATGGCCTGGTCCCACTGATCCGGAGCCAGCGCCGAGAAGATGAAAATGAGAATGACCACATCAACCGACTCCTCCGCCAACCCGGGCGGGAGGCCATTATTCTCCTCGTCCGGCACAGCCGTGACATCCCACACATCTGCGGAGATGAACTTGGGATCATAGTGCTCGCTGTCCCGCATGACCTGCACCGCGGTCTTGGAGAAATCACACGCATGCACCATCAGCTCCTCATTCTCATTGTTCGTGATCAGCGGAAACGCCGTATTGCCCGCACCGGCGCCGACCTCGAGCACGACCTTCCTCCCCGCGCCTTTCTGGGTGACCTCGGCGAGCACGGGGAACTCCTGGCGCAGCCACTTGCGGTCCTTGAAGAAGTTGGCCGTGTTGTTCTTGTAGAAGAGGTTCCACCATTTCGCGGGGTCCTTGTTGAAGCGCTGCTTGTCGAAGTCCGAGACGGGCGATTCGCGCTGCTTGGCGTACTGGACCTCCGCGAAGGCTAGGAATTCGTCGTCGGGCTCGACGTGGTCCCAGGCGTTGAACTCGTAGACGTCGTCGCCTTCTTCGAGGAATCGGGAGCCGAATTGGAAGGGGTCGGTGCGTTTGAGGTTGTTGGCGGGGTCGTGGGAGCGATGCGCGGGGACTTGGGGTGGGTTGACATTTTGGATGAAGGTGATAATGTCATCGGCTGGTGCGTCTGGAGGGGGGGACATGGTGACTGCTTGATTCCTCTTTCGAGATAAAGATATGGCACTATTCGAGGAAGTTCAGGTTCAGCAGAGATGAAGATTCTAATAATCGGAAAAAAAAGAAATCACTGATAACAACAAATTTAGCGGGGAAAATCTAGATTGGCGCATGCCTCAGGCAGAGATACGAGCGGTGGGTCTGCGTATCTTATCGGTAATATTTGAGCCAATCAAAGCAGGGAAACAATGTGGGTGCCTGAGTGAAAGAAACTGACAGCCTGAGGCAGTGAGGCAGAGTCCAGGATCCGAAGTGAAGCTGACTTCTGTCATCTTCTTCCCTCTCTCTTCCTACATATTCTCCTTTGTGTCCCTTTCTTGGTCCATTCCGTATCCTTCAGTCCCTTGTTCAGGAGTTTTTGCTGAATATCGTTCGAGCGCTATGTCGCTCTGAGCCTGTACAGTCCATTGAGTCAGCCTCGCTGACAATCCATTGATCCGAGCGTCTTTCATACTTGCCCTATACAGTACATGAATCGAATCAGCTGCTCAATTTTGCGTATCTGCATATGATAAAATAGACTCCCTCTCTCTCTTTCTCTCTCATATACCTGTCAACGTCTCATAAATTTCAATCATATTCATATTCATCATCTTTCGAGCATATCCACAGGACCATCATGTCCTTCCTCAGCGGGTTACTATGCGGATGCTTCGCTCCCAAGACTGCCCCGCGCTCACCATCAGCCCCGGTCCAAGCAATGGCCGAAACCCATCCCCACAGTCTCACTCCCAACCACTTCCCATATTCCAATCATCATCAAGAGAGCCCGGGCTACACCAGCGGGTCCGACGAAGACGGGTACACGACCCCTGTTCCGCTGCCACGCTACACCCCGCGGCCGCTGAGCAGCGCCCAGGAAAAGACGCTGGAAGCGCACATGCGCGATCCCCCGCTCTCGTCCGCGCGGTCCAGCACCTCGCTGCGGGACGAGAAGGACCCGCGCGGCCTCGCGTCCAACGACGCTGATGAGCTCACCTCGGACGCCTCCTCGGCCATCTCCTTCCCCAGCAGCTACGGGAACACCTCGACGGCAACGAGGGAGACCCCTCCGCCGCCGTACTCGCCGGCGCCGTCGCGGGCAATGTCCATCTCCTCGTTGAATCCGCCGCCGCTGCCTCCTCCGCCTCCGCTGGTTCATCTTGCCCAGCCAAGGCCGGTGGCGCGGCGGGCGGATTCTCTAGTTCGGGATTTCGGGGCGCATGGGCGGGTGAGCTTTGAGGATCAGCATTCCTTGCGGTCGAGGAGGCTCTCGTGGGAGAGTAGATAGCTAAAAAATTAATGATTGGGTAGGGGGGCCTGGGGCTTTCTTTCTCTTGTTTGGATTGGTTATTTTTCACTTGTTCGCTGGACAATGGGGTACTACGGATACTTAATGATGGGGGCATCACTGGCCGGGAGGAATCATTGCGATATTTTCATATCATCTGCTGCGGGAATTGGGTCAGGGCATGCTACGCATGGGGCAATGAGGGCTGGTATTGGCGCAATGGTTGCATTCTGGTTCATTATGGAGTTGTTGATACTGATTCTGCAGCATTGCATATAAGCATCATAATAAGAGCAGATATACCATGATAACTTCTATCTCATCTCTGCAAGCGCTGCGAAATCGGTGTCTGGCTGGCACAGTAGGAGAGTGTCAATGACAGCAGAATCCTCTTCCCAAGTCTGATCCTGCACATGCTTCAGCAGGTACCCAGCAACCCCCGCGGGAAACTCCAGCAGCCTCAGAACCCGCGCGTCCTCGCTATCCTCCAGATACATGCAAATAGCCGCACACTCTGAGCGCACCCGGGTCTGCGCCCACCAGAGCCCAATGGAATCCAGCAGCGCCAGCCACCAACCGAGGATAACCAATGCGGGCGGGTCCTTGTTCGCCAACCGGTCCCAGAAAATGGGCAACAGACGACCCATGAAAGTCGTATACATGGAGAAACTCTTCATCGACCGCTCCGCCGCGAGCAACGCGGTAAGCATGCGCAGCGGCCACAGGTACGGATTCGACTCCTCGGTGGTTGTATCTTCGATCCCGCAGATATCCGCCAGCGCTGGGTGCAGACCTGCCCGCCCCGGCCGATGGTCGTCGAAGACCTTACTTTCCTCAACGTTGTCCATGAATACGCCCAGCCACATGCTGATGCACAGCCAGGGCCTGGTGAGGCCGAGGAGGTGGCGCAGACCGCCTTGCAGAATAAGCCAGCTGAGGGCTCCGGGATCGTCAGAGAACACGAACGATTTCCGGGGGTTGTACTCGTCCAGCGCGAACGAGTTGACCGTCATGAGCAGACATGTGGAGAATAGAGAGTCCATGTTATGGGGTCCGACACCCGAGGCCAGCTCCTTGGAGTACTGGCCGATGGCCCGTTGCCAATGATAAGCCTCGGCCAACTTGTAGGCGGTATTGTCTGGGACAGCATGGCTGAGATGCGACGTCGCTACTGCGATGAGGGTATGCATGACAAACGGCGTCTGAGTCTGACGTGTCAGCTGCTTCGCTACAATGGAGACTCGTTTCGCACTAACACTAAAAGCTAGCTCGGCCACTTCCTGCCTCAGCAGCTCCTGCGTACGTGGCGCGCCAACGGTAGGTGTAGTCACATTGTGGAAATGATGCAAAGCCCCGACGGTACCGGGTAGTTGACGCTTCTTCGAGCCCAATCCCAGCAGCTCATCTATCTTCTCCGAGACTTCCAGAAGATGCATGGAGTAGGCCCTTGAATCTGGCGATGCGAACCCCGGCTTCGTTTGCGCCAAGAGAGCAGCACCTCCCTCGCCACCTGTAGAATCCCCAGGCGCCGTATACACACACTCGACCCCATGTTTCTGACACCGCAGACAGTGGGGTTTCGCTTCGTCACACTGCAGCCAGTCAGATGCACCCCCCTTACCGGATGCGGGCCTGTTTTCGTAACCGCGGGGACAAAACAACATGCCTTGACTCGCCGGGTCTTGCAGACTAAACACCCAGCCCGGGACTTCCGATGTGACCGCCGCGCACGAAACTCTCGTTTGGTAGGATGCTCACCAGTGCTAGAGGATCTAGTGCCTGTGGGCTTGTACATGGGGATTCGAAATAGGCTCTTCTGGCCCTGTAGTGGGCCTGAGGGTCCAGGTGGATTAGAGATTGCCATTGACTGAGATCTGCTAGCAGCCTCAGCAGGGCTAGGAGTGTCTGTAGAAGACATTTCAAATTCTTAGTGTCGGCTAGATGCGGTTTGGTCCTCGCGGTAGATATAACTGCAGTGTACTGCTCCAGGTGATGGCAAACCTTTGCGCAAGAGTACGCCTACCTGGGCCGAATTAGCTGCGCCTTGCTACTCATATTCCATGGATTTGGCTTCCGTCAGAACGTGCTCTCCCCACCGGCCCCGAATCGTGAGTGAAAAGCGTACCTCGTTCATCTGGACAAGGCTGACCTATGAGATCTGATTTTGATACTCCATCGGCCTCAGATGCGACCAAAGGATGATACAGATGAGGCTGATCCTGAATACGAGGATGTTTCTGATATAGATATGACGCTAGACCCAGAATGGCAACTCTCGCATTCGCCTGATAGAATCCATGCCGAAAGGGGAAAGCCAGTACTCATCTACTGAATACCCCATGAGCGACGCAAGGCTGAGGATTCGAGCAGGGTGCTCGTTATTATTTAGAAAAAGACTTCAATTGGCTTTATACCACATGAAGCTGATAATTGGGATAACCATGTCATTAAATCATACACCATCTGCCACCGTAGACAACTCGCCGCTTAACCAATCTTCGCATTCGAGAAGTCCATCTCTGTACACGCATTAGAACCAAATCAACACCACACACTCGTAGACTCATCATTCATACCTGGATGCTCAGCCTGGAACTTCTTCAAGATATTCGCCTTCCGCTGCTCGTCACTGGTCATCCCGCCGGTCTCCTTCTGCCGCTGGTCATACATCATCTTCTCGACCATCGCCCTCGTCTCGCCGTCCAGATCACTCAAGCTCGAATTCTCCGGCGTGATCTTGCTGACGTCGATCTTCGGCGCACTCGTCACCACATGCGGCCACCACTCCATCTTGTTCACCTTGTCTAGATGGATCGAGACCTCCTTGCCAGGCGGCTTGGACGTCGTCTCCAGCGTCCACGATGATTCATCGACGAGGATGATATGCGGGAAATCGCCCTACCAGTCACACAAAAACACACGTCAACACCTCCCTCTCATCTCTCCAAATCAAAAAAAAAAAAAAAAAAAAGGTAGTGACAAAAACCCACCTCAATAAACGGCTCCTGCCCCTTAATCGCAACCTTGATCTTCGTCTTGGTCAGCACGACATCCATATCCCGGCCCTTGATAGTCGCCGGGATCGGAATCGTCACGTCCACGTCGCGGATCGTCTGCGTCCATTTGTACGGTAGCTGCGCCTGTTCCGCGTCCTCCTTTGCCTTGCGTTCTTTTTCCTCGCGCTCGCGGTCGGCGACCTCCTGGGGTGTAGGATCTTGTTCGGGGGCTGCGGAGGACATTGTTATGTGGAGTTAGGTTGGTTGCCGAAGCTGTTTGGAGCTGTTGGTTGTTGTGTTAGTTGGAGCTGGATTGAGGGGATGGTGGGGTACACTCGGTGCTTGGGTTATGCCGGGGTTGGGTTCGGACATACCTTCAATGATCACAGGAAGAAATACGAGTATTGTCGGAGAAGGACTACAGATTGATGGGAGAAGTTCGCAAGATGTTCAGAAATGTTTGCCAGATCGATACTTTGGAGGAGCTTCGACAGTCCAGTTCGAGTACCTTCTGTCGGCCACGGCGGTTGGCGGGGCCGATCCGCAGCTACGGTGTTATAGTGGAGAGCCTCTTACTGAGAGTGAGTACATCTAGACAAGTAGGCCCTCTCAGCTTTCGGTAATGGGTAATGACTAGAGCAGTATATACCAGGTCATAGAATTTGATTGACATACTGTTCTGCTTCCTCGAAATCAGTAACCGGACTTCCCACAAGGCACATAAACAGAATAAAAACATGTCATCACAAATCGCCCTTGCCGTACACTCCCTAAGATGCACCATGCACCAGATAACCCGAACAATAAACTGTCAGAATGTCACATATTCGTTTTCGCTAAATGTCGGAGACGCAGATCCAGCAGGCGTCGCGCCTAGCCTCATCGCATAGATCCCATGCTTCCCGCGCAAGAGACCTGAAACACATCGCAGGCGAGAGACCAGCGCCACAGTACTTCAAGACATTGATTGTAGTTGGTCGCTGTCGCTGAGCAGAAGACAATCAAATCTGACATTGGTGGGTCGATAAACCCGAAGCGCATTTGCCCGTCAGGCGCCATTAAATGCATCGCTAAACACATAGTACCAGTACTGAAGACAATGCATGTAAATTCAAACATGTTGCGTCACTCAGAAGTGTCAGTCAGCACATCGTTGGCGAGAAACCCTGCCAAAGGGCTCTCGTCGAATGCATAGGCTGTTGTAGGCTGATTGTTCTGCTCAATATTTTCCGTCTCGTGGATCTCTCCATTAGAAGGCCGCTCGACCAGGCCGAAGAACTGTCCAGCAAATTCAACAACCTCATCTGCGAGTTTGAACTCCAGAATGGCTTCAAGAGCCTGCATATCCTGCTTCCACTTGTGCTCCCGCCGCGCCTTTTCTTCCGCCGTCCGACGACACGTCCCATCCCGCTCACGGAGCTTCGTACAATTGGGACAATGGTAGTGGGCCTGGCAGAAGGAGCAAGTGCAGGGAGGATTGACAGTAATGCAATCCTGACAAACATAGACAGAGCAAGCCGTGCATTCCCGAAGAACACTTAGGCATCGCTGACGCTGATCTCCCACAGCACGAATTTGAGGGCAGAAGAAGGACTGGCAGCCCTGCCATCTGGGGGATTCAAAGGGCGACTCACATAAGAAGGATGAGGGTGAGGACGAGCGGGAACGGTTGGAATTAGTGACTGAGAAACTCCTTGAGCGACGGTGGATAGGCGCCACGGGCCTTGAAGAGACTCCCGAGCTCAGCAGGCCAGGGTGTCCAAAGTCGGCAATGGCGCCGCCATCCCCATTGTGATCTTCAGTGAGACTGCTCGCCGTAGAATCAAAGATGCGAAGAGTCCGATACGGCAGCTCGATTTCGGGGGAAGTGCCTGCAAGACCGTGATGGTGAATACCAAGCTCTCTTATGAACTCCGCATTTATATGCTCTGAGCTCAGCCGCGTGGGATTCTGAATAGCCATCTTCTCCAGTGCGAGGTCGCGGTATCCGCAAATCCGCAGGCGAAGGCCACGCAGATCATGTTCAATACACAATGGCTTCGAACAACTCTTGCAATGAACTTTCCACTGAGGCGCATCGTAGCATTCTCGGCACAGATTCCGAGGACATGCAGTGGGCTGCCGATCGGGTGGGCCCAACAGCCATTTCATCATGGCGATATGGCCCGTCTCGAGCGAGTAGTCGGGTTTGCGGGGGTCACCGTAGGCATACTTGGGAAAGGTCTTGCTCCATTCATTGGCTGAGTATTCCAGATCCTCCCAGCCCTGTCCACGGGGCAGAGGAGCGGCGCGCACCTGATCCACGTCGCGGTTTGGTGTACCGATGCTGATACCACCGCCTCCCGAGAAAATAGGCTCTGTGCAGCACCAATGAAATTTGAGGTCCGGATAAGATAAAAGATTATTGGGATTCGGAGCGGCATTGTCCGTTGAGGTTGCGACAGGATCCAGCATCGAGCAGGGTGACACGACGGCACCTGGCGCCCACCAGAGAGGAACCGAGGGTTCCTCCGAAGCTGGCGGGCTAGAGGCACTATGGATAAACGGCCTGTCATAAGCACAACTCGCACACAATGTCTTTCGACATCCAACGCAGTGCATCAAAATACTGCATTGCTCGCATCTTTCAGAGATCGCTTCGAAGCAGTTGTCGCAGCGAATCTTCTGGACGAAGCGAGTGTGGCTCGACCGTAGATGGGCGGGGGTCATCTTGCCCTCGCCTGGCTCTATCCCTTCTCCCGTTCCGAGCGGTTCACCATTGCAGCCGGTCTCACCGTGTTCCCACAGTTTCCCATCCCGCTGGCTTGGACGACTGCCCGATTCCACAGGGCCGATCCAATTCTTGGATCTCCAGAGCCGATCGAAGACTACCCAGACTTCGGCAGATCCTTGTGGAACCCGCATGGAGACATAGCCTCTTCTCCTGAAGCACCTTCCAGCGGGAGTAGAGCACCACGCCGTGTCAGTCCAGATCCCCAGTTTATGGCAGAGGTTGACAAGTTCGTGCGTGGGTTCCGAATCAGAGTCCTTGCGCGTGAGAGACGAAGACAGGTAGGGCCTGCGCCGATGATGGCGACAGCGATATGTGTAGAGACTCTTCAGAGCAAGGCGCTTAGTCGACGAGGAGCTGCCGATGTTCTTTTCCATGTCCACATCAAACTGGAGCCCGAACATCGTCAGGTATGGAATGATGTGGTACTTGAGCGAGACGTTCTTGCAGCCGCGGACAGACAGGTGCTCTAGCGTTTCCCGCCGTGAGTGCAATACGGTCGAGATCAGAATCTGTCCCGAGACCGCGGTATTATCCAGCTCCAGGCTCTTCAGACATGGGCTGAACGGCACCACCACATTCATCAGCAGCTGATCGAGAGCATACGGCCGCGACTGCCGTGGCATCATCGATTCAGATCCGCTAGGGAACACGATTCGGAGCGGGAACTGGCTCCCGGATGGGTAGAACAAGCGGAAAGAGAGGTGCTTCCATGCCGTCGGATACGATTGGAGAAAGGATCGAAGGTAGCGGGAGGTGTGGAAGAGCTTGAGGATGGCTTCGGTCGGAGTCTGGAGTAAGAGGGATTCAAGGATAGGCGTGTGAGTAGTGATTACTCGCTCGAAGGTCGAAAGAGCCGGAGCCAGAGCTTCCACCGGTGCGGAATCCCCGAGCACTTGCTGGCCCGTAGAGCTATTCCCTTCCATCGTAACGGAGTCGCACCTTTCTAGCACCGGGCTAGACGCCGGGGGAGAACAAAGCAGAGACATGACAGCGAGCCTTGCCAGACTGCTCCTGAGGATCAAAGTGACGCGAGGCCGAAAGTCAAGCGGAGAATGCGGGAGTCGCACATCATAAGGAAATAAAAGGAGGGCTAAAATGCGCAAGGCAAGGAGTGTTCTCCCAGGATAGACACCATGCAGAAGAAGCCATCTAAGGGCAGAGATGGCCTGAAAGAGCAAAAAGGAACAAGGAGATGATGGATAACCGCCGCTGGCCTGGTGTCGTGCTCTGACAACTCAGAGTAAGGTCGTGTTGGGATTAAACCCATCGGCCGGGATCTGCCCATCTCCATCATGTGATAGGTCGCTCTGGTCGCGCAAGACTGCCTTTTCTTGCGGGCGACGAAGTTCTGCGGAATCAATAACCATTCCTTACTCGAATTATTGATTAGACTATGCTCTGGCTAGTAGGCAGCAGTTGGATCTACAGTACAGTATCCAGGGTGTCAAAAGAAAACTTCTTTGTCGGCAGCTGACAGCAGGTTTTGCCTTTGTACAGGGTATCTAACTATCTACACAGTATATATTTACTTCAATGGTGCTTGCTGGGGCTAGTGTTTCTGCGCAGAATCGCCAACTGTGTATCCCCTTGCAATACCCTTGCGCCCTTCCACGATCACGGTGCTATCGCTCGGACCTTCTTCATCGTATTGGATATCAAAATCACTCCCCAGCCCCTTCCAGGTCCGTTGCGACCGTAAAAATTCCGCCCCTGGCGAGACGGTTCCGCCGATCATGGCCAAGTCTCCCTTAGCTCGCCTCGCTAGAGCGCGGGCAGCAGCCGGCCCCCCGGCAGCAGACACTACATCATCACCCTGAGCAGAAACGCGGGGTGCAGGGTTCCGCATCGGACGAGTGTGAGAGACATAGCGACCGGTTCGCAGATCAAACTCGGGAGGTGCGGATTCGGGTTCTGACATGTCGTTGTCGTCGTCGTCGCCGTTTGTCGAGGGCTCCTCAGCATCGCCCGTTTGATCTGCCTCGGTAGGCTGGTCCAGGACGCTCTGGAAATCGCTCTGCCAGGCTCCAGTCCAGATTCTCTCGGTATCCCCCTTAAGAGCAAGCTCCAACTCAAACGGGGTGATCACCGGCTTCCAGAAATCTTTGCTGTCGACTAGGGAACTCTCCCAGCATCCAATCACGACCCAGCCACCAATCTCACTGAAGTTGGCCACCTTGGCTGCATTCAGTTTGCCTACAACAAACATATAACTCTTTTTGCCTGCGGCAGCGATCTTCTCCTTCACATGCTCCACGATGTGGAGGTAGTTCTTGACACTGAGAGTATTGATCAAAATCCCGAAGATCGGAACAGTACTGAGTCTGGTCAAGATAGCGTAGCGACGCCGCAGCGCAGCTGAAGTGGACGCCGGCAGTGGCTTGACATTATCGCTGGGGGTGTCACTGGTAGGGTAGATGTGAATCGCAGCCACGCGAGACGCAAGTGTCAGGAGGAGCGCCGTAGGCGGATCGGAAATGTGGAAGAGCTGCCACTCCGACAGAGATTCGGGGATCTCGCGCACCGAATCCGGAACCGTCCGATTGGGAATGGCAGAGGACGGGCAATGGACCAGCTCCGTAGCGTACAGACTAGTGTATCCTTCCTCTACCAAGCGCGCGTAGACAGTCGGAACATGATCGGAGTAGGTGACATCCGCTGCGAGGATGACCTTCGCGGAGAGGTCGGGGTAGGTCGCCTTGAAGGCCTGAACGACTGGCTCCAGGGGCAGCTCCTTATGCGTAAACACATATATGACGGGGAGCCTGGCAGTCGGGGACAAGCAGGAGCGCCCGTAGTGCACCACAACGTCTGCGTTGACATGCTCCGCCGCCACCTCGTCGACACAGCACGTTCCGTAGGAGGTATCCGCCAAAATGTACAGCCTGGGCTCCGGTTCCGCATCGCCAATATTCATCTGGGACACAGACTGAGTCAGATCACCCGATTCCGCACCGCTGTCCATCCCGGTCCCGGCATCCTGAACGTCGCTGTTATCAACCACCTCACGGCGGGCAAGACCCCGGCTGAGAAGCTGGAACACTCGGGGCGCATCGGGGAGCATATCATCCGGAAACTGGAGGGCAATGCGCTTGTACCGCGCCTGGCGGATCTCCTTCAGCGTGCGCTCGATATCGTAGGTGATGGAGAGCTCCTCGTCCGATACGGTGCGGTGTGCGTCTTGCGCAATGACGGGTTCGGTGGCCTCGAGGATGCGCGTGTCCGGCGTCGAGAGGACGGGTGCCGCCTCCATTTCAGTAGCCATATCCAACAGTGTGCACAGACTATGGATTAATGGGATAGAGAAGTAGATTGTGTACTGTTGTTCGAGTTGACAAGACGTTGTGATGGTGGAAATTTTTTTTTACCCTACGAGAAACAAAAGAAAAACCCCCACTTTCATTCACCCCGCCATCTCCGATCCGCAGAGCCAATGGGACTGATCACTGATGCCAATCCACAGGGTCTATCGTACGATAAGTGTCGAGTATTTTGTTCAATTTACTTCAATCCATATTCATTGAAGGAGAGTAAAACCATTAATTTCGAGGACTTCGCTAAATAAAACTAGGCATACGGGTTGTCGTATTGTTTAAAGGTTCGCCTTCGCCGGTTCCCCAGCCCACACCCTCCGGATCAACTCCCGGATAGGCGCACGCTCGATTTCTCTGGGATTCCAGTAGGGGTTGCTCACAGCAATATCTGCGGCCTTGTCAATATCCTCCTCCTTCATGCCGAACTCCTTGAGGCCACGCTTGACCTTGAGCTTCTCCAGCAGCACGTTGAGGCCGTGGATCGCATCGCCTTTGCTGTCCGGCAGTGCCTCCGCGAGCTTCTTCATTGCCTCGGGGATCTTGGGGGCGTTGTAGGAGATGGCGTGTGGAAGGACAGCCGTGTGCGTCTCCGCATGGGGCAGGTTGAAGCTGCCGCCGAGGGTATGGCAGAGCTTGTGGTGGATGGACATGCCGACGCTGCCCAGGCAGGTTCCACATAGCCAGGCGCCGTACAGGGCCAAGGAGCGAGCGGATTTCGAGGAAGGGTTCTCGACGATCTCTGGAAGCGCAGTTGCCAGGGCGCGGGTGCCCTCGAGGGCCATCACGTTGATGACGGGGTTTGTGTTGCGGGCATAGAGAGCCTCGACTGTGTAAACAGAGTCAGCGAATGCGACCTCTCCATAAGCGCGTAGTAGAGTAGAGTACTAACCAGCATGAGCAATGGCGTTGACACCACTCGTCGCACTCATCGCCGCAGGCAGAGTCATGGTCAGATCGACATCGTAGATGACTGTCCCCGGGAGGATCTTGGGGTCCGAGCGAGTCTTCTTCAGCCCGTCGGCAGTCTCGCCCAGGATAGGGGTCATTTCACTTCCAGCATACGTAGTCGGGATGCAAATGTGAGGAAGACCAGTCCGGATGCTGATGGCCTTACCCAGGCCGATGGTGCTGCCTCCTCCAATGGAGACGACCAGATCGGCCCCCTGGGCTTTCGCATAGTCAACCGCCTTGTCGGTGATGTGGGTGGGCGTGTGCATGGTGGCTTCTGAGAAGATACCAGCCACCTGGCCCTTGAGTACCTCCTTGACGCTTTCGGCCTGGTTGATCTGCTGCGGTGTCGACAGCACCAGAGGTGTCTTCAAGTTGAGTCGAGCAACTTCATCAGGCAGTTTCTGGATAGTACCGCTTCCAAAGATGACCCGGCTAGGGTTCGCATTGTATTCAAAGGCCTCCATTTGGCTGCTGATGCTTTTACTTTGTTTGCAATTATAGTGAGATCAGGGAGGTCGTTCAGTCCACAATGGGGTCGTCAAGGGAGTTGATGGGACGAAATGAAAAGGATTAACTGAACCATGAGCAGCCATGGCCATAAGTATAAGTTATTATCAGCCCGGGGATAAGACTAAAATGATGGATCAGCCATGAATAATAAACAAGTTCTTTTTCTCCCCACACCCCACTACCCAGAGGAAATGCGAATCCCAGCCAACGCCATGAGGCGATTGGGGCAGAGCTCTTCGCCGTGGGTCGCGCTGTTGCGGGCCGTTGAGCTCTCGGCAGTTGCAGATTCGAAGATTCCGTCTTTCTGGAGGGTAAAGACCCTCTATTGAATCCAGGGTACTTTGTAGATAACTAGATAGTAATATTGTTTCTGGTGATCAGAGACCGCAACTGATGACTGCTGTTATTCCGTATTTCCGTTGTCGGATCACTGAATCCACTGTGGATCGACTCGATCTACTCCAGCTCTAAAAGTTCAAGTCTTCAAGGACCGATCAACTCGGAAATCCCCCTTCTGGTCCCACCATAACCAAAGCTCTACTATATGTAAGTGACTGTTGGTTGCTGATCGCAGGATTACAGCGTAAGATATGACTGAGCTGTGTGGTGAGCAGAGGGAGATGGCAAGAGTCTCTAATATCTCTGTTTGGGATATCGTAAAGAGACGCACTGTACTCTATAGATACATAAGTCGAGTCAAAGGGCAGACTGGACCCTGATATTATTTCCTGTTCGGCTCCTCTTTCGCAGAGACACCGATGTGATGCATGTCATACTGCTCTCCAGCTCCTGGCGATAGCTTTTGGGTATTCGAAGATCAATTTGAGTCAATCGAATCAATCAATGTCGGCAAAGGCTATGATGTCTCGTTTCCCCTTGCCTTTGTTCTTCTTGCGCTTTCTCTGCGGCTCAACCGGTTGCCGTTGCTCTTGCTCGCTATCCTCTGAGTCATTATCGTCATCGCTGTCGTCGCTATCACCGCCGAACATGCGCTTTCCGCCAGCCATGTCCACGTCCATGTCGTTGGATCCAACAGCCTCGTGCCAGACCTTGACCACCTGGCCACCTCCACTGACCATGCGTCCCTCCACGTCGAATCCCAGGCCAATGACACCCTCAGTCTCGTCGTGCATGACCTCCGAAACGACCTTATTCATGCCGATGCGGACGAACTTCACTCCGCCACTCCCCAATCCAATAGCGACCATCTTGCCCTTGCCGAGCTCATCAGGAACGACGGCGAGGGTTTCCAGCGCTTCACCGCCTCCCGCCTCCCGCTGAACGTAGATGCGCTCGTCTTGATCGTCCCAGGCACCCTTCTCCCACAGAGTCAAGACGCCGCTAGAACCGCCCACAAGCACCTTCTCGCCCCGGCTTGTCCCACTGGAAGCCAAGCCACCAATGTAGACTGAGCTTACCAACTCCTCACCCTGGTCTTCACTGCGGACCATCACGCCGCGGCGGAGGTCGGTAACGGCCAGCGTTGTGCCACCGGTGGTCACCCATTGCTTGCTGAAGCCGGAGGTGCTCGTATCTGACGGAGGAAGCGGTGTGAGAGAGGAGATGTAGTCGTCGTGCGGGTGATGCGTCTGTTGGGGTTTGGCAGACACGTTCGAGAAGGGAATGCGAAGATCGTAGAGGTGGAGAGCGCTGGAGTCGGTAGCAAGGAGGAGAGTCTGGGGAGAGAGCGCATGAATGATCGTCGGGGCATCGACGGATCTACCAGCCAGCATTAACCATTAGCTCAAGATCGAGGCCGCGCAAATCGAGAGCGGTGCATATCCTCAACGCCAAATAGATCAGAGGCCACACTCACCCATCCTTCGCAAGAGGAATCGCAATCTTATTTTCCACCACACCGGTCTCCGCCTTCGCGGCCTTCACCAACCCATCCGTCCCAGCAGAGTAGAGCATCTCCCCGTCCACTCCAAATCCTAGACAGCGACAGCTTCCCTTGTGCCGGCGAGTCCTCCACATCGTATCAATGTGACCCTTGCCGTTGCGCGCCGACGAATTCGACGCCGTCCCATCATCGTCGTCACTGCTTTCCTCCGACGGCAACCGAAAAGTCTGGACATGGCCGGTGGACAGTCCGACGGAGACAACGGGTTCGTTGGGGTGAATGGCCTGTGAAAACAGGTCCGCTGAGAGCGGGAGGGTGCAGACCGTGTCGAACATAGCGTGGGAGAAGGCGCAATTGCAAGATTGACCTGGTGCTTGTCTTCGTGGGAGCTTCTGGATTTCAGGACATTTTAAGTGGGTGCGGGCCGATGAATTTCCGCGATGGATTTATTGTTGTTGTGATGGCGGGGAGAAGAACGACTCTTGGGCCAAGTGTGTATGCACTCTTTGGTGGAGGATGAAGTAGGCTTACAATGTTGAAAATCTTAGGCATTTCATGGTTGCGTTTGCGATTTATTTCTTTGCAGGTTGAGTTCCTCCGGACCTCTCTGCTCATGGACCATCCAGTTCCAACTATATATAAAGTTTCTGGGCTTCCCTTGTGATGATCGCACAACTCTTGCTGGGTTCTCCATCATCTGATTGCTCGATCATCAAAATACCACATGAATCAAAGAGATGATCTGAACCTCTTGTGGCTATATTGCAGGAGTATGGTCATCTCTAGCTCAGTATACTCATCTCGAGAGGCATACGTGAGATGCAAACCCGGGGGAGAATCGTAAGAAGTACGGCGAGATATTCAAGGGTGATTAACGAATAAAAGCCGTAGAGTTGATGCTGTGCTCACATGTCTTCTGCTAAGAAACTTTAGTTGAGGAGCTTGAGTCTGAAAAGAAGGCATTAGAATGACTGAGGAACATAAGTCCATGGTTTCGACACTTGCATTCTAGTGGAATCAGATGGTGAGTGATAATTGCAGTTTGTTGGCCTATGCTAATTAGTGGAAAAAATTTCTATGAGCAAAGAACTCTTTGATGGATCTTCAATCTATGTACAGGCGAAGCCAATATCAACAAAGCACCATTGAAGGAGACTGTCAGAGACTGCCTCTCAGAGGAGTAAAGCCAAAGACATTGAAATGACAAAATGAAAACGACAGAATAGAAAACAGTCACAAAAATCTGCCCTGAAGCTCAGCAGGGTCTACCTATGTTCATTGTTTCCCCCACTATGTACAACCCATCGGTAATAGCCCGGAAATCGCAAGCTCGATCTCCTGACCTTTTCTCGCAAGGGAGCCTGCCCTCGTATGTACCACAGATACACACCGAGTATCTGCTCGAGAATGGCCACAATGATCATTCAGCGCTTAAACGCTCTTGTAGGTCGAGCCGATAGGTCCGAACTTGATGTTGGAGAAGGTCACAGAGGCATCGGGGTGCTGGCTCTCGACAGTCTCGGGGTCACCGAGGCCGTGCTCGCAGGTACCGCGGGCGACACCGGGGGTGGAGGCGTCAGCGTCAACGGGGTAGGTGCTGTCGAGCCACATCATGCTGGAGGCGTGGTCGTCCCAGATGCTCACGATGAGAGCCATCTTGTTGAGAGCCTTGCCCATACCCTCAAGCCCGCCATGCTTGGAGAAGATGTCCTCATCACCAAAGGCCTTCTTCTGGGCAGTGCAGAAGTCAGAGGTGATGGAATCACCCTCAACACCCGCGACGTTCGAGGCAGAGTTGCCGATGACCTTGCCGCCCTGGACATAAACACGGCGGATTTCCTTCAAGGCACCGGAATCGGTTCCACCGGCAGTAACAAACTGAGTTACCACAGTGATGGGGGACTTGGTGTCAACCAGTCCGCCAGGGCCATAGAAGCTCTCGTTGCCCATGCGGAAGGAGTTGAAATCACAACCATCGGGATCACAAGTACCGGCATAGCGAGTGGAAGAGTAAGTGCCACCGCAGTCATTACCGTCGCAACGGGTCTGCTCCATACCATCACAAGGATGAGGAGTGTAAGCAGTGGAGATGCTATTGGCCTCCCAGATATCCATCTCGGGGCAGCAAGATCCGTAGCCACCAACGCCAGCGTTCTTGTCGTTGTCAGAAGGCTTCCAGCCCTCCACGTTAGCCTGTTTTTCCGGGTCAGCTTCAGGATATCAATCATTCGGACTGGTTTAAGATCCCTACCTCGCCGTTGATGAACTTCAGGTCCCGAGGGCACTGAGAGTCGCAGTAGCCAGTTCCGTATTTGGCACCAGCCTTATTGCCAGGGTACTTGGACAAGCCGCCATCAGCATCCATGGACACGAAGTACAGGGCGCCGTTCAGGCCGCAAGGAAGGTTCGACACGTCAACATCGAAGGTGAACTCGTTGTTCAAAAGGTTGAACATCTGGTAGGTCTCGTCATCCTCCATGAGATACAGACGGGAGCCAACATTGGCACTGGTGACAAAGTTGAGCTTAAGAGAAGAGCCGTCGGCAGTGACACCATAGGTGCCAGAGTAATCGGCACCGTCGAGAGCGCAGTTCTTAGCACAAGCCTCATTGTCAGGGCAGAGCTCGGCGTTCCACTATGAGCAAGATTCAGTTAGTCAAACTCCTTGCGTTCTAAGATATCTGTGGATGGAGAGTCTTACCTCGTTGCCGGTATAGCAGTTGGTGGTGTCCTCAGTCGAGTGGAGCCAACGCCAGTTGGCATCAATCACAACGGAGCCTTTCTGGTCAGTGCAGCTGCCAGCAGCAGTGCACTTTTGCCAGGTCAAAGCAGGGTGCACCTCGGCCTTCTGAGTGCCAACCTGCTGGGCGCTGACGGCCGTCGCAAGGGCAGAGAAAAGGAGTGCACGTTGATACATTTTCAATGTTGGAGAGAGCGAGTTCAAGTGTGTCTTCGTTGTCTGTCCAGCAGTGAAGAGAGACTGGAGTTGAGATGGACAATGCTGCTCCTTTATATACCTTTGCAGGAAGAGCTTTTATGCCTAGTTTACCCCGGAGCTAAATCCAACTGAATTCAAATCCGTCTCTATCCAACCGGTGCAGCGGACCGTGAGCCCGTGGCGTCTAGTTGTTTCAAGAGCATAGAGTAGTGGCGTTTCCCCAATATTGCAAGAGGCGAACCTTGCAGAAAACGAATGCCATAAGGACACCAGGCTATCAGGAAGTGGACCCTGAAATCTCACGGGCTTCATGGACCGATATCATACCAAGTTGTCTCAATCCCAAGAGTTTCAGGAGTTGAAGGTTAAGCATTGATCTGTGATTGGTTTGTTGTGTTCCAATTGTGCAGCAACGGAGAAAACTCCGAGCTACTTCTGTCAGGCGCGATATAGATATCTGATATCCTGAAGATCATAGCCCCTTTCCGCACATCAGCAATAGCAGCTAACTGGGGTAACAAAGACTGCAGGAACACCGACTGCGGGGATCCTCATGGTGTTGTATTGACCAGTGTCCAGTGTACAGCTGCTACTATGGCATTCCTTTTTGCTGAAGCTTTCTCTTTGCAGTCACAAATTAGACAGACGGCCAAAACCACTTTCAATTCTCCAGCATTGAACGGGGAGACTGCTCAGGCCAAACTCTTTGCGCAACAACCCGGATCTGCCAAACAGTATCCCAAGCTTTAGTAACATCCTGTAAAGATGAGATTGCTAGAGGAGGAGCACTTGATGCAGCCATGCACCCGGGGTTTATGCTGCCTTTGGAACTTGGACCTCAACTCCGAAGTCTGTACGGAATAGTGTCATTCAACGCGAAACACAAGTGGTGCTCGTGAACGGCATCTTCTCAAAGAGGATGTATTCGAGCATTCCTTCCGGCTTTGTTCAGTCCAAAGTGGAATCATAGCCATATACCCGAGGTCCAGAACAACTCTCGCAGAGACCACGTCCGAGCTGTCTCGGTTTGTTGATTTTAGGCATATCGGCGAAATCAGATTTATTCCGGATGCCTTGAGGTGAAGATTGACGACTCGGGTTGTAACGCATAGTAGTCCGTGTACGCCCAACCCCTGAAACGTCTTAACAGACTTGAGATGAAAACAGCAATGATGCGATGTCGAAATTAAGCGCTAGAAGATGACGCGGTGGCAGGAGATGACAAGGTGTGGCGTTCATTGGGCGTCGACTTCATTTCGAAGCCGAGATAGCCTGAGATCATGCGATGAAGGATTGATTAATTATCGAGAGGGGCCCGAAGCCATGTCAATCACTGAGAGTGCAAGGATAAGAGTTCATCAATCCAATCCAATGGAGGCTCGCTTTGGCGTCGCAGCAGTCTATGTCGGCGCATTTGGTCTTGAATAGGCGCTGTAAATAGCGCGGGGAAGGGACTTCAGGCAGAATTATGCATCTTCCGCCAAGGCAGGTCCACAAAGGTGGATTGGTCTTGTCTAGGATACATTCGAGGCGGAATCCATTGTAGAACCCAAATGAAGGAAATTTGTAGTCGATCCTTGTGCAGTTGTGATGGGATCTCACATCTTGGATAGTTTCCATGAACCAACTACGATGTGTCTCTTTTCGCACCGGCTATTGATAGTATCACTTACAAGTTACAGTGGCTATTGCATGAAAGGGAATCAGCTTCGCCCTGCGCAACTTTAGCATCATACGGCGCTGATAATCCTATTGAGAGAGTGCTCTCGACAATGATATGGACTGTGAGTGTGGTCTGCACATGACTCTGGAGTCCGGGGAACATTCTGCAGCAGTTAGTATTGTCCGAATGCAGCCAACGTCATGTTGATCAAACACCCCTACATAAGATTAAAAAGACCAAGCGGAGTGAGCGGACAGTCAAATTTGGATTCCAAGTAGTGACGCACCAAGTCGAGGTTGTACCTTGCAGATCCTTTCCCAATGGTGCCTCATCTGCAGTCTGACTCTGCACATGTTGCGAAGCTGGGTATGGTGTCTGGGGATTCGCATCGCTGATTTAGCCGAAGGCACCTACGATTTACAAATCAATAACTCTACAGAGCGTCCTCCGCAATTGTTCGTCAGGCAAAGTATGGAGATTAAGCCATGGCCTTTTCGGCAAAGACCGTATCGTGGAACTCGGAAGACAAGCCTCTTGAGATTATCACTCGATTCCTTACCAGACCGGGGTTGATCTGACGGGGGTTCATGGGTTTCCCGCACAGTTGTAGCCAGGGGCCATTGATTTTCGCATGGCTTGGGCGTTGTCAGGCGTGTGAAAACGTCGCAAAGGAGATCAATCCTGTTGAGCTGAGAGGAATCGACCGTCTTTTCGTCGTTGCTGGACGCAGAAGAGCTATGAGCACTTCATGGCTTCCACAATCCTGTATCCGAGATGCTTCAAGTCTTGAGATATCACCTTTCGACTCCGCATGAAACCCGACAGTGAATGTTAAAGAAGGATCCATACGAGCGGACATGCTGGCATCGTGACATTCATTGTTTTGATCGCATACAAAATCGTCTAGACAGACTGCTCCTAAGATGTCAGTATTGCCTCCAAGGAGCTTGATAGATTTGTTCCCTTTGCGCGCAGATGCCTGTAAAGTTCAAGGAATGTTTCGCCCGATAACTAGATATTTCGAACGAAGATAGTGAGTTACCGTGATGATAATGTTTGGCTGATTTTGGATTTGATCAATTCTGAAACCCGGGGATTTGCCATCATTCTATTGCTGATCAAATGTATGACGTCTGATGGAATGGGCATCTCATTCAGAGATAGCACCATGTCTCTCGAGCTAAGTGGTGTCAGATATAATCATATTGTATCTGCTTCGTTTCTAGGGATGTCTGAGATGGTTAAGACGCAACTCGGCTGGTTGTTGTTTGTTGTGGGTCACTATTTGCTGCTGTGGATGCCTTGTTGCCGGCAGCAGTAAATGCTAAGGCATCCTTCTGCTCACTTAAGCTTCTCCGGCAACCTCGGCTTCTTTCTTGCTTCAGGCATTGGCTGAATCATAAGACTCCCTTTATCAACATGCTTTCAATCTGTTAATCATCATAATCTATCTAAAGCTTGCCAAAGTAGGTCGATAAACAGCAAAAAGCAGAAACAGAAATCAAGTAAGGTTCAAACCAGTCGGTCATGGCTTGGTACACCCAGACGATCGAACGAGTCTCCGACTCTTGGAACACCCACCAGGCTCATCTCCCGATGTTGGCCTTGACTGGAGCGTCTCTGACTGTGGCTCTTCTTCTTCGCTCGTTTCTATCTGAGCAACATCCCGAGGGGACAATTCTTGCTTCCCCTCGCGCATTAGTCTCCTCCCTGTCGGATGAAGACAACCTTCATATTCCTTTGCCAAGCGATGTGCTTCCTGGGGCACGAGATGTTGCTTCGCCATACGGCTCAATGAGAGTGTATGAGTGGGGCCCGGAAGATGGACCTAAGGTGTTGTTTGTTCATGGGATCACTACGCCTTGTATTGCGTTGGGCGGACTGGCTCATGCTTTGGTCGATCGAGGTTGTCGGGTGATGCTGTTTGACCTGTATGTGGTTCTTTCCAATTCGCGCACTCTATTGTCTTTTACTAATAAAGCGACTCAAAGATTTGGAAGGGGTTATTCCGATTGCCCTTGCGATGTTCCTCAGGACAATCAGCTCTTTACCACGCAGATTCTTCTCGCTCTAAGCTCGTCCACCATTCCATGGACAGGAGTCGGTTCTGGCAAGTTCTGCCTAGCTGGTTATTCTCTGGGTGGCGGAATTGCAGCAGCATTTGCTTCTTACTTTCCTAATCTTCTCTCCTCTTTGGTGTTGCTCGCCCCAGCTGGTTTGATCCGCGACTCTCAGATCAGCTTTCAGTCTCGGCTTCTATATTCGCGTGGACTCGTCCCAGAACGAGTGCTTGGTTTTCTTGTTGGTCGTCGCCTCCGTGCTGGGCCACTTACTACACCGAAGCCCAAGAATGTAAAACTCAATGCTGCGGACGCCCTCTCCGAAGAGCTTCCCTCGCAACAGGCGGCCAGCGTGCAACTGCTATCTCGCGCATACCCCCATGTCGCTGTTCCCTCTGTTGTCAACTGGCAAGTGAACAATCACCCCGGATTTGTCCATGCTTTCATGTCCAGCATGCGCTATGGGCCCATTCTGCAACAACGGCAATGGGGCACTTGGACACGCTTGGGTAAGTACTTAGCAGCACAGAGAGATCTCCCAGTAGAGGCGCAACCAGAAAAAGGCCTCTCAAGTGACAAGGTGCTCATAATTGGCGGCATCCATGATGCAATCATCTTGAAAGATGAACTTGTCTCAGATGCCACATTGGCGTTACAGGGAAATGTCAGTTTCGAATTCTTCGATGCAGGCCATGAGTTTCCAAGCACCTTATACGATAAGACAGCGCAGCGGATATGGGCGCTACTGCATTGAAAGAGGTCTTCTTCATAATACAATAAGAGTCAGATTTCCTTGGAGCTCTCAAAGCTCAATGTCGATGGATGTACCCTAGGAGGGCAGACTCGCCACAGCCTCTGTATATAAAACAACATTTTTTGACACAATTCTTTGAAAGCCGTCCCTTCGCGGTCTCCATTCTCCTGGAACAGAAAAATACTCCCCACAGATCCTTTTACTTCTCATTTTTTCAAAATCTCATCCGTCGCGTGCAGCTGGCTGCTCAGTCGAGAGGCGTGATCTGACCGATCTTGCATACGTGCTCGTGCAAAATATGGCTCGTCTGCCAGAGATGACTGAGAGAATCGGTCCACACCACCAGCACTTGCATCTGGGACGTGGCTCAATTTTCCCGCGCTAAGACCATGTCCAGCACCATTCGACAAGCTGAAAAGAGAGTCCCACGTCAGCATTCAGTTGCGAATCATCTGCGGTGAGGATGCCCTTACTTCGATTTCTCGTTAACGGAAGGCATTGTCAAGACACAGAATACCGGTTGGTCTTCAATGGTATGTTCCAAAGAAAGAAATCTTGTTCCGGCAAATAACCTTCGACTAAATAATCGAATCGAAATGTTGCAGTGCGTCTGAAGGATGTGTCAAGGAGAGTGCTTCAAGTATGGGACTGCTTGATATCACCCGGTAGAGTCAATTGCTTTGCTTTGGCTGCTGTTTGCTGTGCGAGCTGTTGAATAGCATCGAGACGGGGACGATGCCTCTTCTTTAAGTATCCCAGGAGGATTCCTATGCAGGAAAAGCATGTGAGTTCTTCGGATGACGAGGGACAAAAATAGCTCACCCATACTCTAGTATCAGAAGCTCTTCTTCCTAGCAGAGAGAGGCCGTATTGGGCCAAAAAAGAAAATAAAAAGGCAAAGCGACAGAGAGAAGAATGGAATGCTGGAGATCTTCAGCCAGGATGCAACTTGCGGAATAGGCCTCAACCCTGAATTGATCGATTTCCGGCGCTCTCCGTAGCATGAACCACTGGAGAAGTACACCAGATCAGCCACAGTCCCGACAGCTAAGGGAGGATCTGATGTGGATCTGCCTACTGACTCCTCGGCTTTTGTTGCTCTCTGAGCCCAGGCACATCGACAGCCCAACGCAAGATGGTTGTTTAGCGAAAGTTGTCACAATCGCTCTAGTCCGTACTAAGCCCAGTTCCAGGGATAAGTGGTCCCGGATGCTGTGGGCCGTGATCCATGGCTGAGCTTGAGTCTGTTGAGCTAGTCTAGAGCTCGAAGCCTCGACCACCTGGGAGCAATGGAAATGGCGTGTGTCGGCAAGATTGGCCGAAAAAGGCTCTATAGGCCCGTCTCCTTGGTACGCTAACTGTGCATACCAGGACCGATTCCCATTGGTTTGTCCCTAACGTTCAAAAACCGTCTTCATTCAACATAGTTCAACCAGGGGCGAAGACTGGAAGTCTGAAACATCAAGTTCATATCTGATGCTGAGCCTCGTCACGCTTCTAGACTCAACAGCAGCAACGACGACGCTCATGAGAAGCGGGCATCTTGGCAGTCACTCAGATATCAGCTGCACTATGTCATACTACGTGCCAGATCCCGAATTAAAGCCGTGATTGGTTGGCTTGGACAGGAAAATCAGATCAAGAGCAAGCCGTTGTGAGAGTCAGTTCAGATGCCAGACATGGTTCGCGTGGACAAACGTGGTTGATCGCATGAGTGATCGTACTGTCTCATCTCCTATAAGGATTGAATTTGACTGGTGCACTGCCCATCTTACCAGGGTCCACACTTCAGTGGGTGCAATGATTTGTTTTTTATTTTCTTTTTCCGCTGGACCTCCTTGCTTTCTCGCCTCCGATTTCAGTACAGATCGGCAGGAAGCCTTCATCGACACTCTTTCTCATGCTCACCAAATCCCCAGCTGCAGCTTGCATACCCCATGAGCATGGGGCAACATAAGAGCTACTCCTTATACATGCTGAGGTATGTGCATATGCACAATTCTATGCAGTTAGTGCTTCTTTCATGCCAGTGTGAGTTTCATAATCTTCATGCCATTGAACATCATTCTTTGCGGACAATGTTTACAAAAAGTGGTTTTCTCAATGTCACTTCAGTGACTGATATTACAAGCTGAAGCCAATCTCCAGTGGGAAGGAGCTGGGCGTTCACTCCATTTGAGATCATTAGACATACTCCACATCTATCAGCTACCTGCTTATTCGGTCGTCATATTCCAGCCATATTGAGACAACCAATAAAGTTTCACTGATGCTCCTTTAATTTCAGGACAAGCCTCGCCCCCCTGTGAACCCTGGCAGGGGGCTAAAACCCTACAAACATCATGGAGTGGGATTAATGGATACACATGACACACGACAAGAAACGGGCCAGATGGGAAAAGCAATTATTCTCCCTCAGTTCTGGGCCACAGTACTCCGTACCTCGTCACTTTTTGTCGGCCATTACTGACGTTTTACCAATGATTATCGGCTCGGCTGGTCAACTTTGCGCCAAATGAGCTGTTGTGGATATGCACAGTTGATAATGGCCAATTGGATACGTGAGCGATCTGAACCCCCAATTTTCCCAATCTCGGGCTTGGAAGTTCGGGAAATGCTGCACACCGTCACACGTCGAGTCATAATGCGCCTTGATCCACCAAGCCGGGGGTCAACGTACAATCTTGGCACGGGGTTACCAGAACGTCGGGTACGATTATACTAGCTAGCATAGCCGCTTACGCAGACCCTTGGTCTTCACCAAGATTCGGGTCTTTTCAGGGGCTGATCGAAGGTTCAAGGCGCGGAATCTGCAGTCTTGGATCACAACTGCAACGCGCACCTCGGCCAGCTTTACAATTCGGCCAGAAAACACCCCTGGCTCTGTGATACTTTCATGGCGCTCATAGCTGTCAAGCACTGTATATCGGCCTGCTTCACTTGAGTGCCAAGAATAGACATCCCACAATACGAGCAAGTCTTGATGGCGATATGCGTGCGCGTTGAGCTAGTAGACTCGCCCCAGCGGAAGTACCTTGATTCTACTGTTGTCAGGTGAAAAAAACGAGGCACGTTCACTATTCGGCTTCCAGTTTCATAGCAAATACTCGAGTCACATTCTGGCCATTGTCTCAGACCAGCCATGGACGGCAGCAGGGATTACATTTTACCCTCCTGGATCGCCGAGGTTGACAGTATGGGGACATTGGAGCCTGCGCCGATAAAAGCCGTAGTGTCAAATTCCATCACATTTCATCTTGAAGCGGCTCCCTCGATGGTTCTCAACGTCAAACTAACAGCTTGTCTCTGGTCTATAGAGTCTAACCGATGGTGGGCACCTTGGATCAGCCAATAACAAAGATCGTTCTTTTTTTTTTTTTTTTTCTTTCTCTCTCTCCCCCCCCCCCTTTTATTACAAGACTTTGAATCTCATTCCGCCTGGTTGAACAAACTGCGAGTTCGATTGCCAACTGGTCGGTCTCGAATTAAGCCTCAACGAAGGCCTGTGCTGACGGCAAACTGCAGAGCACATGGTTGCAACTTGCAAGGGAGGAAGTATCATTCTAGTATGGACTCAAGATTGAGAGTCAAGAGTCAAGTTGAAGCCACCCTTGCTGGAGATGATGACAAGTCACATTCATGGGGACCGTCATTGGGGCTGCATGCTTGGCACAACAGGGGATGAATATCAGTTTCGCAACTCAAGGGTCGTCAAAGACTCTGGTCTCTGACTACGGGTCATCGGAGAACTCCTCACGAAACATCTGCACTTTGCAGATCCTACTCAGCTTGGTTCATATTCTGATGTTTCATTCCGGAGTAGCCGAAATTATCTCGTATGATTGCTTTTTCCTCGTCGTTACCGGCGCAACTCTCTTTTGCGGGACCCCTTGCGCTGCAAGCTGCAACAATCTCGATCACCCAGACTCAGCCTTGAGGCGTGAAACAGCATGTGTGAATGTGCCTATCGGTCACCAGCAGTCGCGAGGCCACAGAAATGATACGAGCATCAGAGCCTCGAGATACCTCCCTTTTTTTTTATTTATTTTAGGGTATTGACTCCACATCGGCGGCATGGGAACGGCTGCGGCCCTTGCGGCATGCCATGATCGCTGCTAATTCTAGCACCGATCCGCATTGCTCAATAAGCAGATGAGTCTTCACTTGCTAGTGCTCAGTCGTCACCACGGACTACGGAGATGGACTATTGGAGTCAAGTTAAACGAAGCCAAGACCGTTAGTTTCGATTCATCCCAAAGTGGCAGTCTTGTCAGGTACGAGGGGCTAGAATTGTTGCCCCTTTTGACTTGCGACTGGCCGACACTCAGATGCAAACTATACGTTATCACTCCAGAATTAGTCGGAGAAAGCCTTTATTACTGTGTTACACGAAGGAGATTGAGCGACAAAACCTGATTTTTTTGTGATGAGAACCACTCATCCGCGCTCGGCTGTGCTTTTCGTACTTCTGAACTCTCCCTGTCTTCTTACGATTGCGTTTACGATTGACAAAACCGTTATCATCTCCCACAAGCGGCAATCGTTGTCTTGATGTCGGAGAAGTGAGCGCAAGCGTTTGCTTTTTTTTATTTCTTTAGCACAGCCACGAAACTCCGCGCCGCTCTTTGAAGCTTGTCTAGCGCAACCACTCAAACACCGAAACACTTCTGATAGGGTCGCTAACAGTCAAGCGAAGGCTTCGGGATTGGACAATACTGCTTTGTTCATCTGAAGATGTCTGCTCAAGATACAGCTCCTACTTTCACACTTGGCTTTTCCTCGACAGCCTCCGATCTGAGGTCATTCGAGGAACGGCATGAAACGCATCATCAAGACACGCCCCACAGGCCCAAGGGGTCATCTCCACTAGAACGAGCTCGAAGTTCCTGTAAAGCCTTCACTCTTTTGACCAAGAGCCCCACGCAAAGCGGGCCGATGAAGGTGCAGAGGGTAATCGCCCAGACAACTACCAGATACATCTCTGAGGCGCCCTGTTGACCGCTTGTTCCACCTGATGAGGGCGATTGAGAGGAGAAGATCCCGTCTGTTTCCGCTAGAGACGCAATGAGATAACCGATCTCGCCTCGTGCTACCATGGCCAGCCCCAATATCGACGCTGGATACAATGACCGGGGCTTAGAAGGCAGCTTCGAGCTGCTGACTTGTGACACCGAAGGCCGGTCCCCAGTGGAGTCAGCTCCCGCTGCTGCCGCGGGGACATGGGAATCCTGCTTCTGCGGCTCTTGTCCAGAAGCGGCAAGGTCATCATCTTGCTTTGATCCATCGCTTCGCTTTATTCGGATCCGGGGCGAATCTCGTGAGGGGTTAATATCGCATCGAGGCTTGGTCTTTCGTAATCTGGCTGCGCTGAAAGTGGCAAATTTGAGCAATGCCTGCTTTACCTTCTCCAGCGTGGTTGGGCAAAATGCAGAGAGGCGGATCAGCCAGATTCCCGTGATCAGCTTACCGAACGCCATAAAAATTGTGTAAACCACTCCTCGCCAAAGGACCTTCCCCGCAAACATTCTCGTAATGGGCATTGAAAACCCTATAGAAGCCTGGATGATGCGTTAGAACGATATTCTCATATTGGTGCAGGATGCTGACGACGACACGCACAAAAAAGAGTGGGCTCAAGATCCGCTTGAGAGGTTCTTTACAAAACATTTCATATGTTTGTTCGCCGGTTACTATCTTGGTCTGAATTGCCACTTCTGGCCGAGCTGATGTTTCAGTCAAATCTTCCTCGCCCTGAGCAGTCTGCATATCGCTTGTACCGCGAGCAGGTTGAGGCCGCAGTTCGATGCCATCTTGCCTACTCTGAATCTGCTCGCTGGCGGGGCTTTCTGTCTCGGGTGTATTGAGAGGAGTCAGCAATTCATCGAACCAAGAGATACTCGCCCCCGCTAGGTATGCTGCAAAAAGCCCTGATGTACCAGCGTACTGTGCCCCGGTGACGAGTCCAATGAGATAGAGCATATGAATGACGAATGCAAGACGGGGTGACCTCATCCGTGGGTGGAAATTGGTCTTGTGGCCTCGCAATCTTCCCACAAGCACCCTGATGACAAAACGACAGATGAGGAGAAGCCCCAGCGCAAAACCAATGGCAACCATTATTGGTCTGATAATCACAACTGGATTGAACGATGAGCCTTGTTCTGCACCCCCCACATTAGAGATGATTTGCACCATAACCAAGCCTGCCACATCGTCCATCATGGCCGCGCTGCCAAGGACGACGCCCAATCGCGTTTTGGCTAGTCCAGTAGTGGATAGAATGGTGAATGTTGTGCCAATGCTAGTCGAGCAGAGCGCTGCGCCAGCTGCAAAGGCTTGGAGAGGGGTTGCTGACACGAGACGCATCAAGACGAAAGACAAAGCCATAGGCACACCTACGCCGGTCATAGCCACCATGGAAGACAGCATGAAATTCGATTTCAGCTGAGAGAAGGACGTGGACAATCCACCTGGCAAAGCGGGTCAGCATCCGTATAGCACATAATACTGTCGCTTACGCAGTGGGGGCAACTCACCCTCGTAGACCAGGAGAAGCAAACCGAGATAGCCCAGCTGCTGGATAGCCAGCTGGACATCAAGTTCCAGCCAGTTGGCTCCGGGAACACCCCAAGCCATCCCAACGAGAAGTTGGCCGACGAGTCCGCAATAGATTAATTGGTCGAGCAGAGTATTCACCCAATTAAGAGCAAGCAGGAAGCTGGATTGGATCAACATCGTCCTGATTCTAGGCTCATGATAGGCCAACGCATCTTGCGAGGCTGTCATTTTTGGGGGCAGTCAATCGAGTAGTCACTGATGCTCTAGAGGAAGGACATCTGACTGCCCTTTCGACTCACAAGAAGGTCGACTTCCCTAGAAGCGAGATGTTAGCTATCAAAACCCTAAATGCCGTAGTCAAGGTATCCGGCTCATTCTGCGGGAAACGATATACTTGAATGCTCGCAATCGACTTCGGGATATTCCAAGTCTCCTTGATCCTTTGTCTTTTGGATTTTGGTGACTTCGTGCAGCCACAAGTCGTAAAGAATGAACAGTAAGGGACGCCATTCAATGATGATTTGCTGTTACCTAGAATGAGTTCTACTGAACCGGTCATAAAGCACTATACTGATGCTGTTTCGATTGAGAACCCCAGCCAGAAGGTGACTCGCGATGCCATGTTGTTTGATTGTTGTCGATAATCTTGGCTATATGAGGCATCAATATTGCCTCAGGCACCCATCACGTGCTGATGCCTATTCACCAGCATCACTGTGCTCCAAGCATCTTCATCTTGATCATTTCGCTAATGATTTCGCAGTATTCACTCCTCTTACTTCCTCGGTCAGATACAGACTTTATTCTTTATTATGGAATTGGTTTTGTCATGATATTGGATTTTTTTAACTGTGTCTAATCATGATCTTATTGCTGCGGGGCAGTGTTTCCATCTCCTAGACTCCTAAAGAAGTATATACAGACCAAACCTTATTCTTGTATCCATTTGTCCCAAAGAGGGTTCAATTTCGGTATCGCAATCTTGTCTTTCACAGAATCCAACGCTCATGCTGACTCGCCTCGAGGTTGATTGGGGGCATCTTTCGACAATGGAGAATCAAGCCTCCCTCAACAGTATCCAGAAGACTGTATGGGATGGAAAACTACCATTGCAGATAACGCTTGCTTCATCTGAAAGTCGAACATTCGACCAGACAGATCCATATCTGGTGCTTCCTTACACTTCATTAAATCCACCATGAGGGATATTCCAAGGCTGACGTTTGCCTAGATCTCTTGCCCGCGGATTTCATATCTACCATCTCTACTCCCTAGACTACGATCTTTCTTTGCTTCTTCATTAATTGAACCCAAATCACAACCCCACGAAGGATGGTTCTCCTTCGAAGGTGTACCGTTGAAATGGCACCTGCCCATCGGCTTACTCTATGATCTTTACGCTGGCGCAGATCCAGCGTCCAAGGGCTCTAGGCCCGACGAATCAGAACAAATTATCAGCAGCGTAGGCGATACGCTTCCATGGCGACTGACGCTTCACTTCAGCGACTGGCCGGATGAAGAGCTTGTGCGACTCGATGCAGATGGCATGGTGATGCACGACGCCTTCATCAACAGCGTGAAGGAGGCCGACTTCCTCCGCAACGGTACCGCGAAGGGAATCATGAGTCTCTCTAAAGAGGACTCATCTGGATTATGGGAAGCTGTACAAGACGGTATGCAACCTTTGAAATCAGGTCAATGACTCTGCTAATATGGTTACAGTTGACCTCCCCTCCTTCCAGCGCATTTCTAACATTCTTCTACCCGCGCCCAATCAGCCCTTTCGCAACGTCCCCATTCGCTTCTTTCTACCTCTGCCTCCGGACTCGGGCTCCCCGTCCCTCAAAGTCGTCCAGTCCCCGCTCCCACCGAGTATCCCAGCCTCTACGGCGAATGCAACTCAATCCACCGTCTTGCGGGGTAAGCCGGCCTCTCAACTGCAGACAATAGGATCTGCACTGCACTCGCTACTCCCTAATCTGTTTCCGAGTCGCAGGACTCCTGTGCTGGCGAAACCGGTGTTGCATGGCGCCGCGGTGCCAATGTCCGCACCCGTCGAGGAGGTGGCCAGGAGCGCGGCGTATGGAGATGGATGGGTGTACATTGTAGTTCGAATGATGGGCTGATGATTATTGTACTAGCTCACTGCAGCCATTTCAGAGAGAGAGAGAACTTGAGACTAGGAATTTGGAATAGATAGACCCTGTTGATCGACGTTGAAGACAATTCAATTCATCTATGAGATGTGTCCGTTTATTGGAACAATAGATGCAATTTTGAGATGTCTACCGAGGAGCAAGTATTAATTAATAGGCACCATGAAAACTTTAAAAAAAGGAAATTCACCAGGCAACTATTTCAGTCGGGGAACTGACGTACGTTTTCGAAATATAAAAAGTAGAGAAGGATGATAGATGTCTGGAGCAAAAAATGCATCGACGCGGGATCGAACCGCGGACCTTTCCATAGTCCTATTACATACGAGTGGAACGCTCTACCACTGAGCTATAGATGCTAGGTGGTTATGTGGGGCAACCTTGCAGAGTTATATAAGAAAAACTAAAATAAAAACATGTACGCATCTATCAGTCAGTATTCATCAATCAGATTCATGTATTCTAGATGTCAATAGCACCACTATTCACTGCAGGTTTGGGCAAACATCAAATATCAAATATTAAGAAGCGCCAGCTGCCTAGGTCATTAATCTCATACGACATACCTCGAACAATTTTAACATTCTCCTCTGACTCTATAACACATCTTCTTCCCATCATCCACCTTAGACCGCATCTGTCCTCTAGTATCTCAAAGTACGCCGCATGGTGAAGCAGTACAACGTGGGACCAAAGCATCAGGAAGTGGCTGATATCACTTTTGATGCACTGCACGAGCTGAGCCGTATGGGCCTTTCCACCAATATCATACCGACGGGAGCTCCAGTCTATGTGATTGATCCTCCATCGATTTTTCCTCACGAGCATCACCCAGTGCCGGAATTGCCTAGATTCGATGCTGTTTTAGTGAGCCTGTCTGGCTCGTGGAGTTGCCTTTTAAATAAGGACCAAGTGCGGCTTGGTTGAAAGGAATACAGTGGGTAAGACCAACAACAAAACAGAACTCAACGAAGCCAAGCCAAGTACACGCGAGCATCCATAACAAACAGCCAAAGCAGCAGAGCTGGAGACGATGGTAATTCGGACTTGGTAATGTTCAGATGAAGTTTCCGTTGACCTGCATCTCGGCGCTGATTCCCCTGCCCTTCTTGAGGGTGTCAACGAGCATGAGCTCTCGCACCCAGTCAATGCGTTCGTCGCGGGACTTGACTGTGCAGTGGTGGCTCTTGGAGCCGTTGTTTCCGAATAGCATCTTCTTCTCATTCTCTTTGCTGGCAGGGACGAGAGAGAAGGCAAATATTGTCGAATTCTGGGTAAATGAAGCAGAGAGCGTATCGAACACTAAGAAGCATGTGAAAGATTGACAGAGGGAGAGTATGAAAAGAGTTGGAGAGGAATGGGACTGAAAATAATCTGGAGAATTAAGTATCTGATGCGCAGAATGGCGCGGCCATTTGCAAGAATCTTGGGCGAGCATAGAGATAGACACCGAATCAATCGATGAAACATGTACATGTCAACCACTTGCTCTGTGACTTGCAGAAATGTGATATTTAGTCACAGTGATTTTACAGGTGTCACAACACGTTAAAAGGTGATGGCTTTAGCGAATACCTGGGAGAACAGTCATCCCAGATGCTTCCCTTAAGTCAGTATATCAGTACTCGGCGAAGAATAACTTGCTTCGATATCAAGGGTATCATACCCGCGAGACTGCCAGGAATAGCTCGCTTAAAACTCGCTTCCAACAAAAATGACACCCGCTAAACATATACAAAAAAACATGAGGAGCAAGGGACACTGGGTATGAACGTCAAACAATTATGTACGGCTGCTCACTACCCACCAATGTCGACTCCCCCGTTTCATCATCCGAGTTCTCCGCATTCATGTCTTCGATGATGGTCTCCACACTATCTCGTCGCTTCAATTCTTGCGTTGGCCGCAGCTCACCCGCCTCATCGAACCATAGAACACCAAAGGGGTTTTTTCGCGCGAGGTCGATGGCTGTGTGCCCAGCTCTTGAGCCAAACCCGTCGACTGCTCTTGCACTATCAGGAACCTCGAGAGACATATCAGCGCCCGCGTCGAGGAGGGCACGGAAAACGGATTCTCGACCACGTTCGGCGGCGAGGTGGAGGGCTGTTTTCCCTTCACTGGTCATCGCGTTGATGTCGGCGCCAAGTCTCAGGAGCAGCGACACCAAGGCAGTTCGTGGGATGATAGCCATGGCTGCAAGATGAAGTGGTGTCTCTGCTGTTTCTGATGCTGCAGGTGCGTTAATATCCGCGCCGTGGCTCAGGAGGAGAGTGATATAATCAGATGTCTTGTCAAAGGCGAGATCTGAAACGGCGGTCCCTACGTACACCGCTTGGTGGAGAGGCATCCAGCCCTGGCTGGAAGTGGTCTTAATGTCTAGACCGTGTTCAAGAGCAATCTTGAGAATTTCAAGGCAGTCATGGTTTACTGGCGGCGTAATATGGAGTAGAGACTCCCCCTTGGCCGTTTCCACGTTCAGCTTTGCGCCTCTTTCCAGCAGGAACTTGAACATGCTCACGTTTCCAGACGTGGCAGCGCATTGAAGCGGCGTATATCCTTGTGACGTACGAGCTTCAATATTACCCCCATGCTCTAGTAATTTTGCAGCAACTGAAGGGTTTCGTGAATTTCTTGCTTGTTCGTGAAGCAAAGTTTCGCCTTCTTTATTCCATGAATTAACATCTGCACCGCCGATAAGCAATAAATCAAATGCGATCCAATGGCCTTCATGCGCTGCAATCTGTAAAGCAGTCACCCCAGAGAGAGAACGCGCTTCAACTTGGGCACCACGCTGAAGCAGCAATGCAATCGCCTCGCAGTTGTCTAATTTTGCTGCTAATTGAAGAGGGGTAAACCCATCTTCATTCGTCATATCAATTGTCGCACCTTTATCAACGAGGAAGAGTATGATTCGAGGTCGTTTCCACTCAACGGCCAGGTGTAGGGCCGTGTCACCGGTTCGAATATTTCGTACATTCACATCCACTTTGTTCTTGACAAGCAGGGGGACAGTTGCCTCATCAGCAGCTGTTCCGACCGCTATCTGAAGTCCTGTGGCTCCTTGTTTGTTGGCGATCTGCGTATTGACATGATGGGTAAGCAATAATTTCATCGCCTTTCTTTGCCCGTACTCGGTGGCCAGGTGCAAAGCCGTGCTCCCATTATCGGTGATCGCATTGCCGTCGGCTCCGTTCTCGAGCAGGAATTCGACCATATCGTCGTTTCCTCGATATGCGGCGCAGTGTAAGGGTGTAATTTGCAGAAAGTTATCTCGAGCATCAACCTGGCCACCCTGTACCAATAAGCGCTTGAATTTCTCGGCGATTCCGAAGAAAGCCAAAATGTGCAACGCGCTCCAGTCGTCCGGATATTTTCCCAGGCCTAGATCTGTTGGCAAATTCTTGTCTCGGACTAATCCTTTCACAGGAGGTCGTCTCCAAAGCAGCTTGTTAAGAAATGCCTTGATCAGAACCTGAATCGCTTGCTCATCTTCGGTGACCTCGCGTGCATGATAACCCCAATACTTGGCAGCATAGCTCAGGAAGCCACTGCTTGAGCCACGAGGCGCTGTTCCTCCTATATAATAACAGTCGTCGACAACCTCATCTGGAATGATGGCCGTGAGACAGACCTCGGCAATATTTCTTTGCGCGGAAGGGAAGAAGACTCGAGCAGCTGTCCCGTTCAGATATTCTCTGGCAGTCTTATGCACGAAGCGCACAGTGCCTGTAACAGCATCTACTGTCAGGAGCCCAGCACTCTGACTCTGCAAGGACTGCTCAAAGGTGGCGGTTTCCTCCTTTCCCTCGTTTGCGATGCTCCCTTGAGTGGCCTCTTTGAGCTCTGAGACAGATAGGGGCCGAAGGGCATACAAGGTCCAATAGACGTGTCGAGTTGCAATCGGGTTCTGGCTCACAACTTGCTTCATTGCTTCGCCGTATGCTTCGCTCAAGCTCTCGGGAAGGTGCATGATAGCTCTTTCAAGAAGACTATGATCTGTATATCGGGAGAGCAAGTCCAGGTGTATTTTGGTGAGAAGAAAGCTAAGTAAACACCTGTAGTCAGCTATCGATGCTCGACTTCGGAGAGCAAAATAAAGTCATCGCAAACTCACACCCCATGACTTTTTTCCAGCACTGAACGGACAACTTCCCACCGTAGTTGGGCATCAGAAGGCCCCTGGTTGCAAAAGTTCTTGAGCCCTGGATCATTCTGAATTCGTGATATTGTGTAGAGCTGGAGGTCTTCAGGCGACGCCAACACGTTCACGTAGCCGGAATCGCTGTCAATTTGGTTTCTTTCCCGTAATGTTACCAGGAGTTGTGTGTGATCGGGAAGCTTTTGAAGTCGAGTCAAGATACGCTCCTTGTCTGAAAACATATCCAGTCCGTCAACAACAAAGAACACTTTTGAAAATCGGTTTACTTCCGCTCGTATGGCGTTCTGGTACGCCTTGGGGGATGCCCTCCCTTTCATGAGTGATTCTGAATAATATAGAGATGAGGTTGCATAGGACAAACTTCGTTTGCGATAAACGAGTTGTGCGAGGATGTTTCGGAGAATGCTCATGGACGTTTGTTCCTTCTCCTTCTCCTCTTGACAGAAGACATATACTGTAGCAACATCAGGCGAAGTGAAAGTTCTTTGAAGGGAGTCGATAATCGCAGATCTAATATGGTTAGCTTTCCGTTGTCTGTCATTATGGAGATGCTACATATCCAATGAAACTTACGATAGAAACGTCTTGCCTGCACCAGCTACACTCATTCCAGGGAGTTAGCATGCAATGGGATTAGCCTTCGACGAGTCCAAGAATTACTCACGCGGACCAACACAGTACAACGTTCGGAAAGACGCAAGCAGCCATTGTTTATATTGAGCCTCATCGAAGATCCAGCGGCAAGTACCTTGGAGTCTTCGATTACACAGATCAGCTAAGGTGATGAAGTTTTCCGATGCCAAGCGACTCGTAAGGCCCAACGCATCTTCTTCGAACTGAAGGTCGACTTTGGGTCCTGTGGAGGGTCAGCACGAGATCAAGCAAGAGAAGCGCTGGATAGAAGAGCATACCGGATTCCACATCCCGACACATTTTTAGGCTGTTTCTGATGGTTCGATTCAGAGTGGCTCGGTCACTGCAGATTTGCTCAGTTAGCTTGGTTCATGAGACTCATCTCTCACAACCAGGAACAAAAAGACCAACCTAGACTCAGGCTGCGTGGCCAGCAGCAGCAGAATCTTGTATTGCTCAAACCGGGGCAGAAATGTGATTCCCAGCAAATGCTTTCGAAAGTAGTACACCGACACCCCACCGGGCTGGAAGTACAGCTCGATGGATTTGAGTGTCGCTTCGAACCACGACAGCATCTCGGCCAGGGCGTTGAGGCGCGCGGGCTCAACAAGCCATTTATCCTCCCCCCAGCTGATCCGATCCCTGACGCAATATAGAAGGTCGAGGATGTCGACTAGGACCGAGAGGGCCTTTTGCGCTGAATCATGGGCGTCTCGGCCGCTGGTGAGACAGCGGATGGCGATGCGGGTGGACTGGGTGACGCGGGCGAGGTCTTCGCGCACGTCTTGCACCGTCGCCATATTCCCAGATCCTTTGAAGTCACTCATCTCCGTTTCCTTGTCAACTCTGGTCAGCGAAGAAGAGCGTGGTATATTGACATCGATGCGAAGATACGATTCTGGACCGTGTGTGATGGGATGAGCGCAAGTCGAGGTTGTTGGCCGACTGGGGTTGGGATTTTGAGGGTGGTGGTAATTGATGTCAAGGTAATAACTCTGTGCCCCATGATTGAAGAACCAGATAGATAGCTTGTGGCCAATTAGCTTTGCATTCGATTAGCTGTAATAATATTAGGACATTTAAGATCCGACTTATAAGGGATCTTAGTTGCTGACAGCCGGTCCCCTCCTGATCCCCCAGCCGCTGACCTGTATGAGTGACAGCTGGTCACACATAAGGGGCGCTTCATTGGATTCGCTGCTCTTCCCTGTATGCATTTTTTTTTCTTCTTTATTAGATCCGTGTAGTTAACCAGATAAGGCAAACGTGATCCTGCTGCTCACGTTTTGTCGAATTCGCTTCTCCCTGCCATGGAATCCAACGCCCTTAGAATCCCACAATATCATGTTAATCCTCCTCCATCCTAGTAAACATAGATCACAATCTCCCACCTCAAAAGATCATCAAGAACCATCAGCAAGAATTCAAAATTAACATCCTTTATCCTAACCACTCATTAACCGCACCAAGCCCAAGAGGTGGGGGAACAGGAACTGTAACTAATCTGCCTATGTCCCGAGCGGCGCAGGAGCGATCAACGCTTTGATGCTCACCAATCCACTCCCCGCCAGTTGTTAAGCGCCGAGTTGGAACCGACACCACCACCTGCAGCCAATGAGCCGACGGATCTCGTTCGGGCTGGTGATGGGAGCTGCGACTGGCAGTAGGATCCTGGACATTGGCTGAGAGGGGGGGGGGGAGCGGGGGACGTTTGCGAGCGAGAGATGGCCGAGTACTTATGGTGGATTATCTACTATCACGACTCCCTTCGAAATGGGACCAATTATGGGCTGTCTAGGATGCAAGTGTTGGTGGCTGCTTTTATTATTGTCGTTCTTTATGTCTAGCTTGTCTACGTCTATGCCCATCAACTATTTATGTTCTTCTGGTAACAGGGAAAGTCGTGGTCTGGAAAAATGTTTCAAATAGACGTTGGGAGTTGCATGTTCAAGAAATTGGGTCTCTTTCCTTGAACCACTTAATACCTGCAATTTACATAGAGAAATCTCTCGTGGAAAATTTACATTAAATTCAAGTATGTCTACGCATAACCAAGCAATTCTTAGGAACTCACTACAATGTCATGACAGATGCAATTCAGAAATAAGCCTAGTTTAGCCATTCAACAATCAGATCTAAACTAAATTGCTACGGAGGAAAACACCATATTTCACACTGACAATTCTCTATTCAGACAGCGTGCTCAACAAAATATGCAGAAAACACCCCACTTCAGCGTCAGACTCCCCTCCTGTGAGGCAGACGGGAGCTCAGAACAACCCCATCAGGCAGTTTCAAGTCCAGCTCGAACTGCTCAAAACATTATGTATGGTCAATACAGCTAGGAGAGCGTGAGCCCTACCAAGCCAAACATGTAGCCCTTCTAACAACGTGTCTGTCCCATGTGGAGACCAAGGAAAAGATGCTTGACATGCACAATCAAATGTACAGAATGCGCTCCATCCGTGAAGAAGATTCGTTAAATCGTAAGTCTTGCATAAATAAAGGATTCGGAAACAACAAAAAGGAAATCCTCCAGTGGAAGAGCTAGCTCATGATGAACTCAGGGGGTATATAAGAATTGTCAGAAGGGGAAAGGAAAAAACAACAACTTGTAAAGATTGTGATTGTCATACAATCAAAGAGCTGTACCGTTGAGGTTGACGGTGGCTCCGCTTTCTCGACCTCGTCGGAGCGCCTTGGCGAGCATCAACTCTCTCATCCAGCCAATGCGCTCCTCGCGGGTCTTTACTGCAAAATGGTGTGCCTTGGAACCTTGATTGAGGAAGAACTTGCGATCGACAACACCGTTGGGCGAAGGTATCAAAGAGAACGCAAACGCAGCTTCGCCTTGAACGTTATCCTTGCGTTTGAGCACGGTCTTCTTGAAAGCAGCGGTCAACTTCGAGCTAGAAGGCAGAGATGAGCACGCAACCGCATAGTCATCAACGTCGATGTACTCGAGGGCCTTGGAGTCGCGGTGAGAAGCTTCCTCGTCTGGGTGCATGACCAGCTTGGTGCCTCGCAGCGTAAAGTGATGGTCCTCCCAGTCGTGACGCAAAAGTCGGGTCGTCTTTCGCTTCTTCATCCAGCCACTGTGCATAATATCATTGACGAATGGACTTCCGGGACTGAATGGATTGTTCTTGCAGTGGGCTGCACGCGGAGTCCGATCCAGGTCCTCGGGAGTTTCAATAGGGCCGAGAGACTCTACTTCATCCAGGGGACATAACGCGGAACTGTTCTGATGGGAAGGCAGTCTGCGATGGTTCTCAGCCTTCGTAGACGCTGGTCGACGGACGGGATCTGCCACGTGGTGCTTGTAATTTCCAAACCGCATATCCGGTGGCACCGACTGGGAGATGTTACGAGATACGGGTCCCAGTAGGATAGCGGTCACTGGAACATCCATCTCAGACAAGGGCGTACTCTGACTGTACTGTGGATGTTGACGGTAGAAGTCGGCAGGGGATGCCCCAGCAGAGTAGGGGTTTGACGGCGTCGGGGCGTCGGGCTGAGCGAAAGGTTGCTTTCTGTGCAGAATGGATGGGGTGATAGTGCGCTGAGCAGAGTAGCTGGGCGATAGGGTCGAGCTCGTCAACGAGTTGTGAGCGCTGGGGATCCGAAGCTTGGGAAGATGCCGAAGGTTCTCGGCCAGACTAGCATTCGCCCTACCAGGCGAGTCAGACTCCGGTGACGGGAGGGTCTCCTGGGGAGGAGTGGCAGGATCATTGACGGGTTGGAGCCGACTGAGGCGCTGGAAATTCAGGAAGTTGCGCACATTCTCCTGAGGATCCCTAGGCTGTACACCACCCAGCTTCTCCTTGGAAAGCTGGAACTCAGGCCCTTTTTCAGGACCAAGAACATCAGATGAGGCAATGAGGGAAGGTGTCACATCTGATTTGGGCGTCTTAGCTAGTGCCTGTGCAGTAGCAGCGTTTCCCGGATCACCAGCGACAATGACAGAGCCACCGAGGGCTCCAGCGGGGAGACCTTCGACTAAGCGAGCCAGCTTGACCTGCTGCTTTTGCCACTTGCGACAGTTCTCTCCCTTGGAGCAGGTGTGTAATCTTGGCAGCAGCTGCTCAATAGCAACAATGGACACGGAATCATCAGGACCGATATCACCAGCCTGTTTGTGCTTTTGGCGACGACGATGCTTGTGCTGTCTGTTCCGCGAGCCTGGCTTTTCCTCGTCGGTGATTGGGCTTGTACTGCAGTCGGTACCAACATCAGCGGCAGTGGTCTTTGGTGTGGCAGTGTCCTCGCGGCATACAGGCTCCGGTGCAGCCTGATCATCACAGACCATTTGTGGGCCGTTTCGAAGCTGTCTAATAGCGCCCATGAGTTGATGACGCTTGCCAAAGGATTGAATATCGAGTTCCTTGAGGTCCTCAACCTGCAGCTCCAGAAGAATCGAACCCGAGATGTCGTTGATGAAGAACTTCTCCACAATGCCGTCCTCGAAACCGAGAGTTTGCATCCACTTGACAACATCTTGAGGAGACCATTTGGCGACACCGTAATCCGAAGATCCCGAGGCACGGTTGTTCGCGATTATTGGTTCTGGGGTAGGGTCACTCTTTGACTGCTTTTTGGAATCATCTGGGACTGGAGTATCCCGTCTCTCGGGCTCCAGCTTGGACGCGAAGCCGTACAGGGGAATGGTAGCGCTGAGAGGGGCATCTTCCATGATCAACTCGACTTCAACAGACTGTTCTTTTATTGACGGTGGTTCAGTCATGAGTCGAAAGAGGTGAGGTCCCGTAGGACCGGCCACTGGGTTCTCATCGATATGGAAGTGAAAGCCGGTCAGACCCGTCGAAACGGGTGTCTTGATGTCATCTGGAGTAGAAGCAGTAGTGACACTATCCGCAAGCTGGGGTTTCGTTCGAATCAGCGATCATGTCTCACAACTACGGCGAAGGATTAGGCACTCACGGATCCGGAGCTTCTGCGAGCCGAGCCAACGGAGTAGTTTTCGTAAAAATCCGAATCAAAATCCGTGTCGAGGATCTCTGTGGAGTCTGAAAGAGACTCATCACAGGCCGATTGCGATTCCGATTTCGATCGTATATAGGGATGCTTGCTGCGGGATTGGAACATCCGAAGAGCCGCCTGAGACACACTACTTGTTGCCTGAGAAGGGTGTTAACAAAGACTATCTTTCACAGCCGCGTGGATATCTTCATTACCATTGTGAGTGTGCCAGGAAACTAAAGAGCTAGAAGCTCTGGGAGCCTGCCAGAAATAGTCTTCGATTCAGCTCAGCAGTCTGAAATCAGTCGCGAGAGGATCGACAGTTGCCAAAGATGGGAAAGGTCGATGATATTAGTAGTGAACAGGGAGGGAGAGGGGAGATGTAGAGGTGCAGGTGTTTAAGCGCCCTCAACTCCAAGTAATGGTCTCAAATTAGTTTGGGATAGCAAATGGTGAAACTTGGGACAGAAGGTGGGCGCTTGACAAGTATAAGTATACTGACGGTAGTAAAAATCTCTCTTTTGGAGGTGAGACTAAAAAAAGAAAAAGCTACTAGCAGCAAATGTAGAATGAGGTGATAATCGGTGACTGTAAAACTGCCATCTCAATGGGTGTCCCTCCAGAAGGAATGTGACGATTTGAGGGTGCAGTTGCATGAAATGGGAAGCACTGGGATCTGTCGAATAGATCGCATCCTGGACTGCGATTCGCTGCTCTACAGGGAATCATATTACGCCAGTGGACCGAGGAAGCGCCCATACTTGAGATCATTCCAGGCATTTGCACTCGATGGAGGGGAGATTTGGGAGATACGGACGATGACAGGCTGGGAGCGACGACGCTACTGCTGTGATGACTGATGTCAAGAAGACACTAAGGCAGCTTGCCCCGGACTTAATCACATTTGATGCCACTAATCACCCGAGAAACTGGCAGGAAAAACTGTTAAATATAGATACTTGAAGGACTATTAAGTTGGATTATCTCGGTGGATCGGCAACTAATTGGTCTTGAAATAGAATTTTGACAGAATCCCGTCACATTATCACCCCTCATCTGACTCGGACGATTTTTCGACTCTCATCCATTCATTTCCTCCTTCGATCTTAGCCTGCTTCACTTCAAGCCCATCGGATGCTCAATGCCAATCGTTTCACATCCTTTTTGTCCTGGAATACGGAGTAGAGTTAGAGTAGTAGAAACAGTGTGCACATTGGAGCATGACATCCATCCACCAAATCAATCAACTGGCTCCTATATAGTCCTCTCACGCATCCCTCGAGATTAAACTGAGTCGATTCCAGTTCGGGACACAGTGCGACGAGTATAGGGTAAGAGTCGAAGGAGGACAATAAGTCCGACAGAAATCCCACCTATCGACTATTGAAGTAAGGGCTCAGATAAATCCACGATTATGCCTCTCATCGCACTATACGTCAATGTATTCCTGTCAATTTCGACGAGGAGAGGTCACATGGCTGAGCAACGATGTACCGTGTCTGATTACCTCAAAGCCAATAGTGATAGGTCTGAGCTCTTCCCGGAAGATTTTTACAGGTTTATACCCCTTGGTAGGTCTGAACCTATTTGTCGGTGTACTTACCTACTTGCTTGCGGTACGGAGGACGGTGTACCATGCATGCGACATTGAACTGAAGTTGGTGGAATGGCTGGGAGTCTTTCCCTTCCGTTCTATTTCTCTGTCAAATCCTCATTCCGATCATCTGCGATCTCTTAATCCATCGAGGGCACTGAGTATCCCCCGGTCGTATCACTTCCAGCTTCCCAGCAGTCTCAAGAGTTCGCATTCATTCACCCGACTTATCTTGTAAAGGCAGGAAATTTGAAGTGGCCGAGCGAGATCCTCCTCGCACAGACTCCCAGTGTTACGTGACCTCGCATTTTCGGCAACATACAGTACATTCTATCACACTCACACCGTCAGGAACAATTCTTTCTGTGTTCCAGTCTTTGTCTCTTTGACTTGTGCATTTTGCACGAGATATATTGTGGAAGGCGATGTTCTGGTACTTTCATATGAGGTAGACATAAAGGCAGGGTGAAAGTATAGATTATTTAGCTGCAAATTCTTCATTTTGACCTGCGTATCTAGGATAGTTTCCGGCAGTATATGGTGATCAGAGGCAAGCTGGGGGTTTATCAGGAGCTGGAGCTTCCCAGCAGACATCATCATAGTGATAGAAAATGCCACTGTTTTGCCTGATGAGTTAGGCATAACTCATCAGCAGTGTGATGGAGAATCATTTGCCATTAATGCCAGGCTTCCAGTACAGCTGTCCCCATCAAACAGTATCAAAGTCCTTTTTACTCTGTGCTTTGTTATTGAAACAGAGAGAGACAGCGCTGAGGACATGGGCACACGAAAGTTTCCCAACAGATCTGTCCGAGACCTCAACCACTATCTACTGTGTACACCTGACACACTCATGGCCTATTCGAACAGATGACAAAGCTATACCCATCATATTCCTCAAACCTATTGGAACGTGTCAATCAGGAAAAAACGGACACGCAAGCTCGGCGTCTACCTCCTCGACGCAGAGCTATGGATTCAACTCTGGCACAGAGACCTGAAACAGGTTTCATGAGGGCAGAGCTTAACCAGAGCATCCCATTGACTGAGAGAGAGAAATTTGTCGACGACGTTGCAGAATAGTTGCTAATTATGTTGTTGCGCCAGGGCTCGGCTATCGAATAGAGGTCAAGAAGGGGCAAACAGGTCAGGACTTTGGTCAGTGTACTGCAGAGTATTAGGTTTCGGTGAATTGCACACCATGTGCAAGTGCATCTAGAGGAGATAGGCCATTCATTGATCCAGAGGCGAGGACTTACCAAGAACAGTTACTTTAGCATCGTACCATCTTGAAGAGTTATTTATAGCGAATTCATCAAGTGAAGTTGACTTGCTTATTGGCGGCAAAGGAAGCAAAATCAAGGTTAGGTCCGTGATGGACTCGATGGGGCAGTACTAGTCAACTTTGAGCAAGAATCAATTTTCCTACTCCGCGTCTATTAGTCTTAACTCATGCTGTGATTTATCAGACATTGCCGCCAGAACAAGCAGTTAGGTAGCATTCACTCTACAATTTGGCGGTTAAGTGTTACTAATTAAGGTGGTCTTAAATATGCTATCAGCCGATGGCACAAGTTGAGATCCACTTTCTACGACAACAACATGGCCATTGGTTGAATCTCCACCTCTATCTTTGCTTCAAGAGCATCCACCGAGCCGCTGATGGCGTCACCCGAGGACCAATGAAAGCGGATGAAATAAAGCTTGGCATGCAACAGCAACCGCCTTTTCACAAATTGGCTTCTCTGACATCGTCTCAACAGTCGCTGGATGGTCCTCCACAAACGAAACCGGGGTATTCGAAACTATCAATGACCAATGATTAAGCCCTAATCCAACTGCCAGGGGTAGAGTAGAGTACACTGAAGTCTGAGATATTTTGGTACGCGTGATAGCCACGGCGTTGATCGTCTATTAGACCGGGAGACCAGCTTGCCAAGTAGTCTTCATGGGAAGTTTGTGGAGTGTGAATGGTGACAAGAGAGAGATTTGAATTCTGGAGATTTCAATTCAAAAAGGTAAGACACTCTATTTCTAGGGAATAATATCAGCTGCTAGGTAAGTGAGGCATATCGACGGAATCATCGGTACGCTCGTAGACTATCGAGAACTAATCTTGGTAGCAGGTCGTATCAACAACAGCTTAGCACCGTAGCAGCCGCTAGTCGCTACACCAAACGTTAGCTGCAGACCTGGCGAGGGACCCTGGTCTCCATGTTTCCATGATGACACTCGCATCCCTCGGCGCATGTTGGCTAATTTTACCTTTTCCCCCCGCTAAAACCAAAAATGTTCCCAAATTTAGTCGTTAGTCGCCCTGTCACTAGTTCGTCTGCATCAGATCTGCCATCCCCCCCGCGGTTCGCAGCCATCATGCAGCTCATGCTCAGACTACTGCCTTCATCGTCAAAAAATAGAAGCATCTAAGCATCTAATCAGCGTAGTTTATCGCAAGATGATATCTATAAAGACATCATCTCCTAAACATATTAAGGCATCATGTTCGGCACCAACTGGCTCGATCATCCCACTGGCAAGTGCCTCATCCTCTTCATCTCAACAATCTTGCGACACCTTCTATGCACTTCTCTTCTGCAGTGCATTGAAGACCACAAGGCTCTTGCGATATTACATCGGTGTATGACGGAAGGATATCGATCTTGGCATCGCCGTTAGAAAAAAACTACCTCGAGTTCATCGCATCTTGAAGCCACCATGTCTACTAGCACGGCCGTTCCTCTCACTCAATCGAGTGAAATTACACGGTCAAACAGCATTTCGAGTAACGAGGCGCCTGATGCTGAGTCCAAGGGAAAATCAAATGGCAAATTCTTCCGACGTTCGCGCTCCGGTCAGTTCCTGAAGCAAAACCCGTTTTGTACCCTCCCCAACAGAATTTCTGTGGTATGGACACATGAAATTAGACCCGATATACTGATGAGAAGCATGTACAGGCTGTTATACCTGTCGGCTACGAAGGAAAAAGTGTGATGAGGACCATCCTGCTTGCAGGAATTGCACCAACCTTTCCCTCAGTTGTGAGTACAAGAGGCCGGATTGGTGGTCGAGTGCAGAGCAACGGCGCATCCAGAAGGACCGAATCAAGACTCGAATTAGACAGACGAAAGTGTTGGAAAAAGAGAAAAATCTCCAAGGCGAGTGTACCTCGATCGATTGGATGTTGGGTGACTCTGTCTAAACAAGATCAATTCAGATTTCATGCATCAACATCTTCCACCTCGGGTCACTGCCGGATATGACTTCAGCCAGCCGGTCCTTGTCGACCCTTATCAGTCATATATGCCAACTACGGCCCAGTTGTCGTTGCCAACCTTAATGCCGGGAGCCGATGCTTACAATCCTTATGAGATCGACTTTGGATCTGAGCCTAAAACCATGATGAATGGCATGCCGATGCAAGGACAATGGGGGACACAACAGCCCACAGTATCCTCCAACCCTCACACCTATAACTGGCCTCAGGAAGGGTTTCAACGTCCGCAGAATTACTTCTATCACAATGCGGCCCCTCCAGTGGTTGAGTACAGAAATAGACCGCTGTCAACTTACCTGCGAAACTCGCACATGGTGAGCGAGCAAGACCGGGCATTGCTCGTGCATTTTGTTGACGATGTGTTGCGATTGATATTTCCCGTTCTTGACCTGCACCAACAAGGTCCTGCTCGTGCTCGCACCATTCTAAATTCTTTGGAAACGAATCAATCCTATTATCATTGTTGTCTAAGTGTGGCCGCAATCCATCTTAAGGCCTGCAAGGGCCTGCGTGGAGACAAAGTCGACCACGATATCATGCGACATCGGTACGAGGCGGTGTCTCAGCTCTGCAAAGCTCTCAACAATGATGACGGGCATGAGCAAATTCTAGATGCGACCCTCGCAATGATCTTTTTCCATGGTTCTGTGGGAGCTTCCGATGATTATCTTCCCGATATTCCTTGGAATGAACATTTCCAAGCTGGCTCAAACATCATCAACAAGCTTGATCTTGCAGATACTGGCCCATTCGTTAATCCTCCGTTCAGCATGTCACTCGCTTCCTGGATTGATATTTTGGGCGCCACGATGTTACGAACGACGCCCCATTTTTCGCACACGTATCGTACAAAACACCTGAGTGGAACGTCTTCTGGTCTTCGTGAAATGATGGGATGCGATGATCGGATCATGTATCTCATCTCAGAAATCGCCTGCTTGGATTCCTTGATCGCCGATGGCCTCATTGATGACATGAGTATACGCCACCATGTCTCAGCGTTAGGCGCCCAATTGGATTACACCGAACCACTTGATCCGGGTCTGGAGAATCCATACTCCTCGTCCGGAGTAATCAACGTGGAGATCTTCACCAAGAACATGAGTTCAATCTTTCGCATAGCTGCGCGGATCTATCTGTACAGCCTGTTGCCGGAGTTTGACCGCACACAGATCAGCACTATTAGTTTGGTCACTGCCGTCGCAGAAGTGCTGCGGTTCATCCCAACGGGCCCGTATGGATTCGATCGCTCCCTGGTTTGGCCATTGTTAATAGCTGGAGCATTTTCTACGCCTTCAAGTTCGTTCCGCACTACCCTGGCCCAGAGAGCGGAGGCCATGGGAGAACTAGGGGATTTCGGCAACTTTGGTAGGATGTATCGCTTGCTGCAGGAGGTTTGGAAAATCGCAGACGACCCAGTCAAGCCATCATTTGCGGAGTCCAACATTCTCTTGACCTCCCCTAATCTGAGGTATGAAATCTCACCTGGACATTCACCTTGCATCGAGACCTTTGGAAGGTCAATCAAAAAGCAGAAGGTTCACTGGAGGGACGTCATGAACCGTAAGGGGTGGCGCTACCTGTTAATTTAGAACCTCACATTTTCCAATAAGGTGCAAAGTTTCTGGGAATTTTTTTTGGATTTTGTTGGGATCATATTTTCGAGTTGGGACGCCTGCCAATGGCGACTTGTCAACGTTGGTACCAAGTGGCTTTCGCAAGAGTCCAACAAGTTGGTTTTAGGCGCCTTAGTAGTCAATTTTGTGGGATTTATCGAATCATTGGTAGCGGTATTGTTTTGTGTTGTTTGTCTTGGTGGTCATCTGCTCTTATCTCCTTCGAATCAAGCAATCGACGTGTTAGATCTCCTCGGTTTCTGCGCCAGTCAGTATCCTATAAACTAAAGATGATCACAGAATCACAAGTGCATACCTTTCGGCGCCCTTCATCGACTGCGAGCCATGTGACTATGCCCACTCCCACAGATTCGCAAATGCCAAGGTTCTAGTTACCTCTGTAATTGTAACATCTCATTTTTGCCTCTCAGATTTGCCAAGTCTTCCTATGATTTGTATATCTTAGGCACTCGTTTTGATTTGACCCCAGACCTTTTAATGACTGGGACAGTATCTTACCGTGTTGAGAGAGTAGAGGATCCGAAATGGTGAAAGGTGTAAGCGAGTTTGTAAAATCGGTACTGGTAATTTAGGCACATCTCAAGATTGCGAGTTGCAAATCCAGGGCGTTTATGAGTTGATCTTGTCAGGAATTAGTTCTCGATGTCCACAAAATTCGAGGTTCCATGCCCCACGCTGAGAGGTCATTGTGGCACAGGCGATCTGAATTTCGTAGGATAATGGGTCGTTCCCCTGGTCTAAGCAGCGATCGAATGAAGGGAGACCATTCAATATAGCGAAGGAGTACCGGCAATGACGCTCGTTGTTTTGTTTCGATAATGAGCGGCTCATCATTTCTGGGCTGGTAACAAGACGCCATTGAAAGAGATTTCCAACCTTGAATTTGACATCGTTGCAGCGGACCATGGACCAGGATGGAAGAAAGCCTCGGACCAGCACATTCAAGCACTATTGGTTTCCAGATGGCCACTGTGGCAGCGGCTGCTGTGCATGCTTACCCATGAGTCACGACATATTTATCGCCCTCCAGAACCCTTGATTGGTGGATGAATTGATTGATCATATCATTGCTCACACCACCACGAACTCACAAATGCAGTAAATTTTGCTTACTCTGTCTGTCTGGTGGCAGTCACTGAAATTTGCGCCGTCCTTTGCGAACCTCCTTTCGGCAAATGGCCGCAATGTCAATGAATAATGGTTTGGAAGTTCGAGATAAGGACTTGTCTCACATTTTAGGGCACACTTTTTACTTGCTGAGCGAATGAACGCGACGAAAGGACGTTCCGGGTGTCATGGATAAACTTCGTTGAGCTCACGAGGCGCGTTGGTCGTGTGGGACTTGAAGGAAGTTATCATCTCCATAAATCAACTTTCCTCGGAACAGAATATTCGCGGCGACCCTCCAGTTATTTCGTTTCAGCCGTATACCAGTCAACGACCAAGCTGTTGAGGAAGGCTTGGGAGCTATTCCTCACTTGCTGAGCACCATTAGACATGATGGCGTTGCGTAGACTGTCTCATGTAAAGCTTTGGCTCTCGACGGCTTGGGTTTCCTTCGGTCCTGGGTTAAATTAGTTGGTGTCCTTTCTAGAGCTCTAAGAGATGTGTTGGTTCGTGATGTCTCTTACCAATATAATGAAGGCGTAGCTCCTCGGGCTTCGTGTAGTCTTACTGGGACAGGTTTCTTGGCTCAAGAGATCCTGTTGTAGAAGACTATTGATGGAGGAATTTTTTCTTTTGGGCTTGCACTCAATCTTGTACGTCGTCGCCGGATTGGCCGAGGTTGTCTTGTCTCGTGGTGTATCTGATTCAAACGCCGCTATGTTAGTTTCACGACTCACCAGAGTGGTTCAGTGCTAGACGAGCAAGCATAGTGCGTCCCCAAGAGTCCATCTTTTACTTGAAAGTATCAGTGGCCTGGATCCGGGTATAAGCTGCGGGAAAAGGCCATTTCCTTTGCAGTACCAGAACAACTGACGACTGAGGCAAGGGCACATCTCAAACCTGGTCAGTCCAATAAAAAGACCCAGTTCGCCATTCAGTTTTCGTATGGGGGTTGTCAAACGGGGTCAAGCTTAGTCTTGGCTTCAAAACCTTCACGAAGTGTTTCGGTACAATAATATTTGGTGTGTTGTTGTGACATCCCTAAATCAATATGCTTTGACCATGTTGTGATGATTGGACTTGTTTTGGCGAGATCTGTCGCAGTGCCCATGGTTGTCAATATAAAGCCAAAAGATCCAATAGTCCTTGATACAGAGCAACATCAAACCAGTAGCATCTGGCGAAAATGATGATGATGCGAGTGCATTAGCGGAGCCGGTTCCCACTGCCTTGATTTGGTTGATTTAGATTCATCAGACTCATAGTAGTTCGTCACAAGCAGGTGGTCAACCTTAAGGGTTAACTACAAAGCAGAATGTCATCCTCTCTCGTCTCTAGACTTAATCAGTTCTCTAACAACATTTAGTGTTCGTTATTCAAACAGTGTCAGCTGGCTTAAAACGCATCTATCGAAGATTCTTGAACCGTCCATGGATATTGATAATCACTTCAACGGGGCTGTTCACTGACCAGAGAAATATCAGGGCTTAAGAAGACATGTATCCACCGAACTTATTGAGACTGAAAGTTAGCCGAGCTTCTTTCACACGATGTTTTCGGGAGAATTGAGCTGCAAACCCCTCCCTCCACCCCCATTATGGATAGAGAAATAGTTGGAGTTGTGGGTGTGAACAAGATTTCTGAGTCCTTACCCGGCCTCCTGGTTGAGTAATATAACAGAGCCGATAGCCAAGCCAATTCGAGCCCCAAAAGACGATGATAAGAAGATCGTCCGGAAAGAGAGAAAATAGGAACATATCGTGACCAGAATAAGGGTCATTCATGTTTCAAAGATGCATGCGATATAATAAATCTAGATTATGGCACAAGGCAAATTGATGTGATAGAGCAACACAGAGATCTGAGCACGGATAAGTTTGTGTATAAGCAGCCCCGCTCATGAGCAAATTCGGCATGCTATCGGCATATAGTAGAAAGTCATGGCAATGAGTCAAGGGGGTCTTACCAGATATATCTTGCTAGCGTGGTGATGCAATGAGAGTAAAAACCACTTTGTATTTGAATATAAGCGTTCTCATATTGACACGCTGAAAGAGTAGTCATACTGGTATGCACAATAATTCAGCAAGCAAGCAGGCTGCACTGTTGTTCTGAACGTACCCTCGTCGGATTTCCAGCATCAGTGTATAGAACTTTGAGGTCAAAGATACCTAAATCCTTGAGAAATTCAGCTTTTTTGGAGTGTTTCACAGAGTGAGAAAGCGACGAGAAAGCGAGGAGAAGGTGGCAAGAATGCGGTGAAAAGAGTGTTCGAAGTGACGAGAGCACATTGAATAGGCAAAGCAATTGCAGGCTCTAATGTACAAGTCTTTAGAATAGACATACCAGAGCATTCGAAGACAGCAATCTCGGCGGCAAGGGAGAACACGACATGATGAAAGGAAAGGGGAAAAAAAATATGTTTGCTGACATGAAATATATTGCTGAGCAAGCGGATAAAAAACCAGCAAAACCTAGCTAGTGACTCTTAGACTCTTCAATTCTCAAAATGGAATCATGGTCGATAGAAAAGCGGACTGAAGTCTGGAGGCTCAACCTTTAAAAAAGAAAAAGGGCGATACGCAGACGAGTCAAGGGTCACTCGTACCACGCGTTATTCGCCAATCAACCAAGTAGCCGCGGGCAAAGGTATGAATTTTGATGTATCCATGGACCTGCAATGCAGGCATGCCTTGCAAAAAGTGACATAGGTTTGGAGAGAAAAGGGGTGGAAGTGTTACCATTGGGCACCAGCGTACCTTCATCCGCCCAGCGTCTCCGGTACGGACAGGAATAGATCATCTTCTTCACGGGAAATCCAATATCGAATAGCAAGCTATGAACAGAGGGTCGAGCATCTATCCGTGGCTCAGGCGACAATAAAATGACAGGAGGCGCTTCAGGATTGAAGGAGGCGCGCGACAATGCTAGGCAATCATCTCCCTCTGTCCTCAGGGCTTAAAGATATTGTTCATAATGGGAAGGGCTATAAGAAAGAGGTCAGAACCAGCCCCAGTGAGAAGTTGGTACCTATCTCTCTCTTGTTGATGTGAAATCAGCATTAAGACACCAAGGTAAAGAATCGGACTTGTCCCCACTTACTGTTCCTTGAACCCATTGCGACAGAAAGAGCGAGTCAGCGAATTCAAAGTTGGACGCCTACACCACGTCAAAGATAGAAGCAATAGAGTCCAACTTCTGGATATTCGAGTTCAGGATCAAAAAAAGCCCGAATTCTTTTTTTACACTTTGACGACTAGGGTCTAAGGAAGTGGCAGATGTAGGTTGCTGGTGGTTGTTACTATTTTGGACGAACTAACGGCGCATGAGAATAGCTTGCATACACTAACCCATTTGGGGACTCGAGGCGACGCTAAGCACTGACAGATACCAACGCGTATCATTTCTGTTCAATACAATAATACACGTATCTTACTGTCATTTACGAAAACCAACGAAAACCAACTGCTCCACCTTGTCCATTGCCCTGGAGCCTACAATTTTGGGATATATTCATCATTGCACCCCGAATCGAATTTTTTTTGCACTATTACTTTGGCATCTTTAATCTTGGCTCGCTTTCCTTTGTTTTGGCTAGACTCGTTTGACCCGTCTACTATTGCATCCTATATTGAGTGAGCGTTCACACCTCCGAAGTCTCTGGAACATCATTCATCTACTACATTGACTTCACATCTCAAGGTGACCACCACCTCGGTGTTCTCTTTCAAAAGTCTATGTGCTCATCTCTCCTGCTCACAGTAATATGACTTCCGCGAAACCATCCCTCCCACCTATCAGGACTTCGGCGAAGAACATTATTTTCCCCTCAGAGCTTCGGGAGAGACCAGCATTCGACAGACGCGAAGGAGGCAATGGACCTTCGGTTCCGCCTCCACGAGCCTACACAGAGTTCCTAAGAGTACTCAGTCCCGTTTTCTCAGACAGTGACGGAGTCGGAGCAAGCTTCTCGAGATGTGCATATGCCAGTCGTCGATCATCAACTTTGTCCATTCCGTCAAGTGCTTCCACCTCCTCATTCACAATTGGGACATCGACAGCTTCTACACCTAGATCTGTTCCTCCTCTATCACCAGCTTCAGTCTCAGTCCCGGAGTCTCCGAGAACTCTTGCCCCTCTACGACACTTAGGCTTCCCCCCGCCATATTCTCCAGGGATGGCTTCATCGTGTAGTCCGTGTGCGATGCGGTCATCCTTTTCGCCTTCTGAGCTCAGACTTCGATATACCGAGTCCCCCAGAAGCGCAAGAGAAGAGTCCATCAGCATACAGCAGATCATCACCCACACGGTCACCTTGAGGCGCGCACCGTCTCTTGATCCTCCTCCTAGGGGAAAACGGAGAAGGACTAATGAGTCCGAAGAAAGATAGGCTATTGGTCCACTCTCTCTACGCTAGAATACGATATTTTTCGATGGAGCTGGGCTTCATCCAGAGTCCTGGTTGGTGTCTTCCTCATATCACGAGGGAGACGTGGTGTTTGGGTTCCTTGTTTCATGCGTTGCTCCTCTGCATCTGTTTCTTTTCCTTTGCTGTGCGATGCAGTTTCTATAATCCAGTGTTCGATATCCTGGTGATATCCAATGCGAATGGTCTGTATATGCTGTGATGGAGTTTTCTTTTCCGGTTTCTACTCGGTTGTTGTCTTTGGAAAAGCGAGAATAGGTCTACTTTGCATTGATGGTAGCGGGGGATGATACCGGATGGTTCAAATTCTGGTCCTAGGCCCGGCGGCGTTGGAGACTGTTCTGCTGCATGTTATTTTCTGTTACAATTCACGAGCTATCCACAATTTGAGCCCAACCTGACCAAGCTAGTATTGACTTCAGCCTCCCAGAAATTAACCTCCTCCAATGACAAGCATAGCTTTCCTGAAACCCGTCCTCAAACAAGCTTCAAACACCACAAAAATAGACCAGGACCAGTAGCCTCATGCACCCATGAATCCTCATGGGGCTCAAGCCTCGAAACAACAACATCTTGGCGGAGACACCCCAGCCTACTGGGTCCGTTTGAACTTTGAAGGATTTCTGTACCCGGCCAATCAACAGCAGGGCTGGGCCTTTTGGTCCTATTCTCTCCCACGTGTGGTCAGCTGTCAGCATGGATCTTTGGCCTGAACAAGGAACCACAAAACGGTAAGTAGCTACCTACTATCTAGGGAGTTGACAAGGTTCATGGAACCTGTACTGCACTACCTACCAACTAGTAGCCTTACGGAAGGATCATCCAGCAGGTGGTTATGTATAGATCCGAGCTGAGCCTCACCGCCACCAACAACTTTGCTGAATCGTGTATGGGCACCAACAATTAACAACATGATGATGCCTCATATTCTCCCTAACAACAACGTGGCCATCCTGCGACCAGGATTATAGGGCATCTTTGGCTGAACTCTAGCATCTAAGTTAGTTGGAATTGCTTATTGTAGTTATTCAGAAGAATGGACTGTGTATAGCCTCAGCCACAGGTATATACGCAATTACTGGTACGGTTGTTACATACATGTTCTGTGGTAATACATTGTATTACAGATATCGCGAATTTGACTTGGACCATAATGAGTCGAATAACAAAGCCATGCATACCATCAACTTTACATTGAGCACATACAATATTATAATGCTTTATCTCTATCTATATTTGGATACATCTGAGCAGAGCGTCTTTTCAGTAGATTCTGTGGTGCAACAACCCGTAGAAGGTGAAGTCCGGTGCAGTAGTTAGTCCATTGGATCCTCCGAAGCTAGGATAGACCATGCCCAAGCAGCTACAGGAATTATAGAAAGAAAAGAAAAGAACAAAAGAGAATATGGATTCAATTGCAATTCGAGTACGAGTACGACTGCTGATACCGCGTCTGATCCTAAAATAAACCACTATGGGGGCAAGGAAATGAATGCATCATCGTTGTGATGTCGTCCGTTGTATGGCAATCTTAAAGTCTTGGCCTGAGGAACGGCCTGCATGTGCAAGGATTAAGCTGCGACGGCATTCTTCAACCCTTCTGGTGGATCTGATAGTCGATCGGATGCACATGTATAGAAAAGGATTCATCTCCGATGCCCAGGGGCTCTGGGATTGGTTGCTTTCGTGGAAGATCCCTAGGTCTATGGCCGACGTTGAGGCAGAGTCTATCAAGAAACGCACTGAGATCTACGTGATTGGATCATTGGGGAAGACTGCAAGCGCTGAACACAGACGAGAAGAGGCTCCGGTTCTTTCTGGCGAGCTCCAAAATTAGAGTCGAGGATGATAGAGGCTCATTGAAAGTTGTCGATTATATCCACCAGGAAATTGGAAGGATGAGAGATTCACGGCTCTCTCAATTACACACAAATTAAGTGCACTTTCATGTTGAGTACAGAGCCAATCAGAGCATTGAGCATGATGTTGTATCTGATTTTAGCTGCAATGAGGTTTACCTATTTGGTACTAGTTTTCAATCTTGCCAAGTAAACTATAGAGTTCCTTCAATATGATTGGAGCGTCAGGTTGATTGCACATGCGGGGAATCAGTTGAGCGGAAGGAGGATCCTGGCCTATAATTGGCTCAATGCATTAGACTAGAGGTTTTGTTCTATTTTTGTCGATTTATGTCTGCTAAGCATGTACTTCTCACCTACTGCGGGTTCCCGATATGCGAAGTCGAGTTTCTTTCTGCCTTGGATTTTCCTCCTCCTTACTTGGATCATTTGGCGACCGTGTCTATCACCTCTTCGTTAGCGAATCAACATCCTCTGTTGTAAATTGTATCTTCCTACGAACCTAATAATAGCCTCGCTCGATCTCTGCAGTATCTAAAATTGGGTGCACCCGGCGCTTCCCTCACGAGTCACGACCATAGTACCCATGGCGTCTGACTCGGATTTCGCAGTCCACATTTCTCGCCAATCTCCCCGGGGAGTTCAAATCGGATCGTCTCCCATGCCCAGCTAAACGCCGGCGCCATAGGGCAGACGATGTGAAGACTCCATAATTAGAACATCTGACACCGAGTTAAATACACCTACCTAGACACCACTCCCCGATTCAAGGGACGACCCCCGCCCAATACCCTCCTCTGCTCATGGCTATCAAGCAGAACCCGAAAACTCCGCAAGATGATCATATCTCACCTCTCTTCCTCGCTTTGTACCCGTCCACTAGGATGCCAGCTACAACCGCTGTTCTCCTCAATGATTAACGATGAACTTGTCGGGAACTATCCGACTTTTCTCCTATCTTGGAATCCCTACTTCACGTATTCTTCACAAAGCACCGAATCGGGTTGCTGGCCTTCCTCCCCCGCCTAAACCCTGGGGAAGTAACCCACGGCACTTCTCACCCCGTAGCAGGGATATTACGCTTGTCCGGAGATTCCCTGCGGCAGCCACTTCAATCTCAATCGCGTTTGCTGATATCCTCTCATGTTCGTAGAATGTAGATCCATCATAGTAGCCTGATCGGCGGTTATCAAATCGCACAGCATCCACCATTCGTAGAGTAAGACAAACCGACTCACAAGAAAGGATGAACGGAATTCCTTCTCCCTCTCCCGAGGGTAAGTCCAGTCCACCACACGCACGCATACTTCCATACGGAGATCAACGAATTTCTACACGCCTTTGCCTTTCCCCCCTTCCCGCTCTGCGAACCAATTCCGACGCCAAGATGAGCACCCGACTAGGCAGAGCAACGCCCAAGACTCGATATCTCTATCCATCGATCTATCTTCCCTAATACACGTCTGACATCCCCTAAGGAAGCACAACATGCAACAGACGGGGAAAAAAAAAAAAAAAAAAAAAAAAAAACAGTACCATCCCCAGAACAACTCACAAATCCACCCTTCCTTCCTCCTACTCCGTAGTGCCTGCTGACATAGTCTCTTAAACAACACGATAGATTGAGACCCAAGTACCAACCAACCCCAGACCCCAAACCGTCATCAGATTCACATGGCCAACCTTACTATCCCAATCTGTTCTACTGACAACACTCCTTCCTCGAGCAGTACTACCCAGAACCCAGAACCTTCTTTGTGGGACTGTACAACGTCGGCGCATCATTCTCGCTGGGCCTCGCCGGCCGTTTCAATGGTCGTGTCCTGTGAAGGATTTCGCTCTGGTTAATATGGCGTCAGCGTGGGTAAATTCACGTCCTCTCCTCCTCTAGGATCATGAGGCATTGGGTGGTTACGAGGGAGGCGTTGTCGCTCAGCGAAGCGCCGGGCCACTTACTTCCTCTGCGCTGTGTACAGCGCGGGGAATGGTACCGCGTTGTTGACCAACGGCATACTGAGATCATGACCTTCGGACATTGTTGAATGACGCAGGCAGCTGGCTTGGAGAGACAAAGAACAGTATGCTACAGTTACCTATTCTCGGTTGGAACTCCAGCGATGTGGCCAGTCTGGAGTGAACCATGTCTTGTGGTTACTTCCTACGTCCCAGCGCTTGGAGTGGGCGATATCGGTAGAGAACGATTCTTTCATTCGGGGCATCGAAAAGAGCACACGATGAATCGAGCATGACAGCAAAGCACAATTTGACCACCCACCAATAAAAACATCAAGGTCATCCATATGCAAATGCTTACCCGCCGCCCAACCAAGAGAAGAAAAATAGGGGGGAAAAAGGCAGGTAATCAAGTGTGATATATACACAGGTATATCCCCATTATAGAAGCGAAATCGGGGAAGAAAAACCAAAAAATAAACGGAGAGGTGATTCAAACAGGGGAAGTCCGTGGTATCATACTGCGCAATCATAGTCGAAACAGAAGTGGTATCATAATATGAAAAGAAGAAAGAGAAAAAAAAAAACAAAAAAAAGGGCCTGCCCACTGTGCTGGGGAAATAAAAAAAAAAGATTGGAAAAGAGGTGAGGAAGATGGCGGGATAGGATAGTCAAAAAAAAGGACACCAAACAAAGAAACCAACAATAAAAGGGGAGGGGGGTGCACGCAATTTTGGAATGAAAAAGAGGCAACAAAGACCATGACCCGCAAGGTTACTCTTCGGTAAGTGCGTCGTCCCCAGTCTCACGCCAATCCTTTGACCGCTCCGTCAGTCGCCGGATACCCAACACTCGCTGTGCCCAGTGAGCCTCGGATGGCGTGCGGTATGTGTAAGCGCGCTGCGACGAAATAACACCAATCGCCTGCAACACCGCCTTGCGAGAGTCTCGCCCAAACACCGCGGGATGGTTGATCCATTCCAACGCAGACTCCAGATCCGCATCCAACGCTGTCATCGTCTGTGCGTCGACGGCGGGAACAGGGGCGATGGTCGCTGCATCAGACGCGGCTGACGAATGGCCTTCGGTATAATTAGAAGACTGGGGAGAGACAGATAAGGGGGTCTCCCCACGACTGCCAGCGTCAATGTGACCACTTGGCTTCGCAGCACCGGGCGGTAGTGGGGGGAGGCCACCCTTACCGAGACCCTTGAGGATACTCCGAGTCTCGGTCAAGAGATGTTGGGCGCGATCATGCTGTCCACGAGTCACCAGTGTCAGCGCTCGAGTCAACATGTCGGATGTGAGCAACTCCATGCGTCGCTGAACGATCGATGGATGAGGGGGAATCGGCGGTGTCGAGGGGCGTCCGCCTCTAGCCCTCGGGTTAAGGGGAAGCATAGTGATCGCAAGCAGCGACGGGCGAGGCGAATGGGTGAGATGGCCATCACGAAGGAGATCACCGTAGGTGAGATCCGCCTGAATCAGGGGAACCTCCTCCACGCTCGCCACGCGTTGTTCGTCTCCGTCCGAGCCACCTCCCAGAGCTTCCAATCCAGACACCAGACTCTCCCACGGATCCTGCGGCATGCTCTCTTGAGTCGAATTGTCGGGCTGGATGACAAGCTGGACCAACACATCACGCTTATCTCCAAACCGGAGGTCTCCGAGTGCCGCCTCGGCATCTCTACCTGTGGCGCGCTTGGTGGTGTGAAGAGCCCCGCTGATCTTGACGAATTTGGCGGGCGAGCCCTCAGGAAGACGCAGCTTCAGCTTGACGTTCTGATGTGACGTGGTTTGCAGAGCACCAAGACAGCCGGCAACACATTCCCGGAGCATCATCCAGTCCTTGACGTAAAGGTAAGATCCTTTAGTCCGAGTGGAGAGTTCGATCATCGTGTCGGGTTTGTGGGTCAATCCAAGTCCAAAGGAGTGAATGCTAATTCTGTCAAATTGTTAGTCATGATTTCATCAATTTGCAAGCTCTGGAGAGTGACTTACTTGGCAGCTTCAGCCCTGGAGACGACAAAATCAACACTCTCAGGATCCGATGTGGACGAGTCGCTGATCAAGAGAATCGTGGAAACCGGATTGTTCGACTTCCGCTGCATCAGCAGGTCCATTGCAACATTGGCACCTTCAACAACGTCTGCACGAAGGCTTTTCTGTCCAACAGGGCGGATAGAGTTGAGAATCTTGTTCCATCCACCCCACGACTTGGTCGTCATTCCCACCAGAGGCACGCCCCCACCACTAGAACCGAAGGTCACCAACCCCATGCGATCTCGGGGCCCGAGATTTTGCACGAGGAACTTGAGCGCGTCACGCAGAAGGGTAATCTTCAGACCCTGCATGGAGGAAGACACCGGGATGACAACGACGACGTCGAGAGGAATGTGGATCGTGGAGATGGACAGATTGTCTACCGCGGTGTAGTCGGTGATAGCGGTGTTGTTGGATCGCCCGGCTCCGTAAGAGGAGTTGATCGAGGCCTGCCGCTTGATCTGGCTAACCCTGTAGTCCTCCTCCTCTGCGCCTGAATGATCCACGTCATAATCGGTATGTCGGGACGTGGCATCAGACTGATGGAGATCGCGAAGAGCCCGACGCCAGGTCTCCAGTTGATTCCGGCTCTGGAAGCGAAGAAAGAAGCACGGAAGCTCGCTCACGGAGAGGTTGAGGGTGAGTACAGGCTCATCTATAGGACCGTCAGTTTCTCTACGTTGTTCGAAGTGGTTTTTGAAGTGGGGGGGAAGATAAGGCGGCTGACCTGACGATATTTCGACACTCTTCAGGTGCTTCCTGATGAGAATTGAACCCTTGAGCGAACTCCGTGTGGATTTGCGCTTGGGTTGGTCGTCATACTGGTGAGCATTGACCTTCTTCTCTTTGATACAGATGAGCATCTCAGCAAAGAGGTAGCATTCCAGCTCCTGCCACGATTCCCGATCCTTGCCCACGCGCATGTGGCCATGCAAGCGAAGCTTCCCGAATCTAGAATCAATGTCAGTATATTTCTCAACAGAGTAAGCCAGAAGCCAGCTGAAGAGACCCACCGTGCAAACTCCAGGCCATGCCAATTGTCGACGCGTGTACGCAGATCCTCGGCAATGTCATCGAGATTTTCTTGGGGTTCAGATTGAATCGACCGAGCTTCTTGCACAGTGGGAAAACGCATCACGCCCCCATATGGCTCATCCTGCGGTGGCAACGCACTGGACGTGCTTTTCCGGAAATCCTCTGAGTCCGGACCCCAGCTCCCTTCGGGGATTTCCACCGTGATCAGGCACGTCAACGACTGCTGTTGCCGGGAACGGTTGAGGGTGGGGAATTCGCTGCGAATGGTGACCGTTGGGGCCGGGATAGGATTCTTTGTCGGGGGCGGACGAGGGCTGAGATCGGATTCCATGGCCTGAACATCATAGTCATGTCGTCTGCCATTGCTCTGGTGTTGAGCTTCGTAATCGCCCGACGACCCGGCCGCGCTGCCATTTCGAGAATGCTGTTGGCGGGATCCCGTCGTGAGACGCTCCATCCGGTCCCGCTGACTGCCGGTATCTCGGCTATCTCTCCGGCTCCAGTGGTCCCGGCTGTCGTGATGGTAGGATCGACTTCCTGTATCACTAGGGGGTCGTCCACGGGATGGGGGTTGATCCCATGGGGTTGGGGTGGTAAGACTGCGTTGCGTGGCGGCATCACTGGTCGCTGAACGAACAATGTTGCTCAATTTTTCTGGGTTCACAGCCGTCAGTATATGGGACATTTATGATTGGCCCGCCGTGATGCAGCTCCGCTTGACTTACCGATGTCCAGCACATGGCCCCCTCGACTGGTATCCAATTCCAACGGGGCATCGCAGGTAGGGCAGTACTGGCCTTCGAATTCCTTGATGTACTCGTAAACACAGGCTTCATGCGCCACATGCGTGCAAGAGAATTGAAGGACCCGCTCTCCGCGCAGAGTGTGCTCCAAGGGTTCCTCGCACACCGCGCATTCACTTCCAACAAATGTTCGATCTCTTCGAGTGCGGCTCCGGTCAACGTTCATCACCCCCGCCATTGGTCCACTGGCTTGAGGGTTTAACGGCGCTGGCGAAAAGTTCTGATGGGCGGTTGATTGCCAGCCTGAGCCAGAGCGGTCAGAATGAAGGGAAGTGCCAACAGTGGAAGCAGCGCGAGATCGGGAAGTATCAGTTTGACTAGAGAGACTGCCCCCCGGCCGATCTGAGTGAAAACGAGAGAAGGGACGGAATGGGCGCCGAGGTAAGCGGGAGGGGGAATCAGGCCGGGAGGAGAGATCTGAAGGTCACGCAAAGGGTTGCAGATGCTCGTCAGCGGATGGGCAGGGTAGATTGAGGAAGACAGCAGCGCTTGGTGTCCCCTATGTCGTCTATCGTTGCAGGGGGGAATGCGAAAGAGAGGGAAGAGTAGTTTGATTGCAAGCGAATGTAGTAGTAGGCAAGCCAGATAAGAACTAACGCGACAACAACAGAACCGCAACCCAAGAGAAATCTCAGAAAAGAAGCGAAGGAGGAAGCTCTTCGAAGGCAAAAGTGATAGGAAGAAGAGACGTGGTAGTGGTAGTAATAGTAAAAGGCGCACTCACGCTGCGGAGATTTCTTTTTGGAACGACCAAAGAAGCCAAAATCGGACAAATTGAGATGATGGCCTGAATCGACGTTCCCCGACTTGGAATCCGATCTGTGTTTCCACATGGGCCACGAAAAAGGAGAGAGGTTAATCCTAGACGGATAGGAGAAATCAAAAAAGTTAATTATAAGTAGCCCGAAAAGAAAAAAAAAAAAAAGAAAAAGGAAAAAGGACAGATGGAGCAGGAGGAAGGTCAATGGGAAAGCGTAGTGCGAATGGCAATACGGAGTAGGTAGTTAGAGGAGAAGGGGGACAACAGAGAGGTCAGAGAGAGGAATTTACTAGTTAGGGGAAGTTGAAGTGGGGAGCAAGAGGATTCAAAGTGTTCAGAAGAAGATTAGCAGTTTAGCACGAGTGGGGATTTTGGGGAGGGGCGCAAAGACAAGAAAAGCCCGAATGACGATGATGATGATGATGATTTGTATGTAGTAGTGGTAGTAGACAAATAAGTAGTATCTTGCTTGAATTGTTGACCAGGGGGGCCATAAAAATTGGTACTTGAGGATAGATAATTATTGAGAGGGAAGACAACATACTCTGAAGTATCTAGTTAATAGATGGTTAGTGAGGACTGCTCCAGAGGACACTGTGCATAGGACGAAAGGACGGAGTACCTGCGACGTACCTGGACTTAAGATGCGGTATTATTGCATAAATCGGAAAAAGGCTCAAGTCAGGAGGAGCCTGGACCCTGGAGATATCGTGGTAGTGGACACCTTGTCTGTATCTCTGCGACGGTGTCCGAGCCGGTGTTCAGGATGCCGTTGATAGTCGCTGGGGCAGAGGATGATGATTGGATCTGAGGGGGAGCAGAAGGGGACAATTTGAGTCTCGTCGAAGGCAGGTATCCTCAGAAGACAAATCAGGGGACCATGTATGCTGATGAGGAGGAGGATGATGATGATGATGGTAAAATAACATTAATCACACGTCCTCCGTCGTCGTCGTCGTCCGTCCTGAGGAGAAAGAGAAACCTTGAAGGATGGAAGGCTTGAGGAAATGCCAGATGAAATTCAACCATCATCAAAATTCCTAGTTAGTTAGTTAGTTGGTTAGTTAGATAGGCAGGTAGACTAATTAATGTGTGCCAGAGTTCAAGAGTCCCAGAGTCCCAGTACCTAACTAGTAAACTACATACGTAGTTTAGCGTAGGATGACTCGGAGTCAAAGGTTAATAAAAGGCCAGTGAGAGAAGAGTAATGCAGGGCAAGCTGGGCGTTCTGTGGGGCGGGAAAACCACACGCGGTTTTTCTTCCCAAAAGTTGATAGAAAGTCAGGAACAGGAAAATCCACGGATCTCATGTGAGACTAAGCCAGTGGGACTGCGACTAACAGGAGTAACTAACTCACTACGTAGTAGTAGTTAGTACGGGAGAGTCAACGCTAACCAGGCAGTCCTCCTAATATCCAAGTCTCCAAGAAATTCAGTGTGGAAAGCTGGAAAATAATCACCAATTCTTAGGTAAAAAGGAGTGTGTGCTGCACCCCTGAATGCAGTAGTAGTATGATTAGTATCTGTACTTTGTAGCCTCAGCAATTATCTACTAGTTGAGAGTACATATCTGATAAACTAGTACTTCTTGATCTGTCAAGGGATCCGGATTCTCGAAGAATTGAGAACAATGACTTGTGACAGTCATTGTTCTGACTCTCCTCACTGATGATGATGTAATCCCTCTTTATCTTTTTCTGCAGAATTGGCCTCCAACTAATCACCATCAATAGATGAATGCTCCGTCTCTGGTTGATTGCTGTTACAGTTAGGGGTTCAACCTATGATTACAATCACTAGCTGGTAGCCCGTAGTACTAGTATAAACAACCCTTGACCCCATGAGACATGAATATATAATCACTCTCTACTACTATGCGGCGTAGATAGTCACAGATGGTTTAGATTCCAATGTATGGTCTCCCACCTGACATCCTGACCTCGATGCATGACCCAAAAAACAGAGTTGTGCAAATCCGTCCCATGTAACTAATCCCGAAGACACCAAACTGACTTCTTGTCGATTGTTGTGTAACTCAAATCGAGACTCGGGCAGGGCGGGAGCTATTTGTGTACGAAGTACACAAATACCCCATATCAACAGAGGAGAGTTGTTTGTGAGACTGTAGATCATTTTACATAGATAGCTTCTCGACTCTTATTATTATGCCCTTTTTCTGTCTGTACAAGCGATCAGTAGTATGAGCGATGCAAGTCGTCCATATCATCAACTGGTCAGCCCGATCCTCCTTGCTTGAGCTGTCGATAAACTCCCCTTGCAGAGCCTGACCTGTCAATTATGTATTTATACACATCATCGGTCGTCCCGCATTGATGATTCAATTCCCGGTATGAAGCCCAACAATCATATCGCAAAGATCAAGCCACATTATATATCTGCCACTGTTTCAACCCTAGTCTCCCATCCAGCATGACACTGACAAGCTTCATGACTCCCGGGTCCGAGCACAGACAATCGACAAGGTCCATAGTATACTCCATCATCGATGGATATTCTCCATCCAACAGATCCCAGAACATTTTTTCACGATCGACACCGTATTCAGTGGACGATGGAGACACCGACCCATCTTCATCAAAAGTGGCCCGCGAGCTTTTGCACAATGGAGCAAGGATTGACCACTGCCCCGGGAGCCGACTGTCGATCCCGGAGCGTTTTCTGTCAGTCACTGGGATCTTGGTCGCCTGGGACTGGCAAGGACTTAGTCAAACATCCAGAGATCGTCATCTCTTGACTCTGGTCATGGTGGTTTTCTTTTTTTCCAGGTCGCTGGTTGACTAGAGATAGTTTAATGTATGACTCTATGGAGTCAGCATGGAGGGGGGTCTCGTCGGCAAGTTTGTGTAAGTGTGATTTTCGGGATTCCTGTGGGAATTCCGCTGAGTATTAATCAGACTAGACTAAGGCAGACTAGACGGTTGACCAGCAGGGGGACGGGAATTCAAAAAAATGTAGCCTTTTTTTTTTTTGCTAAACGAGGGTCGAAGACCGACCACATATCCTGTGTATCGTCATATCAGTTAGACTCTGTAGTAGATACGGAGTACATACTGTCAAGTAACAAGTTGATATTCTTGCTATGCATTCACAGAAATCAGGATATCTCACTCACTCACTCACTCAAGCCCCTATGTCTGTCTGCCCTCGTTGGCTCGTTGGTCTCCCGATTGAACCGTTCCGAGACCTGGAAGAGCCATGGTTTTGCTCTGGGTTGGGTCCATCGATTGCGTCTTATGAACATCCATCAAATGAGATCTCTTTCACTTTCCTAGTAATACCTTATGTCAGTGTTTGCATTCTCCAATCTGGTGTAGATAGAAGGCACTCAAAGACAAATGGTCTTGTCTTGACTTTGGAGTAGTGTGAAGCAGACAGACAGATGCATCGGCCATCAACGAGCTGGCTGCTTGGCTTCGGCGCTCAAAGCCACCGCCCACCACCACATTGAGGATCCCCTCCACAAAACCACCAGACCCGGATTGTAGTACACTGAAGCACTCCTAATTTTGGGGCCGATTGACTGATCTACTACGGAGTACTACGGTCTACATAGCTACGATCGAAGTTGTATCTTCTCCTTCATAAATACTGACTGTCTTTCACTCTGTGCCCCAGAGATCATCCAAATTACAAACAAGCGGACATGCTTGATGAGCCTTTGAACTTCCCGTCAATTTCAATCAATAATAATTATTGAATACTGTTAATGTTAGCGGTTTCACCAGGCAAATTGGAACTAACCACATCTAGCCAATTCGACAGACTCCGACGGTTGGACTTCCCCCCTGCCAGCCTTCCACGCGATACAATCCGTCTTGGACTCTTGGTTGTATTTATTGATCCTTCCATGGAATTAACTGACTTTCAGTTTCCCCTTCCCGTCCCATTGAACGGTGAAGAACTATCGATCTATTCCGTACTTCATCCGGCTCGCATCCTACTGGACAACTGAAAGAGAAGGAGAAAAGGGTTCTTCCACCATTCCAGGTCCGATTTTCCAAGCCGACTTTCCTCGTTTCTCTTACCACTCAGCGACGACGTTTAGCTTGCTTTCGATCAAGGCGCCGACCTTGGAACGCGAGTGGCGACTTACTAGATACACTCTGTACTCTGTAGGTAGTCAGCTGGGCACGACAGAAACATCAACAATGGTCACTGGGTCACCGATAGCGGGTTCTCGATCGTTGATAATTGATACCGGTCGCTTGATCCAGGGACCAGGGTCTCTTCCTTTCAAATCCTCGATCCCCCTCGTGAAAATGGAACTAGACTAAAGGATCGACCATGGTTCACTAGCCAGTCCGTTGGAGGACCATCAACTCGGAGAATAAATACTGAATTGGGGTGCACTAGTCAGGGTCGAGCTTACTAACTCCCAAAGGGTTTCGAGGTGATGGCATTTATTATGTACTTACTGTATGGAGTATGCTCCATGCAGGGGTAACCAGCACGGAGGATAATGTCCATCATATGTATGAATAATCACTGTCACGTCGTCCCTCCGTGCTTTGTGCGGTTGTACCACCCGAGTCTTGGGCATATCAGCCCACACCGACTTCTATCTATCTATCTTTGTACACACTCTCGCTCTGCAAGACTGCAACTCTATGCTGTACAGTCAGCTTCGCCCTGTATATCTATCTACAAACTAGCGAGACAAGCCAGTAGATCTCTCTCCCTCCCTCCCTCTCTCCCACTGACTCAGGACAAGGCAGCCGGTTGCCCTGTGCATGCAATCCACAGACGGGAAAACAAGGCAGGAAGCAGGATAGAGTCGAGGTTTTTGCAGAGCTGTCAAAAGGAGCAGGATCCTTGCTTCTTAGTGGTTGGTTGAAACTATCGTGAGACTCTTCAGTTAAGTTGGCAGAAGTACTAGACTAGTTACTTAGTCAGAGGAGGTTATTTCTGGGAGAATCAAGTATCAACGTACCAAGGTAGGATATTAGGAACTAGGATCAACTGAGCTGTTAATAGCAAATAACTACAAGACAGTGTCTTTTTCTGGCTAGAATCACAGGCGAACAGTTGGAGGCGACCAGATACTGTACAGACTATCTAGACAGTAAAGACAATAAAGACACATAGACTGGCCAAGGTCGACTTCGAGTAAGACATGGCATGTTAGGTATCGACGGTGTAATCCGGACTGACCACTGTACTGAACGTACTCGGAGTCAGTACGTATTATAACATCATGATACATCCAATCCATATGATCTGTATCACAAATGGGATGATGCACCTATCTCCATCTGCTGCCAATGTGATCTGTATCACGCAACATCCTACCATCCCATCACCCCCCTACAACATCTTGAGACAGTGCATCCGCCCATCGAACCAATTCGGATATCCATCAATAGACGTACCATCCAATCTACTCGTCTGTCGTCTGTTCCAAATTATTAAGGCCTGGAGCTCGGGCTTTGGAGATGGGTACACAACGTCTGCACTCTGCCGAGCAAGGGTGTCCTGCCGATCACTGACTCCGGCTCTATGTCCTGTGCCGTGAGCAATGAGCATACGACTGCGCTGAGCTTCGAGTCCTGAAGACATTGGGATACTTGTTTGCTGAGCCCTTGGAGTCATCATATTGCAGATGAACAGCAGCCTCTCTGCTCCGCTCCCATCCCCATCCAGAACCAATGTAAGCTCAGCACTCCTATATCCAATTCCACCCTATAGCATATAGATTATAGGCTCATAAATCGACACAAACCCGATACTCAACCTCGATACTATCGAACCAAGAATGGAACTGGAACTCCAGCTACCGCTGCGGAGCCAGCGCCCGATAGATTGAGTTGGCGGTGGCGGTACGGGCACATGAACCGTGTATCGAGATCGAGCGATTCCCGGATTCCCATCAGATCCAATCTCCAGCAAGATCAGACGTGTTCTGCGAGAGAGGAAAGGGTTGTTAATCTCGATATATGCTACAGCCGACCTGTCAGTACCTGCAGGCGGAAATGGCAGGTTCGTCGCACTGGCTGGTCTTATGCAGTCGCATAAAGTGACGCTGGTTCTGGATGCGCCAGAATACACTGGACGTCAATGAGCAGTGATCCCATATGGGGAGTTTGGCCCGTTTTGGTATATGATATTTTTGCGCTTGGGAGACTCGTTCTTGTGATTTGTCGGATGATGTTGTTCTCCTGGTTTGATTCTTGGATGTAGGTGATTTTAACGACTCAGGGTAGAGACAGAGATGGCAAAACTCCGGGCGTGAGTATTCCCCATTCGTACAAACGACTTGATTGCCTCAGAAGAGCGATTAATATTTGATTAAGTCTCTGTAATTCTAGAGTTCCAGGTCATTGGTCGAGACATTGAGGTAAGAGGTGCTCGGTATCAGAGTCTGTGCTCATGAATATGGCTTTCTATTTCCTGCTGTCCCAGGTAGAGTGAACAATGGCATCAGTTCTTGCATGTCATTAAAAGGACGTTGGGTGCAAGTATGAATCCTACTTTATCTATCAGTACCTTCATCCTTCTGTATCAATTTGCTTTCTTCGAGCTTCTCCCATCATATTAATCCAAAAGCGATACCAGTATCAGAAAGATATCGAGAATAAGATTATGTATGAAAGAGAGTTCTGCGTCGATGCAAAAACTGTTAGCCAGTTGGTCACGAAATGCAGTGGATCATCCGGCTAAATTCCTGGACCTCAACCTGAAGCATCTCAGCAACCTCCATTTAACCATCCAATGACAACCACAACCATGATCTTCCCCATGAATCAAGCTTACTCTTTTCACAGACAACTATGATTTCTCCATCAGTAGGAACATCGCTAGATGTGTTACCCCTCGATCTAGTGGCATCGGACTTCAGTCCGACATGAGCATCCCTACCACCTGCCCCTCATCGACGGCGATCACGACAAAGCCATGCGAAGACATATAAACGGTATGTAGCTGACTGATGGGCTGCATTCATTACTATCTTCCCCATTCCAAAACCCCCCAGGCCTCACTCACAATGTCCGTCCACGCCAACGGAAAGACCCCAGCTCAGGCCTTCAGCCAGTCGCCATTCCGCACACGCAGCGACTTCCAGGACGCCTGTCGAGCCCTTCTCGACCCTCTCATTCCACGCTTCACGCCTCAGGGCAGCCGGGTGAAGATCGGCTCCTCGACAACCCGCTTCGATGAAGGAGGCGCGCAGATCGAGGGCTTTGCCCGCCCGCTCTGGGCTCTAGGCTCTCTGCTCGGTGGCGGGTATGACTACGCGGAAGCCGCGCGCTGGCGAGACGGCTTCATCAGTGGGACTGATCCCCACAGTCCGGAGTACTGGGGCGACATCGAGGATCTGGATCAGCGCATGGTCGAGATGTGCCCTATCGGATATACGCTGGCGGTTGCTCCGCATTTCTTCTGGGACCCGTTGACGGAGCAGCAGAAGGAGAATATTGCGAGCTGGCTGGCGCAGATCAATGCGCGCGAGATGCCAAATACGAACTGGTATGTTTTTATGCTTGAAGACTTACTCGTGGGTCTATCTAAGTGGTCATCCAGGCTGTGGTTCCGGGTCTTTGCCAATCTTGGTCTGCGGAGGAATAACGCCCCTTACTCCCTTGCTCGCATCGAGGCGGATATGGATCATCTGGATACGTTCCACGTCGGCAGGGGCTGGAGCAATGATGGCCCCAAGAGTCACCATCAGATGGACTATTACTCTGGCTCCTTTGCTATTCAGTTCCTGCAGCTGCTATACGCCAAGTTGGCGGGTGATTTCGACCAGCCTCGTGCTGAGCGATACCGTGGGCGTGCGAGGCAGTATGCACATGACTTTGTACATTACTTCTCTCCGAATGGTTGGTTCTTTCTGCCCGTTTTAGTTACTTGACCAGATATTGACTACGAACAGGCAGCGCGATCCCATTCGGACGCTCGATGACATACCGCTTTGCCATGGTAGGATTCTGGGGTGCATTGGCGTTTGCCGATGTTGAGCTGCCTGCTCCGTTGACCTGGGGTGTTGTCAAGGGCATTCTGCTGCGTCATTTCCGCTGGTGGGCGACGCAAGAGGATATCTTCAACAGCGACGGCACACTGAGCCTGGGGTACTCTTACGCGAACATGTACTTGACGGAGAACTACAACTCGCCCGGATCTCCCTACTGGTGTTGTCTTTCCTTTGTGCCTTTGGTGCTGCCACAATCGCACCCATTCTGGGCGGCTGAGGAGGAACCCTACCCGACAGCCTCCCTTCCCGCCGTGGTGGCGCTCGAATACCCCAAGCATATCATGGTGCATCGCGGTGGCCACTGGTTCCTGTTATCTTCAGGACAGGCTTGTCACTACCCCTTGAAGGCCACCCAGGCCAAGTGCGGCAAGTTCGCTTACAGCGCCTCGTTCGGATACTCGGTGCCCACCGGGTCATACCAGCTTGAACAGCACGCACCCGACAGTATGCTGGCCCTCTCTGACGACGGAGGTGATCTCTGGCAGACACGTCGGCTCGCGCTCAACGCCCGATTCGAGTGGTTGGATGATGTGCCTATGCTCGTCTCCGGGTGGAAGCCATGGCCAGGTGTAGACGTTGAAACGTGGTTGATTCCTCCGACTGAGGAGTTCAAGAACTGGCACATCCGCATCCACCGTGTGAAGACGGACCGCGAGCTCTTAGTCAACGAAGGTGCGTTTGCAATCTACGGCTGCCACAGCGATAACGGGCGCATCCTTGGTCCCTTCAGTCAAGATTCGACCGAGGGAACATTGCAGGAGGCACGTCGGGCGCTTACGGTCTCGTCCGTGGGTGCTGTGGGCATTGTCGAGCTTCAATCGAACGTAGAGCGAGCGGGGAGAGTGGTGCTAGCAGATCCCAACTCAAACCTAATGTACGGTCGCACGCTGCTTCCCTCACTGGGCTCGAAGCTGAGCCCAGGGAGTGAGACTTGGTTTGCGACGGCGGTGTTCGCGTTACCAGCTGAAAACAATGGCGACAATTGGCAGGAAAAATGGCGAGAGAGGTGGGAACGAATCCCTGATATTCCTGCCAAGTTGAAGCAGGTCATGGGAATAGAGGGAGAGGCCAAGTCTTGATATTGATTTCTCCGTCTGCTTACATGTATGGATACTGTGCATCTAACTTCGCATCTCAAAGAACTCCAAGCATTCATCGCCACAACATCAACAGCAGTAGGCTTAGAGTTAGAATGCAAATGATATCTCGTAACAGCAGCTACGACGATAAGAGTGAGACTGCTGTCTCCCAAGTAACATTGGCGCGAGAACCTGACTCCTGCCAGAACCTGAGTAACCGACAGTCTGACCCTGGAAGAATATACTCCTATTATGGCTAAATTGACGTCCATCCCGGCCACACTCTTGCCAACACTACTAGACCATTGAACTAAGCGTCCTGACTTTTGCCTCAGTCTTGGTGCTGATCGTCTTCTTTATTTCCCCGCAAATCTCGTTACCTTGCTAACTTGCTAACTAGTTGTTAGTCTGGTCGCTTTGTCGCCATTTTTCCCTCCGCGTTGACCTGCTTGGCGAATCATCCCCATTCCACCATGCGTAGCAGGCTCATCCTGCACAACCTCTGCATCTCCCCCGAGTCCCACTCCATCGTCATTCGCCATGGACACTATCTTCAATATGAGCCGCCTATCAGCACCAGCGCCACTCAGTCTGAGTTAAGCTCTAAACATCTTGGTGAGTCTAGCGTGGAGCATCGTGCCGTCTCCATTCGTTTTCCCTTTCTCACCACACTTGTCACGCTCACACACACCCCCCTAGTCTTACCCCAGTCATTCCCCCACAAGCGTCTCACCCCAGTCCGATTTTCCCGGCTAATCTTCCTCCTATCACAGCTCGAATTCAGGCAAGTGAGCCACGGGGTAGAGGGGAATGGGTGAGTGAGCTATGAGGTAGTAACAAGTAAGCCATCGCCGACAGCTTGATGCCAGATATTGATAGGTTGATCTTTTCCCTTGCAGACGCACGTACGCACCCCTGCTCGCCGATACAACCCCTCCAAGTTCCCAAGATGTCTTGGACCACGAGCTCAAAGCGTGTCTCGGCGTGGGAGCTCTCCATGAGCTAAATGGTGGATGAGCGGCTGGTATTCGTGGAATCTTTGCGACGTGCTGCTCGTCTTGTTTTTTTTTTTTCCGGGGCTGGAATGATAGTCATGCTTTGCTGCTTGGTGCTTGGTTGCAGGGATGACGGGTACTGATCTCAGACGCCGACGGTTATATCTGGAGCTGGGGGGGTGTGGTTTGACACGTCTGCTGGGGTTAGGATAGTACATATATGGTTACTGTCCCTGCAGTGTTTCCTTCGAGAGTGGTTTTGAGGCTGGTGATCTGCACTGCACGATCTTGATCTGGAAATTGACCGCACTCCAGTTTGCTCTGTTCTATATATTAATATCGTCGTCCTTTGCTTTGGCATCTTCATCTATTCATCGAGTCTTCCATCACCGACAACATGTCCGCCATCCTCAGGAAGCTCGTCCACAATGAGGCGATGCGAGAGGATCCCAGGGAGATCTATGGGTGGAGAGTATACATGCTTGCCTGTTCAGTTGGTTCACCACTCCTCCCAACGTTGGTGCTCTGGTTACTGATGATGCCAGGCATGCTTCGGTGGTATGCTTTTCGGAATGGAGACAGGTATCATCGGAGGTGTTCTCACCATGGCACCCTTCAAAGCGTGAGTTACGATCCTAACAACCATGGCATGCAAAGAGGCGAGCTGACCGGCCACCAGCGACTACGGCTTAAACGGACTTGGTCCTGTCGGAGAGGCGAACCTGTCCGCCAACATCGTATCGACCCTGCAAGCAGGATGCTTCTTCGGAGCTCTCATCGCTTCGCCTGTGGCTGATAAATGGGGTCGGAGACTCGGTCTGATCAGCGCCTCGATCCTGGCCATCCTAGGTGTGATCATGCAGGTCGCTGCCAGTGGGCACCTGGAAGCCATGTACATCGGCCGGTAGGTTATTTCTCTGCGTCTTTCTTCTTGGACTGCCCCTGATCTCACCTCTAGACTGATCACCGGATTCGGTGTCGGCTTCGCCTCGATGATCAACCCCCTCTACGTATCTGAGAACGCCCCGCGCGCCATCCGCGGCGGTCTGACCGGTCTGTACCAGCTCTTCATCACCATGGGCATCATGCTGGCCTTCTGGATCAACTACGGCTCTCTGCTGCACATTAGCGGCAAGTCCATGTACATCGTCCCGCTGGCCATGCAGGGCCTCCCCGCCCTCCTCCTGCTCGGCGGCATGCTCCTATGCAACGAGTCTCCCCGCTGGCTGGCCCGGCAGGACCGCTGGGAAGCGGCGCGCGCCACGCTCGCGACAGTGCGCAACCTCCCCGCCACCCACCCATACGTCGAGCGCGAGTTTCAAGACATCGTCGAACAGCTCGAGCACGAGCGCCAGCTGGTCAGCGGCTCGGGCTTCTGGGACCTCATGCGCGAGATGTGGCTGATCCCCGGCAATCGCAAGCGCGCGCTCATCAGCATCTTCCTCATGGTCTGCCAGCAGATGACAGGCACCAACGCCATCAACTACTACGCGCCGCAGATCTTCAAGAACCTCGGCGTCACAGGCAACGCCACGGGCCTCTTCGCCACCGGCGTCTACGGCATCGTCAAGATGGTCGGCTGCGCCATCTTCCTCGTCTTCGTCGCCGACTCGCTCGGCCGCCGCCGCTCCCTCCTCTGGACCTCCGTCGCCCAGGGCCTCACCATGCTCTACATCGGCCTGTACGTGCGCATCGCGCCCCCCAAGACCGGCGAGCCCGTCATCCCCGCCGGCTACGTCGCCCTCGTCTGCATCTTCCTCTTTGCCGCCTGCTTCCAGTTCGGCTGGGGGCCCGTCTGCTGGATCTACGTCAGCGAGATCCCCACCGCCAGACTGCGCGGCCTCAACGTCTCCTTCGCCGCCGCCACGCAGTGGCTGTTCAACTTTGTCGTCGCTCGCGCCGTGCCCAATATGCTGGCGACGGTCGGTGCAAATGGTTACGGGTAAGTCTCCCCTTCCTTTCCTTTCCTTTCCTTTCCTTTTCTTTTCTTTTCTTTCCTCTTGTCTATAATCTTCGCCACGTGGCTGTGAACAAACAAGACTGATCGCGCTTCAAGCACATACATCATATTCTCCTGCTTCTGTCTCTCCATGGGCGTCTTCGTCTGGTTCTTCATCCCAGAGACCAAGGGTAAGGCATCCCCTTCCGCACCTGACTTGAGAATCAGCCATGCTAACGAAACCAGGTCTCTCGCTCGAGAAAATGGATGAGCTGTTCGGCGTCACGAACTCCACGGACAGCAAGGTTGTGGATGCGGAGCGGGCCATGAGCACGAACGAAAAAGAGGCCGAGACTGTCACCGAGACGAGGGTAGAGAGAGCGTAGATCATCTCGCGCTGATGGTTGTTGATGATATGATTCACGAAGTCTAGTTCTGGTATCGATTAGGAATGATCCACTGTCAAATCATTGGAAAACGTAAGATGTAAAAGTAGATGGAAAAACCATTCTCGTCAGTATCGTCAATCGTATATTCTTAGTCGTTATGTACAGACCCATTCAGTATCTCCCACATAGTAAAAGTGTTCGAGGCCAATTCAGACTGCGGTTAAAGTGGATGCAAACAATGTCAATCAGTCAATCAGTCGCTCAACAACAAAACCATCCAGAAACTATGATGCAAATGAGAGTATTATCTGGCATCACATGCGATGCAACGTATGTAAACCTTGTAAACCTCAATAAGAATCCCTACCCAAAACCCGTGATGTTCAAAAAAAAAAAACAATAAGAAGCAGTAGCATGCTAATGTCCAGCTAAGGTTGTGAAAGAAAGAAAGAGGGTCATTTCAACCCGCGCATTGTGTACTTGCGAAGTCCCTCGTTCCCGGTGAGTCTTTGCGTTTGACTCCGGGTTACACGCCGGTTGGGCTTGTCTTCGAGACTGAGTCCCCCAATTCCCGGTCCGAGCTCGGACCGCCTGGGAGAGAAGAACGCATCAGTGGGATTGCGTCCGTAGCGGATATTTCTGACAGTATTGCTGGTGGCCGTTGTGGCCGTGGTCACAGTTGTCTCGGTGTCTGAATCTCTATCAAAGGCATCAGAAACATCAGATTCGTTCCCCTTGAGACTGTTTAGTGTGAAACTGTGATTTTGATTCGGAACCTGATTATAATTTGAGAACCCCAGCTGATACTGCGGTTCCGGGGACGGGATAGTGAAGCTAGAACCAGCCGCAGTCATTGAGAAAGAAAGAGGCGGAACAGGGGGCTCAGAGTTGAATGACTGATTCGCAAGACGTGGTGTAACATTGCTCTCCAGAGGCGAGCTACCGGAGGTTTGCCTGCTAGGAGATCCCGTCTGATTCGGTTGCTGTGCTTGCGAGTTGGGAACACTTGCTGATGCAATCTGGAACAGAGATAGTAGCCCCAGTGCCTCTTGCACAGTCATAAAGACCAATAGCAATTTCCCGTACCGGTCAAAGTAGTGCCTCTCGAACGAGACGTGTGGAAGGTTACCACCAAGGTGGACAGCCGCCACAAGCTCGGCGAAATAAATAAGGATCTCCATGCCGTTCCATTGGACGATTGGCTGCTTGAGAACATCCAATAGTGCAAAGCCTGCTATTAAACTCGCACTCCCAAGAGAAGCCACCTCGATATAGTTTCCAGGAATAGAGAGATAATTGTACTGGGACAGGAACCAGGCAGCAATAGATGATAGCAGCAAGCCTAACCGAAGATACTGGAACAGCAAAAACGCCTGCATATCTGCAGAATAGCGAGTTTGAGTACCTGGCCCTTGCTGCTGCTGCTGCTGCCAGTTCTCATTGTTCTCGTCTTCAGGAGATTTGATTGTGAATGCTCGGTCGAATAAGCTTTCTAGTCCAGTGGAAGAAATATGATCACTCATGGGGAAGAATTTCGGGGGTGCAAATACCGATTCCGAACGGCTAGCGGTATTTCGTTGCCAGAAAGTCGGTGATTGAGTAGGCGTGCGATGGAAAGGGTTGCGCTCCACAACTTGTTGAATCGGCTTCGGGCGCGAAGTCTGAGTCCGGAGGGCCCAGGATGGAGGTTTTGGAGCCGCCGGGAGCGAACCATAGAAAGGTAGCGGCCCGTCGAGTACAGATTTTGTGTCTTTTTGGTAGACACTCATCGTGGGTTTGATCTCATGCTGTACAGACGGAGTCCAGTCCATATCATCCACCTCCGGAGGGGGTGTAGGAGGGATGGCCGGCTCCTTCTCAGGCGCAAGTCGGGGTGCAGCGAGCTTTTCCAAAGGAAAACGTGGAGTAGCTTGCCGGTCACTTCCAAGAGGAGTGAAGCGTTGAGTGGTAACACTCGATTGGTCGGGAGATACCAGCGCCTTTTTATTCGGGGTCGCTGTGGGAGTGTTGTCCGACCACGCTACCAGCGGACGAGTGTCATACTTGACAACGCGCCGGGAAATAACGACAGACTGCACAACCCGTCAGCGAGATTCGACATATCATCAGAGAGAATATTGCTTACCAAGATCGTAAAGAAAATCATGAAAAAATGCAAAGTCAGAGGCAAGGTGTCTTGCAAGCCGCTCGAGGCAGGGTCTTTCAGCATCGCCCAGAAAACGCATCGCACCACCATGACGATAAGCTGCACCTGGTAATACTCGCCCAGCCCGACGAAGCGTCCTCCCCTTCCTTCAACTTTGAGTCGCAACTTCGGATTCCACCATAGCGACAGGATTCCTGCCACCAAAGCCAAGCCAGCATACGGCGACAGATCAATCCAGCATGACCCTGGCAGCTGACGCACCTGTAATGTAGTCCAGAAGCATGACGCAACCGACGAAGTCCGAAGATCATTATCGAAGGCGCGTATCGACGGCTCGACATGCAAAGCACCCATCGTATTCCAGGCGAGTTGGCCGACAACACTGCTCCAGTAGCTGATGGCACCCGCAGACACCAGCAGATTCCTCCAGTTCCATTGCCGTGCTTGTCTCGCTGCCCTCCCGGCTTTGCTCCTGTCCATCATTCGTCGAAGATGATCCGACTTGGCCTCATATCCTGCCTGGCGAATTCGCTCCTTCACCCGAGGCTCGCATTTGGCACATACTTGAGGATATCGCTCTTCCAGGTTTCTGCGAAAGGTTGGATATTCTCGTTCATACGCGTTGTACTCAGGATCATCTGGCGGTGGAAAATAAGAAGCAAGGGCGCTCGTGAACAAATGCTGATTACGGACACACTGAGCGCAGAACAGACCGGAGCCTGTGAGATCGACCGATTCAAGGGGAACGTTCATCGCTCCGGGGCCGTATACGTCAGGGTTGGTTTCCGCGGCAGGAGGATCAGTGATCTCTCCTTTCTATTCCATCAAATTCAAAATCAGCTTTCCTTACACCAGATTCAAACGAAATAGAATCACGTACCTCATCTAGATGGTTCACCGCTTCGCAATGTTTGCACTGCCATTTGCGAACGTCTCTGCCTGCCTGCGCAGAACGACGTCCGCAATAAAAGCAACTCAGTCGCTTAGAGAACATCGCTGCTATTTCACATCAAATCTGACGACATCGATAGCAGCTTCAGGAAATGACAGCTTGAGACTTATGAGAGAAGAGCTATCTCGAAAAGCAGTGATGACGGCGGATATCACTGTTGTTTTTTTAGCTGGTTTACAGAGAAGGAGTTAAGACAACAACAGAATTAATCGCCGAGAGCCGCACGGACCACGTGCCTGTCTCCATAGATTATTGGAATGACATAAACACAGAATGCTGCAACTCGGCAATTCACGAACAAAACTGACAACAATGGCTTATTGATTCTTTTTCTGCTAGACACAGATGAGAGGCAATATAGGGACCAAGGAAGACAATACAGTTGACTTCTTGCCTAATGCCAGCTAAGACAAACCACCTCACCTCCTGACAACCGTGTCTTCAAGTTATCGCAACGATAATGGAGAGCTCTTGAAGCTACGGCAGTGACTACCATAAGCTCAATCTGGGTTCCCACCTAAATCAGCAAATCTACATGCGATGACTTACTCATTGTTTAACCTGCTCTTTCTTACTCTCCTACTCGGAGTCGCAAGCTGTGGTATAGCAGTCCTTGTGAGCATATGCCCGGTGTCCCTGGCTATGTGCTATGCTAATAACACAACGTTTTCAGGTCCTGATCCATGCCCTGTCGGTGTCACAGAACAGTGAAATCCCAAAGTGGCGGAAGAAAAATAGCCCAACCCATCTCCTCGCCGTTCTCGGCAGCGGTGGGCATACCGCAGAAATGTTCTCCATGTTACGGCGCATGAACCTCGACCCTTCGGTATACACTCATCGGACATACGTCGTGAGCTCGGGTGACAATTTCAGTGCGGAAAAGGCTGTGGAATTTGAGACAAGCTGGCTGAAAGAGAACCAGGGAGCATCAATGTCTGTGAATGGTCATGGTGCTGCAGAGTCCTACTCGATTGTCACAGTTCCTCGCGCGCGCCGTGTGCATCAATCATACCTCACGGCTCCATTCTCCACTGTTCAATGCTTCTGGTCTTGCCTTCTTGTGCTGTGCGGCCGCCACGCTGATCAGAAACTGGTTCCTTTGAGATCAGCCACGCCGTATCCGGATGTTATCCTCACGAACGGCCCAGCTACTGCGGTTTGTATGGTTCTAGCTGCCAAATTCTTGCGCCTATGTCATTATCTGGAAACATTCTTCTCTTCGAAGAACGGCCATTACATGGCTAGTTCAAAAGAGCATTCAGTGAATGCGGCAACAAACGCACAACATGTTGACTTTCAACTCCGTACCATTTACGTGGAATCATGGGCGCGGGTCAAAACGTTGAGTATGTCAGGGAAGCTACTGCTATCTTTGGCTGATCGATTCCTTGTACAATGGCCTGCTCTAGCTGGAAAGCAGGCCTGGAATGGTATGAGGAAGACCGAATATGTGGGGGCGCTGGTGGATTGATCGTGCTAGGTTCTTGATGGCCTATCGGTCCATTGTATCATAACTCAAGATGCATTAAGCGATATTAGACGGCCACAATATTAAGTGCTGTTTGAAAACCATCAACTACTAGAACAGGGTTACAACCGAGGTTAATTTGTCAGAATATTTAGCCATTACCCCAACTCACCCCAAGGCACGCGTACGTAGACAGCCCTCGATCACCAACCAGCCACGTAGCTGCTAAAGGATCAGATGTATCACACAAGGCTAGATGATCTACACCTTACATATGAAATGAGGGTCATCCATAATTCCGCTCTGATGCAGACATCGGAATTGCTCCCGGTGTCCCCCCATGTTGCTAATACAAAGCTTTACCCCGCGCACAGATAGTTGACTGACAATGTCTCTTCTTTTCCTCTTCCTGATCGATTCATTCAATCATTTTCTTGTATACAGTGATTCTGTGCTTCGAGCGGTTGATTACAGTTATGTCGTATTCACTAAAGGGTCGGAATGCCCTAATCACTGGTGGCTCTCGGTATGTATACTGTACACCTCTCTGCGCCGAATGAAACTGACGGGCTATCAGGGGATTGGGGGCTGTTGTGGCTCAGAAATACGCTGCCGAGGGATGCAACATTGCCATCAATTATGTCTCAAGTAAAGATGCAGCAGAGAAGCTCGCATCCGAGCTCCAGACTCAGTACAATGTCAAGGCTATCACTATTCAGGGTGTAAGAGATTCTGGCTCTTTCCCCCCCTTTCAGGAAACTCGCGTCTGAGCATTCAATGTATACATGGAATTGACCAAGTTTTTCCATCTAGGACGCGAGTCGTCGAGAGGACTGCAGCAACGCCGTCAAGACCACAATTGAACAGCTTGGAGGGTTGGATATAGTCATCTCAAATGCAGTAAGTCAGATCATCATTCGCCGATTCCAATTTGATTGGTTATGGGGACTAAATTCTGGGCCAGGGTTGGACGAAGATGACCACGTTTGCAGACTTGGATGCTATGGATGATGACGACTGGGATAAAGTAAGTAGATGGGGTTATGGACTCAGCCCGAATCCCATGGTCTTGATGGTAACATTTTAGCGCAGTGCTGGTCAACAAACGTCAAGAGCAGTTGGTATCTCTTTAAGGAAGCAGCGCCCACTTTCAATGCAAACCCTGATGGGGGAGTTTTCATCATCACATCGTCCACAGCGGTACGTGAATAAAGATGGTACTAAGAAAATTTCTCGCTAACTTCGACGTCAAGGCCGTGACGCCAAGTGGGAGCAGCTTGCCATACGCTGTAACGAAGGCAGCAGGTAGGATCCGCGGGCTGGGTCGATGAAAAACTATTGCTGACACCTATGATGCAGGCTTACACCTTATGAAGTGTCTGGCACAAAGTCAGGGCTCGAAAGTTCGCGTCAACGCCGTGCTTCCCGGTCTGTTGCTCACTGAGTGGGTAAGTGGCAACACAATCTTTTCGACCTGGTTTGAAATTCGTGTAAGACGCAAGAATAGAGCTAATCGTCCGATAGGGGCAACGATTCCCTCCCGAGAAGCTTCAGGGCTTCAAGAACAAGGCAGTATTAGGGAAACTGGTAAGTAGTTCTAAGCTCCCACTTTGACATCTCCTTGCTCATTGATTTCAGCCCGAGGTGGAGGATGCTGCCGAGGCATACGTGATGCTGGCCAAGAACCCATCCATGACAGGACAATCCATTCAGATCGGTAAGCATTCCCAGGCCTCTTTTTACAGCAATCTGACTGTCACAGATGCCGGTTTCGCTATTAAATGAGCGCTGCTGCCTCATTGGCGAGCAACCTATTGGGATTTGAAAATGAAGACATAGAGGGCATTTGAGATTGGAGCAGCGTTCCGACAGGTATCATATGGTTAGTTATACAGGGAATATCTTGTTTCGAAATTTCTCGGAAAAGTCGTAAGATGCATGCTGTCTGCTTATTGTAGAGGATTGTGGAACGGAGTGAAGTCGCCTGAACCTGATTGAAATGTCCGATCACTGAGCATCCGAGCTTTGAGAGCAGCACGAACACCGTCCGCATTCTGCTCACCTTCCACCTTCATCTGATGTATACGGATTAGCTTGCCGTCACGTGTAAACACATATAAGCCACGCCCTTGTTGACGATCAATTGGTTGTGCGCTATCCACAAAAGGCAGGCCTGGAACGAGAGAAAATGCCTCGCAACCCTTCAGCGAGTTGACTTCCTCCAACTCAGTCAGGATCACTCTGCGCTGTTGGAAAATTGGGCTTTCAGTTGGAGTATTGCTGACCGCGAGGGTCCTACTCCATAACGGGCCCAGTACTCGGTGGCGCCGACTGATATCTTTCCAGGTCCAATTGAGCCAATCGGCATGCCGATCCTCTGGTTTGATCTTAGTCGCATGAATCAGAGCTTCATCGCCTTCAGATCCACGCCAGCCTGCATCTTGCACTGGTGGAACAAACAATCCGTTTCGTATGCCATCCATGAGTATCTCGGCGCCTTTAGGTGCTACAAGATCCAGAAGCTCGGGAACGGTGCACGATTCGGGATGCGGTATCTCAAAGCCAGGGGCTGGAGTTTGTTTCAGGATGACGCCGTGGTCGAAATGCTTAAGGTGTAGGGTCTGAAGTGTAACGCCCGTTCTGGTTCTACCTGCTAGAAGGACATGGTGTAACGGAGCAGGACCACGAAGACTAGTACACCTCTGTCAGAGGGGTCGTCCCAAGATTGACTCTTCTTCAGGGCGCACATACTCGGGGAGTAAAGATGGATGGACATTCAACCCTCCGTACTTTGCAGCATTGAGAATTCGAGGAGGCACGAATAGACCAAAGGATACGGCCACGATGAGGTTGATAGGACCACCAGGAAATATAGGAGGCTGTTAGAGTCAGTGTAGGTGTACTTGCAAGCCAGTGGACTGCATTTACCGCCCAGCCTTTGAAAGTATCAATTTCGTGGATTGGAAGTGAGAGTTCTGTTGCGACGGCTTTGATGGGGACTATGAAGCGGCCAAACGAGTGAGAACAATTCTAGGAAGCAGTCTTTTCCGATAGACGACATACCTTCCCGTATTTTCTTTAACCCCCTCCCTACTCTTTTCCCAGGTCTGCAGACGACATCGATCGACGATATCCGATCTGGCCGCCTCACATGTTCTTCATGTAAAGCTTTCAAGGAAGCTATGCTGAACTCATCTGCTCCGCAAAAGAGTATGCGGAGGGGCTCGTACGCCTTCGTGGAGAGGAATCGACATCCCAAGGTGTGTTTCGGGGGGGCGTACCCATACCGGCAACTTCGTCCAGCTCTTCGTAAAAGAAGCATGATTTCAAATGGTCGCAATTGTCTCATGGAGGTGCTGTGTTGGCAATCGCGTTTCAAGCTCCGTGAAGCTTTCGACGCACGGACACGTGATGTCACCACAACGGGATGCCCAACCGATCATCCGTAAGAGTTGTCCTTGGTCAACTATCTTTTATGTTTAATTGTGCCGCACTGCTGTAAGCAGTGGCACAGTACTATCATGCAATGCCAGAGAGCGACTTAACTTCAGTAATACCTGCGCAGCTCTCGTTCCTTACAATATACAACCCCCTGCTCGGTCCGACGGACGAAAGTATCAGCGATCAGGTCGTTTTCTATACCTCACGCGCGGATCGTTTGCGGCGAAGCGAAAGTTCGGGATCCAAATATGAGGATCAAGAGGATGACAGTGGGCAGAATGAAAGGCTGCGCCAGATAGGGCTGGCACAGGGCATTGTCAGCTTTGCCAGGTTCGAGTCGCTACTCTTAACATGGCTGAACAACACTGAATAAGTAAACCAGGAATTTCTCGGAGGGTAAATCGGTCGACCACGTGGAGACAGAAAAGTCGACTGTGATATTACATGAATTAGAAGAAAATTGGTGGATTTTGGCGGTAATAGGGCACCGCAAGTTAAGTCGAGTGAGACATGGCTGCTAACGCTGTCCAGTCTATTGATCTTACTCGACTTCCCACTGAGAGCGCATCGTCCCAGCGCGACAGCTCAGAGTCTTCACCTTTTTACTACTCGTCGCGAGAGATATGTCCACCACAGCTCCTGATTCAGCAACTACGTCGCGCCCATTCCATCTTCCTCCTTCATCATGAGTTTACGCTTCAGCGGTTACACGATCGCGTCCGCAGGTCCGCATTCTGTACATTTCTTGAGCGTTTCTGGAGCAAATTCGCATGGAGTTGGGATATCCTTCTGAGCGGCAACCCCGCAGTCGACATATATAATGGCATAAAGCTCGCTGCAGGCGGCGAGCTTGGCATCGGGGTGGGAGAGGAAGATTGGGGAAGTGGGGAGAGAGAAGTTCTCGAGGACTTTGTTTTCCGGACAGATGGACTAGTTGATCTGGTCGTCTCTAGATTTGGGGATCCATGTTCATCGACGGAGGGGTTGACAGCTCAAAGTCAGCCAGAGATCTCCGATGATCCAAACGAAGGTCAAAGAAGATGGCTTGGTATGGACACCTTTCCTCGACCACAGGATGGTGTCATATTTTCTGGAGTGGGTGGGCTGTCAAGATCATCCTTGATACCGATATCTCAATGGATGGAATGGATTTTCCGCTTTGGGTACGACGCATATGGCGCTGGCGAAGATCCTACCTCACCCCGACGCCGAAAACGCCGGAGAAAAAATCGCGGCCGATTGGCCTCGAAAGACCTCAGCGCCTCAGTGAGTGGCACTAGTGATTCTCAAGTCGTCAGTCCGGAACGCGCCTTACCCCCGGGAATACCTCGCCCTCTCGTCATCGGGACATCCGAAGTAGTGCGAGACTCGGCGAGAGCCACAAGTCAAAAAAGCAGTGACAGATCTCCAGCAAGGGTCGACAAAGGGAGTGACTGGAAGGGATTTGGGTCAGACACTTTTGTCAAGTACCTCACACTTGGCTATGGCTCATCCTGGAGTTTCTCTTCTGGGAATGCCAGCTCTCACCCTCGTGTTGAGGCCCTGAAGCGTGCTGAGGCTTCTTCAAAAACAGGAAATGAGCAAGAAACGTTTGAGAGTACTCACGAAGGGTCTGACGAGGATGCAATGAAATCAGGGGCTAGTCCTAAGCCTAAGGACCACAACAATGGGAGGTTCATTATCGGGCTTCGTGACGAGTCAGACGATGCAAAGTCCAGTTTCCTTGAATGCAAAGATCAGGAAAACCCGAATATGAAAGAGAAGGTCATCACACGAATGGTGTACGTCCGTCGGGCTGGTGATTCAGGAGGCCCTGGAGGTGAGCTTGCCATGATCTCAGACATTCAGTGGACTTAGCATTGACAAAAGACTAGATGATCTCCCGGGTCCACTAGGACTGCGGCTGGTGGTCTATATCGTAAGTTGAAAGCCCACTGACTTCGTGAAGCAGCAGCTGATAGGAAGACACAGAATCGACCCTTCATATACACATTTCTCTTTGATCCCCAAGCACCATTGATGGAAGACCCGTCCCTTTACCTAGGCATCCACCACCAACTTGGTCCGCTCCAGAAATCGCTGAGCAAATCGACGTCCCCTTCGACTGCTGCAGAACGCATCTCGATGTCTGGGAATGGGCTCGAGGTCAACAAGCACTTCTCAGCCAAAAGCCTACCGGTTTACGACCTTGTTTACGATCCGACGAACCTGACCATTCGATCCTCAATACCAAATATCCCAGATCTAGGTTACTACTCACCCGAAACGGACCCGTGGCCCCGAGTTGAGAGCCTCAATATCCACCATCGCCTTCTAAGCACCTACGCCGAAACCAGATCCCGGCCCCTCGAGCTCGAAAGAACATGCAAGACTGGTCGCGGCTGGTGGATCGTCTGGGTCCGGATCGCCGAACCACAACCCTCCTGTGATCAAAACGCCCATAATCCAGGCAACACCAGAAATGGTTGTCTGCCCTCTCTCCCACGGGAAGCATTTCTGATCCGCAAAGCAAGTGACCACGTCTCATCGTCGGGACACGCTCGTGGCAACAGTGGGGCAAGATTCTTCAGGGATCTCGGGGGAGCCTCGTCGCCGGGGCTGCAAGCCTCACGTTCCGAATTGGGAGCTGGTAAGCTTGTGGAGGGGCTGGGCCTCGACGCGAGACGATATATCGAGAATCTACTTAGCTTGAATAGATGAATGCCTGCGCAGGAAAACTCAGATGTTATTCTTCATAAAATCCAAGTCCTCGACAAGTCAGAGACCACGTACTCGGGCTGTACAAGATGGTACCTTCAATAGTTCAACTATGTACAGACTGCCGTGTGACGGATTTCCTCCCTGCAAGAACCTGTCCAGGTCTCCCCCTGAGTATTCAGTACACCGTACAACCACACACATACACACACACACCAGGACATACCAATCCACCCACCAGCTCAACTCAAAAAGCACTATTGAATCCGCACAGCCCACCCCCGTTCCCGGAGATCCGGGAGAAAACCTCGTACAGACTCCAGACACCAGTATGACTTATGAACAAGATACTTCGTACCTTACTTACGAGGGTGCCTGTACCAGAGTATTCTAGGCAACCTCGTACACTTACAGGTCGTACTTTATTCCCAAGGTAGCTGACACTGGCAGGCCAAGCCCTCCGTATTGACTATCGAGTCGAAGCGTACGGATTCGCCTGGCTAATTATAGGTTGTTGACTCGGGTTTGCTGGGCGTAGTGGTCACGCTACTTACGTACTCGGAGCATTGGGTCCAGACTCCTGGATTTTCAAGCAGTGTTCTTAAATGGACCGGATAGGCTAGAGTAGGAGACTTCTTGGCTTTTGATGGTCGTGGAATAGAGTGGGCTACCCATGTGAATTTATACTGCGTATGGGGGTTATCACAATATAATAAACATTTCTGTTTGATTCGTATTGTTGATAGTGAAATGAACAGGGTATTACTCGGGATATTTCTCTGATTTGTGCGCAGAACCAGATATGTCGAATGAAGAACTGACTTTGGCATAGAAAAATAATAGACTAGAAATAGGAAGATATTATAAACGCAGAGATTTCAGCAGAAAAGGGAAATGCAGAACGGGGAACAGCATTATTATTATTTCAAGACCTTGCTGGGTAATCACTCTCATCCTTCCCATCACATCCCGTGGAGATCATGGAGTTAACGATTCCGTGCATAATTCGATGGTAGGGGATGCCGGTCTCGAAGATCAAAGACAATCTCATGCATTCTCTTTAACCGAAAAGGAAGATTATGGAACCCTTGCTGAAAACACCCGAATCGACAGGAATCATCTATGTCACGATATTTCGATTCCCTCTCTCGATCAACTTCCCCCGGAACAGATTGACGGGAGACACGCGACAGAACGCCGTCCTCAATTGCTCACTTCCGACCACGGGCCGTGCAAGTCGTGGCGACTCTCCCGAGTCCTTGCGCTTGTCATGACCCCGAGCAATGTTCGCTGTGACGATCGAACAGCCCGGCGGACGCTATGGAGAGCTGGAACAGAGAAGAGAAGAAAAAACCCACAAGGTTATGAAGACAACGCCTCCCTAGGAAATAAAAAAAGAAGTCTGCAAAAGAAGAAAAGTCGACCAACTGCATAGCCAGATAGTTCCCATCAAGCCCCATGTGCCCGTAGTTGAACATCATCAACACTCACATTCAGGCACAGTTGAACACGCCAACGGAGGGATCCCTCTGAGCGGAAAAAAAAAGCAACCAAATATTCGAGACGCTGATCCGTTGATATAGTCTCCGCATGAAACAGACCTTTTGCGAAGGGGACAAAAACTAATTTACAGGATGGTGCACTTGCCCTTCTTCTTGTGAGTCTTGGTCAAGAGGGCAGCCCGGGTGGCGGCTTCAAAGACCTCGCGAACACCTTCATTGGTCCGTGCAGAGCACTCGAGGTACTTGTAAGCTCCGATCTTCTTGCGAACTTCCTCACCCTATAACGAAGAGGTCAGTGATCACTGGACCAATGAAATCCTTTGACATGTTACATACCTGCTCGGGGGTGACAGGCTTTTGGGAAGTCTTGGTCAACTCCTCAATAGTCTTGGGGTCATGGCGAAGATCCTTCTTGCAACCAACAAGGATGATGGGAAGGCCCTGGCAGAAGTGCAGGACTTCGGAAATCCACTATCGATGCTGTCAGCCCATCTGTTTCCTTCCATGATGGGATTTTTCCCCTGAGCCAGTTCTCTGGCAGAGGGTCACATATGGGGTATTCACCTTCTCCTGGACGTTGTCAAGAGAATCGGGGGAGTCGATAGCGAAGCAAATCAAGATGACGTGAGAGTCGGGGTACGAGAGAGGGCGGAGACGATCATAATCTTCCTGGCCAGCAGTATCCCAAAGAGCGAGTTCAACGTGCTTGCCATCAACCTCGACATCGGCGACATAGTTCTCGAAAACAGTGGGGACGTAGACCTGGAGGGAAGAAAAGTATTGAGGTCAGCGGAGAAGAATACTCCAACTTGCAGACAGCGCAGGGCCTTGGATTAAGGCATCACAGTATCAATGGTGTGATGGAAAGCGGATGGCATCAATGGGAGAAGCTAACCTCAGGGAATGTGCCCTTGGAGAAGACACTACCGAAGAGAACTACGGTTAGTCATATTCATCAAGAAAGAGGTTGAAACTTGTTGATCATCATCATAATCATCATTAAAGGGAATGCGAGACTTACATCAGAAGACAAGTCTTACCACAGGCACCATCGCCCACGATGACAAGCTTGCGGCGGATCTCGGCCATCTTGAAAGAAGGATCAGCAGATAGTTGGAGAAAAGGTTGAGAAAAAAGATGAGCCTCAGGGCGAACAATCCAGCGAATATAAGTAGGTTGATGAGGAGTAGCAGCAAAGACGGAAGACGGGCAGTTGGAGTAAATAGGTGATGGATTGGTGGAGGGAGGTTGAGTGTAGAGAAAGGGACAAGTCAGGCGCCCGGGGTGCAAAAAGGGTTATCACATACGGTACAGGGAGCAACAAGCGCAACGGCGCGGAGTACTAAAGGACAATGAGGGAAGAAAAAGGGTAGCAAAGGGTTAGTCTTTTTGAATGAAGCTACAAAATTCAAGAAGCTTTAGAAAAGACTGAGATAGAGGTGATGATGGTGGTTGATGATAAATAATAACAACGGGAGTTGTTCGAGTTTCAATAATATTGATGATGGATGGGAAAGAGAGGTTTACCTTTCAGTTATCAGTGCTGGCCCCCAGCACTCATTTCGTCCGGGTGATTGTTTCTTTTTCCCCCGTTCAATCTGTCTTTCAGGTGACGGCCTGAGGCTCCCGCTCCTCCCTCTCCCGCCCAATCATAATCCTTTGCTCGGTTAATGACTAAGCCACTGCGGTCGGGGACCGTGAAATAGACTGGTAATTTACGTACCAGCCCCATCCATGGATTAATGGATACCTACTGATGTATGTGGCTGTGTCCTATTTGTATTTCTTCTTTTCCTGATTTTGCAATTTATTTATTTACAACACCTATCTGCAACTGCAACATGTGCAGTCTGATCTACCTGCAGGGTGATTTCTCAACACTACTAGATAGAGATGATGACAATGAATTCATTCTCTGATAAGGTTGATTTTAAGAGGAAAGCAGAAGTTGTGTGCTTATTATCTTTCAGATTTCTTTGACTGTTGCCTTGTCTGATTGTCTTCTTCAGCCTCTACCTAGACTAGGTATTGAAGCCACCGTGGCTGAAGGTCGGTAGGTAGGGACCTACTTAGTATGCTAACCTGCTCCACTTGGTTACAGCACAATACCGAATACCTATGGAGGTCTTCACCTTAAAATAGGTAGATAGAGTGAGTCTCAGACATTCAATTTGTCTATCACCTGCCCACAGGAAGACCAGGGGAAGACTCAAATATATCATCGAATTAGCTACGTCTGCACACATTCCAGGTGATGATAGTTTGACTGGTAGTTACATCACCTGATAAATCCCAGTGTAAGAGACACTGTTTTTTCACCACTCCTTTTGTACTAAGTAAAGTGAGTATGGAGCATGAGTACGGAGTACGGAGTACCTAAAGTACCTTAGGTAGGTAGGTACTCCACATACTGGCCAACAGAGGATTGGTTGGGGATACTCTAATTTCTTAGAAACTGCATGGATAGATTTTGATAAATACGGATTATGCATGGTTACTCCTGAATCTCACCTCCAGACTCATCGTCAACTGCTTTTGTTGTGCCCAGTATATACTTGGTCTGGCATCGCCAGTAGGGATACGGTAAAGTACATGCTGGAGTAACGCAACGCAGGGCCCACGGATCTATTACAAAATACCCCTGTAGGTACTCAGTCTCTACCTACTCTGTATCTAGGCCGTAGATCTAAGTCGTGCTGAGTGCTCCGTATCTCAAGTATGCAGCAGCCTGGACTCCTCGCTTAGACCATGTATATGAGTACGGAGTACTCTGGACCTACTCTAAAGCTGTAGTTTATACATGCTCATGGAAGTCTCCTTTATTCGGCATGTGGGATTTTCCAGGATGATAATTTTGACTGTCTGTGTTACTGACTGCTACTTGAGTCTCTGATGTTCCAGACCTCGATAACTTCCTGTAACTAGGCTTACTCCAGCTACGAGATCCAATATAACACTGATCGACATTACTACAGCTGTTGAGACGAGCTTGAATGTACTCCGTACACCCCCAACTCCCAAGGCTCAAGATTAGAAAGTCGCCGTGATTGTCCTCACTTGAACGATCGCGTTGATCCTATCCTGTCCAGTCTCGGATATGACGGATAGATTCACGCACTGTTTTGTCCTTGATCCCTAATCTTCAACATGATGGCCTGTGGTAGACATCCTGAATACGGATGGAGGTATGGATGGGTATCGTCCCAAAATTACGGACCTCTGGCAGATCACCTACAGAGTAGGTACTCCGTAATGTCAATATAAATACGTGGCGGTGCAAAGATTCCACCATAGCCCCCTATATCCAGTAGTCTGCGAAGTAGTCTTCGATCTCAAACGTCATCACTAAAATTGATTTTCCCCTTTAATCAGCGTGTTCGGGTAGAAATAACTATCTATCCGGATGACAAGATCTGTGGTGTATGTCTTCCCCATCGAGACGTACAAAACAAAGACACAATACCGAGGCAACCCAGTCACCTCGCAGTTCGCACAGCCACAGATGAAGAGAACGAACAAACGTCGGCAGGAGATCCTGCATAATTCACCATCTCTCCCGAGTTTTGATAGGAGATGACGGTGTACAGCTAGCAGCACTACTATCTCGGAGCAGCAGCACTGGCACAGCCTAGACCAAAGCACGACCACTACATGCCCCATTGATTTGCTGGGCTGAAAACACCACTGCAGTGGCGGTCACGCTTTAAATCGAAAGAGGATGCATTCCACGTCAGTCTCAGGGCCGGTCTAATATCCATCCTTTCCCCTCTCTCTATCGGCATATCTACGGGCACACGCCTATGCAATCTAGCATGATTCCACATTCTTCATTGTCCTCTGGCTGCTCCTAATATATGCCTTCTCCAAAAAGAGAAAAGTGAAACTGAAGACCTACAATGTATATTGTTGATCACGCATCGCTGATACGCGTTGACCATCAATCACAATGGCGTCTGCCGCGTCCAACATTCACCTCTTGTTGCTCGAGGCATGCCCAGCCCAAGGACAGCCTGTGGCAGATCCACACCAATGCACCTCAAGCCCTATCGGTGCGGGAGGATGACACCTCTGATTGGAAAGGACGCAGCCCCGATGCAAGGGTTTCAGCTCTGGGTGATAAGTCGTGGTCTTCCCAACTCATGGAGATGTACAACTTGAGACTTGTCTGGCACTCGATGATTGATTCGCTGACTGCTACCCCGTACAGTAGCTGAGTCTGGGGCGTTGATGCTGAAACAGTTTGATGATTGCCTTATAGAGCTCGTGGAAGACTTTCCTCCTATTAATTCGGACCAAGGTGGTTCGTTAGAACCATATATGATTTGCCACTTGCGATGGCATGATATGGTGTGATTTGTGAGAATACTCCTGCAGTAAACTGTTGGCATATCTATGATAATCGAGCTTATGAGCGGGCATCTTCGTAAGGTAAAACAAATGCCGATCAGAGATCCTCCCCGATTCTGGTTGTAATCTATCAACTCCATATGATTCAGAGCCAAGGTTGAGATTGAGTAGCTTGTTCTGATGTATAGATGATTGGATGTTGGGGGTAGGGTAGAAGGGTCTTTCAATGTTTATATGACCAAAATCTACGAGTTAGCAGATCGCAGGATGTTATTATTCGTAACTCCAGGAAAATGAGGGAAGCATCCAGGATGAGTCCCGGTGATATATATATCATGGCGACTGAGGGCATGGTGTATGGTTAAGCAGTCAAGGAAACAGCAAAATAAGACTGGGCGAAGAAATCTAGTGGCTTCACCGAGCTCAATCACCGAAGAGCCATACAATTTAGAAAAAGCATTACAATTGAAGTCTTGGAGATATAACCAGATACGGAACTGTTGATGGTTTTTGGAAAGTAGACTACTTGACACATCCTATTATTGGCTCCCGCGAACTCCGACAGTTACAAGTCACGTGAAGCCCAAAGGCCGCAATTTTCCCTCCCGAGCCATATCTCAAGGAACAGTTGATGATCCACATTCGGCCATTGCTAGGACAGCGCCAGCCAGAATGCAGAAAATCATCCGAAGGACAGCCCTGGCGAGGAACCAGTCTCAGCGAAAGGCAATCCGAGCCGCCAAGGATGCTGAGCGCGAGGAATTCAGGGACGCGCTGAGGCAGCGGTTCGCTTTTAACCGCATCGAAATCGACAATATTCGTGCCGAGAGACAACGACGCCGTGAAGACTGGATGCGAGGACCTCTCGCTCCCAAGCGTGATGGAGGTCTCGAGGGAAAGACATTTGGTGCCTTAAGCCCACAGGCTATGAACCCTCCGGTCATCCCTAAGCATTTGCGCAGAAAGTACGTCAACATCGCTGCTGGAGACCGGGTGTGTATCATGAAGGGCAAGGACAGGGGCAAGATCGGCGAGGTTATTCGGGTGGATCCTAACAATGAGACTGTCCTGGTCAAAGACCTGAACATGGTACGTTCACGACGATTGCCTACAGCGAGCCTCGCGGCTGTTTTACTAAATATTCGATTCTCCGCAGGCCGATGTGCACTTCCCCGAATGGCTGAACCAGCAGTACGGAAACAAGTCGCCTTTCAACTCGATAAATCTGCCCATCTCACTCGACGACGTCCAACTTGTCGTTGCTCTCGATGACCCAACGACAGGCGTCACGCGGGACGTCTTGGTCAAGCATGTTTACGGAGGGGAGCCTGTCCTTGAGAGACCCTACGGCACAGACACCCCGAAACACACCAGATATATTGCTGGCGAGAACATCGAGATTCCATGGCCCCGCAGTGAACCCGCCGCATTGAAAGATGAAGACTGGGACACGCTTCGTTTGGAGGTCGAGACGCCGACATGGATTCCTTCGCTACACACCTCGCCATTCCCTCCCAGTGTTCTTGACGAGCTCCGCAACCCCTTTTCCAAGTACCGGACAAGGCACGACTCAGAATGGGTTGAGTCGAAGAAACTGGAGGATTATAGAAAGGAATATCTTCAAAGCAGGTCTTTGATGACACCCAAGGGTGAACTCGTCGCCATGTTGAGGGCTAAGAAGGCCGAGCGGATGGGTGCCCGACGAGATGCTGACGGCAACTTCATCATGGACGACCAGACGGCTGGGTTCATTGAGAACTTCATGAAGCAGAATGCTTCCAAGAAGGCATCCTCTTCTGCTTGAATTTCATCCGGGTGTTTTAATCGGGGAACTGTATCCAACTGCCTTCGTGTGATTTATATGCGTGTATACAACTGTACTGTAGCATAAAGCAATGAGACCAATTTGAAAATGGGAAGTACTATTGTCTGACGTAGAAGGCCATGTCCACAATGCGAAGGAGCGAGACAAGGTTTATTTTTTCGCCCTTCATGAGGGCCAATGTCGCAGAGCGAAATATTGAATTGTCAATCTCCAAGCAACTTGCCGCCAGGGGAGTTCCGCAAGTCCTTTATCCCATCCCATCAATCCCGCCATCCAAATTTGTCTCTCCCCGTCTTCCTTTTTCACCGTCTCATACCACCTTACGCCCCGTCGTTCCTGGATATTCGTTTTTCTTCTCGGGGCAGTAGTCTTTCTACTAATACATCATGGTCTTCGCTACCATCAACCGATCTGCCACAAAAACCGTCCCGGCCACCATCCCTGCAATCGAAGAAGCCTTCGCCGCCGAGCCCTCTTTGAAGAAACGAGTCTACGATGCGATAGGTATCTAACGCGCACACTCACTTGCAGTCCTTTCTCAATCCTGGCCACACGAATGACAATAGTTGGAATCGCCGGCTAACCCTTTCCCTTCTTTATAGAGAATACCCCGCAATATGTACCGCTTTTTGAGGACATCGCCCGATATACCTCCAGCCTGCTGGCCAGGCCGACCAACCCGCCTGCTCAGCCCGCAGAGGCAAGCGAAGGCCCTGCCGCGAAGAAACGAAAGCTCCAGAATGGCACCGCTGCGGCGAATGCCCAATCGCCCGCTGACGTGAAGGCCGAGACGTCACTACAATTCTATATGCAAGATGTTTCGTTTGCTATGCCGCAGCGGAAAAAGCTCACGCTCGAGATAACCGCCGGGCGCGGTTTCCTTCGCGCGAGGAACCAGACATCCAAGGAAGTGGAGTTTGGTGTCCCAATGGATAGGATACGTGAGTCTCGAGAAGAGTCTGGAGGGGCAATCTTTGGGGTCGCTAGAGTTATGCTAACGGTGCGGGTGGTTTTCAATAGGACATGTCTTGTGTCTCCCTGTTCCGGAGAAAGCCCAACGACAATTCAACTTTTGTGTCATTCCACAATACAGTGACGGTATCAATCCGCCTACGGAAGGCGAGGAAGTGTTTGAATCGATGGTATGGACTATCTCCGACGGGCCGGCTAAGGCTGCATTTTCGGGGACCGGGCAGCAGATTGGGAACAAAGAGGGAGAGACGGCTGAGAGCCTGGTGCGACGGATATTGAATGAGAATTTGTCGCATATAAAGGTGGTTCGTCCAGACGAGAGGGAGTTTGTCAGCGCTATGCCGGAGGCGCATCGAAAGGGAGAGAAGGCATATCACGTCAAGGCCTTCCGTGGCAGCAAGGAGGGTATGGATCTGTGAACCAAGACCCGGCTCTCACGCAGGAAGCTGATAAACGGACTTTAGGCTACCTTTTCTTCCTGTCTACAGGAGTTTTCTTCGGCTTCAAGAAGCCTCTGGTATTTTTCGCTTTCGAGAACATTGTCTCGATCTCATACACATCTGTGCTCCAGCGCACCTTCAATCTCAACATCGCCGTCAGATCTCACAACGGCGCTGAGGATGAGACACAGGAGTTCGAGCTATCCATGATTGACCAGGCAGATTATGCCGGGATCGATGCATACATTAAGAAGCACGGTCTACAAGACGCGAGTCTCGCGGAAGCGCGACGCGCTAAGCGCTACAATATCAATGGCGCGAAAGCGGAGGAAGATACTACTAATAATGCGGAGGGCGCTGCTGCCGAGGAAGAAAGCGAGCTGCAGAAAGCGCAGCGGGAGCTCGAGGATCAAGAGGATGAGGATGAAGAAGATTATGATCCTGGTAGTGATGGCGAGAGCGAAGGTAGTGGTTCGAGCAGCGAAGACGACGACGAGGACGACGAGGACGATGAAGAGGACGACGACAACGAAGGAGATGAAGATCTTGTGGCAGCTGAGCTTGGAAGTGAGGCTGAAGACGTGCCACAGGACGAACTGTGATGGCCCCTGTCGGCGATATATGTGCTGTCTACGTAGTATATTATTCCCATGTAAATTGGTTTGCAAGCGAACTACGATCTGCACCGCTCCAATTGATATATACTCCGTCTGGAGCGCGATTCTTCGCGCGTATCGCCTGGAAAGATCTGCCCCTTTTTGCACGCCCAGTCGCCCACACACCCGCACGTCGAGACCGAATGCATGGATTGTGATATTTGACGGTTACGATACATCTTGCATTATCAACGCGTGCCTTACCTCATGCATGTACCCAACCCATCCAAGTAGGTACATAGTACTCCATACATACATCCAATAAGACATCGAAAAACCAGCTCAAAACGAAAGGAATACCGTACCTACAGGAGGGTAAGGTTTTGTGGTACCTACAGGTTGATACTAGATAGAGATACAATCTCGAGCGGTTATATCCATTCCTGGAGCCAGCAAAATTCCACTAAATTACCATTCCGCGTTTCAAGCCTGCATTGGCTGATAACTTTGAATAACCAACAACGAAAAGAAAAACAGACCAGGATAGGTGAGGTTATAATGGCATCATACCAGTGGGTCGAGGGACGTGTCAGATCCTGCTTGCCGCTCATCGCCAGATGGATTGAGCAGTGGAAAGCAATCCCTGGTCCCTGTTGGCTGTGCCAGGTAGAGATACCAGGGGTATCGACGGGACTGACGACTGGCGATAGTCTCGGTTTATTCTATCTAAATTTGGATCGATGAGTGCTACTGCTGGCCTGCTATTGTTCAGTAGATATTGAATGTCTATCTGATTCAGTTGGTATATTTGAGGCTCTCCTATTATTCTCGAAGGTCCTGGTCTATTACTCCGTAAGGATTAGATAACTTACCCCTGCTCAGGCACAATTCGTAGATAATAGGTAATTTTTATACAGGTCGATATTGTTATTATTGTATCAGGGGCTAGATACATAGTCGATATCCTGTATCACCAACTATTCGGGCCTGACCGCGGCAAATAATGCCAACTCAGACCCAACAAGATTTTCCATTGTCCGCTGAGCTGGCGCCGTTGTCGCCACGGGACAAAGAATCGCGATACTCTGGCGGTTACTCTGTGGCCTATCTTGATAGATAGATACCTGGTGATCTAATTGAAGGGTTCAAAATGCAGACCCTCTTCTTTCTCAACCTCGAGGCTATCGATCTCGCATCGTTCCAACTGTCATGGATCTAGGAATTCCAGATTCGTACTGATTTACCTGACCGGCCGAGTGACATCAAATTACTTAGGGATACCTTACCATACTGCTGAAACATGTTGAAATACCTACCATGTGACATTCCGCAGCACAAGCGAGTGTCTGCAGGGACTGGACTTGGTGGTAATGAGAACTGAGGAAAAAAAAATATGAGAGTAACCACAGTAACAAAAGACTCTCTTTTTTTTTTTTTTTTTTTTTTTCTTTTTTCCCTTTATTCACACACCCCTCTTGAATAGAGTATTTCAAATCGATCTCTCCTTACCGTTCTCTGTATACAATTCTGCGACCAGGAGAAGAGGATCTCGTGGATGGGGGTGTTCTGGATGGTTTCCTCTTATGTACTCAACTTTCTCAAGTCTGGGTATCCATCCCGGAGGAGTCCCGTACTACTATCGACAAGCTCGGAGCTCTAAGCTCGCTGGCTATCAGACTAGTCGACTTAGTTATTTCCGGTCTATCGCTAGAGGAGTTGAGAACCGATTCCGTCTGGCTAGAATAGGCTGAATAGCGTCCAGTTACCCACTCCAACAGGTTCGCTAATTTAATAGTAGCGCCTGCTAAAAAGTTATCTAGCGATCCCTGAGCCACAGTTGAGTGCGAGTCCAAGCCCAAATGAATAATACGCATGGGAAACAGCCCATACCTAGGTATTTATCCTACCTACTGAATAAATACTACCTAGGTCATCCATATCTACCTACTCCGTACTCCTAAGAGTGTCAGGTTACCAATCTTGTTTTTGTTCCGGCTCACTCATGAATTCGCCCACCCCTTCTTCGATGATTATCTTTTCACTTTCTCGCCCCTAACAACGAAGCATTGAGGTCTCAGACCTAGGTTGCAGCTAGTAGATAGTACTTTGTTTAGTAATATGATTACATCCTTACAGTCCGACATAAATGTACCTATCTCTTCCATTTGGCTCATACCTAGCAATTGGTTCATGGGTGTCCCTGAGCGTGACCACTCAGTTACCGTTATATTACTGTAAGCTTACTGGCCGGTACATGGGGCGGTATCTAAGAGCCTAAGGCATACCTGGGCTAAACTCTCTCTAAGAGTACTCACGTCGCTCGCTCTATCTAAGAACTCACCCAAGAGAGAGTGTCAGTCTAGTCTAACTCGTAGTAGTCTTTCTTCCTCACGGGGTCTGTCCTCTCCAAGTCCCAACTCCCAAGTCCCCAAGAACCCAAGTCCATCTCATCTGGCTGGCTCTTCCTCCCTCTCTCTCCGCCTCATTTCCCTCCCTTCATCTCTTCTTACCTCCTCACCCCCGGTAGTCTAATTCCGTACTGCACTTCTGACTGGTGTATGTTGAGACTTTGAGAGTGGCGCCCCCCGTTCTATCCACTCATCATTCTGCATCTCGCTCCATTTCCTCCTCTCTTTTCTGTTCAACTCTCTTTCTTCCTTCTCCTCTCCTTCCCCTTCACCTGTTGAGTCCGCCCTATCTCCTCCTGTTCTCCAATTCTCCCTATCAACCACTGCTCAGTGCGGCTTATCGTGCTGCCACGCAGTTGGTTAGTTGGTCATTGGGAGTTGCCCTCTTAATTCCTCTTCCCTTTTTTTTATTCTTTTTTTTTTTATTCTTTGTTGGTTGTTACTCTGCATGTTCACGTCGTCCGCCCGACACTTCCATTGACAGCGCGCACTCCCCTGCTGTCCGCGGAGTAACTCGCTCTCAACGATTCCTCGCTCTGGACGCAAAAACCCCTTACGCAACCAACAATTTCTTCGATTATCCTCATCATCGTCGTGATATCCTTTCCAGCAGCTCTTGGCTTGTTGTCGACTGTCGATACTCCCGCTTTGTTCTCGGACTCGGTTCAACCGCATATCGGTCCCATTGATGAATAGTCTAGCTCGGAAGGAAGAATATCAATAATCTCCTTTGGGTTTGCTACTTCGGATTCCTGTAAGTCGTTATCACCACCTGAGGCTCTCATCTTGTGCCATATTGCACCTTCCTCGGTGTTTATTCCTTTCTCGTTTCGACTGAGCTGACGGTTTTCGATCATATGCAGTTCCTCTCACCACGTGATAAGTCAGTGAACAGGTCCCTCAATCTCAACATCCTGCCGAAGTCAAACGATACGCTCTCCTCGTCTTCTCGCAAATATGGCATCCTCTTCCTCCAACGTCGTGGGGGTTCATTACAGAGTGGGAAAGAAGATTGGCGAAGGATCTTTCGGCGTCATCTTCGAGGGTACGAACCTCTTGAACAACCAGCAAGTGGCTATCAAATTTGTACGTTCTGCCTTGGTGGAAAAAGGCCAACACATGCTCGAGTGCTTAATCGTGCTGACTTGTTCCAGGAACCACGCAAGAGTGATGCACCTCAATTGCGCGATGAATACCGGACATATAAGATCTTGGTCGGATGCCGTAAGCCCTTCCTGACATCTTTCTGGACCAAGCAACACTATCTGACTCGAACCACAGCTGGCATCCCCAATGTCTATTACTTTGGCCAGGAAGGATTGCACAACATCCTGGTCATTGACCTCCTCGGTCCGAGTCTTGAGGATCTTTTCGACCATTGCAACCGCCGATTCACCGTCAAGACTGTAGTGATGGTCGCTAAGCAGATGGTGTGTGCTGTATTGCTTTTTCCTCTTAGGAGCTGCGATCTAACCATGTTGTAGCTTTCCCGCGTTCAAACAATCCACGAAAAGAACCTGATCTATCGCGATATCAAACCCGATAACTTCCTCATCGGTCGTCCAGGCACCAAGGCTGCCAACGTCATCCACGTCGTCGACTTCGGCATGGCTAAGCAATACCGGGACCCTAAGACAAAGCAGCACATCCCCTATCGTGAACGGAAATCGCTGTCTGGTACAGCGCGTTACATGAGTATCAACACCCATCTGGGACGGGAACAATCACGACGGGATGATTTGGAAGCTCTTGGTCACGTCTTTCTTTACTTTTTACGCGGTGGTCTTCCCTGGCAGGGACTCAAGGCGGCCACGAACAAGCAAAAATACGAAAAGATTGGAGAGAAAAAGCAGACTACTGCGATTAAGGATCTGTGCGATGGCTATCCAGGTAATTTCTTTCTGGCCGACAGGCTCCTTGCTGTCGTTTTTGATAAACTAACGCATTCGGATTTGCAGAGGAATTTAACAAATATCTTACCTACGTCCGCAATCTCGGTTTTGAAGATACGCCTGATTACGATTACCTGAGGGATCTGTTTACCCAAGCTCTCAAGAACGCTGGCGAAGTCGAGGATGGCGAGTACGACTGGATGAAATTGAACGGCGGCAGGGGCTGGGAATACAAGTCGTACTCGTCTCAACAACATTTGCAACACAACGCTCTGCCCAATTCGTCCGCTCGTGAGCTTCACTCACAACAGCTTCGCGGCAGCCAGAGACCTGGTGTTACCGCAGACCGTTTAAACGCCGCGCAGCCCCCACCACCGTCTCCTGCCAAACCCGGAGCTGGAAAGTCGCGCGATCGACCAAGCGCCTCCGGTGGGATGCCCCCGAAACGCCAGAGCGGGGGTCTCGACGCAACGACACCAGCAGCGTCGACTCAAGCGCAATTCCAGAACTCGAACGCGAACCTCTCAGGCCGCATGGGGAGTCCCGCCAATCCTACAAAGAGTAGCCAACAAGGCCAGGGAATTCAGAGCAACAATGACCCGCAGCCAACTTTCGTTCAGAAATTGATGAAAGCGCTGTGCTGCGGTAGGTGATGAAAAAGTCCGTTGACTCCCCATGTCATACCTTCCTGCTTATTAAACCTTTCCAGGTTGACGCGAGGTTCGCCGACAGTGTGACTGTAATGCTACATTGGGTTGTTGAGGTCATGTATGGCTATTCAACCCCACTTTTCTCTTTCTATCACAATTCTTGGGGGAGGGCTTGGAGGGAAGCATGCTATAAATGATTCCTGTTCTATCTTCCACAGGGACTCTTGCATCTTTCTGAATCCACTGGCCGGCTTTGCAATGGCTGCTGGCAGATGAGTTCACTACAGCTTAGGGGGGTTTCACGCTTTTATTTCACCCTTTCTCTTCTGTCATCATTGGGTTTTTAGTCCTGGATCCGGGACCTCCAGCCCTCCTACACTCGCTATATCTTCCATCCGATGACATGGGTCCTCGAGTCTCGAGTTTCACCCGCTTGTTGGGGAAAGGTGCTGCTCGCTCCCTCGTCCCGCATCCTTCGTCATCTCCATCCCCCCATCATCATAGTCATCGTTCATTTTATGGTGCCACGGCTCGGAACGGCGAACTTTTGAGAATTAGTCATTGTCTTTTGCGTCTGTTTTTCTCCAAGGTTTTTTTTCACTGCGCATCTCTGGCGTGAGCTATTTAATATTAGATCTTTATTTCCGTCTTGTTTGCTGTTGCAGTTTTGCATGATCGCTACCCTCTGACTCGGTCTGTGGCTTCATAAACGCCTCTCTTCAGATTGCGTTCCCCCCTGCCACGATGTCTCGTGGTGAGCCTTTCGGTGGGGAATGCGCTGACAAGGGAACACAAGACGATGGCGTTTCTGGCTTGAGCGAAAAGAGTCTTCTGGTCTGGACCAGGAAAGCGAATCGATCTTAGCATATAAATGTTTGAATATGTCTCAACATGGGGGTACGCCCTTGGTCAGATGGCGTTCGTCTTGCAACAGCGGCCCGTGGCTGTCTTTTTCTGTCTTGTTCGTCCTCTGTTTCCCTCCGCCAAAGTCTCCAGGGGAGTCAAACTGAATGTGATCTTGTACCCTGACTTGTCCTTTTGTGCCGTCTCCCCATGTTCAAGAGGATTCTTCTCCTATCAAACTTGTCCTTGTGCCTCCCCGCCGTCTGTTGTTTCTTATGGTCATGTCCCGGTTTCCAATTTCCATATCACTCGCGAGGAGGGACAGAGATGATACGAGGAGACCTGTATTCCCATATATGCTTGTGTCTTATAATCCCGCGTCTTGTCTTGTTTTGAGTGTTTATCTTGTTGCGCCCTGTATCGATGTCTCTGAGCAGCAGTCTGGTCCTGTGAACATAGCCTCCGTTTCTCTGTTTCTCCTTTTTCTTCTCTTGTTTTCTTCTTGTTGTATCTGTTCTTCCTGGCCGTCTTTTATTTCCCACGGTATGCAAAGTCTTCTTCCATTCATGCGTGAGCTGGTGAGAGCGTGTCGGTGTAGAGTAATTCCATACCCAACTTCGCTGAATATCTATCTCGTCCTATGCCTGAGTACTCAATTAATCTCTAACCCGAGATAATATGCATCTATGCACCCCACCATGTACCTCGCTCCCTTCGGTAGATAAAGAAAGTGGTGTATATGCTGCAAAGCGTAGCACCACCTAATCACAACTCTGTAAAGCCCTGGGTGAGGATAGAACCAAATCGCTCTAGCAAGGAACCAAACAGAGTAGAGTCAAGAGCATACATGCTAGTCCTCCATTTTCTACGGGCTTCGTTGGCTGGCCGTCGGTAGGCCTCGCAGCAACAACCCCAACTTACAAGGTCTTAAATACCACTTGCACTGAACTGGACTGCACTGGACTGCACTGGACTGCAGCTTGCAGTGGTAGTTGCAGTATCTACTGGACCACACCACGAGTTATATCCCCTCAAACGCCTTGGCTGCGCATCTCGCCAATAGGAATCCTTCCCAGTGCAGACGGCCATAAATGATTGCTACCTACCTACCTACATAACCTAACCTAACCTAGTTGTCCATTCATCTCTATTTATCTCTATTCGACGCATGCATGCATGGCATGCAATGCTACGTGCCAAGTACAGCGCGCAGAACCATCCGAGGTCCCCCGGCTTTCCTTATTGGGAGCTGGGGGAATCGGATCGAAAGTGCAGCGTGTAGCGTGCAGTGTTCTGGCCTCGGGATGAAGGTGATGAAGGTGCCCCTGGAGCCACGTTGGAATTACCCTGCGAGTAGGTATAGCCCGTGTTCCAGATAGCACCATACTATGTAGTCATATAGAGGGTTTATTATGGATTGTGTGGTGTTCGACTGGGGGTTGGTGCTATTCCGTCTCCGCGACGGAAACGATGGCGTGCAGCGATCGACGCAGCGAATCCCTGCGCCGCGGATTGTGATTGGTGAATGAGAGGGGCACTTGGATGGTATGATGGTCGCTGGAGCCAAGTCGCTGCCGCGGCGTCGATGGAAGGGGAGAACTATGGCGTATCGACCCAAGATTGTTGAAGACTGCAGAGCGCTGAGCGTTGATGGTACTCCATCCTCCTCCCTCAGCGGCTCGACTAGAGCGAGCAGTGGAATTTGGCTATCTGCAATCTGCATAGGGGGACTGGACTAGAGCATGGGTGCGTGAGACTGACGAAGACTGAGACGGATGGTCTGATACTGCCTGACTCGCTCCCCGCTCCCCGCTCCACAGGGACGATGTCATCGTTCTTCGTTCTGCAGTGCTTCTTTTTTCCTTTTCCCATGGGTGTTTGAGATAAATGGGATGACGTGAACGTGCTAGGAGGAGGGAGATAGCTTCCGCTCGGCTCAAGGCTCGAGCCTTAGCCATTTTAGAGCTAGCCATTAGCGCTTCGCCCGTACTGTGTAGGTCCTCACAGCTCGGTCTGGGCTCGGTGGGCTCCGGGTGAACTACTGCTGGGAACTGGGTGCGAGTGTAACCCTGAGCTGTCATGGTTCAGGTTAGGTTCCATCTCTAGGGATAAAACCAGAGCAATCAGCAGAGGGCGGCAAATGGCCTGGATGTCTGATTATGATAAATAGTGGTAGTTAGTCAATAATCACCAATCCTGATATTAAGAGCAGAGGTGGATAGGCGCAGTAGTGAAATATCAGGTCTTCCCGCCAGCTGGATCCAAGCTCATTGCAGATGTCCGAATCAGGATGGGACAACTGAGACTTCGAGAAAAAATGTCAAGGTCCACGAGTGCGAAACAATGGCTTGTCCTCGGATGGCTCCGCATCACTCAAGATGCACCAGACAAAGCCAATTGTATTGTTGATCGAGATTGGATCGCTTGGGAATTCTCGCACCCGTATCCGTTCAATCGAGGGAAACAGAAAAGTCTCAGATGGAAAGCAGTTTCACCGGGAGAAACCCAGCTGATGACGTCGTGATAGAAGTGCATCCCACCGTCCGTCTGTTCACCATATGCCAGATCTGGTGTAGCGATTAGCGAGCGAGCCGTCTTCCGTGCCCTGCAGGAGCAAGCGCACGTAGAACGCGGCAGCGTTCGCACCCAATCTCTCGTGAGATAGAACCGTAACCATATGCAATGAAGTCATTGCCCTGGGGATCGTCCCGTGTTTGTTTTAATTTCGCTGCGTTCTCGCGGGAGTTGGTGTGGATTCTATTTCCTTGTTTTTCGAGGATTCTGACATCTCCACCGAAAGAATCTAGAACGGATCAACATGGTGGAATTATGGATTGAGTTGTCTTTGATTGAACTGGTTAGAGGGGACTTGTTAGCAATGATCATCCCGAAGAGCTTTCATACACAGTGTACATGTTGGATTGTGCCTGTTTCGCTGTCCTGCAGCAGCCAGAAGGACGATGCAGCGTCTGTGTCTTCGGTGAATTGTGTCACGAGCCAGGATCAGACCATTGCGCCGAACGTCAATCGCTATGCTCCGTAGAGCCAGGAGGGTTAAGTCTGAGAATTGCAATATTGCACTTGCATACTCCAATTCTGCAATCCATAGATACGCGAGAACGCTAGGTAGACTGTTGGATTTGCCGACAAGGGACGAATGGTGGATCTTAAAACCGCACTTCGATCCACCCTGCAAGATTGAACTCTCAACTTACACTAAGACTGCTAAAGCGTAGGTGCCTCCGTAGACTGTACCCAGTATAGGTCCATACTCCGGAGTCCGTACTTCGTCGCAACTCCATCGCGCAAGGTAGATTATAGACACTACTAAATAGTCAGCAGTAGTAATCTGGTGTGGCTCCAAACAGACCAACCAACACACCAACGAATGACAACAGACTAATGCCTGACTCGGTCCTCGGAAGCAACTTCCTAAGGTACTTACTTGTTACTTCCCTCCATCTCTATCTTCGCATTGTTGGGCCGGCGCACATTAGGAACTGCGGAGCACCGCAAGTTTGCATTAGTTTTCTGATCACTTGACGGATCATGGTTCAGGAACGGGGGTCCGAGTCGATCCAAGATGTTCTGGTTCAAATCTTCGAGGTCTCGGAGTCTTGGCTCCCTTTTTCTTTGCAAATGGGCTAATTCGACTCCGCTGTACGGGTCTATGGTCTAGATAGATATGACCGATGCTATCCCTCGACTGGTGTCAACGTGGCGGTGACCCCACGACACGTGGATGGGATGTACATGAGTTTTTTTTTCTCTCTTCTGGTCAGCGAGCAAAGAAGAGACTTTTTTTTTGCCCTGTGCAGGGCGAGCTGTGCAGAGTAAGAAAAGTAAGCTCCGGGTTCTGCTATACTCCCGTCGTCTGGGCCGATGATTGGACCCGTGGGAGAACTTTCCTGTCGGGACAAGAAAAGGATCAGACGTGTCCGACTCGGAGATCCAAGCAGTCTACCTCGCTTCGTATGACCTCTCGTTTTTGGATAGCTCAGTTTACCGTGGAGGGGAGGATGTTGAGAACTTGGGGATGCAAAGGGGGGGGTTTATTCGGAGGTGCTGCTCGGTGCTACTGCCAGTGCCAGTGCCAGTCTTGAGGCAATTCAATGCTAGTATTCTATCTATATCCCAATAACTAACTATCATGAGATTTA